GGCCAAGACACTATAAATATAAAGACCATTTTTATATATGGTTAGTTTTAACTTTGAAAACTTGTCATTTATCTCGTTCCATTTAGGGTTACTAGAAAATTAATATTTTCCTTTGCTTCCCTCTCAAATTGCTGGTTCAGTCGTTAGACCATTGACCAATATTCCCCACTGCTGTACAATACATATTGGGATTTTCTCAGTCCCAATGTGGTCGATCAACCTTTCAGTTCCGACTACGAGCTAAGGCTAATTAAGTAATTACTTTAATTATTACCTACTCGAAATAAAATGTTCATTTTAGAGCGAATTCCTTCTTTTTTATATTATAAGATATTTAATCTTACTCTAAAGTAGACAAATTATTATACTCACCTGTACACCACTTTTTTTATAAAAATTTTATAAAAAACGTTCGATTAGCATGTGTCAAGCATTTGAGCAGCGTTCTATCAGAGCCATCATCAAACTCAAAACAAATATTGTTATTATCTTATAATAACAATATATTTAATATATTGTTATTATATCTAGTAGTACTACTACTATATATATAGTAATACTACTATTATATTAATTTAATATAAATTTAATAGCTTAAATTTGGATAAATTATGTATCACGAAAGCTATTTGATTAATCTAAAGCCGATAGCGGTTGAATGCATCTGAAATTTCAATGGGATAAAATTGAACTAATTGATGGTTTCCTATGGTATAAAGAGCAAGATAGCATACTCGTGAGCGCTCCGTGTTGACGTAATGCAAGTACGGGAAAGGTCCCCCAAATAAAACCGGAGCATGAGGATAACTACTGTGCCTCTTTAGGGGTATCACGACAAATAAACATTAACGCCACCATTTCTCCCAAAACACCTGGCATTCAATTTTAGTCGTCGCACAGATCAATCACCACAGCACGCTTCTTGAGCGCGGACAACCTGGGCTCTGTCGCCGACCCATCAGCGCTCGACTTAGGATCTGACTTGTTCAACGGCGAGGAAGAATTGAAAGGAAGATTGGGAGCGCCAACTGGTAGACCAGGCCCATTCAATTCAGGCGTAGATCGCCTCGAGGAGATATTGTCCTCCATTTTGGGTAACCAAGAGCCGTCTGAGTGCACAACTATGGTCCTAACCTTACTTTTGCCTTCGTGAACAAGTTTGTCTCGAACATCTTTCAGAAAGCCGTCAACCACAAGGTGTTGCGGGCGCACATCAGCAAGACATATAGGACACTTCCACGAATCCGTGTCAGAGGGCCATCCAGACCTCTCACGAGGTCGGCTTTGCAGAAAGATGGGCAGATCGAAGCATTCCCTGTGTTTGCAATGTTTGCCGCGCGCAGGCATCTCGCATATCTTACCCTGACTGATAGGGTCGTATATCGTAATGTTTATTTTTGCGTCATCAATGATAACATCGTCATCATTTCCGGATGCTCGCAGAAGTAAGCTGCTTTTGATGGCCCCAAGACTGTCTTCGCTCAAGATCACGTGTCTTTTGCAATTCTCTAAGATAGTCTTATGACTCCATGTGTCCACAATCTCGACTGCATATGCATACAGAGAGATAGATGGATGATCAAAGGCAACGTTCATGAATATCTCGAGAGTGTTCTCCAAACCACCTGGCTGTACAAAGTCAGTAATGTCTATAGGCAGATCTTTTGTGTGATGCTGCTTTCGCCTAGTCTCCAGCATATGACCGTTGAACTGATAATAATAGTGTGATGGCCAAGATGTTGCTTTGAGTGTCCAGTCCTCCGCAAGGTTTTCAACCCCAGCAGAGGCTTCGCCGACTTTGACAAATCGCAGACGGTATTGCTTCCACCCTTCTTCCAAATGTCTCAACTTTCGTTGTCCATCATCCGTGTTTACAGTTTTAGCCACGCGTTCGTTCTCTGGGATAACGAACGAGATTTTCTGATACAAGTCCCCGCCAAGGCGTGATGGGCCCAAAACAAAACCGTGCACGAATTGGTATAAAAGTTCGGATTCGGGTTTGGCTAATCGACTGTCTACAAAGCGCGGGTCGCGCAAGTGAGCTTGGTGAAGAGCAGATGTCTGCCAGGTACCCGCCGCTACCGGATCTTGACCGGATGTTCCTGTCGGCGGAATAAGCGGTGTATTTAGCTGCGCAGGCTGGACCATTGGATCGACAAGATCTCGTGTCACGGCATTTTGTGGAAGATTACGGTCGTTACTGCGCGGTTGATTATGGGGAGGATGTTGCAAATTTTGTCCTTGTGGCATGGGAAGTTGAACACTCGTCTGACTCCCTGCGAATGGAATGGTATCTGAGGAGATAGTTAAGGATGTGGCCGAGTTTACACGCCGAAGCCTACGCAGCTCTACTCGCTGAGCGAAGGCGGAGAATCTTCGACGATACAGTAATGTGATACGGGTCGTCATCTCTTGAGAAAGCCATCCATTCGTAAGTGACAGGTATATGCTACCCTTGTTTTGATGGAAAAGGCACTTCGCCATCTCATGGACCTGTCGCCCGAATTCATCGTTGCCTGCCCAAAGCTGGCGCAGTAACGCCAAGAAAAAGACGTCCATGAGTATGGGTGAGTAAATCTGCATTTCCCAGAGTTCAGTAGCCAGTGGCGGGTATCCACGTTTCATGCATGTTTGTTTTAGAACTGCCCAGCGAGTTGGTAGAATATTGGACAATGTCCTGACGTAATTAGTCAGAATGTTGTAGCTCTCTGAATATTCCTTAGCAAGACTTCCAAGCGTACACGGAAATCTCCCAAAGAATTCGAGAAGTTCAGGATTCTCGATTTGGCCGCCAGCTAGAAGGTTGTTCATCAGCAACATACATTCTGTGAATCCTGGGTGGGTTCGCAGCACGGTGGGTATATTTTCGAAACCTGCAGCACACAGCGATACAATTTGATGGACGAATAAGAAACCCGAATCATCTTCGTTAACGGCTCGCGACAAAAGTTCGAATCTTGAAGCCTCTAAGCCTTGCAAAGGCGGGAGTTTGTTTAGGTTTCGGAATTGAATGTATTCATTCAAGCAGCTTGCACAGTTTACACGTGAATAGGGCAAGATGACAGGCAGTAGGGGTCGTGGTAGAATTGGTTGCAAAGGCGCCTCATTTGGTGACATATGTCCACTACGTGGGCCTCGTTGGGATTGTGTCAAGGAGTACCATCCAGCAACCAGAGATGCAAGAGTTGGACTCTGCACGGCAGGGCTTGTTGATGACGGTGACCCAGCGGTAGTAGGTATTGACTGCATACATTGTGCGCTTGTGTTAAGAGGGGAGCCAGTAGAAGTATATGTTTCTACAGGAACTTCGTTGCGAGAGGGAAGTTCTGTCTGTTGGCCGTTATAATGAGGGACAGGTGTGAAAGAACCTTGTTGCCAACCTGATTGGACAGCTGCAGGACTTGAGTCTTGATGAAGAGGTTGCGATTGTTCGGTTACAACTGCGCTTGTAGGCTGGCTGGTGGACGGCCAATGTTGATTTGTATGTGGTGTTTGACTTGCGCGAGGAACTTCGCCTTGAACAAGAGTATTGACCGAGCTCGATGTCGAGGTATTGATCGAGAGGCGTTTAGCGGGTGGCACAACTTGTACATGATCATCCGCTTCCTTTCTCTTAGCCAAGGTGTCTGAGGGACATGCACCCCGTCCGGAGGACTGGCGATGTGCTGGGGGTTCTGGTGTTGCAGCTGCATCAGGTACGTGCGCGCTCGCCGGTAAAGTAGCCCGCGGAGGGCCTGTAGATGATGAAGTCGTTCGGGATAAGCGACGATCCACCACTGTGTTATCAGCCAAAGCCGGAGGAGCAGATGTCGAGGAGTCAGCTTCACTGCCGACGGTGCTAAATGCACCTGTCTCAAGAATTTGCGACGGAGCAGGAGTTAACGACAAGACGGCTTGCCGTCGTTGAGTAACAGCACTCACGTCGCCGTTCAGCCATGAATATCGCCGAGCTGATCCTCCTAGGAACTTATTCAACGTGTTGTTGGACTCGGCGCGCTGCCTACGCGCAGCCTCATTAGCACGTTCTTGACGCGGACCCATACGTTTGTGTTGTCGGCTGTGAGACCATAGCGGACGCCACCACCTAGCTTAGCAGCAAGATCTTATTCTGCTCTTCAGTTCAAGACTGAGACGGTTCGAATATGTCTTATGATGCAAAAATCGATGGGTTGATCCGGCGTCCAAGAGGGAGGAGGAGGGACGTCTGCAATATGCCAACTAACGAAGGCAGATTAATCTTGGTGAGGCGACGCAAAAAGACGTGGTCGAGTGATTTGCACCTGCAGCCAGCGCTTCGCCCCGCTTGTTTGAGTGGCCAGACAGTTCAGCAGGATTCTGTACACATGCACCAAGATTTGAGTCTCAACGTGAAGAGGACTATTTACAGCGGGAGCACTGGGTGGTGCAGCACAAGGTCACAATGGCAAGGTCATCGCGCTTGGAATGGGCCAAGCAAGGATAAGCTGAGAGAGCATCTTGAAGTGACATGTACTCCGTAAGGCTCATGGCCTCTGACAGCAGCTTACTACTTGCAGACGGCGCACAAGTCGAGGACAAGATGTGATGCCAAAGGCCCAAGGCAAGCTGCTAGATACGTAAGAGCCAATACACTGGGCTTCCTCCGAATGATAGAGAGGGCCGAGGGAGAAGAGAAAGGGAAAGAGAAATCAGATGAGGAGGAAATCAAATGAAGGCAAAGACGGTCAGAGTCAAGCCAGATGGCGCCGTACAGAGTGCTCTGGAGGCGTTGACAAAGGTGCTGTATGCCCTGACTGTGGCCGCTAACACGCGGGCATCCCCTGCGCATCAAGCGTCCATCGCCCCGGACCATGGCTCAGATCATGTCTGGCAACGACGGCGATGGGAGAAAGAAGCTTCGCTTAAGACCCGATTGAGCGAAGATGTGCAGCATGTGCAGCGGCAGGGGCTAGGGCGCACATGCTTTTGCAAAAGCCAGTGGTCGGGACGGGCCAGGCAGGTCAAGTAATCTCTGGATGAATGAACCAGACTCGAAGGGTGAGTAGCGCAGGTACGGCGTGGGCCTGGCAGAGGCCGACGCAGAACCACGCGAAGGCCAGCGACAGGACAGCGACAGGACAGCGACAGGACAGCGTGTTGAGGGCATGCCGTGTCATGGCCGCGCCGGATGGTGCGTTTCGAGGCCTGCAGAGACAACAATCCAGCCAAGCACGGTGTGGGATGCGCGGAGAGAGTTTGATCGGCCAGCGACAAAGCGCCGTCCAAGGGCAGCCCATGGACCTCACCGTCGCCCGCTGGAAGGCTCCGCGGCGCTTCGAGCTCCGGCGCCCACCGCTGGCGAGGCACACCACGTACTTGTACCGCTCGTGGCCGGCGTCGTTGGCCGCAACGACCACACGGCCAATTTCACGACCGCGTCCGCAGACCAAGCCAGGCCAGCGCTGGCGAAGTGTCCGCTTTGAGCATCTCGCGCCCGAAGAGAACGGTGGTCCTGTCAGCCGCCGCCAACCACGGACACGCTAAAAAAGGGCAGCCGCTGGCTGGGGCCGCGACTCTATCACGTGGCGCCAAACATCGCCGTCGACCCCAACGGCCGCTTGCTGGCACTTCACCGATCAGAGCTCCATCCGCACGCCGTCAAACACTCACAAATCCAGGCCTACCACGTCGCCTTCGCTCGTGCCTCCTCTCCAGACCACCACCGCACGCCGAGCCGCCTGTCAGAGCCTTCCGTTTCCAAACAAGCCGCCAATCAACCCGCTCCTCCGTCGTCCCACACGCTCGTTCGGCGTCCGCCTCCACCCACGCCTGCAACACAGCGCCCTTGCGAACGGAAGCGCACCTCCCCCCGCTCTGGCTCTCAATGCATCCCGCCAGCTCTCAGTCGGCTTTGTAGCGTTGCGCTGGTTGCGCAAAGCCGAACTGTTATCGCCACATTCAGAGAGACATACGCTTCCTCCCTGCGGATTGTTGACGTATCTGGTCGGTTTGCACCATGGCGAACGCGGCACAGCTGGCCCAGGTCACCCCGGGCGATATCCTTCTGGTTGTCCGTATGTACAGTCCTAATTGCAGACTCGGCTCTGCCCGCTCTGGAGATGCCGTGGTCTTGTGTCCGACGCTGACTTCGCCGTAGATGACTTCAACGCGCGGAGCCCTGACGAGTTGAGCCTCAAGCGAGGAGATAAGATTGAGCTTATAGAGAAAGACGACGATTTCGGAGACGGCTGGTTTCTAGGACGACATTTATCGAGGGATGATAGCGGGTTGTTTCCAGCAGGTGAGATCGTACGATCGTAGTATGGCGAGATGATTTACTGATGCAACATCAGTGTACACTACTCCAGCACCTAAACCTACGTCTGGTGCCGGGAGACGGGTTTCTGTGCAGCAAGCCACGAGCGGAACAGGCCAGCCCATTGCTGAGCTTATGGGAGATGAACACCTCAGAGCACCCTCTGTTCAACCGCCCGGCTCAGAGTCAAACCATGCGACTGTATTGCAGTCTGGGACAGAGCGCTCCTTCTCAGCGCCACATGCCTCCTCAAATATGTCTTCGTCAGGTGCAGGAATCAGACCTACAGCCGCTTCTGTAGCGCAACGAAGCATAAGTCTTAGCAACGGCGCACACCAGAACAGTCCTGTGATGAATGAGACCTTGAGTGTCATCGAGGAGCACATTACAGATATGAGCACACCGCGGCACAGCTTACTTACACCAGAACCTTCAGTCATGCAGGAGGAGGATCGTACTGAACTCCAAACACGCCTTTCTTTTATAAACGGACATGAGACGGACGAGGAAGAATCGGCTGCATTGACTGCAGACGAGGTTCTGCGTTGGGATCCCGAGCGCGTTTCTGAGTATCTCGAGGACATGGGCGTAGATCCGCAGCAGTGCAGAGTCTTTTTAGAGCAGGAAATAACCGGAGAGGTCCTCCTAGGAATGGACCAAGGCTCCCTTATGCTTAAAGAGTTTGAGCTAGGTTCTATCGGGAAGAGATTAGCGCTCTGGCAGAAGATCAAGGCCATCCAAGAGGAAGTGAAGACAGGAGTCACATTACGGCGAGGCAGCGGAGGGTACGGAGGGTCGGGCTCGCCTGCGAATGGTGTCCGTAACAGAAGTACGTCTGTCGGTCTGCCGCGAATACCCAGTTTGATGGAGCGTCGAACGCCTTCTCGTCAAAATTCACTACAGCGGTCTCCAACGAAGCAGCACGCGAAGCACAATGAAAGCACAGCATCCATGCCGACCATGGAAGCTCATCATGGTGGCCACACGCCGCGACCGTCTGCAGCTTCGATTAGAAGCATGAATCACAGTCGCAGACATTCTTCACTTGATCAAGCAATGGCTTCACCAAGCAGGTTACCTGCGGAATCACCAACGATCCACAAGCATACGAAACAAGGCTCCTTCGATCAAGGTTGGACGATGGGCGCGCCCAGTTCTTCTACGCAAGGCACACCCAAAGACATTCCTTCTGGGGTCCAAAGTCCGGATCCGTCAAGCGAATTGCCCACTCCGGGCGAACACGGTATGCTTGTCGTCAACTCTCTTGACCTGGACCGGGGCTATTTCTCTGGTAATGAAGTAGACAATCGCGACAGACAAAACAAGCTACGGAAGCGGCAAGATTTGCATGGCCGCGCACCTAGTGACGGCTTTGGTACTAGGCGACTAAGTGCAGTGTTCAGAAGCAGACGTGCAGGCAGCACAGATTCTTTGGATAAGCTCAGCGAGCCCTCCCCAGCACAATTATTTTATGGTAAGACCAGCCTTTCGAGTGGTCGCTCCCCAATGTTGTCACCGGGCGCTGGACATCGGAAGCATTCGTCAGTTTCACCTACCGTAACCAAATTGGAGTACGGAGACTCTCCTAGTATTGACGCAGTCGCCAATTCACCTCATGTACCCGGTAGCGAGACTTCTTCCATCGAACGGACCTCTGCGTCGAAGAACATACTGAATCGAACCCGAGCAACGGGACTGAAAGCTATCTCAGACGCGATTACTGGCGAGGAAAAGAAAAGTGCGGTGCCGCCCACCTCCGCATCGTCGGAAAAGGGTTCTTTCCCTGCAAAAGAATCTCCTATGCAGTCGCCAGGATCTAGCTCACCTTCGGTACACTCGAAAAGTTTCGAAGGCACAGAGGAAAGTTTACTCCTCAAGACTTCGACGAGCGGTTCTGGCGGACGGCATCAAGCTCCCCTTCTTCCTCGGCGGAAAGGCAAGAAGTCTACCAGTGCATACACACGTGGGCTGGAAAAGAAAACTCCCAAGGAAGCGATGGCCGACTGTGACTACAGTGGCTGGATGAAGAAGAAGTCATCGAACCTCATGACAACATGGAAGACACGTCTTTTTGTGCTTCGCGGCACTCGCCTTTCCTATTACTATGCCGAAGAAGACACAGAAGAAAAGGGCCTCATCGATATCTCCTTCCATCGCGTACTTCCTGCGAACAATGATCGCATTCTCGGTCTCCATGCTACCTTTACTGGTGCGAGTGCTTCGCCTACGTCACCGCAAAATGCACAGATTGAAACCGCAGCAGCGCAAGACGCGCAGAAAGCTGGGCCTTTGATGAAGGGTGAAGATAGTGGGATGTTCATCTTCAAGCTCGTACCGCCACGTGCCGGGCTGTCCAAAGCCGTGAACTTCACCAAGCCAACCGTACACTACTTCGCCGTCGACAATATCCAACAGGGCCGCTTGTGGATGGCTGCATTGATGAAGGCAACGATCGAGAGGGACGAAAGTCATCAAGTCATTACGACTTACAAGGAGAAAACCATCAGTTTGGCGAAAGCTAGGGCTATGAGGCAACGGCCTCCTGCCTTGATGGGCGATAGCGACGAGGAGAAGAACAAGGGCAAGGACCTTGAGCAGACAGGCCTAAGGATATCCTACAGCGTAGGAGATACTGATACCGCAACCGTGACCACGAATGGCGACAAGGATAGCAGTTTCACCGCCGCTGAGTCGGTGAACCCTTCGACGGAAAACGTCGACCACACGTCTATTCCGTTGTCATCGTGAACATTCTTTTGCTTGCCCGAACCGTGGCACATTCATCACAGCTCGCTTCTTCGGCTGTCTTTGAGGACATCTTAACGAAGTATTCTTTTTCCATCCTTTGTTTCTTTTGCACGTGTTGATACATCGTCAACGGGAAAAGCCATCGGGCCTTCTTCTTTTCTTTTGTGATTCTGGGATTAATTTTTGTATAGTATCATTCTTGTAATATTGTCACGAGCATATGAGATCGACGGATCTGATCTTTTTCCAGACTCATGAAGCAGCCGGCTGGGAAAGTAGATAGCAAACACACATAATCAATCACGTTCAAAAAGTGTTTCGCGGTCAGGTTAGAAGACTCGAGTGATTTGGGAGCACTCGACAACATTACCCAGTTTGGTTTCAGTGGATTAGAACTTGACTGAAGCAAATTGCCACAAAGCACTCAATTCTGCCGACATCATTGTGTGCGCCACAGACTGCGGTACGGAAATGGGAGTAGCTCATAAGTGGAAGGCTGCACTTTCTTTTGAGTCGGCAACTAATCTCCGCAGGTTGAGCCGAGGGTTGACCCCACATTCTTCCTAACCAGAGCTCACTCAACCTCAGCCCCCCAGTGCTCCAAGCAGCCGCGGTATTACCGAGTAACCCCAGCGAGATAGATGATGGCTTATTTCCATATTCCATTGTTCTTGTCACTCTATCGTCCGCACAAGATCTGGCATTGTTTACGTGAACCTCCTTTCCCTCTTGCGAAGTCCAACCTTGGCTTACAATGACGCCTCCGCCAGCACCGCTTGATCTGCCCAGGCGCTACTCGGACCTGGGTTTCAAGGAGATCAAGATCGAGAATTACCCCAAGGATTCGAGCGCAGATGTGACGCCGATTCAGATCCTCACGCTGTACCGCCCAGGCAAGCACAATGCCTTCACGTACACCATGACGGTCGAGCTCGAGAAGGCGTACGCGCTCTTCGACGTAGACGACAGAGTCAAGGCTATCGTGCACACTGGCGACGGCAGGATATTCTGCGCTGGAGCAGATCTCGAGAACAGCTTCCGCCAGACGGGCGAGAAGATCGCCGACCACAGAGACGGGTAAGCAAAGGCGACTCCGTGCACGAAACAGACAGAGAAGGACAGAGAGGAGAGAAAGGAAGACGTGAACGCTAACAGGGGCCATCTCCATTTTCTAGTGGCGGACGTGTCTCCCTCGCCATTTACAACTGCCGCAAGCCCGTCATCGGGGCTCTCAACGGATCCGCCGTCGGCGTCGGCATCACGCAGACGTTGCCGATGGCCATCCGCATCGCGCCCAAGAACGCCAAAATCGGTTTTGTGTTTTCCCGGCGCGGACTGGTCATGGAGGCGGCGTCGTCGTTCTTCCTGCCGAAGCTGGTCGGCTACTCGAAGGCCATGCACCTGGTCACGACGGGCGCGACGTACCCAGCCTCGCACCCGCTGCTCAGCGACCTGTTCAGCGAGACGCTCGACAACCCGGCGGATGTGCTGCCGCGCGCGATCGAGCTGGCGCAGGAGTTCGTGGACAACTGCTCCAACGTCAGCTGGGCGCTCATGAAGGACATGATCTGGCGCAACCCGGGCACGGCCGAGGGCGCCCACCTGCTGGACAGCAGGATCATCTACGAGATGTTCGGCACCACGGACAACAAGGAGGGCGTGGCGAGTTTCCTAGAGAAGAGGAAGGTCAACTTCACGGGCACCTTGGAGAAGGACGCCCCAAAGGCGTACCCGTGGTGGACGCCTGTCGACGTGCTGCAGTTCCCGAAGGGCAAGCTGCCAGGATCGTCGAAGCTGTAGAGAACGATTTCGCTTTCTTGCGGGGGAGAAATGCACCAATTCCTGCCGTTGCTTTACGGACCAGATAGTGTCGAATAGAAAGACCGAAAAAAAAAATCGTTTAGCAGCGGCACAGGCCGTCGTTGTTTTCACTCGTACGGTTGCCGATTGTGTTCAGTATCTGTTTTTTTTTGTTTTTTTTTAATTTAATTTAATCTTCTTCAGCCTCAGCGAAGCCTTGGCTGGATTCCACTCTCTTCCGGTAGATAGGTCGCGAAGTGTTAGTGATTTTTGCTCGCTCTATTCCGTGGCGCTACAATCCTTCACGAGCACATCTTACTTTGTAGCGCAATTGGCGACTCGGGCCCTCCCTCTACACCAGTTCCCAGTACGAATCGGAGACTTTGCTTACATCTTATGTACACAACCGCGGGAGCTTAGATCGGTCCTGCAAAGGGTAGTGCGGAATGGCCGATTCGGGGTGGGAGGTCCCAATGGGGTTACCAATGACATGTCGCGGTCACAGAAATCAAACATCCGTTTGCAAGTGGAATCGTTCGATCACCTGGCATCTCGCGCGACACAAAGAGAGGGAGGGAACAGAAAAGAGCAAGGTCGGCTGAAAAGAAAAAGTTTCTGATCGGGTTCGTTGAGTGGCTCATGGCTCCCATGGCGGAGACCACACCCACTCGCCTCCAGCGCAGACGCAGCAGAGGAGGGTGACATGCTCGGTGCCTGACACACTGACGAGCTAAGCGTCCTAGCGCGCCCTCCGTCTGATGCGGTGGATGCTGAGTTGACCAGGCAGAGGCTGGCCGCTTTGCGTTTGCGTCGGCCATGCCAACGACGACGACTAATGTAGCTGCGGCGAGAGGCGTCTGACACTCGCGCGGCCACTCCTCACCCTCGACTCCCTTCGGTCGCAACACAAAGCCGCCCTTGCCATCAGCTGGGGGCGCGACACTTGAGTCACTCCGCCCGTTGCGCGAGGAATGCTGCCACGAACGTCGCCGCGGACGCTTTCCCCACCGGGCCTGCTTTCGCGAGGGATCGCCGCCGTGGGCCGCAACCCCAAGCCTTGTCTGCACGCTGGGTCGACAGCACGGCCGCCCAGCACCTCGGCGCTCCTCCCCACCCAGGAACGCCGTTTGATGAGCTTTTTGAAACCACGATCCGTGGATTGCATGCAAGCCCTGGCTCTCGGGCCTGCGTCCCAGCATTCCGACATGGCCGTGGCGCGGACACATCAGGCTGGAAACGGCAAGGTAATGGGCGCGGCGCCCCCTTGCTCGTAATCATGTGAGACCGTGTCACTATCGGGTTTGGCTTTGCCCCTCCAGTCACGTCGCGTCCATTCTCGCTCTGCCTGTCACGGCTCATATTCCCTCCAGCCCCGAACCGAGCTATGGCTTTTGACTTTTTGTTCTAGCACCTGGCGACATGAAATCTGACGGGAGTTTGCGCGACCTTTTTCTTTTTTTTTTTCAATCATCTTTTCTATTTCGTTTTTCCCCCTTTCTCTCTTGGTTTTTCTATAAGTTTCTCCCCCCCCCCCCCTCTTCCCGCTCTGCCTCTCTCCCTCTCTCACAACGCGCCCTCTCTTCCCAACGTCTTTGCTGCCTGAGAGCCACACGAATCGCTGCAAACCGTGTTGCCTTGCCATGATAAGTATATAAGCTCAGGCTCCCTCCTTCCTTCCCGTCGTCGATGGTTCTGCCCTCTCTGTTCCTTTCAGGCGACTCGTCATTCTGCCTTTCGTTTCACTCATCGACGGCATTCAACTCCATCCCATCACATCAACATGTTTAGATCAAACAGCACTCGCAACCCAAGCTTCTCGAAGCGGGTAGACAAATCGTCAAAGAAACAGCGCTCTTCGTTCCAGACGCCGTCCAAATCTAGACGTCTTGAGCATGCTGCCTCAGCCATGGAATCCGTCGTTCACACAAGCCCGGCTCAGCAGACATCACCGTACGTGCATGCTGTAGATGATTTTGATGGAATAGAGCATTTTCGGCTCACCAGTGCCAGTTCTCTGACCTCGCCCATCGTCACAATCTGCGTCGGCCGCGAGCAGCGTCTCTTCGCAGCTCACGAAGATGTACTTTCTCACTCGCATTACCTATCGGCTCTTTGTCGAGCACAGTTTTACGAATCACCGAAGCGCATAGATCTGCCCGAGGAAGAGCCAGAGATCTTTTCCTGCGTGCTCGAGTACTTGTACAAGGGCGATTACTATCCTCGTCTTGAGTACGACAAGCGTCGGCAATCGTGGCAGCTTGAGGATGGAACGAGCCCCGACAGGCAGTCTTCGGTCGAAAGCACTGTGTTTCTGAACGGGCATGGAGTGCAAGTACTGAAAGATACCGCAGTCTACGTGAGTTCTGCACCCATCTAGCACTTCTTCTTCTCACAAATCATCTAGTGTCTGGCAGAGAAGTTTGGCCTCGCCGAGCTTCAACGCCTTGCTCTCCGGAAGCAAGGGCTGCAGTCTGGAATCCAGTGCTCTACGATCCTGACAAGCGCCCGATACGCGTACGCCAACACGCCGGAACACGACTCAAAGCTGCGGGCACATTACCTGGCACTGATCATCCGCTCGCGACACACATTCAAGCGCAGTGGCACCATGCAGCAAGAAATGGAGCAAGGCGGGAAGCTCTTTTTCGACCTGTTGTAAGTTATCCCATGTGATCAAAGTCTTCCTTCATCTGCCTTGACTGACGACTTCCCGCCAGCGTTGCAATGACAAATCACATGGACGACCTCGTCAAAAGTCCACGCCATTAGGCAACAGATTGCGTGTCTGCACATGTCAGTCTCCACGACACGCCGCGCGTTTGAGGCCGCACAATCTGTGCGTCCATTTTACGACCCGTTCCGTTTGCTTTTTCTCTTCGCTCCTTGGTCAAACACGTTTTACCCCCCCCCCAAAAAAAGATACCTCTCATCTTGGAAACTCACAATCTGGACCCAAGAGTTCCTGCTTATCTCGCGTCCACTTCTATGCGGGAGCTTTTGGTTCCTCCCCGCTCGGCTCTGTTCATTCTAGAATACCCTGCACATTGTAAATATCATCCTCATGTTCTTCCCGTCTGACAGCTACTTCACGGCGTTATCTACTGTCTACGAAGTCCTTCAAAGATCAATTTGATGCTCAAAAATGAGCTAGCTATGTATGTATCATTATTATATGTCAAGGACACACATTTCATGCCTCCGGCTGGCGCGTGGGCGACCTGCTTTTGTGGGCAACGGCCTAATATTTGTACAGAGTGGATTATAGTTTTCTTTTTGGTATTTGACTCTGGAAAGACGAGAAAAGTCGATGGAATCAGTGAGAAAGCGAAGTAAGGTATCTTGGAGGAAGAATACATTTTTCTTCGGCTTCGGTGCGGTTCGACAGCTCTGTTATTCTAGCCCAGACTGTAGTCCGGAATCAACATTTAAAAAAAAAAGTTCACTTCTACAAAAGTCAATTAGCAGAAATTCCTATTTTGCTTGTTTTTCCTTTCTTTTCAATCCCACAATACTCCTCTAATAAAATTTTGACGCTTTCTCGTTATCGAAGTCACCTCAGCATGAAAACGATCCCACATGCAACAACGGCGTACACATACAAAAGGGCGGAGGACGGTGATGAGTTCGCAAAGCCACGCCTATCAGTATCGGGAGAGGTCGTCGAAATCGATGACTAGATTGGGGAAACGTATGCAAGCTAAGTCTGGGTCATGCAAGAGCTACCATTATTTCGGGCCCCGCGGGGGGGGATGTGAACTTCCAGTCTTCGTGCCAATCAAAGTCAAGATACATTAAGTCGATCGATGCACGACGCAGGGTGTGACTCATAGCACATCCTATGCCAAGCGTGGCGACCGGGTCGAGGAAGCTAAAACGGGGTTCGAGGCGGATAAAGCGTCCAGTGACGTGGAGACATACGGCTGAGTACTTTGCAGAAGGAACGGCAACTATGGTATTAGACCACTGCTAGGATGGCCTTCCTGAGGATCGTGAAGATAAGTTTGCGATACGTCGTGTCGCGAGAGTTGAGTCAAGAGGTTCGACTGGATGCATCGCGAGTGAATGTACAAGCAAGGCTAGTCCATCGGTTGTACGGTCAGCAGGGGCTCCTTAGAGACGTCTCCAGAGTGATCGCTTCGACACTAAGCAAGGTATGTTGAGGCCGCTTGCTGATCGGGCCAAAATCTAGTACGGGTATTCGAGAAGGCCTAGTACCTCGATGTGCAGGAGGATCCTTCCTTTAGACTCCTGTGCCGGGAAATGCTGCATTGCCTTTGCTCAACACGACCATTCTGTGTCCACGCGAGATGTATCCTTTCATCAGGCCCTGAAGCCGAGGTTAGCTAGTCAACCACGACTTCTACCAATGCCGTGTTGGGTTGCCCAAGGCACCAGGTTTAATCCTCGGTAGGCAGCACTGGGCTCTTAAAAATGGTAATTTGTAGGCGGATATTCTGTGGAAAAATAGATGGGCTCATACCTTGTATATCATATTTGCAATCATACACTCCACCTCATCCCGATCTAGCGCGTCTCCATTCGTCTGGCCCAGACTTAGCCTTATTGCGACCACAAATTCTTCCACAGGGACTCGTGTTCGACGGACAGGTTGAGTCTGGCCTTCCTTTGGAGGGTCAAAGCCGCCGAGGATGAATACTTTGCGCAGGACATTTCTGATGACGATGTCCCTTCCACGTTCAAGGGTGAGATAAATTCTACGCTTGACAAACTCGACCTCGCCCGCTTGCATCGCGGCGTCAAATTCTGCAAGGTTCGCACCTTTGATGCTCGCTAACAAAGGTCCAAACAAGCGTTCAAGACGTGGATAGTTTGATAGAAAATCTTGTGTGGGAAGAGTATGGGTGGTGACGAGGTGGCAGGGGATGAGATAGATGAGAATGAGTCTGGAGGTCACAGTCAGCGCTACTGCACACTACCCTTCAATCTTCTGGTAATTGCGCACTCCTTATTCTTTGTTGCTCTTTTGTGACACATGTTCCATGCTTTGGTTAAATACTCTTCCGCCTGGACGCCGAGGTTAGCAGGTACAGCCCTACAGATACTGTGAAACACACCCTTTTGTAGTCCTCCTCGAGGAAGTGAATCACGCCGGCGTAGTAGTTGAATGTAACTTGGTGCGATTTTGGAAAGGCTTCCAGAGGTGGCATGTCCATTGCCGATGCAGCTAACGACCGCAATGGATTCTTGGCCAAATTCAAAGAGTTGAGCTTAAAATATATGCGGAATAACAGATTTGTCACGTAGTAGAGGCCCCATTTGCGAGAAGCCTCGATTGGGGCCCTACAAACAACTCAGCATATGATGGAGATGATAAGAATGGCAATATCGTATCGTACCTATCCGTGATACACACACTGAATATACGGTTGACCTGTCTTGCAGCGTCTTGCAGGCAGTCATTCTTGCCAAGTGATCCCACCACGTCATCTTGGAAGCCTTCATTGTAGTTTACGTTGCCCTCAACGCGTCGAAGCTGCTCATCTGCCTTGATCGCGAAGTTTCGCAAATATTTGCCAGCAACATAAAGACAGGGAATTGTCCACGCAGCGAACGCACTTGAAGTGTACCCTCGGAGTAAAGAGTTGACGACCTCTTTCCACGCGTCAAAGACCTTCTTCCAATCCGCTTTCTTTCGCTGATTCACAGCCTCTTCGACTGCAAGTAGCTCGCATACAGCCTTCCAGTAAGCAGTATATAATTCGACCCAGGCAGCCTGCTCAGCCTTCGTGAAGTGGACGGAGGATTTGTAGATGAGATTATTTCGGAGTTCATTGGACACGCTCACAGCGTTTACACTGCGCTGGAAGCTGTACAGACGGCCAGCATCATGTGCAGGTGCCACAGGTTTAATCGACTCGGCAAGCATGTAGCCATCTTCATTCTCATGCGCCTGGCGAAAAAGCGAACTAACTGAGTCCATCACTGTTATTGTAGCGGACGAGCAGCGGTCCTAATAAGTCTAATTAGTTCAATTGTGATTCTTGTGTGTGCATACATGCATTTTCACAGCACAAACAAACTACAGGTGAAATGTGTACTACGACTAAGAATGGCAGGTGGGCTACGGTTTTGTAGCATCCTTGTACTCCTTCACGTGATATATGCATTAATGCCTGAGGCTGAAATATCGTGGCCCGTTCGCACACGAACTCTTGAATTTTCAGGATAATGTAAGAGCAACATCAAAGTTCACGCATCACGACCGCAACAGACAAGGTAATTACATTCCATTCACACGAAGTTATTGTCAGTTTTTGTGTGCTAACAGACATTATAGATGGGTAAGTTTTCCATGCGTTTTCAATTTCGCACCGCACGTTTCGAAATGTTCGCATTATCCTGTTTCCGTTACACCTCTTATTGCGAAGGCTGCAGAGCGACAGTAGCAGGAGTTAGTGAAGGATCAAAAAGAAAGGACTCTAACTTTGGATACTTTTTGCATTGTCGAGAAATGTACATGATACCGACGCCGCGCACTCTGCAATGTGCGAGGACTAGGGCAGGATGTTGAACATTTCTGAGCTCAATCGACGAATATGCAAAGAGATTCGATGGCTCTAACCCATGTTGACCGAGGAAATACAGGTCGCTATCAAGAATACCAGGTCGTTGGCCGCCACTTGCCGACTGAGTCGCAGCCAAACCCAAAGCTCTATCGTATGCGAATCTTCGCACCAAACGATGTCGTGGCCAAATCACGATTCTGGTATTTCCTGGGCAAGGCACGAAAGGTCAAGAAGGCTAGCGGTGAGATCGTCAGCTTGAACGTGGTATGTTGAGACTTTTAAGTCGAGTGGGATGTCGAAGTAATGAATTAATGTTCGACGCGCAGATCCACGAGAAGCACCCTCAAAAAGTCAAGAACTTCGGCATCTGGATCCGGTACGATTCGCGCTCTGGCACTCACAACATGTACAAGGAGTACCGTGAGATGTCCCGCACAGACGCCGTTCAGGCTTTGTATCAAGACATGGCGGCCAGGCATCGTGCTCGTTTCCGATCAGTTCAGGTAGGCTTTCTCATCTACATATTAGAACGTTCGCATAAGTACTAAATCTGGGTGCAGATCATCAAAGTCGCCGAGATTGAGAAGACCGAGGATGTCAGACGCCCATACATCAAGCAGCTTCTCGCGAAGAACCTCGCATTCCCTCTTCCTCACCGTGTGGCAAAGGCTTCTACAAAGAAGATCTTCTCTGCAAGCAGACCATCAACCTTCTTCTAAGCGTCATACTACGGTGTTTGCGGGGTCTAGATATCATTGAAAGGATAAACGGACTAGTATGGTCTGTCATTCAAATCATCATGTAGCTATTCAATGCAAGAGTCATGGGCGGGCATGAAAAATGAACTAAGTCTTCAAAAACTTGTCCGTTCCGTATACTTTGAACGTGTGATTCTTAAGCCATGATATTCTCTATTTCAGTCTAATCTGATTGGTATAGCTTGCACGTTAAAGCTAGTAAAGTCAAGTCGGCAAATGAAAGACTACACTTGAATAGCAACTACTGTCACACGTTGCATAACTGTTTGTGTTGGAGAACCTCTTCCAATTCATGTACGACTTATCTCTACGTGTTCCGAAATATATTAACAAAACTTTCTAGCTCAAGCCACATGTTAGATCAGTGGAACAATCCATTCTTTGAAGTGTGCCCGTTCTGTTCATTGGTTCGAAATCAAAGAATTTAATCCATGGCCTTGGTAGTCTCAGCGACCTTCTCTGTCGGAGTGCTGACGCCTGTGGTTTGAACTTCATGGCCGGTGAGGGTGCCGCGCCGGGCGACCTTCTTCCCCGTAAGATCATTGTAGACGGCAAGGGCGGTGCGCTTCATCGTGTGGCGGCCCTCCCAGAGAGGATACAAGCCAACACAGATTGAACTGCAGAACATCCAAAGAATACCGACTAAAGGAACACAGTCAGCGTCTTGAGCTCACACAAAGCAAGAGGCAAGGAGGTATCACGTACCAACGATCCAGCCGGTGAAGAAAGATTTGCTGAAGATGTAGCTGCTGCCGTACATCGGCATTGGCCACAACACAAGAAGGGCAACTGTCAGGAAGACTGTAAGCCAACGGGCAATTTTGGCGGCGCGCATGAGATGAGCCTGTTCAGCGGCTTCCTCAGCTTCAGTCTCCTCATGACCACCCGGAATTTCCTCAATGTCAAGACCAGCTGTCATAGCGAGGTCATGATCATCAGCCCTTTTGATCTCCTTCATAGACTGCCAGTCATAGTTCTGGACACCGAAGACAAAGGTCAAGACGGGAATGAAAATAAGTGGAGAGAGCAAGGCAACGACATTCCCAGCCAACATGGGATTATTGGCGCCTGTTGTGGCAACGCTGAGAGACCCGCCCTCCTTCTTGGCGGTGACGAGCCAGGCAATCAGGGAGCAAGCCAGACCAAGGACTGGGGTGAATGTCGCTGCGGCCCAGTTCTGTTGGCGCCACATCAGTGTCAGGGACGCAGGAAGGACAGCAGAGGAGATGATGACTCCCATAAGGAGATACAGATACCCCATGGAGATGCCAATGTAATGCAAGCCCGTGGAGAAGGAGGCGAGCAAGATGGCATACGCAACGACACAAACGTGTGACATATTGATGAGCATTTTGCCGCTAGCCTTCGGGTTGAAGTAAGTCTGATACACGTCATACGTGAAGATGGAAGATACAGCGATCAGCTCAGCTGACATAGCAGAGGTTACAGCCATGAAGACGAGAAGGATCGAAGCCACAGCTCCTCCTGTGCCCATGAGAGCCGTGGCAGCAGTTGGCAGTACGAGACCAGCGGAGACATCAGCTGGGTCCATGCGGTCTGGGTAGGTCGGAAAGATCGGGTTGCTCTCAAGAGAAAGAGCAGCAAGACCCATAGTTGTCGCCGCGAGCCAGGGGATAGCGAACCACGATAGTCCACCAGCAACGTAGCCTGGTAAAGCGTGGACTGGGGAGGCAGCAATGGCTTTGTTGTAGTAACCATTGTCGCAAAAGACGGTGCCGAAGTTGCCGACAATGTTGATGACGAAGAAGATGGCACCCTCCTTTGAGCGCATTGTGAGGTACGAACCGTCAGCATTGCCAGAAACCGGGTGGCGTTTTGCTGCCTCCTGAAGGAGTTCCCAAACTTTGCCAGGGGAGCCAAGGACATTGCTGGTGGCATAAGTCTTGAAGGCAAAGGTGAGCAGAATGACTAAGATAACCACGGTGTGTGCATAATCAGTCAAGAAGGTAGCCTTGATACCACCGAACATGGTGTACAGAACGACACCCACTGGGAGGAGGTAGCAAGCAGCAGCAGTTGGCACACCAGTCAATGAAGTTACGACGGCAGAGCCACCTGTCAACAGCATGGCCGTGACGAGGATATTCGTCATCAGACCAAAGACGATGTAGACAATGTGTGTGGTGGCGCCGTAGCGGGCACGGATAACTTCTAAGAACGTGTGCGCATTGGGAGCTCGGCGCTTCAGTTCAATTGCCAACGTCGCGAACAGAATGATCTGAACGGTTGCGCCAGAGGCGTACCAGAATGGGCCCGAGACGCCATAGTTGTAGGCAACAGCGGAGGATTGAAGAAGCGTTGCCGCCCAGGTCCAAGACGAGACGACTGCGGCAGAAACGAGACCAGACTTGACCGTGCGGCCGGCGGTGCTAAACATTTCGGAGGTCTGGAGTTCGGCATTGTACCTAGCGACGAATTCCGTCAGTTACCCGGCTCGGCAATTTTCAAAAGTACACATCTTCTAAATATGCTGGTGGTTGAATGGGGACTCGAGTCACAATGGCTACGAACCGATTGCCGGTGGTTTTAATAAAGTTCCAGCATCTGTTTGCAAAGCACGGTGAACAGTCGATGGATGGAAGAACCTGTTACTCTAGCAGCATGGGAAGCCCCCCCATTTCATGATCGGCAATACGCAGTGCAAAGGACATTCGTGCGTGGAAGTGTCTGTTTGCCAGTGACGAAGTCCGAGATACTGACGCATCCGAACCTTTTTTTTTTATCTCCTCTCCGAATTGGATATCTCAGCGTGTGAAATGATGCGGAGACAATGCTCAATGTGATGATATTTGTTCCTTGGTGACATCTAGAGAGCGCCTTGTGCGGACAACGGGAGAGTAAATCTGAGCCTACCTCTTTAATATGAAGGTGGTTAAAATCATACCAAAGCTAGTATGTAAGTTAGTAAATTTGAATTGTAGACATAATGTGTCAAAACGTACGCGAACAGAAAACCAAGACCTATGATAACTCCATAGCCGACGGCTGTGGACAGAGGAGGCGAGATCTTCGCCATCTTTCAGACTGTTGCTTGGTGTCTTGCAGACCAGGTGGCAACAAAGAAACTGCTCGGGCAATATGGAATCCGATGAACGACCAGATGGCGAATATATACAAACATCAGCCTTGATCTTTCCCCGGCTTGCTCCCATCGTAGATAGCAAGACATGGTCCAGGCTCTTCCACGTCCGCAGACGGCGCCGTTGCGGTACCCACAAAAGCAAAGGAAACTTTGGGCGCTCTCATCTCTGCCGTGCAGGACTGCTGGTCGTGGGATTGTACTCTTCGCGAAGTGTTTGGCCGTGCTGATCATACCCTTGCTGAGCAGATAAGGATGCCGGGTGGCGCATCTCCACGAGGAGCGCATGGGCCTTATCTCTTCCCCTTTGTCTAAAGCTTGACTAAGACCCAATCAGCGTAGGCCTGTTTCCCCCGTCGCACCATTATTGAACGCAGCATCCTCTGAACGAGGTCAAAGAGGTGCGTCGTTGGTACAAGCAGAGATGCTCCCCTGGCCATGTCGCTCTGAAGCTGTCTTCGAAGGCGCTTCTATTCCAGTTGGACGTTTATCAAAGACGGGGATCTGGGCGGGAAACGATTATGTGAAACGTTTTGTATACTGTCTTCTGCCTGGTTGTCGGAGAAAATTGCTTGCACGTTCGGTCAATCTGCCAATTGACCGAACACTGACTGGCACATCGCCCAGCCGGCATTTGACAGCCATGAGACCATGATCGAAGAAAACTGCGCAAAGATGAGAGAGCCAAGATCCCCACACGTCGTTTGAGGTCTTCAGAATCATTTTTTCTTTACTTTCTCTTTATCCAAATACGCTGCGGTCCAAGAGCGGAACATGAAAATTACGGTTGTGCTGGATACTACGATCATGACGCGCTCCGAGCGTTCGCCAGCCTCGTGAATGAGCATCTTGTGATTGGTTTGGCTTGCTCCGAAGTGCTAATGGGGTTGTTCGCTGGCGCGCTCATCTTGCATGATGTTGAGACATGGAAGATAGGCTACAAGCCTGACCACTACCAAGAAACATGCCAAAAACTATCCCGACGGCCAAGTCTTATGATAGTCCTCGCACAAGGCGGCCAAGATTCCTTACCAACAGTAAGCAATGTCCCGACACTTGCTCATGATAGAGAACCTTATCATGACTTTTTCGCAAGCCCTTAAGCACATATCACAAACAAGTCTTCTACTGGGCTGCTGCAAAAGACGGCTAGGCAAGAGTTCAGCCAGCAACGGTGTTAGATTTCCATCACGCCCTGCGATCGAAATGACGAGTGGCGCCGATATCGCCCGCAAGCCAAATCCTATCTGACCTTTTCAAGTGCAGGCATTGGTCGTGTGATTTCTTGTCTCGCTATCTAGTTGGAAGAAGCGCAATCAAATCTTGCACTAAACGAGCGTCCCACGTTGCCAATCAATGTGAGTGGTACGCTCCTCGGAATCTAGTTTTTCGAGGCGGCTAGCGACAGCCTCTGCAGCCCTGCGCGACCTGAACTTTATGCTCGTAGCGGCACAAACGCCAATACCTTAGACAAAATTCAAGCGAGATGGTCTAGTCCGCTGCAAACGTGGGATCCTCTCCACCAAATTCTGCAAAGCGCATGGAAAAAGACGATTACGTTATGCACCATCTCTAGATAAGGCCGAAACACATCAGCTAGTTTTGGTACAATAAGGTTCGATGGCGTCCAGACTCATGGAAATGCATCTTCCACCATCCAATCGCCCGCTATCAGTTGAGAAATATTTTCAACGTGGAATGGCACCGGGGACAAGAAGTGGGATTGCATATTTGCGTCTTTCTCCATTACGAGATGAAGAACCGATAATCACAAGCTAATGAACTCTGACCTCGTCCATGCGTCAATATACTCTTTGAAACTACAGATGATGAGCTTAATCTCTACAGCTAGAATTTCGCCGTGCCATTGGTCGAGGTTGGTGGGGTAAACATTGCAGTCTCGTCTGTGACCAACAGTCCAGCGATGGAAGCTGAAGTAAGAGTTGACAAAATACCCGTGAACAAAGCACTAAGAGCTACCCGGGAAACGTCGCCGCTACGTCCAGGTGAAATCTGTGACAGCACACCGACCTGAGTACCCAACGAGCCAAAATTGCCGAAGCCACAAAGAGCATACGTAGCAATCAGGCGGGAGCGGCCACTCAAATCAGCATAAGCAGAATCCTGCTGGAGCATGGTGTATGCCACGAACTCGTTCTGTCTTAGATCAGCAAAAATGGTCTTCAGATCACTAGCCGTCTGCTTACCTCGACAATTTTGACCCCGATGAGGCGAGCGACCTTCAGAAGGTCGCCATTGCGTGAGACACCAAGCAAGAATGCGACGGGATAGAATAAGTAGCCCAGGATCAGCTCAAGGGTCAAGTCGTACTCGCCAGGACCAATGTTGATATATCGTCCCCACCAAGTAAGTAGACCATCAATGAGGCCAACAAGGGCAATGATGCAGAGAAGTGTGGCCACGATCATACCAGCAATCTTGATACCTACTCTGAAATTAGATTTCGTCAACGTACTATAGTGAACGTAAACAAACCTAACCACGCCCCGTTTGCAAAGGCATGTATAAAATTTGCAGCCTTGTGCTCCTCATCGTCTGGGATGACAACGCGGCCAGCAGTCAAAGTTTCTTCTTCTTCTGGAAATCTCAACTTGCTAACGGCCAAAGACGCTGGAATTGACATCACACAGGATGAGATTAGAGCTTGACCATTGACGCCAAGCTGAATATAAGCGACCAATACCGAGCCGGCAATAGTGGCAAATCCAGAACACATGACCTAGTAAACTCGATTAGTTGTTTTGAAACCAGCACTCAATGTATTAAGCGCTTACCTGATGCAATTCCGCCTGGGTAAGGTGAGCAACGAATGGCCTAATCAACATGGCAGACTCGCCCTGGCCAATGAACGGTGATGCAGCGGCGACCACAGCCTCTGCACCAGATACACGCATAGACCAGAAAAAGAAGACGGCGAATTTCCCGATAAACCACTGAAGAACTCCCCAGTAGTATAGAAGCTGCACAAATGCAACGAAGAAGATGATCGGTGGGATAACACCGACAAGGAACCAGCCAATGCTCGGGACCGATTTGTCGGTTAAGAAGATCACACCGTCATTTGCAAAACCTAAGAGATCTCTGGCCAGCTCGGAGACAAAGTCGAAGATGTCGTTGCCAGCTTTGGTGCGAAGAACGAAGAGACCAATGATGAACTGGACAAGCATTCCAACGATTACCTTAACAGATGTCAGAATTTGGTCTCATGAACTCCGAGGCACAAGAGGCTTACCGGATGCCAATTGATCATCTTTCGGTTCTTGGACGTCGCCCAAAGCACGAACAAGAAGACGATGAGACCGAATAAACTTACGGCACGGTTGTCGCGTGTGTTGTCAGCGGTCTCCTCGCTAGCCATTGCTCCAACAACAATAACGGCGATGACCAAGAGCGCCCCGGCAGGAACTCTAAGCTTCTCTGGGATCATGTTGCACACGCGGACACCGGTGTTGTTCCATACCCAGTGCATGGGCTTTGAGAGAATGCTGATTGGCACGTGCCAGAATATGAGACGGAGGATGATCGCCAGCCATAGCAGGAACGGAATGATCCAATTCTTGTCATGTCTGTGAAGAACAAGGGACGCGATCCACCAACTTCGCGTATCATCAGCAAGTGCTCTCAGCGCTTCTTCTTTCATAGCACGGAGAAGTAAGAAGGGCACGACCTACCCGGTGAAGAATGCCGCTATGACAAGGTGAAACACGATCCGGTATTTCTTGTAAAATCGCGAAATGGTGTGTCGTTGAGGGTCCACTTCTTCAGAGCCCGTGTGTGCTGGGCTGACGCTGCCTTTCTCGGCGTCGTACTTATAGTCTTTCTCGTCGTACGCGGCGCCATCTTTGCCAATGCTTTTCCGCTCCGGATGATGACGTCGGTGAAGGGAGTCATCGTTGATGTCCTGGGGAGGGATCACACCAGGCTCATCGGTGGTTCCCTTCGTGTAAACTACATCGTCTGTTCGTCCTTTCTCCGCTGCGGCGGAGTGGTGTAAGTGCTCGTGGTGGTGCTCCCGCGACGGGTGCAGTGCCAGGTCTGGGTTGTGAGCAAGCTGGGATTTCTCCACCATCGCGGCCGGAGTCAGCAGATAACTGCTAGGCAAAAGAAGAACTCGAGATGGTCACGCTGGAATATTAAAAAAAAATAGCTGGCAAACAGTTCCATTTTGTGCTACGAAATGCTCCACCATTGTTGGGGTCATTCCCGCACGAACTACAGCCTAGGGTCAATGCCATGACTTCTTGGTCCGGGATGGTCTCTGATAACCGCACAGATTGACCACTTGCGGACGCGCATCAAGTTGCCTGATCATCCTTCGAAGCTCAGAGTGCTTCTCAACTTCCTAATCTGCGCAAGTGCTTGCGACAAGGTGCTACCGAGCGTAAGGACCTCGGCCAGCGCCGACGTAAAGCGATCGAATTGCTTGAGGGAGCTTTGTCGCCACAATCACTTTAGAATTTTAACTGTCAATGGGCACGCGATGATTCGCTGTTTCAAGCATGAACTCCGCCGCTAACACCAAAATGGGAACCACTGAGATCTTCATTCGCCAAGCTGTAACACTGCATTGTGACTGTCAGAGTAAGCCCAGTTTCAGATCTTGGGGCAGATAAAAAAGATAGCTGTCGTTATCGACAGCCACAGGTGATGGCTAGTTATTTATCTGCCTTGCTTCCTCGTGCAGAAAGAAAGTCCGCCATGGAAAGAGAACTGGTGTCGGAAAGCATAACGCCGTAAGTAGCCCATGTGTGGTGAAACAGCCGCAGGTCCCGTGACTTCTCGGCACTTCTCGATCTGGCTCGGTGATTTATCTTTCCTGTACTTGCCCAGCACCGTATCGGCGGAGTACTCCCGCTGTCGGCTACCGCTAGCTTAGGGCCTTGTATGAGTTTCGTATATATAGGTGATAACACGCTATGAAATGTACTTCTACGTGATCGGGTGTGCTCGTTCAGATCCCTTTTTCCACCATGACGGTCAAACATGACCAGGCGACGACAGAGTCGCCGCTGGGCCCAGGACAGCATGGCGATGGTAGAGGCCATCTCCGTGTTCAAGGAGAGAAAGTAGACGTCTCGATTATGAAAGAAAAGATTGTTTTTCCTTTCTCGGGCAAGGTGGCGCCGAACAGGTTCCTGAAGGCGCCCATGACTGAGCGACTATGTCCTTGGCCCGAGAACCACGCAGAAGACCTAGTAATGCATATCCCCTGTATTTGTTATCGCGTCAAGGACGTTCTAACGTGTGATTCAGTTGGCTCGTGGTGTTCCTGGCGAGGATATGATCCGGCTCTACGAGCGATGGGGCGAGGGAGTGCGTTACCACCACCGTCAGCAGCGAGACGTAGTAACTTTGGTCATCTAACGCTGTTGCTAGGGCATTGGCGTGATTGTAGGGGGCAACCTCATGGTCCGTCACGATGCCGTGGAAGCGTTCGGTAATCCTATCTTCGTTTCCAATCATGACGGACGCCTAGAGCAGTACAAGAAATTAGTCAAGGCGGCAAAGGCCCACGGTTCACTGTTTATCGCGCAGCTCAGCCACGTAGGACGACAAGGCGGCAAAGCACTGAATCCGAATCCTGTTAGTGCCAGTGATGTGCAGTTGAAAATCAAATGGGCGGGTAACGAGTTTGCCAAACCACGAGCGTTGGAGGTCGACGAAATCAAAGAGATTGTAGGAAACTTTGCAGACTCGGCGTTCTGGTGTTGGAAAGCGGGATATGATGGAGTAGAGGTGAGGCATCCGTTTGATTCATATATTTCACTTCCTGCGTTGCATGAACTCTTCCACGCGAACTCCGAGTGCCGATGCTCGACACTCGTATAGGCTTCCAGATTCGGACTCGTCAAGATCTCAAAATGGACACCGCACAGAACCGGCCTTTTTTCGATTGCCTCATGAGCAGTTTTTGCACTTGCGATAAGTTCGACATTGAATGTGATACTGACGAAAAATTTGCTTCCTAGCTTCACTGCGCACACGGCTACCTGCTGGCGCAGTTCGTGTCTCGAACGACAAATCTCAGGACGGATCAGTATGGAGGTAACCTTGAGAACCGTTCTCGAATCGTCTTCGAGATTATTGACGCAATACGGGAGAAAGTCACCGATCCGACGTTCTCAATCAGCGTCAAGATCAACTCGGTTGAATTTCAAGATGGCGGCACCACACCCGAAGACTGCAAATTTCTATGCGTCAAGTTTGAACAATATGGCGTTGACTTTGTGGAATTGTCGGGTGGAACCTTCGAAGCACGTGCATTCGAGCACAAGAAGGAAAGCACCAAGAAGCGCGAGGCGTACTTCATTGAGTTTGCCGAGATGATCCGTCCACATCTCAAGAAGACCGTTGTGTATGTCACTGGTGGCTTCCGTTCAGCCGCTGGTATGGTGAGAGCGGTTGAGAGCGGAGCTTGTCACGGCGTTGGCATTGGCAGGCCACTCGCAGCCGAGCCTTATCTGTGCAAGGAGATTCTTGAGGGCAAGGTCGATGGCGCTCTAGAAAACTTTGTGCCTCTACCGCTGAACACGCAATCAAGTGGCACGCAGCTTCACCAAATCGGCAAAGGCGAGGAGGCGATCAGCGACTGGAGTGTCGAAGAAGAGGTACAACGTTGGATCGAGGCAAACGAAGCGGAGACACAGAGGAAGATCAGCGTTTTGCCCAAGGTCGACAGCTCTGGCTTTGCAGCCTTGGAGCCGAAATACGCATTCAAATACCGGAAATCTTGATAGAAAGTACAAGTAGACGATTATGATGAGACACGTGTTTGATATGTATGCGTTCATTGCCACAAAACAGGTTTATCCTGGAGCATGTCGACAGAATACCGTTTGAGATCTTCGATGTCTACCTCTTCGAGAGCCGTGATGTTCGTCGCATTGAGCACAACCCTAGAAGTGGTTAGCAGTCGCGGCCCAAACAAGAGAACGCTGTCATGCTGTCGCACTTTGGTACCACTCTGTCGTCCGGACCTTTACTGGCCAGGAGTGCCTCCTTCCAACGACTTACGCAGAGGCACCACTTGCAGCCGTCAGTCAGGCCAGCCCGTCGCAAGTCATTGCCTTTGGAAGCTGAAAAGTCCAAGAATTCATCCGTGACTATGGCTGTTATGCATCATGTCAGCAGGCCGGCAAAGTGCTGCGCGCACTCTGCATACGCGACGATGGGTTAGCATACCAGCTACGCTGTGATTGCCAAAATCACTGGGAGGCACCTTGCAATATCCGTCGCGCAGGAAGCCGGTCATAGGTCTTGTCGAGTGCAATTGGAGGGGACGTTTGAAAACTGTTTTGGTAGTGGGTTCACCGGTCAGTATCCGCTTCGGCACTGGAGGGTAAACACGGGGAATTTGCGACGGTGACATCATGAAACACAGCACGAACCATTCAGAGCTCGCATCATACTAGACATGATGGCTGTCAGGCGTTCCTGGGGATGGTCTTTGCCTTGTCCTCCGCTCGTGCTTCCTGATCGCGACTCGCGATTATCCAGGCCGAAAGCACGCAGAGGGTCTGAATGCCGAGAAATTGATACGTCTCAAGCTGGTGCAGCCAGGTCATAGACAAGGCCGTTGCGAACATGCCGGGCTCGGGAGGGGCAGGCTGGATGCGAGACAAAGACAAAGGCCGGAGACGTGGTGTACTATCGTGTGGAGGACGAAGGCAATTCTTTGTCCGGATTCAGGTGTTCGTTGGGCCGAAGATCACACAGGACGACCCGCCAAGCAATCGCCCACGTACCGGAGATTGAAATCGAGGTTGCGATTCCGACGTGATTGGTTCCATCGACGTGCTAAAGACGATCAAGCATAGTGTGCCCGGAGGCGGGAATTTGGGCGAGAAGCACATGTGAGCCGTGTGTGTCCCTGCGGCGAAGGCGTCTGGTCAGTCAACCACGGCGCGGAGGATCGTGTACCTTTTGTCCTTTCCCCTCTGGTGGTGCGCCGCCGCCGACGCCTGGCGTGGGAACAGTTGGCCGGTTGGGCTGCTTCTTCGCGCGACAGCGCACCAGCTGCAGAGAGCCAAGGGCAATTTCTATGGTCTTCTTGCTCGTCAGTGCCATGACGGCGACCGCGTCAATCGTTCAATCCGCCGGTCCTTGTGCTGCCAGCCGCGTGCGTGACCGTCTCGGTCGTCTGCTGCAGGCCGCTGCCAAGAATTTCAAGCATTCAGGAACATTCTAGCTAAGCTTCAACCTGAGAGCGCCCGTACTTCTTTTATTTTCACCGAATCCCTCTCAACACGCTGACTTTGATGCTGATTCTGACCTGACCTGTACTCGTGTCCTGCTCGAAGACTCCTTACAATTCGCCTAAAAAGTCTCTCACAATGGCAGAGAGTAGGTCTGCGACGCTCGTCTGTGCCCTGCTAAGCTCACACCTTCGCAGAGAGACCGCGCGTTTTCTTCGATATCAGTATCGGTGACAAACCAGCCGGTCGTATTGCCTTCGAACTTGTAAGTAAAGCCTCCGTGTACGGAGCCTAAAGCGATTAGAACTAACACATGTTCAGTACAACGACAGTAAGCACGTATCCTTTTCGAATTCCCTTCGCTCGCCCTAACCGTCTGTCTAGTCGTCCCGAAGACCGCGGAAAACTTTAGAGCGCTATGCACAGGAGAGAAAGGCGTCGGCAAGGCCGGCGTGCCTCTACACTACAAAGGCTCAACCTTTCATCGTGTGATCAAGTCGTTCATGTGCCAGGGAGGTGACTTCACAGCCGGCAATGGCACAGGTGGCGAGTCGATCTATGGAGAGAAGTTCGAAGATGAGAACTTCGAATTGAAGCATGATAGGCCATTCCTGCTGTCCATGGCCAATGCAGGCCCTGGCACAAACGGCTCTCAATTCTTCATCACCACCGTCAAAACTCCACATCTGGACGGTAAACACGTGGTCTTTGGCGAGGTTATCAATGGCAAGAGCGTTGTGCGTGACATCGAGAATGGCCCCGTGGGCGCGAGCGACAAGCCTTTGAAAGAAGTCAAAATAGTCGACTGCGGCGAGCTTACCGGTGAGGACTATGACAAGGCTACGGAAAAGAAGCCCGATCCTTTGGGCGATCAATACGAAGACTATCCCGAGGATCAAGGTGAAGACATTCCTGGACCGGAGATTCTGAAGATCGCCACAACGTTGAAGGACATGGGCAGCCAGGCATTCAAGAACGGCGATTATCGTCTAGCGTTAGCCAAGTACCAAAAGGGCGTTCGCTATCTAAATGAGTACCCAGAAGCAAACGACGACGATCCACCCACTCTAAATGCGGATCTGAAGTCCACCAAGTTTGCGCTGTACAACAACTCGGCCCTGATGCAGATCAAGCTTAGCGAGTGGGAGGGGGCCATCAAGTCCGCCACAAACGCCATAGATATCCCGGGTGTGTCTGACGATCAGAAGGCAAAAGCGTACTACAGACGCGGACTGGCTCGTGCGGCGAGGAAGAACGAAGACGAGGCTATTGCGGATCTGGAAGCTGCGCTTAAGCTGGCGCCCAATGACGCCGCGGTCAAGAAGGAGTTGGCAACTATCAAGGCGAAGGCTGCGGAACGTTTAAAGAAGGAGAAGGCTGCCTACGCTAAATACTTCCAGTAACGTGATGCTCTCCCAAAAGGATCATTTTGAGCCTCGCTTGCTTTATGTAATGAGGCCGTGGACCACAGGGTAAGCTGTCAGCTTTTCAGCGTTCAGAAAGATTAAAAAAAAAAAACAACACAGCATGACACACGAATGAAGATATGCATAGATTACATTATCAAGAGTTCAAATCAAAATTTCTTGAGCTGCGATTCTCCACCATGCGTCGTCTCACGTGTTCTGTTTTGTTTGGAATCATACGGTCCGTCTACGAGAGCATGATCGACGTGAGGCACGTCGTTTTTTTCAGGAAGTTACCATCTCAGTCCTCTGATGGAGTGATCAGTCTTGACGCGAGAGACGGCATTACATATGGAAGCAACATTCGCGCAAAGATCTAAGGAATGATGGCTAACACAGAGTCACTCGCGATCGCTTTGGCCGTGTTGATATGATGACTGGACTCGCAAGACGGACCTTGTCGTCCGGCTAGGGCTGCGAACGCGGCCAGGCCTGCCGTCTTTTTGACACTGTGACTGCTGCTGGGGAATACGGTTGTCTTCCCGTACGGTTGCGCAAATCGTCCTATCTGAACGTGGCAAGGGCCAGTTGCTCCGCAACGGCGGTGTGTATTTTGTAGCGAGCGACAGCGCCGCAAGTCTATGATATGTGAGCCCCGATCTTGTAAAGATGCTGATTAGATTTCGATTATGAGCCTCATCTCAATGAGCTTCGTGTAAATCACATTTTATGTACTTTGCGCCCAACCGTCTACCCACACCTTGGCGCTATGCTCGTTTCAAAAAAACAAAAAAAAGAGTATGTACTGCTGCTTCTATAAACTAACCCCCTCGCTCTTGTATTGAACAAAAAAAAATCACAATGTGTGCATGTTCCCTGAAGTTAATTGATCGGGTGCAATTCTTCCACCCATGTCTATGTTGTACAAGTCTCTGCGTCATGTTTTTGCACTCGCTAACCGGAGCTTGCGGCGACACTTTGGCCGTCAGTTTGAGCCGAGAATTTCTCGCATATTTCTTCGATTTTTGGCACAATCTCTGGAATCCGGAATGGTTTGGAGACGACGTCGTCCTGCGCGCACGTTAGTTCCGCTCGGGTCATGCATGAGTCGTCGAACAGCACTTACCATGCCCGCAACAAGAAGCGTCTCTATTTGCTCTGCTCTGGCGTTCGCAGTGACTCCGATGATGGGCACGTGTCGGGCAAGGCTTCCATCCTTCTCCCATTCCCTGATTCTCTTGGTGCATTCCAAGCCATCCATGACAGGCATCTCCTGATCCATGAGGACCACGTTTAGGGGTTCGCCTTGGCCATTCTTGTCTTTCCAGAACTGACTTTTTTTGAGCTGTTCCAAACACTCGCCGCCGTGATTGGCGACATTTACCTTGAAGCCCACATTCTTCAGTTGCTTCTGAAGCACCTTCTGATTGACCAGGTTATCTTCGACAATGAGAAGGACAATGTTTTCTCTACCTGCTTGCTTACTTCCTTTCATCGTATCTTTGCTCCTGACGCTTCCACTACGTTTGGTCTTCGTCTCCGCTGTGAGTGACTTTACGAGTTCCGGGAACTGCGATTCGGTGTCGGTGGGCTTCGCAGACCTCCGCGCTCGAACGTAAAAGCCAAAGGTACTGCCTCGACCAGCTTCGCTTGCGACACCGATCTCTCCTCCTTGCAGTTCACTCAATTCTCTAGAGATGAAGAGTCCAAGCCCACTGCCTCCGTACTGAATATGCGTTCGAGGACTGGCCTGCGAGAATCGCATGAAGAGCATCTTCTTCTCTTCCATGTTTAAACCCCGGCCTGTGTCCTGCACGGCGAACTGGATATAGACATCTTTCCCGGTACCCCAATCCGCGCTAGCAACTGAGGAAGACAGTTCGGTTTCATTCTTGCGACTCGGAAAGTATTCAACAAGCTGATTGTGTCCGCTTGGTTTCTCTTCTGACGCAGCAATCGTGACTGTGATGATTCTAGTCTCCCTTCCAGCTGTAAACTTGATGGCATTGCCCGTCAAATTGATGAGCACTTGCAAGACTCTCTGCGGATCAAATCTGACCCAGTCAATGCCCAACGCCTTGTACGACTCGTCAACCACGAAACGCATCGTGATGTCGGCGCTTTTGATCTCATTCTCGTGCATCTTTAATGCTCTCTCTACCACAGACACGGGCTGTACGTCAATTGGCGTGACCATGAGCATATGGCTGTCAAGCTTGCTGAGTGTCAAAACATCATCCACGATCTGCTTTTGATGCTGGGCGCAGAACATGATCGTTTGAGCGGCTTCAATGCTGTCATCAACTAAGGTCTGCTCGATCTCCGTAGCCTGAGACTCTTTGAACTCGCTGAGCCTCGTCTTGATCTCATCGGCGCACTGCAAGATCGCAGACAGCGGGTTACGCATCTCGTGGCTTGTGATGTCGATGAAGTTCTCTTGCTGCCGCTTGAGTTCGACAGCCTCCTCCATTTTCCGCTTCTGGAAGGATTCTGCCCATTTTTGCTGGCTGATGTCCGTTAAGCTGCCGAAAACTGATTTCAGTTTCCCTTTGGGTCCAGCAACTATTGCTTCGGAGTAGGTTTCAGGAAAGGCGCTGAAAAGGACCCATGTGTCGGTAGTCGTGCCATGTCGATCGTGCCATTGGGCTTTGAATCTGACTTCTGCGGTGAATGCTTTGCAATTCTCGACAAGATCGAACCACAGCTGACGCACTCGCGGCTGATCCGTTTCGCTGACCGCGTCAATCCAACGATCTGTACTCGTTGAATCTTTTGGCACACGAGTAATCTCGTACCAAGCCTCGTTGCAGAAGATGATTTGGCCTTGCGAGTTCGCAATGAAAAGAGCGGCAGGACTGAGCTCTGCCATGCGAGCAAAGCGTGTTTCACTGTCCCTGGCCTCCTGAGTCCTCGCAGCCAGCTGTTCTGATAACTCGATTCTGTCAAGAGCTGCAAGCTTAGCTGCTCTCTGGCCTCTCCTGATTTCCTCCTCGAACAGGACAACGGACGCGAGCGACGTTGCTAGCTGTCGACTAAGAAGCTGAACGAATAAAGCATAATCGTCATCGTACGGACGCCGTGGGTTCACTCCCAAAACTAAAAAGCCTAATATCGACTCGCCTGTCGTAGGATGGACAGGGCAAATTACGACGGAGCGGCATGGATCCCCAAAGCCTCGCCAGTCGATGCCTTCGAGCATAGATGCAGATATTTCTGGCCCTTTTTCAATGACGACCTCATGACCGAGTACTTGTCCGTCATATTCGGCACCGAGGACAGGCTCGTCCTCTTCAGTCCCAGCGACCCGAAGTAACACTGGTTTGTCCGTCTTCATGACCTCCCGAAACACAGGGCCGAAGCCTTCCATCGAGTTCTTTAGGTCAATCTGCTCTGGCGCGACCGGATGGTGCTTCGGTATGCCCAAGGCATTTTCTAGGTAGCATTGCTTGGTTCCAATGATGCTGCTTGAATGAATAGAAGAAGAGTCGCTGTCCGATTCCTCGCTCACGGAGTAGAGCAAGACAAACGGAGTGTCCATGGGGTTGATTTCCAAAGCATCACCGACTGCTTTCCAAAATCCTTTCACATCTCGCGCCGTTGCCGTGCGCTCGCCAACTTCCCTCAGCGTAAGCATACGGCGCTCAACAATCTTGCGGCGCGTCTTCTCGAATGCAGGGTTGTACAATCCAGTCACAGTGCCGTCTACGCCGACCATGGGGATGATGGACCAAGAAAAATATGTCTCCTCGAGGAAGTTCGATCGTTTAATGAACAAGCAGTCATCATCTTTCATCGTAGCTTGACCCGTCTGCCGCGCGTTGGCAAACACGTCCTTGACCTCGTCCCATATCTCCGCCCACGCCTCTGAATAGCTCTGGCCCATCAGTTTCGGGTGCTTTTGCCCTGCAAGAAGCACGTATGCCTAGAACGCTATGCTTAGTTTCACTGCACTTTTAAAAAGGGTGAACGGAGCGATATGTTTCTCAAGTCCTCACCTCATTGTAAATAGCCACAAGATCGTCCCCCCAATACATAGCTGTAGTTCGTTAGCACTGCATGACCCGCATCTCAAGCCCTGCTATACATACCAGCCGGATGCGGACTCGCCATGATAAGGTTGCACATCTGCCTCAGATCTGGAGGCCACAGCTCGATGGGACCGAGGCTCGTTGACGCCCAGTCAACGCTTCTCGCAAATTTGATATGTCGTGGTAGGTTCTCGCTGTAGGGGAGGCGCGTCCAATCGAAGAAGCCGATATCCTCTTGGGAGGGACTAGCGAATCTATCAACACCACCCGCTGCATGAGCACTGAGTACGCACTCATTTGTCAAGGATGGATGACTGCCCAACGACAAGATCTCCGAAGGGGCAATTGTTTGCGCGCCATTCAGTGGCAAGGGTTCACTCTGTGATGTTTCGTGCGTGGTTTCTCGAGCAGACGAAGATGCTTCCTGAAGTTCGGTGGAGGGCAGTGCCGGAGGTACTTCTTCTGATGAAGGTTCTGGCTTGGTTGTAGGCTCCTGTGTTTCCGGAACAGCGTTTCCAAAGTAATCAGCGGGCTCCTGCAACGTCTTCTGGATGGAACCTGTGCTTGTCGTTGGGTTTGCATCGCCGCTTGATATCCTCGTATGCTGCGAAGCCGTGCTTGCTGGGCCCGTCGAATGAGGGGTGGAGATGGCGGCGGATGCGCTTGCAACTCTCAGACGTTTTCTCAGCGTTGAGCAGGACCAAGAAACCCCTCCATGGACAAAGGGGGGGAGGGCGACATCTAAGGATTCGCCGTTGATCGCGGCGCTAGTGATCCAGGCTTGGAAGAGCGCAAAGCTTTTCGCTGGATCCGCCTTGGGTGATACGGCCGAAGGTCGTCCTCTTACAGCCTCATACAGAGCAGGATTTGAGCGAAGGGAAGAATTGGCAAAAATGATTCTAAGTACACCGGGCGCATAATTCGCAGCATCGCTAAGGTCAATTATCAATGTCGGCCGGCTGTCCTGCTCGAGCAACTCGGCCACTCCAACTTGGCTCAACAACAGCGACGACTGAGCCCTGCTGTCCTCAGCCTGGTAAATGTCAGCCGAAATGCAGTCCCTCAAATGAAGGTGTTAGTAGTGTCAGAATTCACGCAGAATCATACCTCAGGCGAGCCCTCATCTTGCAAGGCGCTTGGTGTACTCCTGTAGCTCACAAGCCCAATGCCCGGCGGACTGCTCCCGTTGTACGGCACTCTCGCAAGCTTGACGGTCTTGACTTTGGCCTCTTCCGCATCCGCCTGTCTCAACATTCTTTCGGCGGCCTCCCCGCTCGAGAATCTCGGTGGGAGAGGCGGCCGGGCGTTCGACGTGTTCGAGAAGAAAAGCGGAGATGGCGGGTGTCCGGGGGGCGCTTGCTGCTGTAGCTGGGGTCGCGGGAGCTCCAGAGAGCCGATTTGATGGACGCGCTCTAGCCGGGACTTCTTGTGTTGCGGCTGCTGGCGCTGCGAAGATGTGTCGTCGGGCTGCGTGACCTTGTCGTAGGTGCGTTTGACGCCAGCGAGCTGCGCAGGCGGAGGCACAAAGTCAGTCCTGTCGCTACCGCTGGCCGCTACAGTCGTAGAAGGTCCCGGTGCGAGGGGAGGCTCAGTTGCGAGGGCTTGCGTCCATGCCACGGTCCCGTGCTGTCTCTTTCCCTCACCCTTGTTGAGCTGTGGTGGTGCTTCGCGGGACGGCGAGGTCGGCGGCGAGTTGGCAGAGGCAACACGACGCGAGGGCGATTTGATGGCGGACTGGCGTGACGCTGGAAGAAATTCCTCGGGTGCTGTGAAGATCGACTTGGGGTTTGTCATAGAGAGCGACACCACCGACGGAGCGCGAGAGGGGATTTCGGAGACGACTGTGGCGTCTCACTCACGCGCCTCGGCAAGGATCAGGACCTCTGGAGACGAACCAGACGTCCACGCATCACGGACTATACTTGCAGCTTGGAGATGTCACTTCGACGGAGAGGAAGCAGTTCGCTGCCGAGCAACGTGCCTCAAAGCCGAAGCGAGAGAGCCGCAGGCAGAACGGCGCGACAGGGATTTGCAGGATGCAATTGTGCGATTGCTGGCGACGCAGAAGGCGACTGAAAAACGAGACACTGAAAGCGCCGTTGCTGTATCCTTTCCTCCAAATCAGAGCGAGGCACAGATATGAATCGGTTGCCCCCAATGCGGATAACTAGCTCCAGGTCCCGATCTGCCATTCTTTGGAAGGAAACCTTCCACCATGACGCTGGGCTTTGCCTAAAATGATGCCGATCTTCAAATTCTCCACGATCGCGCACAGACGGCAACGGCGCAGCTGAGATTTTACCTGCAGCATGGCATCGTTTGGCTGCTCTTGGCTGGGCGCGAACGATTGTCTCAGAATTGCGCTGCTGCCGTGTCCTCCACGTATCTGAGCGGGTGTCAGACTGATCCCGTCGTTCGCCCTCGGCCTCCCGCGGCAGCCTCCGCGGCCGTCCTGCACAAACTCGCCTGCATTCTTCAAACTATACTTGCACGTTAGGAGCTTTGGTAGCAAGCCGGAAGTGAGAGGGCGGCATGTGATATTGATATGCACTCTTTCTACATGTCATTGTTATCTCTTCGGACAGCATGAATTCCTTGCACCGCTGTAGCATCACGATGAAGCCGCCATGTGCTCTAGTCGTATAGCGACCGCACGCCGATGCGCTTCCAATTCCTCCACCTTTGCCAGCTGCATGACGGCACGCCCCACGTTCTTCAAACCCTCTGCGGTCAGATTAGACGAGGTGATGTGCTTCACGTAGGATCCCAAATTGACGCCAGAGTACTGCTTTGCATACCCGTACGTTGCTGGAAGACTACGTCAGCATGTCTGATAGACCTTAGTGAATTCAAGAGAGCGTGGGCAAACTTACGCAGCGAGTGATTGACACCAGCAGAATAATCGCCCACACTTTCGGGTGTCCAGGGTCCAATGAACACGGACCCAGCATTTTGCACCAGATCGACGACCTTCTCGGCGTCTTTGACCTGCAGTATCAGATGTTCGGGCGCATACAAGTTGCTCAGAGCCATAGCTTCGTTGATGTCCCTGACCTTCAGCGTTACGCTGTGCTCGATAGCACCCTTCACAATGTCCACTCTCGGCAACGCCTGCGCCTGCCTGTGCAATTCGTCCTCGATTGCAGCAAGTTGTTGTTCCGACAGATCGACCGCAATGCAGACTACCTGCGAGTCCACACCATGTTCCGCTTGACTGAGCAGATCCGAAGCTACAAATGCAGGATTTGCAGTTTCGTCGGCGATGACGAGCACCTCGCTCGGTCCGGCGGGCATGTCTATGCTGACGCCCGCACTCGTGTCGTTGCTGACGACCATCTTTGCCGCCGTGACGAATTGGTTGCCAGGGCCTAGGATTTTGTCGACCTTGCTGACGGACTCGGTGCCGTATGCCATCGCCGCTACAGCCTGTGCGCCACCGGCCAACACGATGCTCTCAGCGCCTACTTTGTGCGCCACATAAACGATCTCGGGAGTGAGCGAGCCGTCCGCCCGTGGAGGCGATGCGATTACAATTTTTTTGCATCCGGCCACCATGGCCGGCACACCAAGCATGAGAGCTGTGGAAGGAAGGACGGCTGTGCCACCCGGCACGTAAAGGCCGACACGTTCAATAGGTCTCATAAAGCGTGAGCATACCACGCCAGGCATGGTCTCGACCTGCAACGGCTTCGACTCCTTCTGAGCAGCGTGAAACTTGCGGATGTTCTCAAACGACACGTCAATTGCCTCGATAGTCTCCGGAGGTAGCTGCATAAGCGACTCTGGAAAGGGCGCTTTGAGCACTGGCGACGTTAGGCTAGTGGCCCTCTCAAACTTGTGGGTGTATGATAGGAGGGCTTTGTCTCCATTTTCGCGGACATCCTTGATGATGGGGTTCACAATGTTCATGATCTTGTCCGTCGATCTCTGAGAGGGTCGCTGAAGTGCTTCCTGTATGGCCTGAGGCGAAGCAGTCGCAGTATCGTATCTCTGCATCTGTATGCGTGCCTCTACTGCATTTGCGGGGTCATCTGACACTTTGGGAGTCGGAGCAGCCTCTGTGACGTTGTTCTTTGCTGATTTCTCGGTCTCTGGAGCCGTTGAAGCAGATGCTCCGTTCGAAACTCCCACCGCTGCTGCCCAAGGGCCCTTCGCGTCACCTTTCCGTCGCTTAACCTTCACGCTCTTTGCGTCTAGACTCTGTTCGACATCTGAAAGGCTAACACCTGCAGCGACACACTTTGTAAGAGCAAAGTAAAGTAGGTCCGCGGCTTCGAATGCAATGTCTTCCTTGGTTGTCGCCTCACACAACTCACTTGCCTCCTCCATGATCTTAGCCTGCAACAGTTTCGGATCGTTAAACAAACGCGCGGTGTACGAGCCTTCCGGTGCTGACGCTTTCCTGCTCTCTAGCGTTTGCTGCAACCTTGACAGGCCAGAGTAGTGCCCAAAGCATGTTGCCGTGGCCAAATGGCAAAATCCCCTACCCTTTTGCCGCACCACCACTTGAAGGCAGTCGGAATCGCAGTCCAGGCCAACTCGCACCAGCTCCTGCACATCCCCACTGCTCTCGCCTTTGTACCACAGCCCCCTCTTTCGACTCTGATACACGCCGGTCCCCGTCCGCAGGCTCTCCGAGACGCTCTTTTCGCTGCTGTACACCAGGCCAAGCGCTATGCCCCTCTCATCCGTAACTAGAGTCGTGAAAAGTCCATCCTGCCTATCGGTCTTCGCGTTGGCCATGAGGACTTTAGCTACATCTATCAGGCCGGGCGTGTTTGTTGGATCCACAGTCAACTGAGAGGCAGGCACAACCACAGTAGCGCCCAGCTTGACTGCATCGACCACGTCATTTTCCGACGCTGTCTGCAACGCGATGAAGACATCTGGTCGCGATGCACCGTATCCCTGTAGAAAATCGTGGACGAACTTGTTGTCCTTTACGCCGTGTGCATATATTCCAATGTTCTGATCGCCGCTTGCATTACCTATCTCCTCCTTCTGATCGCCCGCAACGCTGAGTACGATCCGGTCTGCGTGCAGGTGTCCCACATCTTTCAACTGCGCCAGCTGCTCCCTCGTCACGAATGCTTTCTTTACGCCTGAATCCAGCAATGTGACCACATCGTTCACGTCGGAGAGCGCTGTCACGTCAAAGTAGCTCGAGTACAGGCCTGTCGTCTGTCTTAGATAGTGGAGCGCATCCTCCACCGCACCAGGAGCTATCCGAGCGAAGACGTGGTGGACATAGGATAATTGCTTTGGGGACAGTCCGCGGGAGCTCGAGGCGTATGAGCCAATGTCAATTGCAGCAAGGAGCGGCGTTGACATGGTGTCGTTTGAGGTAGCGTGTGCAAGCGACAAAAAAAATAATTTTGGTTGCCATCAATCACAGTCACAGCGGTTCGTCGCACAAAAGCCGGTGTCGGAGCGGACGCCATGCACGCCTATCGATAAGACGGGTTCGACACGTTCTTGTGCGTCGAGCGCGGCAGCCTTGTCGTTTGCGAAGGACTGCACGGCGCTTCTGGCATGGTGACACATGTGTGAGGATGCTCTGGACGGTGCGTGGCGGAGCACCGGCGTGCCATCTCCACCGCACGCACGAGGACACATTTCAAGCATCAGGTGGGCTGAGTCACCTCGAGCGGACGCGGTCCACGTCTCGGCTCAGCCTGCTGAGGGCCAGCACGCTGTGCGGCGAAGGAGAATGGAGCGGCCGCTGAAGAGAAGCTGATTGCGAGCCCATCGATCCAATCGTCAGACGATCGGCCGGCGAGCCGCCAGCGCCGACGCGGATCATCGCGCGGACACACAGCGGCTCGGCAACAGCACGTAGAATGCAAAGGAAGGCGAAAGAAGGCGCTGTGACTGGACGGCGGGGAGGTTCAGAGCGCGATAAAAGACCGTTCGCAGCAACAAGCGCCTTTGATGGGCTTCCGCTGTTTCGTTGCCGAGCGCTCGCCAGCTCTGCGATTCGTGCGCTTTGTTTGTGACTCCAAGCCCGTCGTCCCGCGCTGGATCTGGCGGTGCATTTGACCAGACCAGCGCTGCTGCCAAACACCAGTGACCGCTTCGCTCAGTGCCGCCCGTCAAATCCTGCAGCCGACACGCCAGAGGCGTAGATCCACGAGCCTTCGACCTACGATCCACGCGCCTCGCTTTTTGCTGGGATTCTGTGCTCGTTTTCGGCCTTGCCACCCTTCGGCAGCTTCGCCTCCTCACGCGAGCTGCGTCATTGCTGCTGCTGCTGCTGCTGAACCGCAGCATCGACAAGCGTCGTTGCTCATCCCTCCGTGCCACTTGCCTCCACCTACACACACCCACATACACACCTCGCTCTCTGACACGTACCGGCCCATTCTTACATCCGTTGCGTTGCTGCTCCACACGGACCGAAACACGAAGTGCATCCTACGGCGAGCACGATTTTGTACCAAACCTAAAACATTCCTGTCCGCCGACGCCGACTCTGACACTCATCTGCGTCCTGCGCATGACAACTACCTTTGAGCACTCCACCACGGCCACCCATCGGATCTAGCTCTCACGTCTTCCTTGCGACGTCTGCTCGTTCACCCTGCGTTGTTGCGTACGCGAAGGGCACGGTTGGACCAAGGCATATCGCCTGTCGTGAGCGGACTCGGATTTTGGTGGCTGCACGACTTTCTTCGCGCCGCGAGGCTGCGATTTTGCCTCTCCGGTGAGAAACCAGGAGCAGAGGTACAGAATCTCGAGAAGGTTGATTTGGCACGATGAGTTCTACACAGCGTGAGACGGTGTTCTGCCATCAGTGCGAGAACGAATGGTTTCGAAGTGAGTTCGGGTTGACATGTCCACGATGTCACTCAGACTTCGTCGAAGTGGTGAGTCCAGTCCCTACTCGTCTTCGACTTGCACGTTCGTCGCGCGGCCTGCGAGGCTGCATCCGGGCTATTTGCTGACCGACCATAAATCCCCCTTCCCTCCTCCCCCCCCCCCCCCCCCCCCCCCCCCCCCAACCCACACACATCTCTCTCTTCTGGGCCAGCTTTGGAACTAATTTTTGGCATTCAGATCGAGGAGAATAACAACCCTCGCGACTTCCTTCACCGCGTCAGTGACGATGACGAAGACGATGAACCTCTCAATCCTTGGGCGCCAGTCGGGGGAGGCGTGTTGCCGGGGCCTTTGGGGTCGTTTGGTCAACCAGGCTTCCCCTTCTCGAATTTACCGTCGCAGCCAGCCAACAGACCCGGCCCAGGATTTAGTTATTCAGAACGTCGGACGCCCGGCGGTGGCATGGTTATAACCAGCTTTTCATACAGCAGCAGGGGAGCTCCGAGTCCAGCAGACACCCATGCACAGGTCATGCAAAATTTCAGCGGCATGATACAAGGACTGCTTGGTAATATTCATGCAAGTCGAGGCTTTGCTGCGGGCTCGCCGTTGGGATCATCATCCGGCTCGCCATCCCTAGCGCAGCCGAGAAATCAAAACGACCCGGACGCCCCTCAGCAGGTAGTAGACCCACTAGCCAGCATCATGTCGCAGTTCTTCCCGCTGCAAACTGGTCATCGGTCGCCGCCGCCTCCCGGAGCGCAGGACGACTTCCAGCCGAACCCGTTCATGGGCCTGATGCGCCTGATACTCAGTGGTCACCCAACGCTACACGTATACGGGCATGGCGATGCAGCGTACTCGCAAGAAGAATTCGATCGGATCATGTCACAGCTGCTGGAGCAGGCACAACAGGGAGGCGGCGTACCACCGGCTAGCGAGCAGGAAATCGCGCGGCTGCCAAAGATAAGAGTAGATCAGGACTGGCTTGACGGCCAGGAGCACAAAGAATGCACAATCTGCCTCAACGAAGCTAAGTTAGGCGAGGACATAAACGAGCTATGGTGCGGTCATTGGTATCATCCCGACTGTATCAAAATGTGGCTGGACGCGCACGACCAATGTCCGCTGTGCCGAAAGCCCCTGCAACAGAGCAGGGAGGAGTATGAGGCCAGGCAGTCCAAGACCTCGAAACGAAGGCATTCATCGAGGACTCACAGCCAAAACAATGGGCAAAGCTCGCGTGATGACGGAAGTAGCAGTAGCAATGGGAACCAGGATTCTGCAGGTGGAAGTGGCCTTCGAGATCGGATAACCAGCCTCTTCAGAGGGAGCAGTCGATGATGGACTCAAGTGATCCAGAAATTCATGCTCTAGCTGGCTTAAATGTTTATAATCCCGTCTTATTCTTTTGTTTGCATGGGATAGATTTCACTACTCATGGCGTCCAGGGGCGGAAGGCTGGAGTGGAGCCTTGGAACAAACGTTTGGGACGAAAGTTGTACACCACACAAAATGGTGCACCTATGATACCATGACCGCAGAATGCTAGCGAGAATCGAATTTATTTCATGAATCAAGCTTAACCATTGAGAAGTCTTCTCTTTCTCTGATTAACGTGAAAGTCTGTAAGTTCTCTACGCTAGCAGCCTCGCTGAAACTTGCCAAAACGGGCAATGGCTCGGGCGAAAAGTTCGGTCAAGCGCGAGTCTCACATCCAGCATAATACGGAGTGCTCGCTGCTCGATTCTTATCTCGGCGTCCTTTTTACATTTACCCTTTCCAATGAGCCATGCGAGACCTGTGACAAGGCTTGTCACAGAGAGTCTTCAATCGTTGCCATGGACGCGCTCTAGCATCACGCTCGGCAGGCCCTATCGAGTACAGTACCGCTTCCGACCTTTCTCGTCCCACGTCCGATACCTACATAGATTCGCGCTAGCGGATGGGCAAAGGGAATACGAGCTGCTCGAGCAGCAGCAGCAGGCGCAATTGACGAGACCGTTTGCTCCATGGGAGGCGTTTGAAGGTGATGGGTTCGACGACGGAAAATCGGTAGCGAACAAACCCGCAAATGTCAAACGGAACACATTGGCGTTGGCCGAAGATACCGCGTTACAGCTCAACTATGACGTTCATGTTGCGGTGGAGGAGGCGAAAATTCAAGGCAGGACAGCAAGCGAATTGTACGACATTTTGCGCATTGCTGCTGGCGAGGGTTCGGTGCCCAGCATATTCAAGGTGCAAGCCTGCATCAATGTCCTGATCAAAGAGCATGGCGAACAGCCGAACCTTCGCCTGTACTCTGCCCTCATCTTGGCGCAATGCAGAGCTGACGGCTCAGTTGCGGTAGTCGAGCGTTTGCTAGATGAGATGAGCCGCGACGGGTTCGAATTGGACATTGGGGCGTGTCACGACGTGCTCAAAGTGCTGAGCGTCCACCCGGACTACCTGCTGCGTTCAAAGATCCTACTCTATATGAGAAACCGGTGGTTCCAGCTCAGCTATAGTGGATGGCATGACGTTGCAGCAAGTCTCATCAGGGAGGGAAGCCTGGAGATTGCAATGGATTACATGGATGACATGCGAAGAGAGGGCATCCGGATTCTCGGTTGGCTGTACGATATGATGATCTATGCGCTGGCAGAGAGAGAGGAGATGGATGAGGTGCTCAGGCTTTTGAGACAGAGAGTTACTGATGGAGATCTGAACATCAGCCCAACTTTGTGGTACTACTTGCTAGACGTCTCCAGCCGCGTCCTACACGTGAGTAACTTATATCAGCGCATTCGTGTCAAGTAGCTTCATATACTGACATCTCGAAAAGTACGATCTTGCGTCCTACATATGGAAATCGCGCGTCAAGACACACCATCTGAACCCTCCCTCAGGCACCTGCGCTAATTTAATGAATCTCGCTGCCCGTAACGGAGACCCAGAGCTGGCGCAGGATGTCTTCGAATTCCTCGGGAAGCGCGATACCGTCTTTGAACCTCAACACTACGAAATGATTATTGAAGCCTACGTTAACGTCAACATGCCGGAAAACGGATTCTACGTCCTTAGCGCTATGCAAGAAGCGAACGTTCTTCCAAGCGAAGGTACAACTCGACGTCTCTTAGTGTGGTTGCGAGCTCATCCAGAGCGCACGCAGCATATGTACAACGTACTGTGTGACATCAAGGAAAAAGGAGGACCAATCCCCGTCGCCGCCATGAACGTGCTGATCGAAGCTGCCGTACATCACAGGAAGCTAGATCAGGCCATCGACCTCTACAAAGCCATCCCTGAGATGTGTATGGGGTCGGCGAATCTCGCTACATTCAATGCGTTGCTGAAGTTATGCCGCCAACTGCAACGCAAGGATCTTGCTCTCACGCTGGCTAGCGAAATGGTTGCCTTGCGTGTTATGCCAGATGCAATGACATACGATCGAATGATGCTCGTATGTCTCATAGGTGAAGATTACGAGGACGGCTTGCGATACTATATGGAGATGAGAGCAAAGAGGTTTGAACCTCGATTTGGAAGCGCGCTTATGCTGGTGAAGACGCTGACGAAGTGGGGCGATAAACGCGTTTACGGGGTTCTCGAAGATCTTGCCGTTATGGATCTGCCGTTGAGGGTGAATGAGTTGAGGAGATGGGTCAAGGAGAATTTTGGAAAAAAGGAGCACGTCAAGCTAATATCGTATAAGGGTGACGATGAAGCCAATGTAAAGATGGACGGACAATGAGCTGCGCCAAGCCGACTGGCCGTGTCAAAGGTGCGCGTTTACACTGTCTATATTGAGCGCGTGGCCATGAAGGAGGCCGTGCTGTAAATAATCCGAAGAAAAATGTCTTCCACCTTGCCCATTCGCATTCTCCTTCATGCTGGTGCGAGGCTGAATGTGGGTTGACATGATGCCAAGAAGATCATCAGCCTTGCGAGCGCGGTTTGGCTTACGGAAACGACGTCACGCTGCCTCAAGACTAAGCTACCTCGCTTCCATTGCTTTCGCTCACGTTGACGCATTCTGGGCTCCATTGCAGCCAGCATTACTGTCGATGACATACACTAGGCGATGTGTAGAATATAGATCCCTTAGCTGCTCCTATTTCACGAGCGGCTGATCTTCTCTGTGCAAGCTGTCGTACGTGCCAGCTTCGTTCACGCGTCACTTCGTTCCAATACTTCGTCTTACATTATACCTATGGTATGTAGCTTGTTGTTGACATGTTGCGAAACCAAATGTATCAGATGCGATCTTTTTTTTTTTTCTTTTTTCTTTTTTCTTTTTTGTTTGGGAACCATGCAAACAGAAGCTCACTGAATCGTCGATAGGCATCTCTCCTCCGACAAATCGTAGCTGGTCCCCGTGCACGTCATCCTGAGGCAGGTCTCGATCTCTGCTATGTGACTGATCGTATAATCGCGACGTCTGGTCCAAGCGGGACGTACCCCAAAAGATACTATCGTAACCCGCTAGACCAGCTCATTGCCTTCCTGGACAAGAAGCACGGCAAGAATTGGGCGATATGGGAGTTCCGCGCGGAAGGCACAGGATACCCAGATGAGGCCGTGGAAGGGCGAATATGGCACTACCCATGGCCTGATCATCACCCACCTCCGTTTGGTTTGCTGCCGGATTGTATGGCGAGCATGCGAGACTGGTTGTTGGGCGATGAGAAACGGGTGGTAGTGGTACACTGCAAAGCAGGGAAGGGGAGGAGTGGCACGGCGAGTTGCAGTTATCTGATCAGCCAAGAAGGTTGGAGCATGGAGGATGCGCTTGCGCGGTTCACCGAGAGGAGAATGAGACCTGGTTTTGGACCCGGCGTGAGCATACCCAGTCAGCTGCGGTGGTTGCGATACGTCGACAGGTGGACGAAACACGGCAAGAAGTATGTTGAGAGGAAAGTGGAGGTATCTGAACTGCACGTTTGGGGTCTCCGAGATGGCGTCACGGTCTCCATACGAGGCTTCATTGATGAAGGCAAGGTCATCAAGGTGTGGCACACATTTACAAACGACGAGAGGCAGCTGATGAGCGGCGAGGTCAAAGGGCTAGGACTTGCCGAAGCCGTGCTCGAGCTGATAGGGAAGGAGAGCAGTCTCAGCAAGAGGGATGGAAAACCCAAAACAGAAAAGGCCTCGAATTTGCCCGAAAATGCGCCAAAGATCCTGTCCGAGGAATCCTTGACCAGCAGTCCGGCCCCAAAGGACAGGGTGCCGATGACAGACGGCAAGAGCGTGGCAAAGCCTGAGGGAGAAAGCACGGGGAGCTCTTCAAAAGAAGGATCAACGCAGTACTTGGATGCGCTGGAGGAGCCCAGTAAGTCTGGGGCCGATGCCATCTTCCGGCCGAAAAAGCCCGTTGTTCTGGACACGAACGACATCAACGTCGACTTTGAGCGTCGTACAACGAGTTCGATATATTCGCTCACCACATCGGTGGCGCACGTCTGGTTCAACGCTTTCTTCGAGGGCAATGGTCCCGAGCAAGACGGCAACGCGGATGACAGTGGCGTGTTTGAGATCGAATGGGACAAGATGGACGGCATCAAAGGGAGCAGCAGAAAAGGGACGCGCGCGTTCGACAAGATTAGTGTCGTGTGGAGGAAAGTAGAAACGAAGGGGGAAATCAAAGAGCCAGAGATCGGCGAGGGAATCAAGCAAAAAGAGGCCGCAGATTGGAGGCAGGACCATCAAGCAGAAGAGAGCAGCGACGAGGAAGACAAGGGAGTGAAACCGCATACCACGAGAGAATAGAGCGGCATGTTGGGGTTGGCTCGTTTTCACTAGGAGAATTTCATATACTCCGTGCTTCTTGGGGCTGGCATGGCGCTTTTCAGGCTCATAATGGACTTGTACTCACCGAATTGCCCTCTTGGCGGATCAATACTTCTGGAAGTATGCCGCGTAGGGCCATGAAAACAGACCCAAGGAGTTTCAGTTCCAGGAGGCTATGATATCGATTGCCGTGCCATTCTTCAGCAGAAAGCTGCCGTGTCTACATTCGATGCGCTACACCTACTGTCATTTGGGAGCTTTCAAACACATTGAATCAGGTAGACGCCCACAGACTGTATCCCCGCCTTTAATCCTACATCTGGCACTAGGATAGTCGTGAAATAACGGTAGATAGATTCGAGTGGCCCGTTATGCTAGGAGTGTAGATCGAAGGCCTGGAGGCGTTGCTAAAGTCGAACCTCTTGTTCCTCTCAGCCTTGATTCCGCACACACATACACGCACTACAGCGCAAACTAACTTTTCATCGCTGTCTATCAGCATTGCTTTCAATGAACTCTGGCGTGTGTATTGCCAAGTCGAGTGCTACGACACTCGTATGACAAAGAGATCATCAGTGCCTCCAACATCGTCAAGGATTTAATCAATTTATCGTGCCCATGTAAGAGGCACGATCTTCAAACGATGAGACCACCTTTGGCAGCCACTGAAACCAAGACAGTTGGAGCAAGTATGATCTCTCAAGTTTCACGAAACTTTTTTGCTATGCTACAGGAGACCGGGCGAAAGCTGGGGAAGTCGACCGAGAAGGTAACAACAATTCCGAGTTGTTTCATCTTCTTCGCTCGTAGTCTCTGTATCTGTCTCGGCTCCGGTCCCTCCTGTCCTCTCGATATCGGTTTCGATCTCGGTCACGATCCCGAGGTCTGTCGTCATATCTTCTCTCGTCTCTTCCACTCTTCTCGTACCTTCTCCTGTCGTCCCGATCGCGATCTCTTCGCCTGTCTCTTGGGCTCCTACTCCGCTGATACTTTCTCTCTGTTTTGTCCAAGTATCGATCTCGCTCTTTCTTAAGCTCAACCTCATCCTGCTCCTCTGCTACCATACCGTACCTGTCACCATTCCTGTCGTGCTCATCATCTTGAGCACGATATTGCCTCCTCTTTTCCAGCTCTTTCACGCCTCCGAACCCACCACCTCTCTTGAATTGGCGTCTCCTGTTTTGACTATCGCGCCATACGTCACTTAATTTACTAACAGACTGCGAGAAATCGACGTGAATACGGTGGTCATCGATGAGCACGTCCTGCATCTTTTCGTATGCCCTCTCGCAATCACGCTGGTTCTCAAACTCAATGAAGGCATACTGTAGTGAGTCTCCCGTGCGCTTGTCGCGGATGATCTCGCAAGATAATATGGGACCGAAGCGCGAGAACAGCAACTCAAGATCCGAATCTTGTGTCACTGGATTGAGCTTGCACACAAACAGGACGTTCTCTGGAGGTTTTACATCCGCAAAAGGGAGATCGCCGACCATCTCTAGTGTGAGCGCTTGTGCTTTAGCTTCACGTTCAGCTCTTATTTTTGCGAGTGCGGCTTCATCAGCCTCTTCAACAAGCTCTTCGTCATGCGCTATACGCACAGTCGCGAGCTGCGCAGCTGTGGGTATCGGGCTCTTGTCAGGCTCGACGAGCCCTGGAGGATCTGGGAACGGATCGTCGAGCAAAGTAGTGTGAAGAATGCGGATGTCTTTGAGTGGTCGGCCACTCTCATCCACAAAAGCATCGTTTATGATATTCAGCACGTCAAATCCTTCTGCGAGACGCCCAAATACTGCTGCCTTGCCATTTAGGTACTCTATGTCATTACCGAGAGTTATGATGAACTGGCTGCCGGCGAGTAGTTGATCTGGATTTTTCGGATTGGGAGCGCACGCAAAGCTTACCGTGCCTCGCTCATCGTGTTTCAGCTTCTTCGAGAATTCTGGCTCAAAAGTACGTGGTTTACTTGGCGACAGCAGTCCCCATATGCAAGAGCCTCCATCGCTATCTTTCGAGTCTGGCCCGATAGGGTCACCAGTCTGGAACGAAAAGTCCTTCTGGACGTTGTAGATAGGGGCGTAGTTGTAATATTTGACCTTGCATAGCTTCAAAAAGCTATGGAATATCTTAGTAGCATGTTCAGTGTGAATCCGAGATTTTTTATCGAGTTGCAGAGACTTACTTTTCACACGCTTTTGGCGCATCGTCAACCAGAAGATCGATAACCAGATCGCCGACTGAAGTTTCGAGGAGGACACTCATGGCTGTTGCGAGATAAAAAGCCGGCCGATTGAATGGACTGAAGTTGTCACTGTCAAATCCAACGAATACAAGTCATATGGAGCATCGATACAAGAGCAGATTGCATAGAATTAAGTCAAAGTCTAGGCATAAATTTACAGTGACGGCGATGTCATAGGCTCTGGCGGCCTCTGATTCGTGATTGGCCAGAGAGAGCAGAAACGCGAAAGACATGGAAAGTTTAGGCGACGCGATTTTTGTGGTGGGATACTGTAGCTCTCAAGGTTGCCGCAAGCATCAGTCGCTTTCTCACTCCAAACATTGCCTTTGTGATAGCAGCCAAAGATGCAAGCCCCCGTGGTCGTTTTGAGTATGTATGTCCTTGATTTGGACCACTGAATAAGCGCTCATTCATCCTGCAGACACACAGCAAGGCGAGCGACAATTTGGTCGCAAAGCTCAACTTTCGAATATAACGGCCGCAAAGACGTACGGTGACCTTTCATGAGCCTTTGCAGAAGTTCACTAATACTTTGGCAGCGTAGCAGACATTATCCGATCATGTTTGGGTCCAAAGGCCATGCTGAAGATGCTGCTCGACCCTATGGGTGGCATTGTTCTCACAAACGACGGACACGCTATCCTCCGAGAAATCGAAGTTGCACATCCAGCCGCTAAATCCATGATCGAGCTTTCGAGGACACAAGACGAGGAGGTGGGCGATGGCACCACCACGGTCATCATATTAGCAGGCGAAATCTTAGCTCAAGCTCTACCACAACTTGAACGCAACATACATCCTGTCGTCATAATACAGGCCTTTAAAAGGGCACTTGCAGATGCGCTGCAGATCATCGAGGATATCAGCGTGCCCGTCGACATTAACAACGACAAGGAGATGTACCAGCTCATTCAAGCAACCATCGGCACCAAGTTCGTATCCCGTTGGTCTGAGCTCATGTGTCAGCTGGCGCTGAAGGCTGTTCGCACAGTGACTTGGGACCAGGGCAGTGGACGCAAAGAGGTGGACATAAAGCGTTATGCGCGTATAGAGAAGATTCCTGGCGGTGAGATTGAGGATTCTAGAGTGCTTGATGGTGTGATGCTCAACAAAGATATAACACACGCGAAGATGCGACGGAGGATTGAGAATCCGCGTATTATCCTTCTCGACTGCCCACTGGAATACAAGAAGGGCGAGTCGCAGACCAATATTGAGATTACAAAAGAGGATGATTGGAATCGCATCCTGCAAATTGAGGAGGAGCAGGTCAAGGAAATGTGCGACGCCATTCTGGCACACAAGCCCGATCTAGTAATCACAGAGAAGGGCGTTTCCGACCTTGCTCAGCACTTCTTCGTGAAGAACAATGTCACCGCCCTGCGCCGAGTTCGAAAGACGGACAATAACCGCATAGCACGTGCTACAGGTGCTACCATTGTCAACGATGTCCGCTCTATTTCAGCCTCGGACGTGGGGACAGGATGTGGTCTCTTCGAGATCAGCAAGATTGGCGACGAATACTTCACCTTCTTGACCAAATGCAAGAACCCACACGCATGCACCATCATGCTTCGCGGACCGTCAAAAGACATCCTTAACGAGGTGGAGAGAAATTTGCAAGATGCTATGGGCGTTGCTCGCAACGTCATGTTCCATCCACGTCTCTGTCCGGGCGGTGGTGCTACCGAAATGGCTGTCGCTGTTGGTCTTGCTCAGCGTGCCAAGAATGTCGACGGAGTGGCACAATGGCCATATAAAGCTGTCGCCGAAGCGTTCGAAGTTATCCCCCGAACACTCATCCAAAATAGTGGTAACTCTCCAATCAAGGTATTGACGCAGTTGAGAGCCAAGCACAACGAAAGTGGCGGCTCGAGTTGGGGCGTCGATGGTGATGCAGGAAAATTGGTGGACATGAAAGAATACGGGGTCTGGGAACCGATGGCGGTCAAGATGCAAAGCGTGAAGACGGCTGTGGAGAGCGCGTGCTTGTTGTTGAGAGTGGACGATATCTGTGCTGCGAAGGCGGCGAAGCAGACTGGTGGGCCGATAGGAGGTGGTGGAGACGATTGAGAATGAGATGGTTATTGGAACGGGCAGTGTCAGACAATAGTCGAATAATCCCAAAAGCATGAAGATCTAGCACACAATGTGTCGTTGGTTTGGTTGCTGAAGTTCTTATAAAACCTCGGTCTCTCCAATCTGCGATCTGCTCCATATTCCCATCCACCCACCCGCCTAAGAAGAGGCTCTATCAAAGTTTTGTCCGCGTGAACGCCATTCTTCCAGTTTCAAATTGTGAAACCGAGGTCGGGCGGTATTGTTCAATAGATGTCTCTTGTGGCTTCAGTTACGCAAACCGCAGCGATAAGGTCATCCGAGAGCTTGCAACCGCACTCAGTTTCGGATCAAACAGCCAGCTCGTTTATTTCCATGCACATTTCGTCTGTCTTTGGGCTTGTCTGAGCCAAAAAAAAAAATCATTCAATGTCAATGAAATGAACAGACTCTCGGCGATCTATCCAAACCTCCCCGACTTAAGAATATACGCTCCGTCTATTAGCTACTTCAGACTAGAATACTCCGAATCCAAGAGGATGTTAACAATGTTCTAGCTTCGTGCTTTTATGAATGGCATTGACGAGATAGCCTTTTGTGATCTTCCACGTAACCCATGTTTTGGTTGCCAACTAAATAGCGGTGTACTTTTCTTTGAAGATTTGCAGGCTTCTTCGCATGGTCTTGTCCTTTTTTTTGATTTACGCATTGGCTTCTTGAGCATTAGCTGTCCTCTATCTTAACAGAGCAGTGTTTCGAAACGCTTTTAAAGTAAGATAACATGGCTGTCGAATGTCATTAAACATTAACTAACAATCAAACTCTATATGAGCATCTGATCTTGGGAACATGTTCAGCGTGCCAAAGAGATCCTGAGATGAATCAATCATGTCTCCAAGTGCGCTGATGTCAAAATCCTCCCAGTTTTCCACCGCAAAGGCGGAAGTTGCGATTGAGTCATTTCCAATGACATTTTCTGTCATGATTGGAGGTGCCGCCGCTACCAGTCGTTTATTGGAATCGTCGGCAGAATTCTTGTAGCTTTCGATCGGCAATCCGAAGAGTTCTGAGGAGGCTTTTCCTCGTGCCAGTCGTTCGTTCAACTCCTGGCGCTGCAGATACTCCATCCCGATAGACAGTAGAGACCTTGCAATTAGTGAATACTGTGTAGCTTGTGCATCGTATTTTGCAAAGTATTCCAGTGCGCTGATTGCACCAACGAGATATCTCTCCATGATGCGTCCAAAACCAGCTGTGAGAGCAACTCCAAGAACGAGTGACGAGGTGAACAACCACGAACTCTTTTGGTCAGCACGAACTTGAAACTTGCCTTTCACAAACATACACGATTAAAGGCATCCTATGTGGTATAGTGTTGCTTTGAGTCAGCTTGCATACCATGTCCACCAGTCCACACGCGGCATCGACGCATCCATCAGCAAGCGCCCGCCTTCCTGTGCTTCCCGAGCTGATTTGATGACCCTTGTTGCTGGATTCCAATACTTTATAGGCTTCGTACATTAAGAATGGCTTCGAAAGGAGCATGACTGCATAGTAGTAAGTCGACAATGCTTGACAAGCCCCGACGGCATAAGGAAGACTATGCGGAGATCCAGCAGACGCAACCAAGGTGCTCAATCTTTGCATCCTACTTGCTGCCCAGTCTTTCAGTCGTTGCGAGATTTGTCTCGTGAGCTGCAGAGAAATTTTTCTTCGAGAATAAACCTCTTCTACTATGGTTTCCACAACAAGCAGAATCTGAATAACGTCATCCAGGAGGTCTACGTGTTCCATCCCCCTGTAGTTTGAAACCTTGTAAGGAACCGAGCAATCTATGTCATAAAGTGCGGGAGGTCGACCAAGGCTCATACTGACAAACAGATCAAAGATCTTGAGACTCTTATATCTGGAATTCATTAGTGCTCTGTAAATGCCAGCTTTGACCAGAGAAATCAACGACTTCGTCACGAGAGGATAGGAGAATGGGATAACTTCCCCCTTTCTCTTCCCTTTGCGAGTCTCGAAGCTGACGATTGCTTACAGTCTTTCCCTTTGCAGCTGGGTCTCTTCGTCAAAACGAGCGTTAATCTCCGCTCGATGCATTCCAATCGAATAGCTGGCCCTGGCGGCCAATCCGAGGTACAAGAACGCTCCGTTCGGTTGACAGCTTCTTAGCATGTGAACAGCGACGAGAAGAAACGCTTGGACAGTAAGAGGACTAGTATCAATGGTGAGGTTAATAAGTGCGATTCTAAGGGCTTGGTGGAAGTAGCCGCTCGACAGCTGTTCGTTACGGCTTTGCAAGCCTATGGCGAGTATGAGATAATTGACAGCTGAGAGCATATCATCCTGACGTTCAGTCCGATTTATCCAATTTGTAATACGTAGGCTGATTTCTTCAAAGTTACCGACGTCGAGCAAGCCCGATGTAACAGCTATGAAGTTGGAAAGGGTAGACTGAAGTAGCGAGGCAGGCAGCTGGGAGCTGTTAACTACTACGCCCAACGACTGCATCATAGATTCTGTTTGCTCCAACAGTGCATCGTGGCCTTGCGTAGCAAATGCATCTGCATCCACAAAGGTAGTGATAAGTTGTCTAACGGTCTGGAGGAAAGACAAGGGCGCACAATCCCCGATGAACATAAGTTTGCCCTGGGCATCACGCAAAAGGCGTGAGTCTCGAGGAACAGCAGTCTCATCCTCTTCGTTGATGGACTCAGGCCTATTCAATCGCGCTTGCGCCGTTGGACTCGAAGACAGCATTAATGGTCTTCCCAAGTCCCTAGGTTGAAGAGCACCCTCTGATTGAGGCCGAGGCGTCCCAGGGCTCTCAACTCGAGGCCGTTTCGCGGCACGGGTGTATCGACAGTCTGGATTTTTGCGTCGTACGCAATGCGAGCATGGCTGAAGACCGTCGCATTTCACTGCAGCTGTGGGTAAGAAACCGAGTTTTGCGAACTTCCTAATTCTACTAACCTTTCCGCGCTTTGCATTGATCGCACGCCGTCGATAGCCGCATGAGTTTGTATCCCGAAACGATGAAATTCCCATTTCATCCGCAGGACCGCCGTTCTTTGAAGTTTCTCTCCCGCAGTCAATTCAATTCCGAAGGTTGAAATCCGAGATGTCGTCAACAGGGGGTAAAGGGAAAAAGTGGGGCGCTCAACTCTTTAGCACCATTATCCTGCGCCACGCCTGCTATCAACATAGGCTGATCCATCATGCCAGTATGGTAGATTGCTTAGCAAAAGACCAACGTATTACCCATATTTTTCGAAATTGGCGATAGCTTCTCATGCGCATTGGTAACACATCGGCCCACAATCATGGCGATGAGAAACATGGTGCGCCGTGGCTCGGGATTGAGGTTTAATAGATATATGCACAAAAATGCGTGACCATGTATCCTTTGGTTCAACTTCTAACTTCATTCCATATCAGCTATCCCACAGATACCCTTTGGTTTGACTTGCTTCTTGCCTTTTGATTTTCAAAATGAGTCCGTACATGCTTTCTGTTGAGGACAGCGCTGCAGTAAGAATCACCCTGTCCGACTATGACATAACAGAGAACGGATTTTTACCCTCCCAAGAACCGCTCAGCGCGCTTTCGAACTCATATTATAGTCAATGGGAGGCCATAGCATCCAATATACCGGGGCTCATTCGCTCTGGACAGATCCGAGCCGAAGTGAAGCAACTACCAGTCTTGTCAACTGCAAAACTTCATGACGAGACAGAATGGCGGAGAGCATACGTCGTTCTTGCCTTCATCGCCCACGCCTACATATGGGGAGGAGATAAACCGGAAGAGGTATTTATTCAAACGCTACATTGTCAAATCTTTGAGCTGACTGGTCAAAGATCCTTCCGCCATCCGTTGCCATACCATTCACAAAGGTCTCGAAACACCTCGAACTACCTCCTGTCGCGACGTATGCTGCTCTTTGCTTGTGGAATTACCAGTCCCTGGATAAGCCAATAGATTTCATGTCCTCCGAGACGCTGTGCATGGTGAACAGTTTGACCGGTACGGAAGACGAAGCCTGGTTCTACTTGATCTCGGTCATGGTCGAGGGACAAGGCGCTCGAGCAATTCCGCTGATGCTCAACGCCATGCAAGCAGCCAGCCAACAAGATTACCAATTTGTCATCGAAAGCCTGCTAGAGCTACGGGACGTAATCAAAAACCTGGGCCGCCTTCTTGAGCGTATGTACGAGCGGTGCCAACCCAGCGTCTTCTACCATGAGATTCGTCCCATGCTCGCCGGAAGCAAGAACATGGCAGTCGCAGGCTTACCTAGAGGCGTGTATTATGATTCGGGGAACGGGCAGGGAGAATGGATGCAACTCAGAGGAGGAAGCAACGCACAGAGCTCTCTGATTCAATTCTTCGATGCAGTGCTTGGAGTAGAGCATGAGTCGACGGGGGAGGCCTCACCGCGGGCGGCCAATACCACGATATCATTTCACGAGGAGATGCGTGCATACATGCCAGGATCTCACCGCAGGTTTCTCGAAAAGATCACCGAGGTCGCCAACATCCGTCCGTTCGCTTTCGCCGCCAGCTCGCATCCCATGCAAGCACAACTCTTGGGATCATTTCAAGCAGCAGTTCAGGCTCTGAGCGAGTTTAGAGCCGTACACATGCAAATTGTGGCTCGGTACATCATAATACCGTCCCGGCAAGCTGCGGTTCCCGGGAGATTAAATCTGGCAGTTGGTTCGCAAGCGGGTCAGCTAAATGGCAAGACTCTAACAGGTACTGGAGGCACCGATCTCGTTCCTTTCCTCAAGAAGACCCGCGAAGAGACGGATCGGGCGGGGCAGGGAAGGCTTGTGGATCCGTTTGAAGCGAACCGAGTAGCATCAGAACGTATGTAAGAACTTCATGAATCCAAGTCGCGTTTCGCATGCAATCGCTTTGCCGTATCCTCACTTAGTATTACGTTTTCTATGCAACGTCAGCGTGCGGATCATGCCTGAAGTAGTTTATCTCTTTACATAATTCACGAGGTGCAGCTCGATAATGGTCTAAGTCCGGGTTGTTGATCTCGGTATTGCGGTTCGGAATTGGACTTCGGAAATGCTAAGCCTAATCTGGGTTCGGAGTTACCCGCGTGGACTTCTCACAGTAAACAAGTGGATACTCTGCTTCTCGTGTAGAAAGAAGGGGTGTGCAGTCTATAAAGTGACGTTGCGTCGTGTTTTGGGCAGTCAACTGTAAAATCTAAAACCCGTCGTATGTCAATCATGGAACCAATAGAAATGATCGAACGTTTGAGTCGCGGCGACTCTGTTAAGTTCCCGCATAACGCAAATACACTGGAATATGCGCAAGAGTTGGATGGCCAAGAGAGATTTCGCAGTTTTCGAGAGCAATTTAGGATACCCACAAAGTCATCTCTAAAACGCAAGGCCATTGTTCCAGGTCAGGTTCAGCGTCTAGACCGCTCCGGCCATGAGACCAGTGTCATAAATGGCAAAACGACAGCAAACGGCGTGAACGGCGCCCACGAAGATTGGAAAAATGACACAGAATGCATTTATTTCTGCGGAAATTCGCTCGGATGCCAGCCCAAGCTTGTCTCGCAGTATCTCCAAACACATCTGCAGACCTGGGCCGAGCACGGTGTCAATGGTCACTTCACCGACTTCGAGGGGTCGCCCCTAACAGCGTGGCAAGACATGGCCGAGTCCTGTGCGAAGAAATCAGCTGCAATCGTAGGCGCTGACGCCTCAGAGGTTGTGGTCATGAACACGTTGACGGTCAACCTGCAACTACTGATGGCGAGCTTTTACCGACCCACGGAGAAAAGACACAAGATTGTCTGCGAGTGGAAACCATTTCCAAGTGACTACGTGCGTACAATTCATTGCCTTTGGAGGCTTGGAACGAGGCTAACTGTCCGCAGTACGCGATTGAATCTCATATTCAGTGGCACGGACTTGATCCTGCCACCTCTATCATCCTGTTACATCCTGACGACGGGTACCTCATTACCACGGAAAGCATCCTGCACACGATCGACGAACATGCAGATTCGATAGCGCTGTTGCTATTGCCAGGCATACAGTACTATACAGGTCAGCTTTTTGACATTCCAACAATCACGAGATACGCTCAGGCGCGCAACATCGTCGTTGGGTGGGACCTAGCTCATGCGGCTGGCAACGTTCCTTTGCAATTGCATGAGTGGAACGTGGATTTTGCAGTGTGGTGCACGTACAAATACCTGAATGCTGGCCCGGGCGCAATTGCTGGCGCGTTCGTGCACGCACGGCACGGCAAGGTAGACTATGCCGACGGTCAGGACAAACCAAAGTTCCGACATCGTCTTGCCGGTTGGTATAGCGGTGACAAAAAGTATCGATTCCTGATGGACAATGTCCTGAGGCCGACGGCGGGAGCGGGTGGATTTCAGCTGTCGAATCCATCGATTATAGACCTCGCGACGTTGTCGGCAGCGCTAGACACTTTCAACCAGACTGACATGTCACAAAAGCGAGAAAAATCTCTGCTACTGACGTCGTATGCGGAATATTTGCTGTATCAAATATTGGCGCGCGACCGCAGCTCCACCGCGCCATTCCAAATCATCACGCCCAAGGATCCCTTGCAAAGGGGTGCACAGCTGAGCGTGCTGCTACGAAAGGGGCTGCTTGAGAAGGTCGGCAAAGCATTCGAGCGGGAGGGCGTGGTCTGCGATCAGAGGAAGCCCGATGTGATCAGGGTGGCTCCGGTGCCAATGTATAACACATTTGAAGATGTCTGGAGATTTATGGATATCCTAGAGAAGGCTATTGCTTGTTGATTATGCCGGAACTCATATCTGTGTAGAACGCAATTCACACGGTTTGCACGAAGACATTCCAGCCAGGATCACGCTAGATAAACGCACGTGAGTTTGTCAATCTGATCTGCTTTACTTCGCTACGTTGCTCCCTCATGTTTCCCACTTAAAACAATCGTTTCCTCTTCAGAACGAGAGCAGCGCTCACCTTTGTCTTGTAAGTAAAGCAAGGTCCGAGCTGACGGAGCATTTCGGCACGGATGGGACGGTGAGTCGGGACGTGAGCCGACATTACAAAAAGGTAGGTCTCATGGGTTTCTCGCAGTAGCAAGCATGTTCCACGTCTCTCGGTCAATTTTGGATCAGAGCAAAATGCTGCTGGTGAAGGATTTTTTTTTCCGTTTGGCTCAGGGCCCGACATGCATGCACAAGTGGAGATCAGACGATCGTCGATCGATAAGGATTGGCTCCTCGGAACATTGCGCCAATCACAGACAGCGACGGCTGAAAGGGTTTGAGCTCGCTTGGATGTCGTTTGAAGCCTAGAACTGTCGGTTGCATTCTCGGCGTTTGCAAAGTCTACGGTGATTTGAGTTTTGCACGGGACGATGGAAGCAGCTGAAGGATCGCCTTGCGTCAGCGCGTGGCACAGTACATGATGTGTTTGCGTCAGTTGGGAATCTCCAGCTTCTTGGGTCGAGTCTTTGTGCAGCGGGAACGCCAGAACTTCGGGCCCGGAATCTGTGCTCAAGGCCATGTCCCTGCGATTGGAGGTCCGGGGGCGATGTCGTTGACCGCTTTGTTGGAATGACGCCGGAGGAGTGGAAACAAGAGAAACGTACGCTGTTATCCCAAGAAGCTGGCGTCGGGAGCAAAGCAGGCGATGCATGTCGGCGCGCCTTTGCTTTCTTTTTCCTCTTCTTCATTCTCGCTCGTGCGTGAAGGGGAAGTGGCCCGCGGAAACGTGCAGCTGGAAATGTTTGGCTAATCCTGGGCTAATGGTGATGGTGAGGGGAAGCGAAGGCCAAGAGGCGAAAGACTGGGGCGATTGCACCATAGTGGCCCGACACACACTGTACGGATGTTCTTGTAGAGGACGGCCGTCGAGGGTGATGGACGGCGTGACAGTCGCTCTCCAAGGCGTCTATGCAGCACATGTCAAGACTCCTGCTGTTCAGACCCGTCCCGGCGACGATACCGGGTTTGCTTTGAGACGCCGAGACACGAGAGCAGTCAGCGGCAGCCCAAAGGCTCAAACGAGAAACGTGCGAATGATCCAAAAGGTGCACGACGACGGTTGTTGCTTGTCAGGCGCTAAATCCTCTCTCCGACCGCCCCAGCGGCAAAAGCTTGGACAATCCAGGCGCTTGGGTTCTGACTCCGGGAGCGCGGGATCTGCTCCTGTTCTTCTCATCCTCGCAGCCCTCGTACGACTTCTCCCTCTTTCCCACACTGCTGTTTTCTTTGATAATCCGCCCGGTGCGCTCTTCCCTCGGTCTTGTACTAGCCTCTGCGAGTGCTTTCTCGTTCAGGACCGTCTCTGTGTCTGTTCGTTTTCGTCGCTCGCAGCGATGACTTCGCAATCTGGGGTTGCTTTGCAAGATATTTCTTTTCCGACCTCGCCAACGACGCCAGCTTCATCATACTATCCCATGGCCTCCACTTCCTATTCACCGCGAGATCTGGGTGTCTCGACGTCGGATCTTGGTCTGTTTACCCAGCAGTTTGGCCACCAGCCTCTCCACGACCCGAGTGCTGCTGGTAACGTCTACTACCAACCCGCCGCGTCGGGTCCGTATCACCCTTCAGCAACCCAATCCCACGCGACACCTTCGCCGCACCAGACAACATACCAGCCACATCAGTCATATCACCAATCATCCTCCCGCTCGCCGAGGCAGCCAACGTCTCGCATAGTATGCCCTGCCGGTCATGTCCAGCACTTGCCCTCTCTCGTTGAGCACATGGTCAGCACCATACAGTGTTCCGTGTGCAACGCATCGCTCGGGACGCCGCAAGCAGACTCACGGGTCGATGCAGAAGCCCGGAACGATGAATTTGAAGACGAGGGCTTTGAAGAGCCGCAGGGTTCTGCGAGGCTCACCTACCGACGATCCACGGATATGTCGACTAATACGCAGGCTTATGTGTCCAAGCCGATCCGAGTCCGAAAAAAGCTTCGCGATGAATCAAACGGAGTGCAATAATACAGGCACATTGTAGAACGCAATATGGCGTTGTTTCTGCCGTCAACTTCTCAGCTATGAAGATACCCAGCTGCAAGCTACGAAAAAGACTGAATGGAACTTGGGAGGACAGGGACTGGACACGTGCTGTAATACTATTTCTGATGACTGCATGACACGAGGAAATGCTTGTTTTTTCTTTTTTATTTTTCTAATAATTTCTTTTTCTTCTGGGATATAGAGTGGGGGAGGGACATTGCAAAGAAGGAAAATGGAAAAGAGCAAATGAGCGAGCGAGCGAGCAAGCGAGAAAGTCATCATTGGCTGTTATTTCGAGGGCTTCCCTTTTTTTTTTTATTTATCTCATGTTTTTTTTCTTGAAACACATCCTACTTGAGAGCTCAAAGACCGCATATACCCGCAGTCACTCGTGCTTCAAAAAAATTGGCAACAATCACGCCTCAGGCACGTCTAATTATTTTTGAATTTTCAAGTCGGCTTATTTTCTACTGTTCCCAATTTATGGTATTTGGTATGAATACGAATGTGACTTCTACACCGCACAATCCCACTTCGTGATGCACTCACGTGATTCCTTTCTCCCGTGTCAAATCATATGTTCGAGTTTGACAGAGGAGATCAGAACCACACGCTTCATAAAAGGAAAAGCCATCTGGCCAGTGTTGAAGAAGCTTGTTCATTTGGCGCGACGCTCTCACGAATAATCCAATGACCTGTCAAAGGTGACCGTTCTTTACATTTTCAGCCCTAGTCACACTACAGCTCGTATCTGGGAGATTACGAGCGCGATTCGTCCCGTTTTTTCCAACTCGCACGTTTCGTGAGCACGGAAGAAACATTGAATCCACGGATGGGGCCCCAGTGGTCTTAGAGAGTTTCCCTCCCGAAGCAGAGCAGTTTCGGTTCTCTCGTGACTTTGGGATGGTCCAAACGTGATGGACTGCGCTGAACAAAAGAAGTGGAAGCCGGACGGCAGTTGAAGTAAACAAGCGTAGGTTACAAAACCTGTGAGCTGAGTAGAGACTGGGGCGCTGGAAAGATCGCCCTAGAGGGTAAGGGAAGAGACGGAACAGCCCCTAAAATAGCAGCCCCCCCTGCCCAAGGCCCTGTGGCTTTGAAGGGAACGGGGCCACGAGCACCCACAACGCTCTCATCACTATCCAAAAAGGACAACTCTAACACTGACCTCACCTTTCTTTGGGCAGCTGTTGACACGACCGTTCGTTGGGGGCTAAATGCAAGGTCAAAACACTTTTCACACATTTGTATCATTAACCCGCTACAGAGGCTCTATCGGCACCGTGTAATGAAGGGTACACGGTCTGCGCGGTCGCCAAAACCCCAGGACGGTGGTTCGATCTCTACTGGTGTTGAAACCGCAGGCCACATGAGCTTGCTGCATCGATGCCGCGAGCCCCCGTCCGCTTTTGTTTAGGGGACATGGCCCATCTTTTGTCATTCACATTCAAGCGTGTCCGCATCATTGTTGAAAAAAAGATTAAGCTGCGAACACGATCGGCAGGAAACCAAAAGCCGCCAAGCGTTGCTCAGGGTGTTTCCGCGCCAAGGGTTCGGCTTGCTGAAGAGGACCTGGCAAAGACATCCAACCAGCCGTTACATGTCTTACGGATTGATCAACTGTTTAAGCCGGTTGTAGCCATATAATACGGCTGCCTAAGCACCATTGCGTCCTCCTGCTGTAGTGGGAATCAGTAGTGATGTAACAAAAGATGTAAAATAAAAAAAAGTTACCTCTGTACAGAGGTACATTTTAGCGCATCCTTGCTCTTCAGCCCCAGATTGGTCTGAGCGTTCACGAATCCAAGCAAGCCAACATGCTCAGCCTTGTGAGACTTGTCCATGCTAGGAAAGCCTCATTTCATCTTGCATGTGATATACTTTTGCTGCAGTCACAATCATATTGAAAAGGCGCCCGTGTTCCTTGTGAGTTCTACCGCACGAATTTGCTCTTCGTTCCCTCAATTTTCCTTTAAATCTTCACTGGTGGCAGTCACTCCTTTACGTTCCCTTTCTTGCCAAATCAGTATTCGCCCATACACACGTTCGTACAATTTTTGTTTCCTCGTTGGATATACAGGTCGCAATGGCAGCTCCAATGGAACAAGAATGGGCTCACAGCGGCACTGACTGCTGCTCTCCATTCACCGGCTGTGCGTGCTGCCACGATACCAGCAAAGAATCCTGCACTGATAGATCGCAGGCTTATTGGCGTGGTGCCTTCCTTGTGTCATGTACGGCCGCGTGCACCACAGACTGCACAAGGACTCTCAGCTCAAGGGCTGGAGCTTCATGAATGGCGATGTAAGCCACAGACTGACCGCTTTTGCTCAGAATCCAGTCATCTAACTTACGCTTAGTGCTGCGGCTACTATGCCCTGGCCTGCTGCGGTATGCAGTGGATCATTCAGATGATGCAGCGCGGCGAGATTCGCAAGAGGTACGGACTTAAGGGCAACGGCTGCACTGACTGCTTGTGTGCCTGCTGCTGCGGGCCTTGCGATCTGCTCCAGCAGGACAAGGAGGCCGAGACCCGTGAAGGCGAGAAACAGAAATTTATCGATCAACAGCCCGGCAAGATGGACCATATGCAATATGGAGCCTAGATAACGCAAAGGTGTATAATATTAAACTGGTTTGGGAGGGCTTCTTTGGTTTGAGAGAATTGATTAGGGCTGGGAATGAATTTGATACCTAAGCTTGAATGGATGGTGTTTGGTCCTGAAGAAGGTTAGAATCCAAATCACAAGTTCGGAATAAATGAGAAGCAGAGCAAAATTTGTGACGCTCTCTGCCATTGTGGCTGTACCAATAGTTTCGATCTTTTGCTAACATTTGCCCAAATAGGTTCAGCTTTATGTGGACCTTTTTTTTCCGTGAGATCATCCACCCAACCCCGCAGCCGTTACCCCGGATTGCTAACGTTGCCCCTCAAACGCGCAACATTGGTTTCCCGATATTTTCTATGGTAAAAATGGCGCTATGCTACTTACTATGGTTCGATCCCAACTTTGAAAGAAGAACGACCTTTTGCAGCCATGAGCGGTCGATTGCAAGGCAAAGTCACTATAGTCACAGGTGGTGGTGCTGGTTTTGGGCGCGGTATCGTCGAAAAGTTTGTTCTTGAGGGCTCCAAAGTTCTCATTTGGGATATCCATCCAACCTCGGCAGAAGAACTGGCGAAGGCTTTACCTGAGAATACTTGTGCATCTTTCGTCGGCGATGTGAGCAGGCTAGAAGATTGGGAGAAAGCATTGCAGAGTGTTTTGGACAAATGGGGCGCGCTCGATGTGGTGGTAAACAACGCCGGCGTGAGTCGTGATTGGCAAGAGGAGATGAGGGAGCTGCTAAAACAAGCACAGGTTGTCCACGCGGCAACTCCAAGCATTGATCTTCCTGAGGATGAAGTGGACCGCATGGTAGGTCTGTGAACAATGCGTCTGGCAGCGTGGTGAACGGATTTATCGTTGTGTTTCAATTTCACAGTCATATTTTGTTAACATGGTTTTCGTTCGCAGTGGAGAATCAATGTCAAGCCCCTATATTTCAGCGCCAAAGTCTGCGTACCTTACTGGCGAGAGAAGAAGCGTCCCGGTTTGTTCATCAATCTAAGCAGTATTTCGGCACCTCGCCCTCGACCAAATGTTGTCTGGTATGCTGCCTCAAAAGGCGCCGTGACCGCGGTACGAATCTCGAGTTTTTGAAAGTATGCGGCCTAATAACAGACAGGCAACGCGAGGTCTGGCCGCAGAATTTGCTAAAGACGGCATCCGGTGCAACTGCATTCAACCCGTGGTAGGGGAAACAGCGATGCTGTAAGTGACATGGTCTGACTTCCAAAAGGACATACTGACCCAAAATAGAGCTTTGGTCCAGGGCGGCACGGATTCACCTGAGGGTCGAGCTGCTCTGACTGCAGGAATCCCCTTGGGGAGATTCACGCAGCCACAGGATATAGCAAATGCAGCATGCTATTTAGCCAGTGATGAAGCCACTTTTCTGACTGGCGTCTGCATGGATGTAGACGGGGGAAGAAGCTTGAACTAAGGGACATGCGGAAGAGCGAGAGTTGCCAAGAGTGTTGCTCTTGGTTGCAACTGGGACTTGTACGCAGTCATGAGCATTAAGGTCATTTTATGACATCATTGGGACCTTATGGGTGCACATTGTACAAAGCCTGCTGCAAACATACTGGACTCTCCTGATTTACCGCGTCTTTCGCTTTAATTTGTGTCAAGCTGCACGGGATTGGCTCAATCGTAGCCATAACGGTAAGCAAATCTCGCCTGCTTAATGTGGATGGATATACGCTCCTTGCAACCTCAATTTCGTAGTAAAGTTTTGATTTTTCAAATTCAAAGATCGTAAATGGGGTCTTGAGATGATGATTATTTGCCCCCGGTGTGCTAATTGGATGCACCACCCGGTGTTTCTAATCCGTCGTTTTTGGGACGGCTCATCTTGCGTTTAAGAATATGGACGCATCCAGAAGGAATGACTGCCTGGATTGTGGAATTGAAGCCTCAGGCTCTCACTCTCCCAATTGCAGGATCGCAATGAGACTGCGTTTGAGATGCTGGGTGGAAGAAGCAAACGTGAGGGCCACCCGACTAGAAAGCGAAAGTAAAAATTGATCCAACTAGAAAGAATAGAGGAATAGAGAACATGCCCGCCGACGACTCGCCCGCAATTCTAGTGGCGCGCTTCTTGCGTGCCAACAACTACACCGAGGTACGGTGTCGCCGTTCTTACCGCCTCGAACTGGATGTAGATCACTAACTGACCCAAGTTGATGCCTCACAGACGCTGGCCGCCTTTCTGGCAGAAGCAGGCCTGCCGCAGGATGCGGGCGCGTGCTCGAGCAAGGCCCTGACCATCGAGCAGGTCCTCCAGGAAAAGAAAGCGTACGACCTGAGCGTGAACTTTGAGAAGCTTGGGTCGGAGGACGAGGCGACTGCGGCGGCGAGATGGACTGTGCCAGGTGAGTGACCTCCCAGCGAAATTCGCGACGAGGGCAGTGGCCTGACGACGGACATGCAGCGCCGTCCGTACCACAGGTCTTGACGCTACCCACGGCAACGAATCTGCTGTGCGTGTCCGTGGCGCCGTTGCTGTTGTCGAACGAGACGGCGCAGCCGCAGCCAGTGCTGCTGGCCAGCACGGCGGACCGGCGATTGAATGTGCTGACGGCTGACGCGGAGGGGTTCGCGTTGGTGCACTCGTACTTGAACCTGCAGGACTCGCCGATTCTGCATCACATCGTGGTCGGGAGGCGGTACGTGATCTGCACCAGCATGTCCGGCGCTGTCGTCGCGTTCGACAGCGTCGCTAGCAAGGTCGTCGACCGCCGCAGGGATCATGCAAAGTACGTTGTGCAGGTTGCGGCCTTCGAACGCGACGACGGCCGCGTTTGGCTCGCAACCGCCGGATGGGATGGAAAGGTCCTGCTGTACCTCGCGCATGTCGCCGCCGAAGGCAACTTCAGCTTCGACGCCCCCATCGCCATCGCCCCGCAGCCAACCAATCCCGAGGCGCTGTATTTTGTACGTCGTCCGGACGACAACCAGCTTCATCTTGTCGTCTCGCGGCGTGACTCTTCGTTTCTGTACTATTATGAGGTGAGTGAGCCGCCGTTGCCGACGACGACAGCGGAAGCAGCTGCCACGTCAGCGGCACCTACACCGGCAACGCTGCAGCCAGTCGGGCGACAAAACCTGGCGCCGCACTCCAATGCCTGGGTTGCCTTCACGCCAGCGGCGATAGCACCGCGGCCAGACGATCCTACGCTCGTAGCCGTGGCCACGACAGCGGTGCCGCACATGAAACTTATCATCGCGCGGCTTCTATTCCCGACAGGACCGGAGCCTGCACGCCGCCTGAATGCAGACCCGGCCGACTCGGCTGCGTTGTCGCGAGCAAGCCTGCTGGACGACGCGAGCGGGGCAAACGAGACGGCGGTGCAGCAAGCGCGCGCAGCGCTGGCGTTACAGGACCGCGAGGCGGCTGCCATCGCGATCCACTGTACGACAATGGCGGCACAAACGCCATACTCGACACCTACGCTTGCATGGCGGCCGGATGGGAGCGGCGTATGGGTGAATGGCGATGACGGCGTCGTGCGGGGGATCGAGGCCGCAACGGGGAAGGTAGTCTCGAACCTGGAAGGCCACGAGGCGGGCTCTAAGATTAGGTGCTTGTGGGCGGGCTACATTGCTGGGACTGTTACGGGGGTTGCAGATGCCGAGAAGAAGGAATGCTTGTTGAGTGGCGGGTTTGATCAAAGGCTGATTGCTTGGAGGTGACGTTGTGCCACTTTCCAATGCACGTATGCAGAATATGTGTACAGCAGCTGATTACTACATGAAACACCAGCTATTGAAGGTCGACCGCGATGTTGCGGTCCAACGCGCTCACATCAACCGTCACCGGGGGCCTGCGGGCGCTTGCTTACCCAAGCCCAAGGGAAAGTACCTTGCTGACTTGATACTCGGTCTATATGTCCGCAAAGCGAAATAGAGAAAGAAAAACTCCCCAATGCAGTTTAATGATAAAGCAGAGATTTGCCTCCATCCCTCCCTTACCGTCTCGCGCCCGATGGACATATGCGCTGTGCATAACCATAATCACAGACTGGCCTCCTCTTCCGGAAAACTCCTCAACTCAATCAAGGCTCCGGGCCCGCCATCCTTGCCGATAATGTCTAGCAGGGCGTCCGTCTGTGCGAACATCTTCTCGATGGCGCTCGAGGAGCTCTTTCCCAGACTCACTATGAGATCATGTTAGCGCCAAGCGTGGAATAGAACTTCGGGTCGTGCGGAGTGAGGAAGTAATCAGCGACTGACCTAGTATTGCCCTATTCAATTCCTCGGCGACGGGGCCGCGCTCTCTCTCATCTAACAGATGTCTTAGAGGGCTCTGACGTGGATCCTCATATCCGATTAGCGCGAGCGTCTCCTCCAAACTTTTCTTCACCTCTCGACGGAGATCACCGTCAAACTCGGCCTTCAGCTCTGAGCCGTACTGCAGTGTCCTGGAGATCATGTCTGCATACGTCTGCGGTTGCTGGCCTAGGTCATCCGCGGACATCTCCATGTCGTCCCACTGAGAGCGAACGCTGCCGTTCGCGTGAGCTTGGTCGTCGAGCTCCATCTGGTGACCGAAGACGCCGTTGTAGTCGTCGTCGCCCGAACTAAACTTTAGGCCAGAGCTCACAAGAGGTGATGAGTCACTGTCGGATAGCTCTGTGCACCTGCGGATCATTTCGATGAACTTTCGACACTTGAGCTTGAAGTAAATGTTTTCATTGTCCCGTAGAACGTCTGGATAGTAAACAGTTGTGTATTTAAGCGCACGATCGATATCGCCATCAAGGATCGCCGAGCGTATCTCTGACTCCATGTTTAGCACAAAAGCACTTGGCGCGGGAAAGGGTAAAAGAAAGGGCGAAACATACTCTGTCTGTGAATGGCATCAACGTCTTCTTGCGGTTCGAGGTCTTGAATATTCACAGGGTCACTCCTGCCAGCCACTAGGTTCAAATGCTCCTGCCGGACCTCGGCTGCAAACGCACGCGCCGTCTCTATGTACCCGTCGTGGGCGAGATACTGTGCGATGAGCTTGTGGATGAACTCTGGTTCGGACATTGGCCGCGCCAGCTGGTCCACAGGAGCGGCCATCATTTCTGCTCTGACTTCCTCGCGCTCAGTCTCGACCAAGGAATCAATGTCGAAGACGAACTGTGACTGTCCGAAGTTAACGCGCACGTTGTCGTCTGCGCGTTTCAGGCCGACGGCAGGATACATGCGGTCGTGCCTTATGTTCGTTACTGCTATACCTGTTGTTGAACCATGAGGCTTAGTACGAATCTACTCTCAAGTGGGGGACGCAATAAACGGAGACGGGAGGGGTAGAGAAAGTTTTGAAGGGATTACACATACCCAAATGGTTACCATTTTTGGTGAAGAATATATGGTTCTTGTTGAAGTTGATACCGCAGCCAATGACGTCGCCGTTGCCATACGGAGGCCCGTACTTTTTCGGGCTGTTCGAGTTGCCCAGCAGCAGGCAGCCGTCATCTGCCGCGTAACCATATGAGTCCGGCTCCCAGCCGGGCATGCGTCTTGCGGTGACCTTGTGCCCGGAGAAGCCCACACTGATCTGCACGGCGCTACACATCACAAGGTTAAGTTAGTATGCGCGAGTACACATACACAAACATGCAGACACTTATAAGAACACAAGCATAGATACGTACATCGTCGAAGCTTCTGAGATGGGTGTGTTACACAAGATAGCGATAAATGGTGGTATCAAATCAGACATGAAGTTTTGCTGAGGGAAACAAAAAAAAGGAAAAACATTGAAACTTACTTTTCTTTCTGCTTTGTGCCCACGGTGACCTCGTAGTAGAAAATGCCACATTCGCGGGGGATGGGTACGTCACCTCTAACGCCCGCAGCCTCGTCAGGCTGTTTGGTCTGGCCAGTATACCGTGCCTCCGTCGCGCCGTTTGAGAGCTCTATCCCAGTGACATCCTGACCGACTTGCCACCTCGTCGGCAGCGGGGCGGGTGCGTCGTCTCCAGAGCCCACGGACGAAGGTGGGGCGCGCTCAATGATGTCGTGCGTCATGCCTCGGTGACTGGGTACCATCTTGTGCACATTGACGCTGCTCGAGCTAGTCGACAGCGAGCCAGCATTGGACGAATGTGCCGACCTAGCGTTGGCATTGCCGGCAGCGGTACCACCGCTGCCATCCCTTTGCGCAGCCGCAACCCGCGCCGCATGAGCCTCTGCCAGCCGCCTCGCCTGACGTGTTCGGCATAGGTATGATGGTACAAAGAAGGGCGGGAGACGTAGGTCATCAGACAGAGAGCCGACCGCGGCGTGCAAGCCCTGTGAACGGCCCCAGGAGCTCGCCAGCGTGTCTACATCCATGCCAGGTATAGGTCCAGCTCTTCGCGTTGGATTGTGACCGTACAGAGCGCGCCCGGTGGCCAGGAATGCAGAAGGAGGGTACGACGCGCCCGGGTAGGAAATGGGTGGACGTGAAGACAGAGGTGACGATGACGAAGGGTGGCCTTGCGCGGAAGCGTTGCCGGAGGAGGAGCCGCCCTGCACGATGGAGGCGTACGATGTCCGACGGTACGGAGGCAGGCCTGGATTGGACATCGCTGCTGGTGCGCCCGCAGGCGCCAGCAATGGGAGGGGAAAAGGGAAACTACGAAATCGTGTGCGAAAGCCTCCTCCGCACGGCTTCGGGGAATATGGCGGATGGGTCGAGCTTGCACAGGACAAGCGCAGAGGGCGGCGACTTTCGAAAGGCGGGTGTGAGAGGGAGTAAGAGTCTTCTTGCCAAGCGTCGATCCAGTGCCCGTATGGCTGTGTTTTCGGTCTGGGCAAGCTTCTGCGTGCTCAAGACAGCGACGACAGATGATGCGGGTGCGGTGCGGAGACAGAGGCGTTACCAGTATGTCCGTTCCCGGGGGAGCTGCGTCAAACGGAGGTCCAGGCTTTTATTACTCTGTGCAACTCTTTCCTCTGCCACGCAGCAAAAAAAAAAAAGAAGGCGGTCGCTCTTTCAATAGAGCAAACTGAGGGACCTTTGCTCTGTCACACGGCTGGAGAAAACGACAGGGTGACGTTGTCTGTTCTCCCTTTTCTTTAGGACTTAGGTTGGGATTCGCTCATGGAGCGTTGACTTGGACCATAGAGGAAAGCCAGAGTGGTGAGTGATAGCCAGGCTAAATCTGGCTTAGCCCAACCTCTCTCGATTGCTCGCGTGTTCTTGGGCGAAATCATGCACATCGCCGTGACTGAGCGGCAAAGTTCCCGCCAGTTCGAGACGATCAGACGCCACCAAAGGTTCTATACACAAATAAATGTGCCCCTCTCGCTTGTTTGTATTGGTACAATTGGACATTTCTTGTGTTTGTGGGAGGGAATCACACTTTCGCAACTTTCATGTGATACAGGGCTGCTGTTAGTCTCTCGCCAGGTGTGTGGAGAATGGCTGACTCCTTGACCGATTGTTTCTCTATACTCATACATTGATTCTGATCTACACACACCGCCAGTTATTCCGAATTTTGTCAGATCACGCCTTTGATCTTGATTGCTCTCTACCGTGCACGCTGAGAAAAGAAGGCAGAGAGCGCAGACGTAAAGGTACAGTTGATACGCGCTTCGTGAGTTTTTCTCATCTGTTCCTCCACTCGAAATCCTTAAACCAACCCCATTTCCGTCCTTTTGAAACGCCGTGGCCGATGCATGAGTGTCATGTTCCGTGGTAACCTGTCCTGTTGCGCCAAGTTGCGTATATGCATTTTGTCTGCACGCATATCAAATGATTAAAGATGCCGTAAAACATGCAAACACCTTGCTGAAAATGATTAAAAAAACCAAAACACAGAATACTACATGGAGTGGCCGTAAAGCAAATTGAGACGCATTGATCAAGAGACGAATGGACGAGTAGATGCATAGCACGTAGCCCCTCCCCAGTGTATGTCTACCGAAGCGATTATGATTGCATACTGTCGTAGGGCATCATCCAGATGCGTTGACGGCCACGGCTGGTGCCGGAGAGCTGGTCAGGCCGTTTGGAGGCACGGAAGTATCAGCGTCGGCGCCACTAGTGCTCTTCTCGCTCTGCATAGCACTGCTGTCGTGAGTAGGTTTGTCTCCGGACGATGAAGTGTCGCTCTTAACGTCGCCGTCGAACGTTGACGGCTCCTTGCGGATGGCGGCATACGAGCCGGCACCCCAACCATAGCCAGTGAAGCTACGGACGACAAACGGCTTCCTCACCCATCTCCTGCAGGGCTTGCCTGTTCGGTCGAGGGCTCGAAGGCAGGCGTTGATCGCGCCTTGATTGGCTTTTGGACCGAGTTTAGGTGCGGTTTGCACGGCGCCATTAACGACCTCGCCATTTTCGCCTCTATAGAAAGGGATGGTCAGTGTCGTGCTCTGAGATACAGGATAACGTGGCGAGGTGCTTGAAGGAAGGAAGCATTGGGTCCCCGCAGCAAGTATTGGGCTTCAGAAGCGAAGGAGGAAAAAAAAGGCGACGAGAGGAACTCACATTCTTGGCTTCTTCTTTGGACCAGGCTTGCCTCGCGGCTTGGGCACGCCATTGGTGTCCACCTGCGACGCGGTCCTCTTCATTCCTGGCTTTGGGCCAGGCACACCCTTCCTCTTGGCTGAATTCTGTGGCGGCGCAAGTAAGCCGTTGGATGTTGCCGCGGGTGTTGAGGCGGCATTGGAGTCTGCGCCGTTGGCAGCAACAGACGTCGAGTCGTCGGCAACGCCTTCATTTGTGTCGGCAACGTTGTTGCTGGCTTTGTTGGTAGACGTCGAAGGGGTCTGAGCAGACGGCGTCGACGAGGAGACGCTCTTTTCTCTCGGCACGGGCGATGACGGGTCGTGCGGAAAACGTAGCAAGGCCTTGGACGAGAGCTTAAGGATGGCGATCTTGGACTTGGGCGTCGCTCGGGTAGACGACTTCGACGCTGAAGGGGTAGCGGTGGCGGAAGCTGCCGGGTCTGCTTTGACTGCAGAGGGAGCCATGGCTGATGATGATACGTGGTATGGTGTTTCGGATGCAAAGGGTGCGAGATGGAAGCAGCGCCAGGGACAGAATGGAAGTTAGGTTGCGCGATGATAGAGACCTTCCGCAGTCGTAGGTATGATCCTCCCCCCTCGATAGGAGGTGTTGCAGAGGCGTGTTCGGTTCCGGAGGCGCAGCGAGTTTGTTTGCGCGGTGTGCAGCAGGACGGGCGGAGGTGCAATACAAAGGGAAGGGAGTATCAACAGGATGAGGGTGCAGAGGCGACAAGAAGGACGAGGTTGAGTGAATTTTGTGGTGATGATATTGATGGTGACAATGATGATGAAGGTGTCGGGCAGGAATCGGGGTGGGCGGTGGTGGTAGTGGCCATTTTGATTAGGCGTGAGAGCGAGTTCGATTATACGTTGCGGGAGTTCCAAGCGCCTTTTTTTTTCTGGTCGCAACACAGTCTGGCCTTGGGGGTGAGGGTGCTGGTGCGCATCAGCGAGAGACGCAGACGCAGACACAAACCCGACGCACACGCACTAACTGGGTTTAGTTCAAATCGCGTTAGCGTGAAGTTTGACCAACGCCCAACCGAGAGAGAGCGCAGGGGGGAAGGACCGGTGATGGGCTGTCTGGCAGGGCCCGCATGCTTTAGGTCTAGCGCAGGATTTCGGCCCGGCTCGGTGAGCGGCATCCAGCAGATATCAGCACTTCTCGGCACTTTTCAGCACGCGCTTCCCTTCCTCCATTTAGTCGTGCACTCGCCCTGCCGAGGTCAGCAATTTACAGTACTCTTCGGCATTTTCCAGTACGACCAGCTGCTGCTCGCCCACCTGCCCAGCAGAGCCGACGTTCCTCGCGCCCTCCCCCAGTAGTTCATCCACCGCGCCTTCTCGGTTCCAGACAATCCCCTCCACCGTCACTTCCCTTGCTATCACCAACCACACCACCTCCGTCGCTGCTGCTGTGACTATTGCTCTCACTACTTCCGCCACGAATCCTGCTTCTGCGTCTGCTTCTGCTTCTACTCTACTCTCTTCCCAATTCCACTTCTGCTGCTGCCACTTTTACTCTACTCTGTCTCTCACACGTGCAGATACATCGTCAAGATCGAACTCAATCTGTCCTTCCCATCCAAAACGTTGCTTGAACATGTAGCCCTCATTCGTCGGCCTTTCCTGTTTTGGCCGTAATGCCCATTGTTCCGCCAACTTTGTCGTCGACCCTGCCATCTACAGAAACCTCAGCTTGAACCAGCCCAGCCAAAAGGCCTCGGATTGCTTCGTCTGGCATGGATTGCCTCGAAGCCAAAAAACAGGACTCGAGCACTCGTTGCCGGTCATCTACAGAAACGCCATGGAAACCACAAAGCGTGGCATTTTTCGTCATCGCGTTCGCAACTGGTTGTGTGAGACGATCTACCGCGTCAGGTCTGTGACACAGATGCCCCTGGCCCGCAAAATCTGTCACGACATGCCCGCGAAATGAATGCCCTCATCTCGTTCCATCCTTGGGCCGTCTGTGAGCTCTTAGAAATGATTTTTTTTAGCCGAGAGGTCAATACTAGAGTAAATGTTTGCAATTTCGCGCATGACTGAGGAATTAACCGGCGCTCTCCATAACAGCGGCACATACTATCCAGCGACGCAATCTCACTACTCGTTGGGCCACCGCTCGACGCGTCTTATGCATTCTCATACCTTGAATTAAACCCTCCTAGCGTCGCGATGACTTTCAAAACAGCCCGTCTCCATCGAAGTCGATTTTGCCTGGATCCTGCATGAGTCGACTGGTGCAAGTCCAACGTCGACGCACGTCAAGACTTGACCAGAAGGACATGCACGAGCGCAGCGAGGACTCGTGACAATGGAACAATACGGGAAGCATTCCAGGGCTATCGAATATGTAACTATCACAGTCAGTGAGCTAGCGCTATGCATATGTTTATCCCAAATCAAACCGGCAGACCCTACCAAGATTAAACCAGGCACTCACTCCTCAGTTGGCATATAATTGTATGTTAACAGCATCATTTCAAAAACAGAACGGCAGCATTCGCATCGAATACGCGCGTTAAAGTCATTGGCTGCTCAACCTTACGCGCAAAGGAACCTTGAAATGATCAAAGGATAGTACCGCAATACACATTCCCCTGGCCTCTCTTCGTGCTCAAACGCTCACTTCATCTGCGTAGGTCGACCACGACGACGCCATTTCGTCATCACAGCAGCGTCTTGAAGGTCACGTGATCTTTATGGTTCTACTTGGTCGCTGCTCCCATTGTCACCGATTACTTCACTACTATCTCCAGATGACAACGCCTGTTGTCCTTCCTGTGCCGTATCGACAAGAAGCCCCCGTGCTGCGAGGATGCGTCGGTTCCTATCGCATACGCTCATGATGCCATGCCACGATCGTGGCCCAACCTCTACGTCCTTGTGTTTAGACGCGATTTGCGCCTGCCGGCTGCGAAATACGTCGTTGTAGTCCGCCGCCAGCATTTTGAACCTCGCCACCGACATGCCGTCGCGCCCGCGTATCTCCGGTCGCTCCTCGAACCTCCGCGCCAGCCACTCAATCTCGTCCGTTTGATAACCTGGTCGCGGTCGCGTCGTGCTTCCAGACTCCCGCCGCCTGTCTTGCCCAATCTTCTTAATCAGCCCCGTCACCTCTTGTTGCGAGCCCCAGTCACGCGGCGACTCGTACGTATACGTCAAGATCGTGCCTGCATCCTGCTTGTGCCGAAACTTGAGTGTCAGCATTGATGCTTGCACCGACGGGTCTGTCACATCGAGATTGCGCCGCTGAGCACTTTTCCGCACCATTGGCTTTGGGTTGTGAATCACCTCCCACGGCTTGTCCTCTGGATCCGTCGAGTCGTTCTTTGGGCGTTTGTACTTAAGTGCTACTGGGTCGCTTGCTAAACGTCCAGTGATCTCGCGTCTCGACTTTCCGGTGTACGCTCGTGGTGGCTTCAGCCTCTGCCTCTTGCTGCTGTCTCCGATATGGATTTCGTCCTCATTTTTGTCATGCTCTTGAGCTTTAGCATCCACTATACCACCCCAAACCAGGTCTGGCAGTGGCGAGACAGCAGCCGACCTGCCTGGCTGACTAGTAACGCGAGCAAGTTTCGTTTTATTTATCCCAATCCTGACTAATGCCCTACTGGGTAGCGAGCCTATGAGAGTCGGCATCGTGCCTCTTGACGTTTTCGACTTCAGCTCGCGCATCGATTCGTTCGACACTTTACGCTGTTTGAAATTTAGCGTATCACGAGAAAGGGGAGCCTGGCACGAGTACTGAGCTAGCATCCTCTATGAATGTGCACTCCTTATTGACTTACATCATTTAGGTTTATTGCGTTGGTATCCAGGAAACCAGTTTTAGCTGAATACCACGTTGAAGCGTCAAAACTACTATCTCCCGTGCCATGGGTCTCTTTGTCGTTCGCTTCATCCTCGGTACCACGCTTAATCTTTTGCTCAGGAACCGCTCGGCGCTCGATGTCAACTTTCCCTGCCGTCTTATCTCTTTGGTACTTCAGCTTCACTTGTACAGGTATTTCAGCGTCGTCGTCCTCGATTACGCGACTCCGCTTCTTGATGTTGCCTCCTGGCAGGAAGATCCTTATCTTTGTGCCGCTGGAAATCTCGGATTGCTTGACATAATTGGCATCCTCTGTACTGCTTGCGAGGAAAGTTGGGCTGCTGACATTTGATATCGTGACATGGTGCTCAAGCTTGATGGCCCGAGGCTGAATCTTGCCAAGCACACGTTGCTGCACCGATTTTTCCGGTACGAATGAGGTTACGGGATCTGTCTCACGCGTTTCAATGTCAATTTCTTGTCGGGATGACATGAAAAAGCCCTCGGTAGCCTCCTCTAGATCCATGTTGCCTTTCGTAGAAGACAGCGGCTGGAGCGCGGCCTCTAGTTGCTTCTTCGTGATGATATAGCCGTGATCGTCCTCTTCATCATCGCTCGTCTGTTCCGCTATCTTCTCCTCGATGAACTCTCGATCAACTGCCGCAAGGAAGGGCTCCTGCCGCCACTCATTGCCAAGAAACTTTTTGTAATTCTGGCCTGAGCGCATATAGTTTACGGTCCAGTCCGAAGGTTCTGTATGAGCTACATTCACCTCTTTGGCAAGATGGTAAGCGTGGATGTAAGACATGACGAAAGAAGGAAGAGGTAGCTTGTTGTGATATCTGGGTATTGGTGTGCTCGGATCCATTGAGTCTATTTATTTCCCCTCAGTGCTTAGTAGGTATGATCGAGCTTGGAGAATGCAGGTTATATTAATTGTTAAAGAGCTAGGGAGATCGCGTAATGATCTGTTCTTTTGAATCAGGAGAGCTTTTTAGCGCGTTTTGACGATGGTCAGAGCCTGCATTGAAGTCTCGGTGTGGGCGTATACCTTGACTAGAATCTAAAAAGTCCTGCAAGAGAAAATGGACTATGCTGAAAATCTTCGTATGCTGAGGAGAGAAGAATCGCCTCATATGGGTGGTGTAATTTAGATGTGCGTTGACGTTTGAGCTCTTTAATATGGCGAAAATTCAGTCACCATCATGACCCATTAAAGTGAACTGCATCGGAAGCATCGCTTCATGAAGTATTCCTTCGAGGTGAATACGTCCTACTATCACTGGATACAATTTAGGGACAACGCGCAAGACTGCGAAATCAAGGCGTATAGACACAGCAGCATAACGGAAGAAGCACCTTTATCCGCGCCTTTAATTTTAGTTCTTCTTTCAGCTCCTTTGAACGCCATTGTCACAAACTCCTCATTTTTTTTATTATTAGGGCAAATGCAATAGGTGGGGGAATCAAAACATGAACAGTTGAAATCGCTTCCGCATGCAAAACGCTGGACTGAAGTTAGAGTGGCAGTCCAGCAACAAACGTGCGAGCTGGTTTTGCAACCGCACCTTTATCTTGTCAAGGCTGAGCATACAGAGCCGGCACGAAAGCTGTGAGGACTCTGGCCATCTGGCGCCCCTTTGCACAATATCAGCTACGTCGGTTCGATTCTTGTTTCAAAACCTTAAATCACAATAGTCAGAGGGGGACTTATCATGTCAACAGAAGGAGGGAAGGGAAAACAAGTTTCCGAAGTGTAAAGGTGTGAACCGCCTCGACCATGGCGCGTCATTACAAATTACGGCACAATTTGTATTTCTCAGCCATGACGGGATCGCCATTGGGAGGGCCGCAGTTCTAGAATATCGTCTTGTTGAATGTACTACAGACCAATCCTAGCAAGAGGCAGGAACTTAAAGCGATTTGTGAGAAAAGGTAGCTAAGTTGCAGGCTGCCGTTGTCATGTCCTGATTTCACGTTTGTCCAAGACTGAGCACCAGATCGTTTCTTTGGTCTACTGGACAAAGGGAATAAACAAACAATAGGCACGCAATTCAACGTTGAATTTTGTGCGAAATGTGGACAGAAAAGCTTTTCATTTTATTCTCATTCGTAGGTTAAACAATAATACAACAGTTTTTTTATTTCTGCCGTTTCAGCAGAAAGTAGAGAATGCGCCCTGAGCCTCAGTACGGGTGAGGCCACATCCTAGGGTAGACGTATCCTGAAGGCTGGATGGATTTCACTCGGCGGTGCGGGTGGGAGAGCCGACACAACGTAACTCACTCCATCGTCGCTAGCATAGCTTGGTGGCCGGCGCACTTGCTGCTCTTCGGCCACGGAAGCCATCGCAGGCGAGCCTGTCGGCGAGGGTCTCCGCTCGGAGACGGGAGAGCTGCGGCTCAAGCTAGCCTCTTGAGGTTGGGCATCAGCTCTTTGCCAGTGGAGCAGATTTGGATCGAGTCTGACGCTGCCACGCCAAAGGCCATACGCGGGTGGCGGCTGGCGTAACACGTCCGCTCTTTCCGGAGGAATCTTGCCGTCTTCGTCACAGGCGGCGATCTCCTCGTCACGAGCAAGCTGGACACGAATAGGCACGTCTGGCTTGAAGCCCTCGGGACCTGCGACGGACGGGATAATAGGTCTGTGGCGGCGCGGTTTCTTGCGCCGGACTGCCGCTGTGACGAGCCGGATCAAGGAGTAGGTAAAGAACACAAGAGCAGCCAGGATAGTAAGGATGAAGAGAACGTGGACTTGTTGGTTGAGGTTCTTGATCGTGATGGCGATGGTGAGATCTGCGGCTGGGATTAGAATCGCGAAGAGAGTGTTGAGAGCACGCAAGGGCAGGACTTACAAATTGTTAAGACACTCGCCAGAAAAACGCCAGAAGCTGCGGTTGAAATGGCTTGGAGGCGGTTTTCGCCTTGGAACAGTGCAGCGCACGTTCTGCTGCCGCTCTGGGTCTTGCGTTTCCTTGTCCATGCTCCTTGCTTCCGATGCTTTCGTTTGTGTTTCCTCGGCCTAGGCGGCAATCCTCCCTCGAGATCTGGTTCGCTATCTATGATAGGAGCAGTGTCTGCAGGGTGTCGAAATGTAGGTTGAGCCGTGGGGGACGGCGGAACTGGTGAACGAGCCCATTCTGTTGGCTGTGTTGCGGGAGAATATGTTACGGAGCCTCCTCGAGCAGCGAAAGGTAAATGGAAGTTGGATATATGGCGCAATACGGGCGTGCTACCGCTTCTTTGAATGAGACCAAACAGTTGGCGAGCCTTTGGCGTTTTATTCTCCTCTTGGATTGTCTGTGCAGGGCTCTGCTGCACATTCGGGCTTCTCGAGTATACCGAGCTCGATGATGGGTCAACCTCCTGCAGCGCTCTCCGTACACTGTCTTCCATAGCGGCCAGTCGGTCCTGTGCTCGTGTATCTAGTCCAGAACCGGATCTATCTTCCATGACGACGAGAGGCATGAAGCGCTAGAATGTGCCGTTCAGGTAGGATCTCAACAAAGAGCCCAGGCTTTCAGTCTACCAGAAAAAAAACAGAGAGACGGGAAAGGTGTTTTCTGACCGGCTGATTCGCAGTCCTTGCCAACGCGACGAGAGAAATACTTAAGAGTCGACCCCACCCCGCGCGCGACTCTCGTCTATCAACAATCTTCCGTCATGCAAGCGTCGCGTCTTCGCAAACCACTGCCCATGCAACCAAAGCACTGGTGCTTTGGCTGGATCAAGCCATGGACCTATGCAGCAGGCACGACACGCTTCCCTGTCTGGTCTTCTTTCAGCACTCTCAAATGGTCACCTCTTGTCCAGTCTTAATGAATCCAGCAGCGCAGATGCCTAGCCTGATTCAACAGAAGCTTCAGCCAATACGTGGTGGAAAAACCAGCCGCAAATTTGCGGGACGATAAGAGAAACGGAGAAGGCAAGGCAAATTGAGTTAGAAGCGTCCTGGCTCCAGTGGCAAAAAAAACTGAACGAAAGAAAAGAAGGATCACTGGCACGCCAGAAGCAAGAACCACGCAGAAAGTGTGTGGAAGAGGTGAAGCTAGAAAGACATTGCTCGCCAACGACGAACGACGAGAAGGCTGCGGGTGAGGGAAGTAGCGAAGATGCCGACTGAAGCGAAGGACGCGCAACTGCCAATCACTTGGTGGAGTCTACATCGGATCAAACATATCCATGGTGGTTTCTGACTGGCAACTGGTGCCAAACATGTTTATGCGTCAGGAGACGAAACTCAAATCAGTGAGGAGAGAGGAGCGGTCTTGGACGCGAGGATGAAACGTCGCCGGTCGCAGGAGAAGCGGTCGTCGAGGCACATGTGCGGGACCAGGGGGGGTGCATTTAGTACCGCCGTACCTACAAGGCTGACTTCCAGTGCTCAGTACGGAGGTAGACTGGGTCGAATCCCATGCACATATTCTGCATGACTTCTTCTCACAGCCCGAAATATGCAAATTGTGTGTTTCATTTGTAAGACGAGCTCGGTATATCGGTTGGCCCTTTTTCGCTTCTAGTCCCTACACCACCCCCCAAGTACTGGTGTACTCGAATTTACTGGCCCTGCACATCATACATCTTGAACTTGGATTTCTGCCCGACAAAAGGGACGGTAACATCTTTCAGGCGTGCCGTGGTTTCCTTCCTGGCCACTGCTCGCTCAACTAGGTTCCTTAGCCATTCTTGGGCCGACGAGCTTTCGACAGGACAGTCGGCGCCGCTATTTTGTGTGCCAAACGATCACGCCGTTCGTTTTCAGTTCCCCAGTTCACCAAGCAGGATTGTTCGGTCTGACGAACCCGAGACAACTGTTCGCAAAACACGCATTAGCATCTTCCACGTTCCAATCGAAATGGTTCCATCTCGAAGGCAAAGGTCAGCGAACAACGGTTCTACACGGCATCTACGGACCCTTTGATGGAAAACAATGCTTCTCATGTTTCCCAGGAGATCTGAGCGGCCGTCCGGTAAGCCATCGTCGACGCGGTGCCGTGGCGTAGCCGTCATCATCTGACCCGTACAAACGAAACAGTATAGAATGAAGCAATTACACTCACCAATAGGATCCTCGCCTGGGTGGAATCGTACGTCGTTAACAGCACCTTTATGTCCGGGGAGTTTATGAAGTATCCTTCCGCTGCTCGTGTCCCACACCGTTACGCTCCGGTCGCCACTCCCCGCCGCGATCTTCTTGCCTGCGGGGTCCCAGCTTGCTTTCAACAAGTTCTTTTCCATGCCAGTTGGCGCACCATCATAGGTCCTGACGTGTCGATTAGTCGGCGCAAAGGGTCTGATGTCCCATGTTCGGACGGTGGAATCGTGTGCGTTCGAGAGTAGGTACTGCGAGTCTGGTGATATTTGCAGCGATGTTATCGTGTCAGTGTGACCAATGAGCGAGTACACAACTGCTTTTTTCCGTATATCCCACACTTTGATGTCATTGTCAATGCCACCAGTGTAGAACTCGTTTCCTGCCTCCGAAAGCGCAACAGCTGTGACAGGGAATTCCGTCTCGATCACATCAACTGCTTCTTTTGATCGTGCGTCCCACAGCTGCACAAAAAGTCTTAGCCAATGTCAAGCAGAAAACTGCGAAGGGCAAACGTACACCTATTGAGCCATCATCTGAGCCGCTAATCAAGAATTCTTCGCCTCGCTTGCTCAAGTCCATCGAGTTGATGACTTCCTCATGACCCCTATATCTTCGTAACCTCGAGCCAGTGTCTACATCCCACATTGCCAGGTTCTTGTCTGCGGAAGCTGAAAATAGCAGTCGTGAGTCGCGCGACCAATGGAGGTCGAGAACTGCTTGCTGATGCCCGCTCAATATGCCGTAATTCTCACATTCACCGTAAGTCCGCCAAAGGACTACACATTCTCAACACATCTCCCATGTGGATGTAAATCATATGCCACTTACGTATGTTCCTATCCATAGACCCCGAAGCTATAAACTGGCCGGTCGGGTCGAATCTGGTTGCAAATACTTCACCAGAATGACCTGTTCCATAAGTCAACATACTTTTAGCGATCGCTCATGGAGCATATTACCTGTTAGCTCCATGACAGGAGCCTGCAAGCCACTTGTCCGAGGTACCTATCCACCCATCCCAATCAGCCAACATAGTCCTTCCACACAGGTTTAGCGCCCAGGCTCATTCTCGACAAACAACCGCGTATTCGAGGAGACATACAGCTTTGATAAGTGTACCATCACGCGCACTGCCATTGGTCACTGCGACTGCACCTCCATTGAGATTCGCGTCCGTCTTTGACTTTTTCACAAGCGCAGAAGTGCCGAATGAGCCGGGTGCTGCCGCATTTCCGGCAGACATGGTGTATCTGTCTTGTCTGCTCAAATTCTTGTTCGAATGCACTGAGCCACCTCAGCTTTGAGGGAAAAGGTAGTCAAGAGCCACACTCGAGTTTTCGGTGGCGGCTTCCTAAGCGCGAAACAACGCACGATCAATCGAACTATGGTGGCGGGGGACGCTAGCAAGTCGAATATATATCCAGCAGTCGCATCGAATGGGTATAACAAAGTCGTGCGTTGTTGCAAGTAACTTTCGCATTTGCTACGTTCGCGAACCAAAGCGACTAACAAAAGTTCACGGATTGCCGCTAGGGCCGAATTAGGAAATGAGTAAGGCTGCCTGCCCGCATCCTCCTCCACTCCTATCGACATGCACAATTGTCAATCAAATTAAAGGCCTCACAATTTTCGCCGTTGCACCTGCTTTCAAGGTTACAGACTCCTCTTCGTCAGAGTTGACGAGTTAGGGTCATACGCGTCGCAGGTATCTAACCCAAAATGTCGTCGTCGCAACGGGTGGCGAGAGTAGGGGAAGAGTAAGAGAGTCTCGACCCCAGATCGTCGCATATTCGCTAACAAATGTAGGATATGGAAGTATGTTTAATATTGAATATACGCTCCCGAAGAATGTACACTTACAAACGTTATCTAGAACACGAATAGACAAAGTCCACGCCGAGCTTGTCACTCTAACATATGGCACAATGGTCGCACAACTCTGTAAGGACTTTGACTCGGACTATCTTGAGGTAAACCGGCAGCTAGAAAAGATGGGCTACAACATTGGCATGCGTCTCATCGAGGATTTTCTCGCCAAGTCGAACATTCTCGAGTGCAAGAACTTCCGCGAAACTGCCGACGTAATTGCAAAGATTGGTTTCAAGATCTTTCTGAACATAACACCCACCATTACGAACTGGACCAGTGATAATAAGCAGTTTTCACTGATCTTCGACGAGAATCCGTTGGCGGACTTTGTGGAACTGCCAGACGACGGGAGGGCACAGGATGAGTTGTGGTATTCTAATATTCTGTGCGGAGTGCTACGAGGGGCTTTGGAAATGGTAAGGACGCCCTGGCCCTGATGCGAAGTGCATGTGCGCTGTCGTCTGACGCCGGGAATAGGTCGCGATGCAGGTGGAGTGCCGGTTCATCAGCGACGTCTTGCGAGGCAATGACACGACGGAGATGCGCGTGTCGCTTGTACGGTTCATCGACGACGAAATGCCGCCGGACGATGAGTGATGAGAAGCGGCGTGTGGGATATTCAACACGATTGCCACGAACTTAGGGTGTAGGTACGACCTTTCGTCGCGTATTACAAGTCCTGCAGGTCCTCGATTTCACAGCGAGACCTTTCATTCGGCATGCATTGCTCATCCAAAGCATATGAACCGAGCAGGCAGGAGCTGTGGTATGCAATAGATTGGCAAAGGTGTACGGGAGATCATCGAGGCTCACGGGAAGGCCCGTGGGGTCATATAGGCAGAGTGAGCCGCCAGACATTGTCGCGGACATGAGTACGCTTTGACTGGGCTCTACCAGCCAAATCTACTGTGCGACTCGAGGTGTGGCAAGATAGAGATTTGCCCATGTGTAACGTGAAACTCATTGTACAAGAGTGAACCGGGTTTGGCCAAAGACAATGCAGATGTATCGCGGCCGCATGCACAGGTTCATTCGACGCGAGTGACTCGTCCCATCCGCCTGCAGTTGCGCCGAGACGCTTCTTAGCAGTGTGATCGTTTGACCGGCTGGAGCTCCGGCCGTGCATGGCTGCTCCAGTGCTCGTCGTGCCATGAGGCCCCGACCGCCCGATGGAGCGCGGTGGGTCACGGGAAAGTCACGTGACTTTTCGACGGAAAATGCGTCTGTGATTGCGACCACCGATCTTAGGCTTGCATTCTCAGCTCGCAACTAGGCTTTTGAATGCGATCCGGCGCGGATTGTGTGGTCTTGCGTTGAGCGTCCGACGCCGACAACGGGCAGATGCCAAGCGTGCATCAATCAAGTCAGCCAACCAACCCATCGCGCGTGTGCTCCGACCGTCTCCCTCTAACCACCTGGACCCTGGATGCTGGCTTCCCCCATTTCACCTCATCGACCACAGGAGGGAAAAAAAGACAGCTGCATGCTCGTCGATGCACTGGAGAGAAAGCCGAATAGCCCCGTTTCGCCTTGTCGACGCCGCCGTCGAATCCTTTGCCGTCGCTCCTGCGAGTCACTAGGTCCGTCCCGACCGCTTGGGCTCTCTCCCGCCGCACTTATTACCACCGACCTTGGAACTCACCCAACACGCCTCCACAGCGGCTTCCATCCCACGTCTCGAACCGTCACTCTGCCCGTGATCGGAAGCGCTGCCTGAGAACGCCGTTCGTGCGAGGTACGTCTGCTTCCGTTGGCGACGCCTCGCTGCCGTACAGCTTGCGCGACTTTTTCGCTTTCGCGTTCATTACGCTGCGAAGATCTGCCCCGTCTAGCGCAGGTCCGCCCGCAAGCCGACCCTCTCGACCACCTCACGACCGCGCCATCGCCGCATCGACAAGAAACGCGCCGCGCAGCCGGTCGTGCGACAAACTGTTATGAACACGCCAGGCTCAATGGTCGGCATGACGGGAGGCGCAGTTGGCGCCCCTGTGGGCAGCCAAGTCGGCGCTCCAAACGCAGCGAATTCGAATGAGTATCACGAGCGGCTCAACACGTACATATACGACCACTTGTTGAAGCAGAAGCTCTACGATCTGGCGCGGCAGTTCGCCAGCTCATGCCCCATCAAAGCTGAGCCGGAGCCGAAGAAGGAGATGAATGGGGATGACGGCATGGACATGTCTTCAAAGGACGACATCAAGCGTCCGGACGACCTGCCCGTTCCCAACATCCCGCCTCACTTCTCGGAAAACTCTTTTCTATTCGATTGGTGGTGTCAGTTCTGGGACATTTTCGGTGCTTATCGTGGCAAGGGTCAGAATGCCTTGTCTCAGAACTACCTCCAGCACACTATGGTACGCAGATTGAATGGAACCACCGAAAGACGGTACTGATATATGGCTGCAGACTCAGGCGAAAGCACGTCAAAACCAGCAGAACCTCATGGGCGTGAACGCAAACATGATGAACAGGTCCCAGCAGTTCGCAAACATGCAGACGAACGGCATGAATAACATGCAGAAGCAAGCTATCGCAAACAGGGGCGGGTATGTCTGCACGATCCCTTTTCTTACTTCAAGACTAACGCCCTCCGCAGCATGCAGCAGATGCTGGCGAACAAGATGCAGCAAAACAATATGCAAGATGGTGACAGGCCGCAGTCACCTGGTTCCATGGGCAATGCGCCCTCGCCCTCAAAGCGCCCCCGATTAGATGATGGCCAGCCAAATGCAAATGGTCAGCCTTTCCCAGCGGGTCGTGGTCAACCTATGCCTGGCAATCAAATGGCCAACATGCCTGGAGGTCCAAATAACATGATGATGCAAAACGCGATGCCGGCAGACATGAACCAGCTCAATTTTGCACAGAATGGGCAGCAGAAAATGGACATGCCGGGCGCGCCTCAAGGCATGGACGGTTCGTTTGATTCTATGATGAAAAACAAGCCAGTGATGGCTAACAATGCAGGCAACCCTTCCCAAGGCAATCACGCTTTGCAAGATTATCAAATGCAGCTCATGCTTCTAGAGCAGCAGAACAAAAAGCGACTCTTAATGGCGCGGCAAGAGCAGGATAACATCAACCACGTTCCAGGAACGTCACAGCCTGGCCAGATGCAGTTTGGTGGAACAGCGCCAGGCATGTCCCCCTCGAACGGCCGACCCGGACCTTCTCCGAACCCCAATGATCAAATGAAGAGATTGACAACGCCCAAGATGGGTGCAGGTAATGTTCCTGGCTCTCCGGCAATGGCAGGCGACGGCAACAGGGGATCTCCCATGCCTGGCAACTTTGATCATAACGGCGTGCCCCAAAATATGCGCCAGCAGATGTTTGCCGCGCAGCAAGGCATGATGCAAGGTCAACAGCCGCCCAGCTCACACCCTAACTTCCAGCAAATGCAGATGGGTAATGTGCAGAGTATGGAGCAGATGAGAATGGCAGCTGCTCAACAAGGCCGAATGCCCAATGGACAGCCATGGCCCCAGGGAACTCAGCCCATGATGCAAACTCCTAGCCAGCAAGGCCAAGTTGGCACTCCCCAACAGCGGACCAATATGCCACCACCTCCAGCGCCCAACGCCGAGCAGCAACGAACTCAGCCTTCGTCGCCTGCTCCAACCGGGGGTCCAGCCACCCCGTCGCAAGCGCCGAAGCCTAATCCGAAGGCCAAAAAGGAGGTCGTCAAGAAGGTTCGTCTCGTGCATCTTCTTGAGTTTTTCATATGTCGAGTGCCAGTTACTAACCTAGCATGCTAACAGAACGTACCACAGAAAGGAGCAACCAAGAAAGATGCGGCTACTCCAGCTGCCACAGATGCTCCCGCTGCTACTCCTACTCCTTCAACCCCAATCACGCCCATGCATCCTACCACATTCCAGAACAAAGCAGGAACAAATACAACTGCCGGTGGGCCCCCTGCACCTCAACAAGCGGCTCCAACAGCAGTACCTGCTATAGACCCGACAGCTGACTTTGGTCTCCCACCAGGAGATGGTGGTTTCGATCTCAGTTTTACTACCGACGGCCAAGATGTTCTGGAAAACTTTGATTTTGACTCATTCTTGCATAATACCGATGAGACCAATTCGCTAGGAAATTTCGACTTCATTCAATTTAGTACGTAATTCGAGCATTGGCTCTTCTTTAGCTTGAAATTTTAACACTTTCATATAGACCTCGACACCGAAGCGTCGGCTGGGTCATAACCTATCCTCATTTAGAAAATGAAACTTTTTTCTTGGGTCAACTGTTTTATCACATGTTTGCGCAAGCAGGGAACACGAAATCAATTCTCTTTTTTGGCCTTGGCCATACTCTCATGGGATATGTTTCCAAAAAAAAGAACTGGGCGTGACGGATGAGATGCAGATGTTGTTAAATCGGCGTAGTTATCTCGGTGGCGGTCTGGAATGGGCGTATTGCGGTGTACAGGGCGCCAAACTCTTTGAATATAGGCAGGACGGAGTCAGCACGTTCCGGATCTCGTGATAGTGTCTTCCGGTGGGCTCCTATCACACAGATATACCCTCTCATTTACTCGAGCTTGATGCTACTGCGTTTTCACTTGAGCCTATCTGGATAACTTCATCGCACGGACTTTGGTTTCCAGAGAAGCTCGATCTCCTTCCATTTTATCTTATATCAACCTGTCGCGGAATGTGTTTATTGTTTACATTCTCAATCATTTGCCCTTTTTTTCGGGCACTTGAATCTGCTGCTGCGATTGGTTTTTTTTATTTTTGCTTGTTATAAGGGCGCGTATGTGGATGGATTTTTTTGGATTGTACTTCGATGCGGTTGCATGTTGCAAAATATAGCTTTTGTATGCTGCCAAGAGTGTTCCTTTGCTCGTCAGACCAAGGTGTGCTCGAGAGATCAGAAGAAATGCGCTGGCGTGACATCAAGGCTCCTCCGTCGAAGGGCGTTGTGGTTGTTTGGGTTATTTCGTGTCGTACATTCATAAGTGAGCTAGCTAATTACATCTTTTTCGATTCATGGATCCACTGTTCTTGGTTTCCCCCTCGTATCCGTGAACAAAGTAAATCTCCCAACTCTCCAGGTATCTTTCAGTTTCCTGATCTCAGCCCACTATCAAACCACTGCTTCAACAGTTCCAGACTCGGCCCGTCGAAAGCCCCAACGCAAATGGCGTAGCCGACCAAGCTGCCCTTCGCCAGCGCAAGCTGCTTGTCCATCCTGTTCAGCCCGTCGTTCCAGAACCCGTGCTCACGAGCGAGCTGCTCGACGCCCGACGGCGTCGGGTCGTCCACGTAGGCGCGGAGGAAGTCGAGCTGCTCGTCGTCGAGGATGCGACCTGACGGCGCGAACTGGTGCGTCGCGACGATCTGGTGCGCGAGCTTTCGGTTGTCGATCAGCCACTTCATGCTTGGGCCGTCGTACGTCACCTCCGGGCGAGGGTCCTCGTGTCTGGGAATTCCTGTGCTGCCGCCCGCGGCGAGCGGGCGCAATCCTAGAAACGGAGCTGAAGTCATTGCGGACGCGGGTGTTGTGGGGGGTTGGGGGGGTGTGGGCTGATGGGAATCTCTCAGATATGTTTGCGGGAAATGAGAAGTCTGTTCCAAAGAGAGCTTTGGGTGTTTTCTAGAGAAGACCTCGATCTAGATTGACTTCGACTTCTTCTTGTATTCGCGCTGATCGGTAGTTTAGTTCCTGACAACCTGCAAGGAATATCTAGGCAGCCATATTTCGACGCTAGAGAACCTACTTGACAGGTGCAAAGTCAACGTCCAGTCCCCCTTTTCCTATGAGATGGAAACAACTTCGAAAGAAAAAGTCTAAGGGTATAGGAATTTGAAGTAATGAATTAAAGACGTCGTAATCGGATACGACTCGAAAGAAATCATTAGTCTGTTCATTAACCATCCTTACTTATGCTACCCAGATATCGTTATGCTTTCGTTGCTTTTTGACGAAACGCCATAGGCATGGTGTTTATATTACAATCCATGAAACCTGCGTAATACGTCCTTAAAATAGTACTGATTGGAAAATTCCCCCATGCTCTCTTTTCCAACTTCAGTACATGACCTTCAACTTCCAGCCAGCCTTGAGAACCCTAGCTGTAAACATGCAAATGAAACTCACAATATAGCTAGCTCCTGTGAAAAGAGCTACACCATAGTACTTGCCACCACACGCCTGAATCAATGCGCCGGCAATAGGGATGCCTGTTAGCGTGCCAAACGATACAACAGTATAACAAGTTGCATAGTAGCGACCGTACTCCTCGGTATCGCATAGCTGGCCGACGCAGACTGGTGTCAGCGAAATGTTCGAGCCTGAAGCAAAGCCAAAAATCACAGCATAAACAATGATCAAAGGCTTAACGGCTGGATGCGCAACCCCGTTCTCGACCGGTAGCCACGAGGCTGGAAGCCAGAACGCCAATGTAGTCAAACAACAAAAGCCCAGCATCAGGATCATGGAGTTGTAGCGACCTATTCTATCTGAAAATACACCCGGTAGCCAGCGACCAAGTGTACTGCCTGCGTTCAGGATCGCCAACAGCTGGTATCCGAACCGTTGCGCGTTTTCAACTTGCGTTTCAACGACGAAGCTTGATATATAGCTTACAGGAATGAACAGGGCAAATTCCATAAAGAAGACGCCAGTTGTGACGAATGCGAAGGCAGGATCCTTGAAAATCTTGATGTCTGGTAGGATTGAGCTACCAGGCTTGGGCGGAAGCCTTGAACGGACAAGGACGACTGAAGTGAGACATAAGATCCCTATGATTAGACCCATTACTCGTGTGGCCCAGGCAAATCCGATTCTTGGAATCAAAGTTTGCAGCGTCAGCGGAAAGACGACACCGCCAACAGAGCCACCCATGGCTGCAATGCCAGTTGCCGCGCCGCGCTTTGCCAGGAAAAAGTGACCAACAGCAGATACAGAGGGTGTGAAGATTAAAGAGACACCGAAGCCAGCCATCAAACCAATTACGAGCATGAATTGCCAGTAGGCGTGACATAACCCGAGCAAAAGGGTCGCAGCCGTGAGGAGTACGCTTCCGGACATAATGAGCCAGAATGGGCCCTTGGCATCAAATACCGGTCCGATCTGAAGTCCACAAAAGAAGGAGAGAAAGACGAAGAAACTGAAGATCCAACCAATGGTGGACTCGTTATAGTCCTTCAATTGGTTCTGGCTGACGTATGTTTGGAATGCACCCACTATCATGATCGTTAGCACATAGATCATTAGCACTCTATGACGGGACTTACTGGTGTTCATGAAACCAAAGGCGGCCATCATACCAGAGAAAGATCCGAGGACCACAAGCCATGCCCTGAGGCCACCCTCGGGATAGGTTGCGTCGCCATCAGCGCTGGGAATACTAGGAGCCGGTGCGACCTGCCATTGCGAGGTTGGAGCGAGGCTCAGAGATAGCTGCGTAGGACGGCTCTGAGACTCGCTCGCCTCTTTGGTTCTAAGGCTCTCTACATCAGCACGGAAAGATTGCGTATCTATATTTTCTTTCTCCATCCATGCTTCTCCGGGGTAGTCAGGCTCAGCCGATGAACTGGAGCTTAGTGTGGAGAAGCTGTCACGGCATTCGTCATTGACGTGTGTAGACCTGGGAGCAGCGATGCTCCTGTACGAGACTGTTCGTGAAATTGGCCCTGGCTTGCTGCCGTTGAGCGGTCTGGTCATTCGCAGCTTTAACTTTAAGTTGAGAGTGAAATTGAAGAAAATTGTGGCAGAAAAATTATGCGCGCTGGATCGGAGTTTTGCGAGCAATATGTGACTAAAATGTTCATGTCGTATGTTGGCGCTGCTTGCTGTACTCCACTTCCCCAACTCCGATATTCGGTGGAGCACGCAGGTTGGTTTTTTATTACTTTACTGGCGTGCAAGTGTGAGTGTGCAGGTTTGGGTACACTTATACATTGTGCAGAATCTCTATCCTTTTCCGTCATTTTCGATGTAATGGGGAAAGATTTTGCGGTCATGAGCCAGCTGGCGTTAGGTTCTTCGGAACCGGCCAAGCGTGGTGCGTCGGACGACGCCGCCGGGGACCTGAGTCAACATGTCGTAAGGAGAGACAACGCGGTGGCGTAGATTTTCCTGAAAAAGACGAAACGTTGCAGAAGGATTCACCGATGCAAAGTCTGCACTGTCTGGATGCCACGGCCATGTGGGAACAGCTGGACTCCGAAGAGCGAGAATTGAACTCCGGACGAGCATTGCCGAGTTCCCAACGAGGCAACTATACGGAAGCGTGCATCCCCGCGGTCTCCACGGGCATCAGTTGTGAGCCATAGGCAAGAAGCCTCTGCCCAACACGTCGTTTTCCTGCCGCTTTGTTGTCGTAGCGCTCGACATCGTCTCGACTATGCATCGTCGCTGGCTGATCCAATCCGCATTGTGGGCATCTAGAGTAACATTGTCTTGGCATCTATTCTACAGCAGTCGATCTTGACTTGGGGAAGAACTAGAACAGCGTTTCTGACATACCACTTGCAGACCTGTTCGAAGTCGCATGGTATGGATCGCGTGGCTCACAAGACTAGAGCAAGCTGTGCACCTCGAACTTCGTGTTCGTTAGCAAGAGTTTTAAGCCTGTGCCATCATCGCAGCAATGAGGAGCCTCTCACTGGCGCACCTGATCCTGCATGCTGTAGTGCTAAGGATGTGCTGAGAATTGCACATCAAGAAAGGCAAAGCCAAATCCAAACAAGATTGTGAAGCAATACGGTCGTCCAAAACACAGCCTGAAAGGACGCTTTCCGCGTCTTGTGACGAAAATATCGTTGCGCAAGTAATCCTCCAGGCCAACCGCCTAAAACGTCAACCAGGTGGAGAATGGCCTCTCGAAGCCGGATGCCACTGCTTACAGCACGGTACTTATCGAAGCCATACAACAAGAACGAGAGGACACTGAAACCCATATATGCGGCTAACGGAACACTGTTGTGGGCGACAAAGTGTAAGATGAGTATCAGACATAGAGGTAGGGAGGTAGCAAGAAGTTGTAGGGCATGACTGGAATGACGGCCTGGTTTCGCCTTGAGAGGCATGACCGCAGTAGAGACTTTGCCCCGAATCTAGGCGATGCTAATCGCGCAGGATTTCTCTCTAAACAAATCAGAGAAAAGCTGAATATGATCGATTCCAATAGCCCTGCGGTCTTTGCTTGTTGGGTCAATAAAACACAAGAAAGGTGTCGAGGCTTCACTTGAGCTAGCAGAGCTGGTCTCCACCCCGAATTAGGAAGTTTCACGGGGCCTGGCATGGTCCAAGCGGAATCTGGCATGAACCCGACGCCAGCGGGCGCACGACTCAACTTCGGACACATAAGAAACCTTCCTTGATAGGTTCTCCCCAAGATGTCGAATAGAGGATACGATGTTGTTGTCGACGTGGACGCCGAGGTTCGTGAACAGCCTCCTAGCCCGGCAATAACGAATGCTGACCATCGCAAAGGGTGATTTAGGCCACACTGATCTCCAGGAAGACCTTGAGTTCCATTCGTCGAGTAGGCTCTAAACAGTGGGTGACTTTGTTGCCATGTTCTCTAACAGGACTATGCAGACTTTGAAGATACAAACTCGCGCAACAAGATCCCTCCAGACAATTCGGCCTTCCGGAGCAATTCTAACGCTCGCGGTTCCACCGGGTCCTCCAAAAAGTTCCTGTGGTCGATATCCTTCTACGCGCAATTCTTTGACGTTGACACAAACGAAGTGCTGAAAAGATGCTGGGCCGCGCTGTATCCGCGCTCCAATTTCCTCGACGTGCTTGAGGGAAACCCTGATCTGTACGGGCCCTTTTGGATAGCCACAACTGTCGTGTTCATCCTCTTCATGACAGGCACGATAAGCTGGAAGCTTGCGAGTACAGGACAAGATCATTATAGCTATGACTTCAGTCTACTGAGTGGCGCGGCCGGCCTGATATATGGCTATACGGCTATCATACCTGTCGGCTTGTGGGCTACGCTCAAGTGGTTCGGAAGTGAAAGCGCGAACCTGATGGAGTGCTGGGCTCTATACGGATATGCAAACCTGATCTGGATTCCTGTGTCTTTGATTTCCTGGAGTCCCATATCAAGTACGAATTCCCTCCTTTCATGTACTGAAACGAAGAACATCTCTTACTAATCATGACCCGCAGTATTGAATTTTATATTCGTTGGAATCGGGTTTGGAATCTCAGCAACTTTCCTCTTCCGCAACCTGTACCCGATCCTCAGCGCAACTGACGTCAGAACGTCTAAGATTCTTCTTGTCATTGTCGTCGCTTTGCACGCGGGACTTGCAATTGCGATCAAGATTCTGTTCTTTGCACATGGAAGTCCAGCAAAGAAAGATGGAAGGTCGGGAACTCCTGCAGGTGGTGATGCGTCCGCTGAGGGCCAGTCTGCGAGACTGCTATTCGGCTTCTAAGGACGTGTATGAGCTAGAGCTGCTTTAGATACCATATTTGAATCGATCGTTTGCAAAATATTCGGAGTGCTGTTTTTTGCTGGCTTTCATCATCTACTGGGCTTTGTTTTGATTGTAGACTCAAGAAGGTGTATTCTAAGATCCTTCCAGGCCCTCAACATGCGGTCCTCACCAAAAGCAATAAAGATAAAACTTTACTAGGCCATTGTTTAGGCTCTGCTGACCACGCAAGGGCGTTATAGTGATCCCGCCTTAACTTTTACTTCCATTGCAGCAAGCTTTGGAAGATTCTCACCATCAACGCGAAGTGGAATCCATTCATCCATTTGCTTAGCTCCAATACCTTCATAAAAATTTAGTGCTCGCTGGTTCCACTTTGTGTCAAGCAAATTAGTACACTTGTCGAACGCAGGTGGCCGGAGGATTCACCTTTAAACACCACCACTCCAGTCTTCCACCACTGCAAGATGCCGTTAGCCTGGAGGTCACTCGAAAGGGACTTTCGGCCGTACTTGATCCGTGTGACTTCCTTCGCCAGCTCTCGCAGGAGAAGAGTCGCGTACCCTCTTCTGCGAAATTTCGGCCTCACGAATAGATCCTCAAGGTAAATTCCTGGTTTGGATGTCCACGTTGAGTAATTGTGGAACCACAGGGCCATGCCTGCAACCTCGCCCTCTGGAGCGGTCAAGATAAAAGTCTTTGCGTACCCCGTTGCTTTCGTCGGAAACACGCCATCTGATGACGTGTCAAAGCAGAGTGTCTCCGCCAGAGATTCTTCGGTAGCTTGTACAGAGTCCTCTGCTTTCTCAAAGGCTGCCAGCTCTTTGATCATTGCCAGAATCTCCGGGACGTCTGTCACCGATCAGTCAATCTACGGAGGAGGCTGGAAGTCGAGCTTGAAGAAATCGAACCTTCTCGTCTAGCGAGTCTAATAGTTGGTTCTGAAGACATCCTGACGCGTCCTGTTTCTATACAGTACTGTTGTAACAAGAATGACGTGCGGGTGGTCGAATGAAAGTTTGCGATTCAACTACAACAAAGAAAAAGCCTGTACTAAAGTGTGCTACGCCCTTCTGACGACAACGCCCAACTTGGAAGGTGGATATATCCCTTTGTATGCAAAAATTTCTATCAATTTTTTTCTAAAAAAACCGAGCTTTCTTTGGACCTAGAGTCCATTTAGGGGAGGCTTTATGTGTGGACTACAATTCGCATCAACCTATTGTGATGATTCGTACTCTTCTGTGGACGAAAAAGGGCTTCAAGTTCGGCCGACATCGGTAATCTCAGCCTCGAAGTCAGCCTTGCAATCATATATCATGCTCGTCATTGAAACAATTATTGTACGTGACTTGTTCGGCAAAATCGAGATGAGCCTGAACATATACTTGGGTTAGTAAAGGGAGATTGTGTCTTCGTGTTTGAGATTGAATGGACTTGTGAAATTAGAATGGAAGAATAGCCGACATGGAGGACGATACTCGGAGGCACAATGAGCTTTGAAGTCGAGCCCAGGCCATATAAAAACTGGGTATTAGAGGAATTGTGAAGCTCTTTGGCCGATTTTGACTATATGCTCGCCATTTGTGAGTGACAGCATGTGAAAAATGAAGAATCAGCAAGAACGAAAGGCTGTTGGGAAGTATTATTGTTGTAAGACATGGCATGCTAAGAGCTGAAGGTAACAGATAAGATTCAACAAAGCTGAATCGCGAGACAAAGATAATCATCACTCAACCTCATGTCAGCATTCGGAGCTTATAGAGATTTGTATCATCTTCAGAGCATTATGTAGTGTAAGCGAGACCTCGAGTCATCTTTCACAATTGACGAAGTCAAAGAAATTTGAATGGGTATAATTACATCCACCGAAGATTATCCCAGACCGTATATGATGAAGCATCGTCCTGTTGAAGAATGTATCGTACAGCGAACCCTCTGTAATATTGAAGGTTACAGCAATGCTTCTACGAAGGTCACTGGAAATGCAATGAGCTATATAAGATCGTAGCAGCTCTAGATAATGCTAAAGACGTGGCATCAGTTATCTGGATTGCACTTTAAACTGGCCGTTCAAGTACTCAAGCACCTGGTAAAAAGTGAGCATACTGATTGCATAAAGGGCGTAGGTAATCACTCACTCCTTCATGAACAACGCCCTGATTAACGAGATACTTGCTCAAGCTCTTTACAACCTCAATCTGCTCGTCCACAGTGAGGCCTGTAATAGCCATTTCTAAAACAGCACCAACGCTAGCCTTGTGTGTGGCAATGAAACCTTGATAATACATGTATGCTAGAGTTCCCATGATGAATTGGCAGTCCATACGGTCTGTCATTCCGCCATGTCCAGGAATGGAATCACCAAAATCCTTGATCTTGAATGTTCGCTTAATACCGGAGGCGAAGAAGCCACCAAACGGCGCAATTAGGGACGCGAATGTTGCGAGGATCAGGATATGGAATTGGATGGGGGCTATGGTGATTGTGGATGGAATGCTGGTCCATGAGGGCGGGATAAAGGGAAGTACATATGGACGAGGAAGGAAAACCGGATTCGGTTCGCATTCAAGACCAGTCCAGAAATTAGCGCCGAGGTCCTGTCCGTCATTTTCAGCATTTGATTAAATATATATTCGTATGGACTACTCACATTAACAGGACAGATGAAGTACTTGTACCTCATCAGTACGTTTGTCAACCCATAACCAAACAAGATGGTAAAGATCCACGCGCCGACAAAACCTTCTACTGTCTTCTTTGGCGAGAGTTTAATGAGCTGGGTTCGTCCAAATGTAATGCCGCAAATGTACGCGAAGATGTCGTTGGTTATGACTAAAGCCACGGGAATGAAGAACCATATTAATCCTTCAAAGATGTTGTTCATGATGAAATGTGCTTGAACAACCAGTAGAAACAGCGCCATATGTGTCCATGCAAACATCGTAAACTGGAACTTGTAGTGGCCCTTCTGTAGAGAACCTACGAAGAATATAAAGCCTAGTACGGTCAGAAAAGGATATGTGAAAAGAGTACCTACGTGACGTACCGAAGATGTAGAGCATGAAGCTTATGAAACGATGGTGAGTTGCAAATGGTAGAAGAATGCGATCCACAAGAAGAACATGCTTGAAGTAGTAGATCACACTTTCGCCATACAGGTAGTACATGGCAGTGCCCAGGAAGTACCAGTTTAGCGATTTGGTGAAGCGCAAGCTCCTCGACCTGCTTGGTACGTTGATAATCGAAACCACCTCTTTAAATGAAATGACCTGTGCAGTAGTAACAACCATGATGACATAGATATGACCGGAAAACAGTGCAAGAAAAAAGCCCCCAATCATTATAAAGGTCCATATTGTTCGTGTTATGAAGGTCTGCTTCTTCTTTTCAAAATCCGATACTTCCTGAGGCTATCCTCTGTAGTATTAGTAAAGCAGCTCTGGAGTATCTTGTCAAGCGTGTTTCTGTACGTACTTTCTCCTCGACAATAACGCCATTGCGCGTGGGGCTACCGGGCTCCGATGACGCGCCTTCGCTGATGTCGCTCACACTTTGGCTTGGCCTTCTTGGCCGCGGTTGGGAGCCACTGTTGCGATGTCGAAATTTGACATCGCGCTGTGCTTTTGCCATGCTTGCTCCAGATGTAAAACGGGGAAGAGGGTAAGGTAGTAGGCAGAGCCGATTCGCAGACAGGATAATGGATTTCACGGCAGTCAGTGGTGGAGCTGCCGGACAACGCGGCAGAGGACAAGGGGATAGGGCTGAAGGCACCAAGGATTGAGCGCAGTCCAGTTTTATGCTTTCAGGAGGCCTGTACCAGAGACTTTCAGCAAAGGCCAGGGAGTGAAGGAGGCGGATAGAGCAAGAGCAAACTGTTCCGCGAGCGCAACGAAGGTTGGAAATGTTGCTTAGCCTCTGTGGTGTTGGAAGCGGTGGCCTAACAAAAATACCCTACGTCAACCGGCCTTAGTTCACCCGCGCAAGCGGGTCCGTAAATCACGTGACCACGCATCCCTCTTGCACCACCCCGTTCGCGTCTTTCGTTTTCCTCACCAACGCGCTGGGCCCCGCAGTGCAAGCAAGTCAAGACGGCATACATGGCCACACTGCTTCGTCAATGGCATGGCAGACACCGACGAAGATGACGAATTCGGTTCCGACGACGTCTTCGAACAACTACCTCCTACTACCCTGTTACAGCTCGAGAGGCAGGCAACGCAATTCGCACAGACAGAGCACCACCAATCCGCGTATCATAAGACAAAGCTGCCCCCGGATGAGAATAAGTGGCATTCAGAGCATCAACAATCGGCTCAATCAACTGCAAATTTGCGGCCCTCCTATCGCGAGCAAGATTATAACTACGATGACGAGGAAGTCATTGATCTCGACCAAGATCCGTACGCTATACGACCGCGGTTTGATCCGAAGCAGGCGCTAGTCGAATCGTTACCGAATGTCCCTCGTCCATCAACCCTGGAAACAAGTCTACATTCCCATCAAGGTCCTCCGGCGAATCAGTCAGCTCTTGCTGAGCTGCAGGCACGCATAGTTCAGGTATTTTCTTGCTCCTCGGCGTATTGATTGTTGTACTGATGTCGTATAGCTCGAAAATGATCGATTGGATCTCCAGAGACAAATTGAGGAGGCAAGATCAACAGCGCAGTTGAAAGCTGGCGAAGCTTCTATACTGCGTCAAAAGGCAGAGAAGGCGGCGAAGGACTATGAGCAGAAGATCGCTAGCATTAAGCAGTTGCATGCAGAAGAACGTGCGAAACACAAAGCCGAGCTTGATCGAGTCAAAAGTGATAGGGAAAAGCTTACAACGCACAATCGTTTTTTGGAGCATGATTTGGCCCTCGAAACAGATAAGAATCGGAAGTTCCAACGCATGCAGAGGCCAATTATTGCTGATTCCTCCAAGTCCGGTCAAGGTTCTAGCCCAACAGTGACGCCCAAAAAATCTAAGGTGCTTCCATATCGAGATGGTTTTGACGACAGCGATCTTGTCATGGTCTCGCCATCCAAACCGAAAGACCGCTCGAAGCCTACAACACCAAAAGCTGGCGCAAAAAGAAAGCGTACGGGAAATGATAACCAAAGCCCGATTCCCCTACCACAATTGCCATTGAGCGAGCCGAAAGGCCAACCAATTCCGCTCCAATCTCGGGCTGACTTCAAAGTGACTGCAGAAATCTTACAGAAGCTCGCAAGAGAGCAAAACAAGCTGCGATTTTTACAGAGGCTTCTACAGCACACTGTTAGTGAAGATGGAGAAGACAATATTCTTGAAGCACTGACTCGGTTCAACTTTCCGTCAAGTCCCGATCGGAAACTAAGCACTATTTTTTTCGAGCAGCTAGTTACGCGGCCCCTTGCTGATTTTGGTGACAGCAATTTAACAATTGCCGACACCATCTGCAATGCCCTTTGCGCGCTGTGGGAGCAAAGCTTGACCGAATCATACTACCCACCTATTTCGAGCCTGATCTCCAGCATTCAGAGAGTCTTCGAGCTCGAACGCTCTTCATTCGCTCAAAAATATGTTTCTCGAATTGTCCCCTTGGCAATAGCAACCTCAGATCTCGTGGCTATACCTCTTGCACGAGCTTCACTTAATAAGTCTCAGTCTCTCCGAGCCCAGGCCACTCGCATTACTCATGCCCAAGCTGCACCTGGTGCGGGTATTGGACTCTCTGAAAGCAACGGTGAGGTTGAACAAAAAGAAGAAGCCGCACAAAAGTACATCGACGTCTTTGCCTGTCTCGAGCTACTGAATACCCTGGCTGAGGCCGCAACTCCCAACAAAGATGCAATTACATTGTTTTGGCAGCATATGAAGTTCGATTTCGTCTTGATGCTTCTCATGAAAGCACAACCTATTGGACAGATTGGTCTAATGTTAGAATTACTCCGAACATCAGCCTTACAAGACACATTCGGTGCAATATCTGATGGCGAGAGAGAACGTCAGGATAGACGTGAAATCGACACACTTGATCGACTTACGGTACTTCTTGGTGAGAAATTTGAACAGGATCGTAGCGACATTACTTCAACCGCTTTGTTTGAGATGCGCGAGAGGGTCATTGCTGTGCTCGTCGCTTTGGTGAGCAAGGAACATGGCGCCCTTCTAATTGCGACACATCGCCATGCAATAGGACGCCTCTTCAAGTTCCTCCATGCGAGCATCAACTCTCTTTATCTCTACACACAAAGTTCCGACCATTCTTCCTTAATACGCAGTATCAATTCCGCTGTAACAATACTTTACCTTCTCTGCTCCTCCACTGGGGCGGTACAGACCAAAGTAAACGTTGACATCAGACAGAAGCTAAGCGTCATCCCAGGAGGCATGCATATACACCTCTTAGCATTGACAAGGCTGGCATTCGCAGAGCGGATATGGTATGAAAGGGGTATCGAAGAATCAAGTATGGAGCGGGCTCATGAAATGCTTGATGAGTGGTTGAGTCCCGAAGAAGGAGAAGGCTTGATGATGATGTTCGGGAGCGAAAGCAGTGGTGATAGTATGGACATCCAGTAACCACGCTGAGGAAGTCCAAGACTCGACGACCACGATCATGATGCATAAGTAACTTTTCCGTGCTGCACGCGATGCGAAGTTAGCACTTCTTCTCTGAGTAGTTTAATGATGTGAAGAAACTTTGTCGGCAAGAAGCTGTCCCATTATTTTGATGAACGAGGTCTTTGCCGTTTTGGCGCAATTTCGGTATCAACTTCTGTCGACGAAACGTAAGGGTTATTACGCTGCTGCGCGAGTCACGCCCAGCGAACCTACAGTTTCGAGAGCACGTGAATTTATGATCTTGCTGAATCAAACAAATGTCGATATAGTCACCCAACCTTTTGGCGGAAGCTGACAAACGTCATCATCAAAGTGAAATTTGACATCATGCGTTTTAACGGTCCTCTACGCGGCTTTTAGAGGTCTAGAGAAGGATTCTTCCGGAACGAGATAACAGTAATTGATCACGAGAAAGAGATTGTCTGAGAACCTTGGAGAAGCTAGCGTGCCGCCGAAGCACCATTGTGAGTCTTACGTTCTTGATTTTGGTTCAGAGCTTTTAAAGTAGATTGAATCAATCTGGGCATTGTAATTTGCGAAGCCTACTTTCCAACCCACTCGTCTCTTTCCCGCGCCCAGATTGATACGCTTAAGTTGGTCAATGTGATTATTCTAAGCCGAATCGCTACCAGGATCTCTGATAGGAATCGCAATACGCACATGATCTCTACGGATCCACCTCAACATATTCTAGAAGCCTTGTGGATTGGTTGCCGAATCGATTCCTTGTTCAAACAAGGCGAGCAGAATAATTCTAGAAGAGCAGTCCGCGTGTATTGTACCTTATCAGTTTCCAAATGCTTTGTACCGCAAGAAAATCTAAGCTCGTTATATTTGTGGCATTGGCTTTAAGCTGTGGGCTTGCAGGTTGAGATTCGGATGCGTGAGCAGCGGATTTGGTACTAAATCCACGATTGAGGAACCCTTGAAATGAGAAAGATCCCTTTCGAGGAGTCAAATCGGTTGCGTAGCGACGTATATTCAAAGTGAAGCATCTCCAACATCAGGTAAAAGACGAGCGAGTATGCGGTGAGATCGGCCAGAAGTTCCTAAGAGAATAGTCTAACCAAATAAGAATTACCAACGATTACTGAATATGGCAGACCCTTATTCTGGGCGTCTTAACTGATCTGCGTTGCATCCAAGTTACTGACGCAAGGATTCAAATGTGCGTAAGCAAATCACACCTTTGATATCAAAATTATAGTTCAAGGTAAAGTAGCAATCATTAGAAACAGTAAATCATATCCGCTGATACTGATTGAAAAATTTGAGAGGCATCCAGTTCATAGCCTAATTCTGAGACATCAAGCGGCTGGTTTTGATAAACAAACAGAGCGAGCACGAAATCGGGCAGCGACAGAGTCGGTAGCGATGTTTTCGTCAGCGTGGCGCACATAAGCGTACAAGGATGACGGACAGACCGGAATACTGTTTAATAAGCTCGTAAAAATCTTAACGATATCTAGGCGAAGGTATTACAAGCGTAGAAATATAGTATCGCAATAACCTGACTTTTCCGTCATACAATTTCCAGCCACTCTTCCGTCATCACTATGAAGCGGCTCCGATAAAGGACGATAGAGGTTTAAAGAAGAAATCCGCATAATTTCGCGAGGAAGAAAAAAAAATCTTCCCGCTTGTCGATAGATGAGTCGTAAGGGATGTATGCAGAATCCTTGTCCGATGGTCACAAATAAATCCCAGGCATGTTCTGGACATGGCCCGTAAAGCCTCAAAACTTATCTTCGGCGGAAAACCTCCTTGCAGTGGCAATGAAATTGAAAAATAACATGGCGCTTAGCTTTTGGACATGTCGCCTAATACCGATGACGCCGTAGCCTCGAGTCTTTGGCCTGCTGTAGCCAAAGTCAATGCTGCCGCTTTAACCGCTTTGCTCTCCTCTAATGCTTCTTTCAGAGCACTCTGGAGGGCCACTATGCGATTCTTCAATTTTATGATTTCCTTTTGCATAGACAAGATTTCTTTGGATTGCGGAGAGGGTGATTCAGTCGAAAGTGGCTTGGTAGTGACGGTCGTCTCAGATAAGTGCTGCCTCGGATTAGACGCATTTTCCCCCGGAGTCTGGCTATGTTGACCACCGCCAGAGCGCAAAGAGGGAGAAATGGGACCTCCGTTTCCCTCAAGTTCTGCAATTCGTTTCAGCAGCAAGCCCCGCTCATTCTCCCATTGTTTCCGGTCTTCCACGCCTTTGCCTTGAAGTTGATTAGCCATCTCTACTATCCTCATGTACTGCGCAGCACTGTCCGCCCCCATCTTTCTCGCCTCATCCCGAGCTACTTGCAGCTCTTCGACTTGGGCTTCGAGGGCGAGCACTTGGCTAGCAAGTCGTTCTTTCTCGTCAGTCAATGCGTTGATCTCGGCATCAGAGACTTCGAATTTTTTCTCCAGGGCTTGCGATTTGATACTTTGCCTTTCCAATTTCTGCAAAAGAGAATCATATTCACGCTGCAAAGTTTGAAGAGCTAGCTGCTTAACCGAAACTTGGTGTTGGAGATCTTGGAGGTGTGCTAGATGTGCTGCGCTGACTCCGCCAGGAGTCGGAGAAGAAATTCGGGGAAGGTTTGGTGGAATGGACAGGTTCATAGATGATGGAGATGGCAGCATTCGTGCTGTGTGGGCCGAATGAGTTGGTGAAGGCATTGGAAGTGCATTAGAGAAAGATGTCGACCGATAATGCCTAGACGGCGGTTGACCTGGAGGGTCCATAGGTTCGAGGGCCCGCCAAGAGTCGTGCTGCCCGAGCACAGAGTTTTGAGAAGATGGCTCTGGCTGTGAGGAAAATTGTTGGGAGGATTGTGGAGAGGATGACTCGATATTGTTATGGGCCGTCTCATGGTCCCGCTTCATTCGATCTAGCGGCGAGTGGATCGAAGACGTGTAGCGAAAAGACGAGTTTTGTAGGTCCGATGCTTGAACACGCTCTAGATTCAGCAAGTTCTTCAAGGACGCGTTGTTCCACCGTAGTCGTTGCAATGCCCATTCAAGGGCATCACCAGTATCAATCTCGGTCGCCTCAGGTAATATCTGTCGCAAGACGTTAATACCACAAGAATATGTTTCTTTGGCTGCAGAAATCAAGAATCGAACGAAAGTGGCTTAATATGCAACAACGGACTATAGCTTACAGGTTTTGGAGGTAAAACATCAGATGACGAAGTTCCCCCAGAGACAAGGGGATCACGAGCACAAATCTCTGTGACTAGATCCTGAACTATCGATCTCAATCGAGAACAGGTTGAGCCTGGGCAGCCAGGTGAACAGCAAACGACATTACCGGAAGCTCGATTTGCATGCGAATCCCATGTAGTCCTCTTCTGACCAGTTGCTCTTGCATGATCTAGAGTGTCAAGGCGATAGCGTGTGAATTGCGGGTGAAAGCCTTGGTGCTGTAGAGATAGCATTAGCACGTTTTAACTAGTCTCTCAAGTGGCGATTTGTTACCGATTACATACATCTTCGGGCTGACGACCTGGATGCGTGCGCAAGCGTGATGAATCAGCAATAGAATCTGAACGCGATACCGAATTTGGCTGACCAAGTTCCTCGGGTTCACCAATACGTCGCCTTTTGCTTGAATGGGGGTCTAGAATCATGGCAGGTAATTGGTTGGAGGGGATCGAGCGGTGGAAAAGCTGCGAAGTGTCGAGTGGTGGGAGCTGTGAATGGCGTGATGCCGGCGAGCGATTCTCACGAATTTCTCCTGCGTAAGGGAATGCTCCTGAGGGATGCGGGGATGCATGAACGGAATCCGAGCTGCTCCATGGTCGCGCATCAGAAGTATCGACTTGAGAAGATTGAAATCTTGGGGGTAGAGGTAGCCTCGGTGGGGCTATCGAAGTCCTCGTAGGAACTGTCTCGCAATGGCTGTCTGACTTCGAACCAGACGCCATTCAACCGTTAAAAGTAGTTTCGCTTTCGCCATGCGGTGGTCAGCTTGATATCGGAGTCGACAGGTTTTTGATCTTTGTTTCGAAGCCGCCAGGCTATCTCTCGCGATGTGTTATCGAATGGCCAAAAGACGCTCCAGATTTCAAGCCAGAAGTCCCCTCCAGAGCATTGTGCTTAGCAAAATGATCGTTCCGTTAGAATTGCTGATTATTCTAGTGCCTTTTTCCTTGACAAAAAAGCTGCCGACCGAATTAGGCGGTTTAGAAAAGAATCAAGGAAAAGACGCGCTTTGAACACATTCGTCGAAATGGTAGGTTTCCGGCAGGATGCTAAGGAATTGTGCTGGACTGGACGAGTGGTGTTAGACGAACCTGGGGCGGTTGTGGATAATGACGATGATAGAATGTGTCACGGCTGGCGCCGCATGTCCTCTTCCGAATGTGGTAAAGCATGGAGGCAGATCAGACGGCAGTCCACTCATGCCGGATATGCGCGGACAAGGGATGCCCAACATCTGCTGATTTGCACGTAAGACTTTCAGCGGCTTACAAAGGCGCTGCTTCAAGAACCCATCGTGCTAGAAACCAGGAACAAGCGGTGGCGGAAGCGGGTGAATGTTCCTGTGATGTAGACTTACTTTCGGAAGATTTAGCTCCAACGGCATGTTTCAGGAACCTCTTACAATTTGATCGCAACACTTTGTCCGTCAATGTGAGCTCGAAATCGCTCTTTTGGGGTCCAGACCAGGCCTAATCTTCGCGTAAAGAGTTCAAACACATCGACGTTGATTGGCCCCATCCTAACTATGCAGCTTTCTAATTGCTTACTGAGCACCCGGATTCGACCTGGTTGCATCCAACCTGCTTGACCTAGTCCTGCCCAGCAGCCTACTAGGCGGGTATCCCGAGATCATTCTACGTATTTTTGGGCCGCTAGTGATGGTTGACAATACGGTGAAAGATCATGGTACACACGCCTCTGAAGAACAGTAGTTTTGGCCAAGGCAAATTTTGGACTTCTTGCTCGTTCAGCCGGACTTGCAGCGAGGAAGTTTTTGTTCGCTCTCTGTTAACCTTGGATGTGACTAAGTTCTCAAAACAGCCAAACCTATGTAGCATGCGGTCTTGATGACAAAGAGGAAGTCCGATTAACTCAGGCCGACAAGTCCGAATTCCCGAGTCGCGCGAAATGATCTGCTCGAGCCTTTGCCGCAAGGAGAAGTGCTAGAGCGATCAAATCGTCTAGGCGCCTTCTAGTAACTATCTGTGTGTTGATGTCTTGCTCAATTCTGAAATCATCAGTTAGGTTAATGAGTAGCCCTAGTGGTTAGCATCAACTAACTGCCCTCAGATAGCCTCTCATACCGCACAAGACATGAGCGTACCCTACAATCCACATGAATCTCACCATTGGTCTTGGAATCCAGAACATTGCATAGTTTCGAGTTGACCAACTATTAAATAAGTATAATGCGACCTGCGTTGTCAACTTTCAGACATTTTCAATTCTTTGAGAACCAAGTCGTGGAAAATGGCCGTAAGCATCATTGCTAAGGAGCTTGGTGCATCAAATGGTTTCAATCGAAACGCCAGAACGTTATATGTAAAGCTAAATATCCGAATGATCTTAGTTATTTTCAACTTTGGGAACAGTAGCATGATTAGCCGTCAATGCTACCCTGTATAAAAGACGGAGGTGGATACAGTTCCAAAAAGTCAACCCTTCCGACTTCGGCCTCGCCATTCGAGAGATATAATACTTCCACAAGGGCAAAAAGAGAAAAAAAACAAAAAAAGAAAACATACAGCAGCGCCGGATTCCCATGTGGTCACCCACCATAGTACTAATGGGCCGATATGAGGCTTATATAGGAGTGAGCGGACGGGGACTCTAGTTTTCCTCATTCTATGACCGTATGTGACAGATTGTTACGACATATTTACCTATATCTTCAACATCAGAATTTGTACAATTGCCATTCTCAGAACACTTTTGAACTATGCATTGTCAGACGATGCACAAGTAGAATTCAGTGTTTTGATGCTATTTTTATTGACAAACAGGATGTAATGCGAACTAGAGTTTTGAACGGTCTGAGGAGACAAGAGGAATATGTGTCGGTGATCTTTCGTTACCCAGGACCTCAGTTGCCCAGGTTACCATTCAACTTCAGCCGATGCTTTTATGGTCGGATGCTTGCTGGACTCATAAGCCTTAAAATGAAACCACATCTAAGAACGAAGAGGATAATACAATAGCTACTATTACAGAAAAAGAAGCAGAAGGTTCCACAGGCATATACCATTCGTAGAAGGAGGACATTTTCCTAGCCTTCTCAGCCCATTGAATGCTCCAGGTTTTCTTCCTGTCCAATACGCACGGCTCTCGAGACTCCATACGCAGTCTTATAGATATGGACCAAGCACTCAGGTCACCAGCCGTTCAGCGAGCTCTACCTGATCTCGCTGGACTACATACCACATTCGGCTTCGACCGCTTTCTTGCGAGCCCACCGCCCACAATTACGTCGGACCCAAAGTCCATCAGAGAGCTTTTTCGTGGGTATGCCGTACAGATGGAGCGTCACGAACGCTTCACGGACCTTTGGAAGCATCAGGTACGTTTAGGCTTCCACGAGCTTGTCGCAATTTGTTTAACGATTTCTTTGCAGTACGCGAATCAGCTCGTCAATCTTCGCCAACTGATCACAGCCTTTGACAATCGACGGCTAGAAATAGAAGAAGCTGCAGCTCACGACGAAAGTTTAGCTGAAGATATTGAGACGCGGATGCTCGGCTCGTTGGAGTTCGAAGACCTTTATTATTTCCTTGCCTGCAAGACGCGAACCTTATATTCGGACCTTCAGTTAAGATTTGTGTCCGATTTCATCACCATGGACACCGTGCTCCACCGGCGTGGTGGCTCGTCGTACGCTCACGCCGCATGTACCGTTCGCGATTTTCGTAATTTTCTACGGGCCGTTTGGTTCCACCTCTTGCACCCGGTCATCGTGCGCACTATCGAGGCGTCGATAAACCACCGCAAGTACCAGGTTCTCAAGGCAAACCCGCTCTTACCATCTTGGAACCTGGAGAACACCACACAAGAAGAAAGGGACAGTATTCAGAAATATGAAAAGGGACTGAATTTGGACGCGTCAACTATGAGCACACTGTTCGGGCGCCTGGAAGATGTAAGCGCCCTGTCTATTCCTGCCCTTTTGATGAAGGTTTCGGCGCATGAACTACAACTTCGAGACACACTGTCCGAAGAACAGACTTCACATGCAAGCGATCGCGGAAGCTCGGCTTTTGTGGAAAGAGCGAGATTTGCAACTTTCGAAGGCGATACAAAGGGGCATATTGCTAGTGACTTGCAGGAGATTGGGACGCAAAAGCCCGAGCTTCGAGCAGAGTCGGGTCACCAGCGATCAAAGTCTGATAACGCATCCAGCAGGCTGTCAAGACGACCTGACCGAAGACCGAAGTCATCTTTCGTACTGCTCGACAATGACAGTCTGAGAAAGACCGATGTTAAAGCCATAGACGGTGGCGATAGTGCATGCTATGTGACAACTGGATTGTCGCAGCTTGTTCCTGATGACGGGAGAGGGCGAAGTTCTATCCAGGCAACTAGCCAGAGCAGTGAAGACCGACTGCCTCCCAGTCCGGAGGTCCCGAGGCAGTCTGCTCGTTTCTGTCCGTCTCTTTCGCCGTGCAGCTACCGCATGCCATTCCACGGTGACGAGCAATTCCCGCACGACCCACCGACACCACCGCCCAAGTCCGCGTCACTTCTGGCACGTGCGAAGGAACGCGAGCTCGAGGCGAGGCTGAAGCGGCTCGAGCGAATCGAGCAAGAGACATGGCGGCTACAAGACGCGCTGCGGCAGGTGCAGGCTCTTCAGCGAGAGAATTCGCGGCTTCAGGAGCGACTGTTGTTGACCTCTGCTCCGCCGTCTACGCCCAAGGGGTTGTTCCGACGGTTGTCCAGGGCTCGCGGTCGATCACCCGGAAAATCATTACAATAGTGCAGGGTCGGCCAACGGAAGTGGCGCCGGCCAGATCACATTGGGGAGCTGTGTTTAGTTGAGATTCTTGCTACCACGATACGGTTTGCAACCGTAGTGACGTAGCGTTGCGATCAGGGGAAACGCCAAGATTTTCACAGCGCTGCGTCGATCCAGATGTGGCTGCAGGCTGAGCAGGGCACGGCTTTGCAAGGTGGCAACCGAAGCGAAGACATGTATACATCGAACCGAGCGGGCGTAGAGCGGAAGGGCAATCGACGGGCGCGAAAGGTGTGAGGCAACAGATCTAGCCCCGGCGCGAGAGAGTTCGCGGGTCCTGGAATTTCCAGACGCTCTCGTCATGGCTTAGAGAGCATCTGATGACAGAAGCCTTGGCGGCTTCGTGCACCAAAGCTTGGCTCTGTGCTGGGCGAGACTCCCTGCTGCATCTCCTTTCATCTCTTTGAGACCGCACTCGCCTTGACCCGAGTTCTCTGGCATCACCTAGCGTCCGCGTCAAGCAGCATATGTTCCGCCTCACGGGGACGACTCGTTGGGAAAGGATGTTCGCTTGCCCCGCCGGCCATCCGTGCACGTCGACATCCCTTGGCGACACCGTATGACGTTCCATCGTCCCGCCCGAACGCAGCACGTCAACGGCACCACTCCATGCGCTGAGATTAGAGTTTGCCGCACAGCTCTTAGCGCGATTTTCGACCTGCACTACACCCTACACGTGGTGGCTCAGAGCTGCTGGAAACCGGCGCGCCGTGAATGGAGGAATAATCTGTCGACCGACGGCACGCTAGCATGCTGCTGCGTTGCGACTGGACTTGGACGTGCACAGTTCGACGTGCGCGTTTTTCGTGAGCCCGTCCGTCGGCAGCGGCGCGGGCCCTCACGTTTGCAGCGAAATCCTACATGTCACTGCGGAGGTTCTGCGTCCAGACTTCGCAAGAGCGGCTTACGCAACCACGCGAGAGACATTGAGCTGGCTCCGTGGACCTCCCAACTCGTCCGGGTGGATAGGGACCTCTCGCAAAGGGGAACGTGGATCCCCGCCGACGAACACACGTTGAATGGACATTTTCACTCTCAAAGCGCCTTCCCGATCGTTAGCGCGAATCTCTTTCTTTCTTTCTCTCGTCTCCTTCACTCTCGCTCTCTCTTTTCTGCGTGCGTGTGTGTTGTGGCTTTGACCCTTCTGTTCTGTCCGTAATTAACCTAATTTGTGACAGCGTCTCCATATTTTTTTTTGGGTAACCCATCCCTGATCTCGCTGCCTCTTCACCTTCAAACGCGAGTTTTCCTTTTTCTACACCCTCCTGTGACTCTTCGATGACCGCTTCTTATGCCGCCGTGTAGCCAAACCATACCGCTTTCCAGAACAACAACGCCAGACTCAGAGAACTATGCTTAGGCTGTAACCGTGGAACCGTCTCCATAACTCAACCCTATGGCGGCCATCATCCGGCTTTCAAAGCCGAACCACCGAAAGTTAATTCGTTTTGCAGCCGTCTGCCTTGTAATTGTACTCTTCATCACAACGCTTGCCGTTCTAAGCTCCAGCAATGGCAAAGTTGCCTCGTTCCTCCCAGATATACCCCATCTTGACTACAATCCCTTAAGTATCCTGCGACCTGCAACAAGCGAACAAAGCGGTGCGCGACAGGGACCAAGTTTAGGCTATCCCCTTGGTGATTGGGAGTTCAATGTCGAACGAGACGGCAGAAATTTTGGGCTCAGCGACGAGCAATGTGCCGCCGCGTTCCCTGACTACTATCGCGAAATCGACCGGGCTGTGACATGGCGGAAGGAGCAGAACCTGCCGAAGATCGAAGAGTCTCAAATGGATATTTCTTGGCGAGAGGGTGGAGAGATCATGCGGCTTATGATCTATGATCGCAAGGTACGTATGGATTGGCGCAAGCTTAGGTCACGACTCTGGGCTGAGTTTCGCGCGTCTAGCTCTACATCATCGAGCACAGATTTTCGGAGCATGGCTACGACCTGCCTCGAGCACTCTCACTCCTCCACGAAATCCACCGAGCCATCATCGCTTATTCTGGTCCGCTACCCAACATTGAGTTCTCCATGTCTTTGGGGGACTGGCCTGGAGACCCCGACGCAAAATGGCCCATTTGGGTGCTTACGCGGTGGAAGGATGAGAACGACAAATGGGTCATGCCTGATTTCGGCTATTGGAGTTGGCCTCTCGACGTAATCGGTGACTATTCGCAATTTAGGACTGATGTTCGTGAGAATGAGGTGCCGTGGGAAGACAAACTGAAAAAGGCAGTCTGGCGAGGAGCGGTCGGCACGAACAAGCTAAGAGAGGATTTGGTCAGGGTCTCGAAGGGTCGTAGCTGGAGTGACATCCATGCTGTTGAATGGATTAACATGACGACGATGGACGATGGATCGTTCAAACGATCTCTAACCATTACAGATCATTGCAACTACCAGTTTCTTGTTCACACAGAAGGTCGGCCTTAGAGAAGCCTTGTTCGTTTGCACCGGTGGAATCTTACTAACCAGCTGCAGGTCACACCTACTCTGGACGAGGAAAGTATCTCCTCAATTGTGAATCCGTTTCGGTCGTTCACAAACCCAACTGGATTGAGCCCCACACCCATCTTATGGTCGAGTCGGGTCCTGACCAGAACATTGTTCAGGTCGAACGCGATTTCTCCGACATGAACGAAAAGATGCTTCAGTACCTCAGAAATGAAGACCAAGCGCACGAGATTGCCAAACGGAGCGCTGCCGTCTTCCGTGACAGGTACCTGACGCCGGCGGCACAGGCATGCTACTGGCGAAGACTCTTCAAGGCCTGGGCATCCGTAAGCTTTGAACCGCAGCAATACATTACCATCAAGGACAAACTCGGCAAGGTCCGGCGCAAGAGTCGGGGGACGCCCTTTGAGACGTTCGTAGCTGACCTGGTCATGCCTACCCTTCCTGGCTGAAGCATAGCGAGAACGCGCCAGCTTAACGTGCAATCTTGCAATGGGAGTCTGGATCACGAGTTTTATTTTGCAATATTTTGCAGCGAGCAGGGAAAGTTTGGAAAGCATCACCACTCTCAAAATCGCCTGCTCATGATTCAGCCCATGACTATACCCGCCAAGTCGGGCTAAGATGTCTTCGATTCAACCGAACGGGTTCTTTTTGTCTTCGGCCTCGGCATTCGGGGAGCTGGGTTAGTAATGACGAAAACAAGGCACACTCTTAGTGCTCATGTCAAACTCAAGCAAAGATCTGGGGTTTGAGTGTGTCCGAGATGATGGCCATCCCGTCCTGGGCGTTTTTGTTTCTGTAGCCTGCAAATCCTAGCCCGTGGCAGATGAGGCTGTGGCTACTAAGTACTTGGAGGTGTCACACGCGGACTTGGCATCACGAAATGAAGGTGATGGGGATACAATTTTGTCGAAAAAGATTCAGGATGAGATAATCTTTCCTCTGCGACGAGTGTCGCGTAGCAAATATACTGTGGTCTAATATCCGTCCGAGATAGACAAGTGAAGCGGGATGTCGATTTTCGCTATTCTGCTAGTCCTCATTCCATTTGCCGTACTTCACTGGCACGTATATTCATTTGATAGCCATGTTGACTAAGGTTTACAAAAATAATCCACAAGCGAGAGTTCGCCGATGGACGTCCTGCAGTCTTGAGAACGACTCACGCGTACACTGAGGACCGACCAACAATCCTGCTCTGGTATTGGCCGGCTTCCACAAGGCTGTTCAGTAATCACAAGTTCTCCTCATTTCTCTTCAGCTCGCAGACTATGTCGCCGTCAGGAAAGTTTGGTCTCCGAATGCATTAGTCGCCTTTGGCTACAAGGCTATCTGGTGTTTAGTAACGGCTTCTCGGTGACCTGACGTACTGACGTACCGATAGGGCGTCCACAATGGCGTCTGCTCTTCGGGTAAAGGAGATCTATGATCTCCAGAGCCATCGTCAAAATCCTACAAAAACATATGCCGTACGCTTCGGCCTGACCCCATTGAATTTGAAAGGTGCGAAGGTGTGAAAACAGCTTTGCCGACATCTTATCGCGCTTGCGCTTCCACCCTTGTTCCAGAGGTGCCCTTCCCTTTCTTTACGTCCTGGTCAGGCCGTGCCAGCACTTTACGGATGGCGGCATCTGAAAAAGCGTACAAATCGAGTCGTCCAATGACCGATTCTGAGAGTCCTCTTGGCATCGGTGTGGATTTGGAGAAACAGTGGACTTCGGCTCATGGGTCGCCATCAAGTGACGAGTCGTCGTTGTCGGAGCCAGACAAGATCCAGACGACGAGCAACGAAGAAAGCAGGTAGCCCAGTCCACTTGATGACACCAGTTCAGCAAAAAGAGTCGTCACGGCTCAAGACTGGATGGGCCCCGACGATGCTGAGAATCCGCAGAATTGGCCAATGTGGAAACGAGTGTACCATACAATCCCACCCGCGCTATTTGGCTTTGCCATGTAGGTACCGCCCAGTTGTTGAGACGACGTATGTACTGACCGAATCGGCAGAACGTTCGGATCCTCCGTCTATACTCCTGCGTACAAAGAAATTGCCGAGCGATTCGATGTCTCTCCTACTGCATCCCTACTTGGCGTGACGCTGTATGTCATCGGCCTAGGTCTAGGCCCAATGATTGCGTCTCCGCTCTCAGAGACTTTCGGTCGCCATATTGTGTACCGGATCTCGCTTCCCATATCCGCGCTTTTCACGCTCGGTGCTGGTTTCTCATCGTCTTTTGGCTCGTTGCTGGTCTGCAGGTTCTTTGCCGGCGCTACGGGAAGTCCAGTTCTTGCCGTCGGCGCTGGCACCCTCGCGGACATGTTTCCTCCGCGAATCAGAGCCAGGGCAACCAGTTCATTTCTGATGTCTCCTTTTCTGGGACCCTCAATAGGTCCATTCTTGGGTGGCTTCGTCGCCCAGTACAAGACGTGGCGGTGGACAAATTGGGTAACCTTATTCATCCTAGTTGTGTGCTATGCATCCTCCCTGGGCATGCAGGAGACATACAAGAAGATCATACTGCAGAAGCGAGCCAAGAGACTGAATATTGCACCTCCAAAGCAGGCATTACCTCAAGGACTGGTCGGTGTCAAGTTCCTTCTAACCGTTACATTGCTCCGGCCATTGACCATGCTGTTCACGGAGCCGATCGTGGCTTTTATGAGCTTATACAATGCCTTCACTTTCTCGATCCTGTTTGCCTTTTTCGAAGCCTTTCCCATGGTCTTTGGCGGCATATACGGCTTCTCTGTTTCTCAAGTTGGCCTGGCTTTTCTGGCTGTAGCAATCGGTGTCATCTTCGCCGTCGCTACCGCTATTATGCTCGACATCAAAGTGTTCCAGAAGCAGTTCAGAAAAGCAGTCGCTGAAGGCAGGGCGGCTGTAGCTCCTGAGCACCGTCTATATTCTGCCATGCTCGGTAGCTTTGGCATCACAATTGGTCTCTTCTGGTTCGCATGGTGAGAACGTTGGTTGAATTCCATAACTTGGGTGTTCCTAAAGCGCTAATATAACGTCGCAGGACATCTCGACGCGCCGTTCACTGGATCGTTCCCATAATCGCGACGATACCGTTTGCGTGGGGAAACACCAGCATATTTGTACGTCTACCCATTCATTCACGTCAGATTCCTATATGGGTATATGTAGCCGATGCTGACTGTGCTCGGTAGATTTCAGCGGCTTTGTACCTCGTCGATGTGTACGGGCCACTGAACGGCGCTAGCGCGATGGCAGCCAATGGCCTTCTGAGATACGGCATGAGTGCTGTTTTCCCATTGTTCACTGTCCAGAGTACGTGATATAACTGTGACTGGTATCCGTTGCCTGGTTTCCCTTGCTGATCCTTTATGGTGAACAGTGTACAAGACTTTGACAATTCCATGGGCAAGCTCTCTCTTGGGTTTCCTGTCGTTGCTCATGTTACCCATTCCCTTTGTTCTGTTCCGCTTCGGACCAAAGATCCGCGAGAAGAGTCGCTACGACACGATCAAGGCTTAATGGCCCATGCTCATAAAAATACATGCATGGCCGTTTTAACAGAGTGATGTTCCTATGGGGCAGATCCCCCGCTTCCGCACGGAAATAATTTAAGATGGCTAGCCGGGGTTGGTTATAAGCACCTTGCATTACGCACGTATCCAATAGACATTGATTTCCATTCTCGTCGAGCCTTGCATCTCAATTTCTCCTTCCATTCCAGATCCTACGGGGTTTCTTCACATGCCGTAGCGTTGTGCTCGAGTACAGATGAGTTTCAAAATGCTGTTGAATTAAATTTCGCTGAAATTCAAAATGCAAAACGCAAATGCGGCACAGCTGACGAGTTTAAGGCTCAAATCGCACGTGTTTCTGCGCCAATCCAAGCAAGCGACGATACCGGGAAACGTGATTGGCCATTTGCCGTGGCTACAGACTTCGCCAGCCTCGGCAGCCTGGAAAACAACCTGAGGTCACCCGATGCGATTCGCCACTCCTCTTGTGTATAGTCGCTAGCTGTGTAGTTAAAAGGGCAAAACGTTCAACTTGCCCCGCAGAAGAAGTGTGCAATGGCTCCATCTACATCTTCAATGTCTGCAGCTGCTCGATCAGGTGCAGCCGAGGAGCCGTTGATCATTGTCGGTGGCGGACTAGGTATCCCTTTATACGTCCCACACATCAGTAGTTCGAATCACTGACCATATAAAGCTGGGCTGACAGCTGCATACGAGATCACAAAAGCGGGACAGCGATGTGTCATACTCGATCAGGAAAATGAGAAGAATCTCGGCGGACAAGCCTTCTGGTCTCTTGGTGGCATTTTCCTTGTTGGGACTCGTGAGTCTACACATCATCCCTATGACAAGATGACTTGTGATAGAACTAATCTCTGTTTGGTAACTGTGCAGAACAGCAATATTGGATGGGTGTCAAGGACAACGTCGAACTGGCTCGACGTGATTGGATGAACAGTGCACAGTTCGACCGGTTACAAGATCAAGATTTCTGGGCGAAGCGGTGGGCAGATGCCTATGTTGAATTTGCTCACAAAGGAATGCAAGACTACTTGCATAGTTTAGGATGGTCATGCTTGCCGACAGTGGGCTGGGCTGAGCGAGGAGCCATCAGTTCAAGCGGACATGGGAATTCCGTCCCTCGCTTTCATGTCACTTGGGGTACTGGCCCCCGGATTGTGGAGCTGTTTGAAATTCCGGTCAAGGAGGCTGCGAAGAAGGGATTAGTCGAATTCAAATTCCGGCATCGCGTTGATGAGATTCTTAAGGATGATACAGGACGCGCGATTGGAGTGAAAGGCACTGTGCTCCAGGAAGACAATAGCGATCGTGGCGTAGCATCCAACCGTGAACCAGTCGGTACATTCGAGCTCCGCGGACGCGCTATTCTCATCTCCACAGGAGGTATTGGTGGTAATCCGGCGCTCGTAAAGGAAAATTGGCCTGCGTCCCGTCTTGGTGGCTATGTACCCGAGTTCTTCGTGAACGGGGTACCCGCTCATGTTGACGGCCGGATGCTTAAAGTTGCAGAGAGCGCTGGAGCTTGTCTCGTGAACAAGGACCGCGGTTGGCATTACACGGAAGGAATGATCAATTGGGACCCGATCTGGCCAAGTCATGGTATACGCATCATCCCGGGCCCATCGCCAATCTGGCTCAATGCAAGAGGTGAGCGTATGGCGCCACCTGCTATCCCAGGTTGTGATACGCTTGCGACGTTGAAGCAGATTTTGAGCACGGGATGCGATTATAGCTGGTTTGTGTTGAATGAGACGATCATGATGAAAGAATTCATGTTATCAGGTTCCGAGCAGAACCCAGACTTGACGAGCAAGTCTCTTTGGGGGGTTTTGAAGCGCACCTTGAGTGGTCAAGAGCCCGTTCGCAAATTCAAAGAGCATGGGGTAGACTTCGTCGTTGCGGAGTCGGTTGGAGAGCTTGTTGCCGGAATGAATAAGCTGCGGCGTGGCAATGCTCCCGAGCTTGATCCTGAGTCCGTGGAAGCGATAATTAAGGACAGGGATGACCAGATAGACAACCCGTTTACGAAAGACGCGCAGATCATGGTTATCCAGAACGCTCTCAAATTTCGGGGAGACCGAATATCACGATGTGCTCCACTGCATAAAATCCTTGATCCAAAACATCGGCCCTTGATCGCAGTTCGGATGAACATTCTAACAAGGAAAACACTTGGGGGGATACAGACGAATCTGGAGAGCCAAGTGATGCGGCCTGATGGAAGTGTCTTTCCCGGTTTATATTCTGCGGGTGAAGTTGCTGGATTTGGTGGCGGAGGATTGCATGGCTACAACGCTCTAGAGGGAACGTTCTTGACAGGATGTATATTCAGTGGGCGTGCTGCAGGCATCGCAATGGCCAAGGATGGAGTCCCACGAAAGGAGAGAAGTGTTCTGTAGTATTTTGTGTAAATATCAGCGTCTGAATCGGATTTTGAACGTACGAAGAAAGTACATTCCCATTGCACACACCTTCCTTACTTTTCGGAGCAAGTCGATATGCATCTTGTCGAATGCTACCAGTTTTCTTGATATATCCAGTTTGGATTCACATTGAGTTAATTTTCTACAAGGATAGACGACGTCATGCGTTATCGAGAAGCTTGGACCATGTCAGTTGTACAGAGCGGACCTCTTCAATTGTAAATAGCAATTCATTACCGGTTGAGTTTTAACATTGGGACATTCGACTGCAATTATGATCAGAGTCGATTGGGGAAAATAACATCTCGCATGCACTTTCAACGGACGCCGCAGCTCCACCTCTGAAAATGGCCGCCGCGAACACGAAGAAGCAGCGAGGTCCGCCAGCTTCGATGAAGTGGCCCGAGACGCAACGACCTCAGCCGGGCCAGAGACAAGGCACTGGACTCTTTACAGTAGACCGAGTGCTTCAATTTCACAGCGACATACCGTCAGCGCAGAGTCGTTCGCCCGCCCCACGTCCAGGACACATGAGAACGCCTAGCGGACGACACCCGCTCGATCCCAAACTCTCCGGCTTACATGTCCCTACAAGTGTACCAACGCGCACGTCGAAAGTCACGGAGAAGCTGGTGCTTTTGCCCGAGGCAGAACAAGTGGACGAAGAGAAGGCAGCTTTTGAGGCTGACGAAACCGATGGCCCTCCAACTGATGACGAGTTGGCCTTGCGGAAAGTCAAAACACTGGGAAAATCCGAAGCGGAACGGTTACCCAAGTCCGAAAGAGCAGAGAGATTGGCGAGAGTCACAGCGTATTGCACAGCGTCGGCCTTCAAGCTCAAAGCCGCAGCAGAGTTCCTCAAATCGCAGCACAATGCGCGAACGAAGATGTACGACGACTGTTTGTACGTGGTTTATCATCTACCTCTTTTGCCAGGTCACAACGGCTTCCGCGTACGCAGCAGTCCCGCACTCAAAAGCCCAGGTGGCAAGCACATAGTGGATGAAGAGATTGAACGGAATGAGCTGCACGAATACGGTGAAGGTTACTTTGGCGAAACGGACGAGTATAACTTACGTACACACGAAAGCGGCAGCCCTTCTCCCCAGCGCGATTACCTTAATTCGCCATCCCCACAAGACGCAATCGCGGGCAACAAGCGGCGAAGATCATTCAGTCCTCCGCGTCTGATAGCGCCTGACGCAATGTCCTTTGGCGAGATGTATATATTCGGCTATGGTGTTGTCGTGTTCTGGAACTTCACCGAGCGACAGGAGAAGGACATTCTCGCTGACATGACGTTCTCAACATCTGTCCCGCTCGCGACGAAGCCGCAGCCCCCAGACTCATTCGAGACGGAAGAATTCCATTTTGAGTACAATCCTGATGTCGCACGCCCTCGCATTTTCAACGACATGATCACTCTCAAGAGCGGTGACCACATGATCAAACTCACTATGAGCCATGCGATTGCACAGAGTACGAAGCTCAGCTTCTTCGAAGAACGCATGCAGGACACCATGCAGGAAGCTGTCGATGTACCTCGTCGTCTCGCTCTTACAGGACGATTGGGCATGAAACGCGAAGAAGTTGTTAAGATCCTCGGCCGTCTCTTCGGGTCTCGCGTTGACGTCAATCTCTCATCTAACATTCTTGATACCCCTGACTTTTTCTGGGACTCTGAGCCAACCCTTCATCCCCTATACTCCGCCGTTCGGGAATATCTGGAGATTAAGCCTCGTATTCAGGTTCTCAATGAGCGCTGCAAAGTCTTCCTTGATCTTGCGGAGATTTTGAGCGACAGTATTGCAGATAAGAAGATGACAAGCATCACGTGGATCATCATTGTCTTGATTGTAATCAGCATTGCTGTTACGTGCTCAGAGGTCTTCTTGAGATTTGGAATTTTGAGTGGCGAGAAGCACAAGGATGGAGGTGGGAATGCAAAGATAAATAACATCGTGAATACGAGAAGCATAGCAGGACCAGCGATGATGGGGAGCTGGTTGATTCCAAGTACGCCATTATTGAGCATTGCGAGGACTGGGATGACGGCTGCTTGGGCGTTGTGGGCAGCAAAGAGATGGGGCTGAACCCATCCTTCAAGAGGATTTTTTGCGCGAATGTAAACGAATATAGCTATGTACAGAATATAGCCTTGCCCGTCTCGAATTTTCGTATAAATTTCCCATCAGCTCACGCTGTCCTTCTTACTGATCCCTCAGACTATACAGTCGAAATTTGCCTGCGTGACGCATAATCCTCATGTTATCTGGAGCATAAGTAACTGTTCACACGGAGGACGGCAGCTACCCTTCGTATTCTGTCGTTCCCCACGTACCCAGGACACAGGGTGTTTTAATCTGTCGGGAATAAAACTGCATGACAGGCTTCCACGTTGCACTTGCATCACCATGATCAACGACAGACGGCTAGATTGAGTGTATATTGCTTGACATAGTTCGACTACGATCGAGGACTGCAATACGTAATCAAGGCTTGATCTGCTCCCCGCCATTCTTCACCCAATCCAGCCAGCTCCCGGGGTATTCGCCCACGGCTTGGTATCCGTTCTGTTTCGCAAAGTGGGCCGCAGCCTTGCCTCTCACGCCTGCCTTGCAGTAAAAGACGACCTCGCGCTCGGGTGGGGGCTTCGGAATGCCAAACCTGTCCTCGAACGCGTCGGGGCTCAGGAAAAGCGCGTCGGGCTGCGACTGCACGGGTATGTTGATGGCCCCGGGTATGCTGCCCGCGGCGAACTCGTGCGGTTCCCGCACGTCGATTAGGACGGGCTTGTCCTCGGACGTGGAGAGGACCACGTCTTTCACCTGCGGGATTCTAGGTCAGTCCAGACGTCCCACTGCCGCTCACGAACCAAGAGAGGGAGAGGGGGCGGGGAGAGCGGGAAAAGAGAGCGTACTTTGGAGAAGTCATATGTCTTGCTGGGAGGCAGCTCCTTCTGTTGCGCCGGGTCTGAGCTGTACCGACGCTGGGTTGGAGATGCAACGCCGGGGAGCCGTCTTGGGAGCGAAATGTGCCATTTCGACCTCGCAGGCACTGTTCTAGCTACGTGAAATGCACGCGACGATATGGTCGGAGCCGCTTCGCGCAAGGCTCTTGAGAATATGCGTGGCAATGCCATGTTGATAAGACGATGTTTGCGCGCTTTCAGACTCTCCCGACCAGCTTCGAGAAGCTGGAAGAGGTCCGAGCTTGATGGCCGACTGAAGTCAGCCAAGACCCCTGAGATGGTGCAGCGGGGCACAGCAGGCAAATAGTCTCGACACATCAACTGCGGTCTTGCTGTCTACAATGAGTAGAGTTGATTTCTGAAGAGATTTTGTGGGAGACAAAAGATGCTAATACGCCAATTTTAACGCGCAAAGAAGATCTGTTTTTCTGGAAATCCTAATCGGCAATTATTAATTAGTGCTCCAACGAGCATCTGCTATATACAACAGGCAACTATGCCAAATCGTAAAATACTAGAGTAAAGTCTATGGGATCTGTGGAAAACCCAATACGACGCGCTAAAATAACGGGCATTCGACATCGCTCGCACGCGCATTTGACTGCAGAGTCGCTTAAGAAGGGACGCTTTCGTGAACAAATGCTGCCGTCTCCAACTGCTTGGATGCATGATGAATCAGAATTTCGAGGTTCGACACAACCCCTTCCAAAACACTCACTCTTCCCGCGGCTTGAACGTGAGCAAGCAATGATCCTGAACAGTATTAGCTTGACCTGAACACTCATAATCAAGAGCACATACCTGAGGGAAGATCGTGGCGAAAACCTCAATGAGCTCAGACTTTGGCGTGACTTTGTGATCCCAGTCCACGAACATGCTGGCCTTGCCGATCATGGCCTGAAGATTCAATTGAGCGTAGGTCTGGCCCAGGCAGTAGTGTGGCCCAGTGCCAAATACCAGCCAATTCTTGACCTGCTTCTCCGCATCACCGGTGATCCATCGATCCGGGTCGAAAGTGTCCGGGTTGGGATACGCTTCGGGGTCGTGCAGGGCAGGATAGGTCGTGGGAATGACCATGGCACCCTTGGGCGCGGTGTACGTGTCGGTGATGGGGAAGGCCTTCTTTGCGATGTATGGAACCATGAGGACGGGTGGGCGGTATCGCAGAGTCTCCTTGACGATTGCACGAGTGTAGGTCATCTGTTCGAGCATCTCAAGAGTAAATGGCTTGTTACGATCACCGCCTCGTACTCTCAAATTTTCCTCTCGGACCTTGTCAAGCATGTCTGGATTATCGGCCATGATCTGGAACATCCAAGTACAAGCACTGCTAGTCGCGTCCTGAGAAGCGAACAAGAAAGTGAAGAGCGTCATTGAGATCTCGAGATCGGTGAACCAGCGGATGAGCATGTCGGGCTTCTCCTCCTGCGGCACGTCCTCACCTTTTGCGACCCTGTTCCTGTAATTCTCCGAATCGATCATGTGCTTGACCCAGCGATCCATGATGCAGGTAGGCTCGCCACCGGCTTGCATACGCACCTTGCTCTTTGCGGCACACTTGGAGAACTCGTCCAATACCATGTCCGCGGCCTTCTTACCGTACCACGACTTGGTGAATGGGAGGATGATGGGGAAGTTGACCAACTCAAGCGCAGCCGTGATCAGGTAATAATCATGGGCAATCTTCTTTACTGTCTCGTCGGAGATGTAGTGACCGACAAAGGTACGGCATGCGACGGCGCACTGAAGCTCGCGGAACACTGGCATGAAAGGGACGTGTTTGCCATCGTTCTCCTTGGTTATGTCCAAGAACATCTGGATGTACTTGTTGTAGACCTCCTCCTGCCCAGGCAGATATGACTCCAACGCTTGACGGCTGAAAAGACCGTTGAGGCCCTTCCGGTAGTCCACGTGCGCCTTTCCATCCAAGAAGACCCAGTTCTCCGGTCGAAGAAGCTTGAAGGCCGCGTCGACGACGCAGGGCTTCACGTAGGTTGGCGAGTTGAACACCTTACGGGCCATGTCGCGAGTGGAGGCAATGACGACGAATCTAAATAGAAGATCTCAGAACAAGATTCGCGCATTCGACTGATCCGACGAGACCTACTTGTGAAATACCGACACACAGCTGAGTGGACCGCTCATCCATTTCGCGTAGTACTGCTCGAATTTTGGATTCATGGACTCCAGAAAGGGGCCCATGAAGGGAAGCTTGAACATGGGTCCAGCAATCGATCCCTTCTGGTACACATAGCTGCCTATGGGGGGTCAACGGCTATGACCACGCAAGGAAGGGGAGGGCAAGACTTCGAAGGACATACATTGATCGTACACCACCAAGCCGATGAACAAGGTCAACAGGACAGACCAGATCGACCAACCCTGCGTCAGCCTGGCCAAAACGCCATCGTAGGACACGACGTGCAGAGCGTAGTTCGCGTCGGCCGTGGGCGACGCATAACTCGCGTTGACAACCATGGCTTTGCGGATGGGAAGAAAAAAAAGTAGCAATCAGACGTGATAGGTGATCCAGCCCAGGGTCTGCCAAAGCGCGGATCCGACAGGAGGCCAACCACGCGGCCAATCGACAGCGGGAGTGGGGCGTATGGTCGATGGACTGAATGAGCGAGCCGTGGAGAGGAAAAAAGAGGATAAGACGCCGAGCGTCCTTGGGCAGTGGAGTGGTCAAGTCTCAAGCACGACGTGAAGGGGAAGGGAAAGCGTCGAGCGCCAAAGCAAAGGATCAATTAAAGTATGCGAGAGTCGGTGAGTTGCAATCGCGCCACTACGGCTGGTTCACTTGCCGACATCCGTGCGGTGCTTTCTGCAAGCTCGCCGCCCGTCGAGACATCGGCGCACCGTTCGATTACATCTTTTGCATTTCGAGTAGCATCGCCGGCCAGAAGCAGTCGAGCACGCCGTCATCGTCGCCGTGTCCCATGTAGCCCGAGTTTTGCCCGCCCGTCCACGCGCGTTGTTCCTCAACGCTAGTTTCATTGCGCCCGCTGTCCGTCGAGCGAGCCAAGCGAAGCCCGTGGGACCCATCCCCTGAGCTCCTCGTTTCTTCCTCGCCCTACAATCGTCTCTGTAATTCAGCTTCAATGCCATGTTGGCTGCAGCAACCGGACGAGCCGCGATCCACGCCGTCAGAGTGCAGATCATCCCCGCCCCCAGGTCGCTGGTGGACAGCAGGGAGATTCTACGTATCTTGCAAGGCTACGGCGAAATCACCACCTACCGCTGGCTCAAGGTAAACCTCGACGTCCACCGTCAAGCCTGCTCGATGAGCCACCGTATGCTGACAACGGTTACCAGCACGATGCCCTTTCGTCGGCGCCAAACTCAGCAATGGCTATCTTTGCGGATGGCGAGGCCATGGACACATTTTTGCGAGACTGCCCGCTGACCTTTGAGATCGATCGCGTGGAGCGACAAGAGTCGTTTGACAACCTCGCGAATGACGACGCCGAGTTTTCAGAACCAAGCGCTGAATCTGCCGAGAACTCAGCGAGAGACCCAGAATCGGCCTCCTCTGACCCAGGAGCAAAGCGTTCGGACAAGCCAAAGGCCACGCATGTAACGCGTCCGCAGCTTTTCCGCATAAATGCAGACGTCTGGAAGGGCAAGCACCGAGATTGGCTTGAAAGACATCCGTTCTGGGGCAACTTCAAGCCGGACACAAAATCGATAGTGCAGCAAGATCTGAAGAAGAGGGTGCCTCTGATAGGGCTCAGCGACATTGATGCCAACAAAAAGAACGAAATACCGATACGGATTCTGCAACAGCGGAAAATAGAGCTGGCGCAGAGATCGACTCTGAAGGACATGATTCGAGAACTGCGCGGCGAAGAGGCAGAACAGTCCCACAGCCTGGAGAGTTCTTCTGGACATTGGAAATGACAGGAAAGCACCTGAGAACGGGGCTTTGCCAACGACGCTCGAAATAGGCCTTGTAAACAAGGCTGGGAATTCCACATGCATATACGCTGGCTCACGTTGCAGCTCCTAGCTTCGAACTAAAGTGAGCTGGCGCCGCGAAATGCCATAGCATGAAGAAATGGCCACGATATACGACGAGGCACTGGCAGTGGCAACTGCATCTACGATTGGTAACTCGAAAACTACACGTCCTTGACAAGATCAACACTGAGGACATATAACTCAATTTGGGCTGGCTTTAACAAGCGGTAGCGTGAGATCTCTTGATTGAGAAGGGTATACGTTAGACTACGTAGATAAGCATCACGAAAAATATTTAGAGTGCATCGGACTGAGCTCAAGACATGCCTCTTGCGGCGTAAATTCGTGACGCTAGTTTGTAGAAAATGTATCTGCATGTGTCAATTCTGACTGAACCCTGCGCTCCGCTTGCTCTTCCAACTCTGAAGGCTCAACCAGATGTATGGGTGTATATTTTCCTCTCTTCTTATCCCCTCCCATGCATCGACTTGCGTGTAGCAAATGTCCCCTCTCCTTCCTAACAAACGCGGCAAAACACACCGCAGCCATCGAAACTGCACCGTAACTGATAAGGACCGGGTAGATGAATTGGCGTGGATCAGGAAAGACAATCGTCGCTAAGAAACTGAGCAGTTCGAACAGGTTCTGCAAGGCGACTTCGCAGGAAGAGAATGCCGCTCGTGCTTCGGACGGACTGCGGTCTTGCACAAGGTATTGCACGCTCAGATCGAAACTCCAAAGCCCAAGACGACTCGCGATGATCCCCGCTGTGAGTGTTGCTCCGCCGACATGTGCTTGTGAGTCTCGGAGCTGGCTGAAGACAACTATGGCTGGCGCTAAGGAGAGCACTTGCCAGTTGATGGACCAGAGACCGCTGCGGATAGGTCCGATATGGTTCATGAGCAGAGGAGCCACCCAGGTGGCAGCGAGCTCCGAAGCAACCGCCAGAACACGGAAGAAGGAAACGGTGAGTGGCTTGTAGGATATTGCAAGCATGTAGGTTTGCCAGTGCAAGTTCGTCGAAAGGACCGTGAGATACAGCAATGAGAGCGAAGCGGACGCCAGAAAGACGGGACTACTCGCATAAACTATCCAGGGACGTATGGCATTTGAAATCGGACTTTGACTACCACCTATTTCAACTTGACTTGCTTCAATTCCGACCTCATTCAAGTCGTCGACGATTGTCGACTCAACTGGGGGCCCTCGGCATCTCGTGCTCAGCGCGGGCACGGCGTGGTAGACTTGGGCAATTGCAAGATACTCTATGCCGATACTGCAACCGCTGAGCCCGAGCACGACTCCAACGGCATACTTGGTCCCATACGCGTCGATAAAAGAGATGAAAACAGGTGCCACCAGCTTGCAGAACAGGTCGATCCTTCTCAAGGTTGCGTTGAGCACTCCACGGTCAATGCTAGTATTGTCACAGACGACCACGACCCAGTCTCTTTCCACAGCTACCGTGTTGCCAATGCTTGCCAGCTTCTCCACGCAGGCGAGCGCGATCGTGAGGCCAAAGCAAAGCCAAGAGAGAACCCCTTTGCCGTCAAGAATGAGAAGGACGAAAATTAGAGCACAGGAGGCAATCACCGATACTCTTTGCCAGACAATACTATGCCTGATCGAGATCAGCCGGTTCTCCTTGTCGACGTATGCGCCCAGGCGCGACGAGAAAAGCGTGGCAAAGGCGCTTCGAACCAAGGCATAGATCGAGGCGTAGAACAGAGTCCCGGGATACACAGTCGCGAGGAAGAGCACGGCGCCAAATTCAAATGTTCTAGAGTTCCACGCGGACAAGAAATGAGAAATACAGAGACGACGAGAGATGCTCTGGCTCTCGTCTGCCATGATCGTTGATCTGTGCGACAGACGCTTGGCAACAAACTCAGGAGTGCAGCATGTATATCGCTAGTCCCTTCATGGAAGTATTATGATCATGGGAAGGCGGAAGACCGTGTCGACGCATGTTCTGTGGTTGAGAACAAAAAGACCGAGCGAATTTCTCTGCTAAGCCGAGTTCGCTACGAGACAGCGCAAAGGTCGAGGGCGCTTCAGTGGCCTGATGATCGCTGGCAACGGCTGAATGAGAGCAAAAAAGCACTCGACGGAGCGAAAGTAGGCAACACGAACATGAGAAGCCGCATTATACGGCCGATATTGGAGACTTCAGTACATTACGTTTAACAATCATAATTGTACAGCAGTGGACGGCTTGAGCTGGTGATTAGGCCGCTGCGACGGCTTACTGCCAACTTGTACACCAAGACCTGGACAGGTAAGGATCATCTCCAAGCGTCAGCAACGAATAGGACATTTTCCTTGATCTAACTTGTCCAGTATAAACCAAAGCACGGCCAAAAAAAAAAAGATGGGGCGTTTGACAAGGCACGTGACTACTTTCTAGCGACCCAAACCGCCTCACCTTTGCACAATCCTTGGCTATGTGCCGTCTATCGAAGCCTCACTTCCCAAAAAGCAGGTTTGCTTTTGCTGGCTTGAGTCTTCGCTCAACGTTGATCGACAAAGGATGCGACGGCTGCATGTTTAAAGACCTATGCGCAATAACCCGAAATTCCTGGCTTCGTCCTACTCGTGTCGAGTTGGGGAGAGGGATCGCTTATGAAAACAAGGAACGCGTGAATATGTTAAATCCAAATCTTTACATGGAAAGATTGCTAATCCTGTAGATACGTATAAAGGATTGATTTGCCGAAAAAAAAAAAACTCCAAAATCTGTCATTCTAAGGGGCCAACATAAAGCTGTCAATCCTATATTCAAGGCTTCTTCTTCCGTATTGGGCGTGGAAATCGTATGTTGTCTCGCTTGGTTCTGGGTATTTATGGCCTCGAACCAAATACTTAGACTGCCCGGCGAACTCTCTGGTTGACAGCGATCGGCCTGTTGACGAAGGGATCCGAGTCCTCGAGAGAGCCGGCCTGGCGACGTTCGTATGCTTCTGAAGACTCCTTGAGATCTTCAATTTGCTCCTGCGCACGCGTCAATTGTCTGTGCTTAACAACCTCTTTTTCTTGAAAAAAAAATTTCGAAGGAGTCACCCATACCCTTGTTAGTGGAGGTCCGGACGTTGTCACCAAAAAGCCATCCCTGCCCTGCAAAGCTATTAGTTTGCTGTACGATGTATTCTTTGTGGTTTTTTTTAGCCTTACTTGATGCGTGTATGGTCGAACAATGGCGTCTGGCCCGCAAAAATATCTTATTTCGCTCTGAATCACGGCTCGGCTGATTCCGTAGCCTGGTACGAAGTAGGAATTGGTCGCATACTGTTGTGACATGGCTATATACGTATCGGAATCTGACAGCAGTCGAAGCTCAGGAGCGCTTGTCGTTGTGTTGGTTACTCAGCGTCACAATCAGCTTCATACAGGAAGTGTCGACGGCCGCCAGCCGTTCAAGGTTTTCAGAACTGTTGCGAAAGAACGCAATGCTCGAGACTATGGATGTCCTTTAATCCTCGTTATATCCTTTCATTGGGCATCCATATGTGAGGGGCTTCTGTACCTTAGATTGCTGCCCGACGCTATCTCAGTGAGGCGTAAGCCTGCTTATGTTCAGTTTCACAGAGTGCACCTATTCCACCCGTGTCCTTCCTTAAACCTTCTGCGCTTCTATAACTACAAGGTTCCCCTTGCCTTGACTTTTCTCTCAGTTGTGTGCCATGACGACTTGGATCAGTCAACTCCAGAATATTCTCACGACTTGCCAGTTGTCTGTGGATTGAACAAAAATTCATAGTCGGGCTCCCAGCGTATCTTGAAACAGCAACAGCGAGGCGAGTCATATCTTTGCAAGGCTCCTCGATCAACATTTCTTCGTCAGCCTGTGCAGATCACTTTGGCCTTACCGTTTTTTCCCCAAGAAGTGACGTCTCAAGTTTCGGTCGATCACGAGGCTTCGAGAAAGCGGCAAAATTTCTAGGCGGTCACGGCCCAACGACCGTGTTATAAACCATCTCGGGCAGAAATGCTTAATTATCATTCCTTAAAGGACAACGATCAACGTTTATACAGCGCCACTTCATATCAAAAATCTTGAGTTGCAGTTTGATGCTCCTTGCCCTCGCCTTACATTATCAGACACCTCGGTTGATCATGATTTGTTGCGAGCAAGAGTATGTGCTTACACTGCCTCCATAAGCCAAGAGCTCGATGAGACGCACCTGTCAAAGTGATTTTAATGTCTTCATAGCCGAAGGCGGACATTTTAGTCAACTCCAAATTCGTTGCCATAGCCGGGATTTCATTGTTAATCTAGCCTGCCAGGGACTGCTCATACGATGATGGCCTTACTCACGAGATGAGAAACGCTGTCGTATCAAAGGGCAGTCCTTCGTGTTCCTTTTTTTTTTCCTTAGTATTTGAAGGATTTGAGGGCATGATTAACGAGCAGGCGCAAGCACTACAGAGAGGTACGGGCCTTCTGTACACCGAGGTCGCAACACGGCAATTGTATGTTATTACAACATACTCCATGATTGATGTAACTTTTTCAAGCAAGTCTGTGAAAGTGATTAGCTGCGACCTGCGATTAGAATGTTTTCGAGTATTGTAAACATGGAGAGCCGATGCGAACTCTGTTACCCGCCTCACTTTTTCCAAGGGATGATCAATTACCTTACGCGAGGTAGCTCAAAACGACTGATTGAGAACCAAATGGACATTCTACCAATGGATCATGCTCTTCTCCACCGCCCCAATATTTTCTTACACATACTGTCGCAAGCCACTTCTAAAATTGGACTGGTATGCCATAGTACAGGCCAAAGGACTGACCGGCCGTGCAGACTTTTGAGACTTCTATGATAGCCCTTTGGAATGGGAAGTCAATACCATCTCGATGCCAATCTGCTGTATCAGCTCTGATAATAGCATGGAGAAGCAGTGATCACGCAAACGAAACGTATAGCAACTGACAGCAACAAACTTAAAAGGTGGAGCGTTTTCCCACAACAGTCCCGAGCCCAGAACACAGTTGCCTAATTTCAAAGCCATCCCTATGCATTTGCTACTGTACAATTTTTGACTGAGCTGAATCCCTGTCCAGAGCCTGCCTTTGAAACTTCGATAGACTCATTCCGTGTTTTGAGAGTACTGGAGATAGATGTTCGGAGATAGGGATATGAGTTAGGTTTTGACAAGGTTTACAGCAAGATTGAGTACGTCGGGCGAATTTCTGAAGTGGTGGTCTCTGTTCTTTTACTCCGCCGGTCGCAATCGGAACCCCCAGCCATATTAATCAAGCCTGGTGAGCAAGTAACAAGATATATGACGCGATATTGGGCAACGACTTCGGCGCGTGGCTTTGCTGGTGCGCCCATGCCCCGATATGCATGCGCAAGACTTTGGGCATGCATGCACGCTCTTGCGGGTCTGCTCGGCCACGTATCTGCTTCGACGGGGGGAATCCCACTTAGATTGTACGAGCTTTGTGCTTAAGTGTCCGCGAAGCAGGCGCACTCAAGGTATCTTGCAATGGCTATAGATTTCAGATCGACGTGGCGCCAGAAAATATCAGCAGTGATGACGACAAAGGCAGCTAATATCCCGCTTCCCAAGATAAGCCCCGCAATCCAATTCAGACCCTCTTTGCCCGTAAAATGGATCCAGATATTCGGTGTTATCGAATAACCAACGATATGGATCAACGGTCCGTGAACGATGTAAAGTGAATAACTAATGCTACCGAGATATTGAGCAAAGGAGGTGACGAAGGGCGACTGAAGGGCGGAACAATTGGTTATGGCCCAAACAGTGCAAATGGCTCCCAGAGATTGCAGAAACCGTTTTTTGTCGGAGTATGTGGACGGCGTAAGTTGGAAAAGAGTTTGATAGCCGGGAGTGTTGCCAATGTCCAGATTCGGCGTTGAGAGCAGGTAAAGCCCTGCGAGAAAGAGAAGAAGCCAATGCTTCACATAGCCATTTCTTGTTGCAGAGTCTTCCAGGGCTAATCTTGTTTTCGCTTCCCATTGCGGAAGCAAGTCTTCGTCCTCCTCAACGATGGTCTCTAGCCTTGCAGGTCGGGGCTCGGGCTTTTGATTGAACAGGTCGATGTCACACAAGATCATGCCGGCAAGAAAGCACACGACTTCCCAGCGATCCCAGAATCCACAGAAGAGGACGATGAGGCCTGTAAGGAAGAGACGGACGGCGAATTTACACCGCGAGAGGGCCAGCAACACGACGGTAACGATAAGAGAAGACCGATACTCGAACGGAACGGTCCAAAGATGCGGATCATACTTGTTGTAGTATGGAAGCAAAAAGCCATTCTTGTTGTAGTAGTAAAAGAGATCGGTCATGCTGGCCACCTCGTTCAACCAGTCCCAGAATTGCGAAGCCAACGTGGCCTTTGGTAAGGGGTGAAGGTCCGAGTACACGATGAGCTGCTCATCGCCGGTGACGAATTGTCTGGGGTACTCCCACAGCCCAAAGTAGACGGTACACATGGTGACGAACGTCGCCGCAATTGCGGGTAGGTAGAGGCGGATGCCACGCCGAAAGACAGACGACACCAGCACCCCGGGGGCTGCAGCCGCTTGATGGGAGTGCATCAGGGACAACGGCTTAATAGACATGACGTAGCCTCCGACTACGAAGAAGACTGCAACCATGCTGTGACCTCTGTAGAATAGCGACAGAAAGGGTAGCTGAACGATATGCTGGTTTGCTTCGCTCTGGCCATAGCCGTATTCGATGGCCGTCGTATATGAGAAGAGAACATGAAAGCAAAAGACGAACAATGCAGCAATCCCCCGAAGGCCGTCTAACGCAGCTGTGCTGGATTTCTTCTTCCCAGCACCTGCGCCAAGAGCAGGCTGCCGATGTATGAAGCTGGGCATGAGCGTGCGAATACCCACGACAACTCGTTGTCTCAGCATCGATTCCGTTCAGACATAACCAAATCTTTGTTGAATTTTTCAAACAAGAATACGGCAGCCGCAAAGTCGAAAAGCGTGCGTGTCATCTCGTGCACAGGGCGAATATGATGCCTCACAGGTTTTCTTTCATGTTTTAGGAGGATCAGCAGCAAGGAGAGTCTTTTCAACGTTCGCGGCCTAAGCCCCCCTGCAGATCGTTCCCGCTTTTGGCAACCTGGCGCCGTCAACCACAAAATGGGGCTTCCTGCTACCTTTTGCGAGGAGTTGTAAAGCTAAATATTCTGGAGTGAACAATACCGGACTTTCATTTGGGCATGCAGTCTAGGTAAAGCGGCAAGACTTTTTTCATTCTTACAGTGCTTAGTTTCGTTTCAGCCCATGACGAGTGGAATCGAAACAGAACAGCAGGCACTGTCACGTAGTAACATATATTCTCCGTATACAACGTTAACATAATGAATTTTTCTCGGTTACCCGACAGAAGAGGAGAGACAGGTAGCAAACGAAGTGTGATTGGACGTTTAGGTACGCCTTGTTTGTGTGCAGAGTATCGCCCCGTCGAATTCGGCATGACCAAAGCCCATTTCTGTAGTTTTCCAATTTATGCTTGTAGAAAAAAAAAAAAAAAAAAGAAAAAAAAACGTCGGCCCATCAGCGCCCGAAAGCGTTAATGTCCTTTCCGAACATGTGACGCAGATCACGCACCAGCCATTCTGGATGTTCGTGAGCGTAAAAGTGTCCGCCGTGCTCGTTCTCGACTTCGTACACCACGCGGCCCAGCGTGCGGCCGTACGCTTTGGGGAACATCTCAATTTCCTTCGGATTGTACGTCAGACCAATCTTCACGCACGGCATGTACCTCAGCATCGCCTGATACGTGTAGGTTGGATCCCGTTCGTGGTTCACCTCGTAGTAGATCCTTTGCGCTGCGGCGGGACCCGCTTTACTGAACCAATACACCGACACGAAGGTCAACAGTTCTTGATCAGACCAAGGATAGCCGTCAGACCAGTCGTTCAGCTTCTCATACAGCCAAGCAAGCAGTCCCACCGGTGAGTCTGCCAAAGAGTACCCGAGAGTCTGTGGTTTGGTGGACTGTAGAGCGTTGTACCCTCTCGAAGTGCTAGCAAACCACTCCGACCTTTCCCGTGCTCGCCTCTCCGACTCGCTGAGTGGTATGATCGCCGCCTTCAATGCCAGCAGCGGCTGTGAAGTCCAGCCAGGTGCATTGGCAAAGACCATGTTGTAGTGGCTGGCAACGCAGTGATGTGGATATCTGTGGCCTATTGCCCGTGTGATCCAATAGCCCCAGTCGCCCGCTTGCGTCGCGTACCGCGAATATCCCAGGGAAAGCATCAGCTTGTGGCAAGTCTCTGCATACTGCGCAAGCCCAAACCCAGGCTTCGTCACGCCGTCGCTGAAGCCAAAATTCGGCAATGAAGGTGCAACGAGGTGAAATAGTGGTGGCTTTGCCGGGTTCTTCGCAAGTTGCTCTCCTATCTTGAGGACCTCGAGGAAAGATCCGGGCCAGCCGTGCACGAACAGCAGAGGGATGGCTTCTGGGTCCATGTTCCTCTGATGTATGAAGTGAATGTCGATGTTACCAAAGCCTTCTACGTTGATGGTGGTCTGGAAGTTTGGCAGTTGATTGATCTCCCTTTCCGATGCTCGCCAATCAAACGGAATCCAAGCTTCGACAAGTCGTTTGATCTCACTGCGCGGCGGCCCTTGAGACCAGCCGACTTCTTGCATCTCATCTGGTAGGATGGTCAGCTGCAGCTTTTGTTTGAGCTGGTCCAGTTTTGGCTGCGGCACGTAAAGTTTGAAGGGAGAGGCGCACATGATTTGGAAATGCAGCGACACAAACACTGTTCTGGCGTTTGCATTAAAAAACTGCTGATACAAAGCCAGATGTCTATGATCTAACTGAACACTGGATACCAAATCTGGGCATCAAGATTTGCCACGATGGGCGTTCGTCCATGCTTATATAAGATCCACGTCGATCTCGAGTCTGAGACCAGGCGGGCTAAACTGCATTGTATCGGAGTGATATCATACCAGAAAGACTGAATATCAGCGCTAGTAACCTTTTGGGACAGGACATTTCACACATGCCAGGTAGGAGTCAAGCTGGAGAAAATTGACCAAAGAAAAAAATAGATCTTGAAGCGCAAAAGTTTTGCGAGCTTGGGATTATGGTATCTAATGTACATATATACATAAACCCTAAATGGTTCAGCTTTTGATGACCTTCCCCACCTCCTGATTTCCGATCTTAGGACTAAAATTTAGAACACAAGTGGTATCACAAATTCCCGAGTAAGAGTAAGACAACAAGTTATGCCTTAAAATGCGCCCGAATAGCTTTCTATCTGTACAACATAGGTAAATCCCCCCCGGGAGCCAGAAAACCATTTCAAGTAATAAAAAAAATACGGCGGCCGTGTTCGATGTAATTGGTCGTTAAATGACATATCAGATGCATGTTTTCGCCGAAAGGAGCCACGAGAACTTGTGCCGATTGTTCCCAGAAACTCCAGTTCGTAGCGAAGAATGGATGTAGTCGGGTTACAAGGCCACTGCGTGAGTAGGGAGAGGCGGTAGAGGTATGTTTGGCGGTAATGAAGACAATGGCCTACTTGCCCGTTGAGATGGAGGTGTTACATTTGGTGGCAATGGCGGAAGAGGCATGTTTGGTGGTTCTGAGGGACTAGACATATTTACTGGCAACGAGGGAAGCGGCACGTTGGGTGGTTCTGAGGGACTAGAAACATTTGCCGGCAACGAGGGAAGAGGCGTGCTCGGTGGAGGTGCTGCTGGCGGCAAGCCGGAAAACATCATAGCTGGCATCGAAGTTCTTGTTCGCACTGCAGGCCGGCTCGGATTTTGAGGTGGTTCTGGCGGGGCAGTCGTTGGCGCTGGAGTAGGCGCTGGTGAGGCCAAGACAGATGGAGGTGCTACGGGGACAACTGGCCTGGCGATGGGAGCGTTGGATGGCTTGAAACCGACGCTTGAAGCTCGTCTGGGGCCAACGCTCTGTAAAAAGTCGTTCGAGGGTATTGATCCTGCAAAATAAGAGTTTGACAGTGTAGAAGCATGTGACGGCCGACTCGTTATGCTTGGGCGACGCTGAGACAGGAATGGCGCAGGATCCGAGCGAATCTGGAGGCTAGTTGGCCGGCGGAGTGGGCGCACCTGTTGGGAGGCCTGTTGAGGTGGGCTGGGCTGAGGATTTATTACCAAAGGAAGTGATGGCATACGCTCTCGATGTGTAGGCGCAGATAATCGCTTCATAGTTGTTTCTGCAGTAGCTTGACTAGAAGAATTTTCTCTTGAGTTAGAAGTGACCGGTGTCGTCGTTCGAGAAGACTCCATGCTTTGCGATTTTGTTGCAGGCAGTGAAGAGTACCGTCGAGGATAGGCAACAGGACCTGGGCCAACGCTTCGTTGCGGTGGCACAGCGCTTGGATCCGATGGCCTGATTGGAAGCATACGCGATAATGGGCGTCTTGGGTTTGAAACAGAGTCCATACGGCTCAATGATCGCGATGTAATCGATGGTAGCTGTCCTACAATAGAATCGGGACGCGATCTTCCGTCCCACGACTCAATCTCCGAGTTGCTTTTCTCAGTAATCTCTAGCAATTTTAGCCTCGCAGGCAACGTGTGAGAGTACACTTCAGACGTTCTTGATCGAGGATTTTGTGAATTCAGCACAGGAGCTTCAACTGATTTGGGCTCCAGAATATCGCTCAAGCGTGAAGACATAACGTCTTCGTACGACGGCTGCGGAGACTGTGTGCTTGCTTCAATTGTGCTTGTGTCAGTTGGAGCCGTTGACGCGACCGTCAACTGTCCAGTGTTGCTGCTCGCCACAGTGTCTGACGTACACGGAGCTTGTTGGCTCTCACTAGACAAGTCACCGAATATTTCGACTTGTGGCGATGGCGGTTGAGAGGAAGCCTTCGAAGTTGGGATTGTCCCGTGATCTGTATCCGATGCCTGAGAGGCCCTCGTTGAGATTTCAGAAGCTCGCGACCCTTCTCTCAGCCTCTCAAGCCGAACTTGGTCACTTGAAGCCACAGATGAGTCCATAGGTGAAGTACTTGTAGCCCTTCCCACGAGCGAATGGAGCTCCGCGGGAAAGCTGGCGTCCCGAGGCGAGCTGCTTGGGGAATTTTGGACAGGCATGTTTGCATTACTTGGAACTGGAGGAACAGCAATGTCCACTGGCGAACGCGGTGATCTTGGCCGTGAGAAAGACGACATGGATCGAGGTCGATGAGTTGAAGACGTCGCCGAGATCAAACTCGTCGGTCTAGATATTCGATATCGGTGGCCCAGTTTCTCTTCGGTGACGGCGTCCACACTTTCCTCATTCACGACATGAGCCTCACCGTCATCTTTCTTCTTTTCCCCGCCCATCTTCTCAATGATACCCCTGATCGCCCTCAGCCACCCGTGCATATCCTCAGCACTTCTGAAGACCAACAAAATGTTCGTGGCATTTTTTCTTCCCGCTACGGGGTTGCGCAACCGCGAGAGAATCGATCGCGATTTGTTGATTTGAGGAGCCGCCTGCGCATTCATGTGCTGTACAACCTGAACCACCCAATGCTTGCCAGGTATGAGGTCACACACAAATGCGGCCGACTTCTCGCCCAGCTGCAACACCTTTTCGGGCTTACGATCGGAAGTTCCATTACCAGTATACTGGACCAGGCGCCCTGTTGTCATCAAGACGAAAATCTTATTCACAAGCTCGGGAGTTTCATTGAGTGTGGAAAATCGTCGAGACACAAGTTTTGCACTTTCCTGGGGCGTCTCGCTGTCACCATTCTCCTTCACGGAGGGCAGCGAAGTGTTGCTCCCAAGGAACCCCGCTTGGGACCTAAGATTCTGCAACCGCAGAAGCGTATCAACGGATGCTGCGGGGCACTGGAGTACGCCGTGTCTGATGGCCTGGGGGTATGCTTGAGAAAGCGGAATGGCCTCCCAGTAGTCGGCTGTCCGTGGTTGTTCTATCCGAGCTGGAGGCTCGATTGCGCTCGTCTGCAAGGATTGCTGTTGAGGAGGAGGCGGAGGTTTTCGAGTGGGATATGGCTCAACCGTCTCCAATTCCCTCTTTGGCCTCTCTTCTACAACATGTAGCTGCTTTGAGGGTGGTGGCTGTGGTGGTGGCAGCGGATGCGGTGGTGGTGGCAGCTGCTCAACAACAGGTTGCAGTCCTGTCTCATGGTAGCCTCGAGCGGTCTGAACCTTGGGTTTGCTAAAGAGGTCGAACAGTGTGTACTTGGATTGGCGGCGATCCAGTTGCTTCGTCTTTGGGGCCGGTTTGACCTCTTCGACTGCGGGTTTCCTGACGTCCTCCTTGGTTAATCCTTCATTCAGCGCAAGAGTGCTTCGTGAGAATGTCGCCCGTAAGGACGCGAAGTTGCGTCCTGACTTACGGCCCTGATCATCTCGGGCCATGGTACGGTAAGCACATGAGCTCAGAAGGCGCGATCAGGCTGCATTGGTGAAGGAGAAGTCAATCTCGCGAGATATTAGTGCGCAAAGATTACGCGGCAAACAATTGACTGCGAGACCGGGTGGAAGCACGTAGCACCAAGGCGGATCGATATGAGAGTCCGTTGCTATTCAGCAGGGATGATTTGGTGACTGCTCGGGCGATATAGAAACAGCGGGACTAGGACGCAGGGATAACGAGCACAACAGAGTGTCCAAGCGAAGTGGGAGTGCCTCAGATCGCTCACGCAGGCGAGAATTGCCAGCAGGGGTCAAGGTGAGTACGCGGGCCGGGCGTCACGAACTGTTGGACAAAGACTGCAAACGAAATGGGAACCTGGAGAGAGAGCGAGAGAAGGTCGAATGAAATAAGGAAAAGTAGCGAGTGAGGGGGTGACACGCGAAAGAAAAAAAAAAGCGCCGAAAGAGAACGAGAGACGTCTTTTTGATCGCAAAGTGTTTCAAGCATGGCCGGACAGAGACAGGAGCGTGTTTGAAGTCGGCCGGCCGTTGGACTAACCGGATTAAGGCCAAGTCAGTATGGAAATGCGCCTCCCCACGAAACGAGAGATTAGGTCGGCATGGAAGCACACCTTGTGTCACACTGGGGGATGCCGGGATATACAGTGGCCCTTGGTCCTGTGCCTGGAATCGGAGCCGCTGTCTCGTATCTTCCCTGCTCTCACCGCCGCCGTCGTAAGGTGCACTACCCGGCCCGACACCGTGCGAGCACGCAGAAGACGCGGTCCGAGGTCGTCCACCACCACCGCCCAAACAACACTACGCCCTGTGAATGCTTCAGCGCGTGGCTTGAGCTTCTTTGGGGAATTCACGGCGCCCGTCTTCCATGGTGCCGTCGCTATCGGAATTTAAAGCAAGCCACGAGTGAAAAAAGACACTTTCCTGGGTGGATCCATCCCTCCTTAGGAGACTGGACGTGTTTTCGCGTCGACTAGGGAGCCATGACAGGTCTCCGTCCGTCTTCCCACACGGCCGGTACCAGACCTTAGGGCTGAGCGGAATGTTGTCGTTGGGTTGCGCAGAGGTCTCAACAGGACGATCCGGATAGACGTGGCAGATCTGAGAAGGCGTAGAAAACACGGCGAAGTATGGCTGCTCCAACACCCATTGACCCGCGCTTTGGCCTGGGAACGTGATCTTCGCTCGCGCGGGCCTGGTTGATCGGCCGAAAAGATGCCCAGAGCCAGGTTGGCCGTGTCGCCCTTCTACCTGCTGTTCAGTCGGTTGATCGCGGCGGAAAGCATAACCTTAATGAAGGATCGCGTCGACACTAGCCCGGCAAATTCCACGCAGATTGTCATGAAATGAGGGCGAGAGGGTGTTTGCACCGTGTGGCCCTGCGCGTCAGGACGAACGGTGCATCGATGAGGTGTGTGTTTGTGCGTGTTTGTTTGTACGTGTGGATGCATCCGCCATGACCTTGCGTGATCGTGGACGAGCGCGTTTGACGATGAGGCCCAGCGCTCACCCGGCAAGATTCTAGAAGCGCGCCTGCAATCTCTCCCGCTTGTTCTCGTTGACCTCCCAGATCGCCTACGACCGCCTACAGCTCGCTGGAGCTTCGCCGTTGCCAGTCTCCGGACCATGGCTCTCGCGTCCAGCCAGTCATTCAGTCAGTCCGCTTTCGGTGACGAAGCGCTTGACGGCGGGACGATGCAGCCAAACCACAAGCTCGCACGGGATCGCCGTCACCTGCTCACAGCTCCATTCCTGGCGAAGGTGATCGCACGCTCCCACATGCTCGAACTAAAAGATCACACCACAGGCGCTGACCGCACGATGCCTATGGTTCCGTTGTCGCCACCTCCCTCTGCTGTTAGCTAGCACATCTTCCGTCCGACTCGTCCTAGATGGCACCCGATCTAAACTCGCTGCCCCCGTCGCCCAACCCAGCGTACATCCCCCCAGCTCGCTCGCCTCGCGTCATGGCACAGCCAGAGGATCGACGTACCTCCCTCCAAGCACATTCGCCGTCTTCGCATTCGTTGGCTGCAGCCGCGGCCTTGAACGCCGGCCTGCATGGCGACGGGTCTCGACGCTCCTCCAACAGCTCGCTGCGTGATGTTCGGAACGAACGACGTCGTCGATCGTCGATTAGAATGAGCCTAAATCTGAACGATCCCACCTTGCCTGGCCCGGGAGAGCTTCAACAGCTAAGTCCGAGAGCGAGCAGATCAGGTTCGAGCGCATTCCCGGAAAGCCCGCATCACCATCGTACTCCCAGCCTGGGTGAGCTGCATCAGGAATGGGAGAGCGAGCAGGAATCTCAAGTTGCAAGTCGAGGCTGTCCGGTCGACGCCGCATTGCTTTTTTAGCTGACACAACGTAGAATAGATTGCTGAACATGATCCGCCAGCAGCAAGCTACCATACAAAACCTGCAGAACCAAAACGCCGCCAACCAACAAAACACCTCCGCTGTCGACGACAGCACACCCACCTCTGAACGATCCATGTCATTTACTCACACCGGACTAGTGCATACGCAACCCCATCCTTCGGCGACAGCTCCAATCCCTCGATCACGCTCTCCGTTCATCCCCATTCCACTCTCAAGAAACTCCTCCTACCGGTCAGACAGAAGCAGCCATGAAGTTTCGCCTTCTCTGCGGCCCTTGCCAAATCATGGCCCCTCCGTCGACAGCGGCGAAATGCTGCTTGGGTCTTCGGCAGTGAGAGATGAGAGTGCATTCTACCAGGCCGAAACGCAGAACCTCACCCGTGAGAATCAGATGCTGAAGCTGAGGATACGTGAGCTTGGTAAGACTCTTCGTCTCCAATTTTACGCAACGCATCGGACGTAGAGATTGACGATCGCTAGAGCGACAATTAAGCGACCTTGGCTTGTCACCGTCCAATCCTCATTCGCCAGCTACAACCTCCAATCTGCACCTTCCACCCATTACAGGCGAAGACGCAGAGCCTCCACAGGACACTGCGGCGCATTCGTAATGCGATGGCGTATGGTGTTTCCATGTTCGGTTGCAAGCAATGAGAAGGCCGTGTTGAGCTTGATATTTGGGCATTTACTGAGTCTCATCGCACATAAGGGTTCATGAACAGGCGTCAAGATGAACGTTTCTTAATGCTTAAGATTCCTTTTTTTGGCTTTCGGAATGGTCTTTGGAGCACGAAAGAAAAAGCTCCGAGTACGACATGAACTCTTTTCGCATCCACCTAACACGTCTCTGACGTTTTCTTTTGACTCGCGTAGTCAAACATTTTCCCAGGCAGTACACCAGTATTCTTGCGTGCTGTAATGAGCGATGTGAAATTACAACACGAAACTTTCCGCAGACGCAAGCCAACATGTTGGAGATGTTTCAAATATCGTGCGCGCTTCAAAGTGCACGCGAAACAATCAACAAAGGCCCGCAAGAATTCAGCTAGCTAGAAATTCAATTTAAGTTGCAGGAAGTGTGAGATACATGCACAGATCTTTGTCTCGTGTTCAGTCCATCTTCTGATTCCAAATTGACATTTTGACGACTCGAAGGTGTAAGGTCGAACCCCACACTGACAGCACGAGTCAAGATCGGGGCTTACAGGATCTGACACGATCCAACGAAGGCGAAACCAGCCCGGCTCATGACCTTGCGCAATTAACGGAGAGTGGTCTTATCCCTTCCTCATGTGGCGCGACGAGTTTGCTTGCAGGCAGCGTCATGACTCGGAGCCCGTTCACACGACGCGACAATAGCTTCGCTGATGGGATGTCCTGTTATCGACAGCAACGACAGCAACAAAAACAACGACGACAACAGATAGTCGCCATAAAACATATTGTTTCATCGTTTTACGCTCACCAAAGAATGGTTTAGCTACCATTTCTTCCCTGCCAATTTCGAGACCGATAGAACTAGTGGTCGACGCGGGAAAGCTTCGTAAAACGTTCGAGCATTTCATCTTCATAAAGTTGAGCGCTCTGTACTTCGTGTCTTCGGCCGGGAACTATCTCAGTCCGGCCTCAGGACTGAAGAGGAGGTATGACGTAAGGCAAACAGGTGTCGCTGGTGCCACGACGTAGCACATCCACATATTCCCGTCGAGACTCGTGGCTGATTCCAGTGCCCCTTCGTTCAGCCGTGCGATTGCAGTGAAGCCTTTCCTTCTCTGAATCATCCTCCCTCGGCCAGCTACTCTTACCAGACCCGACGGCCTTGAACACGATGTGCAATTCCATGACGTAGAGACAAGGCGTATAGCCATCAAGTCGAACTTGATGCTGACTGCACCTTACATGGTCATATGCTCTGCTGTCGAGGCATTCTACGGGTCAGAACGAGAAAATTGGGCTAAGTTATTCTTCGAGCGCACCGATGTGAATAGGCGTCAAGTTTGCAAGCTGAACGCTGACGAGGAAAGCAAAATAAGTTGAAAAGATGACTTGGCAATTGCACATGAGTGTAGGATGTTAAGCAAGTTCGCTTGGCCCAATGCTTTCGCAGTGTCATCTAAGACCCTTGTTCTTGCCTAGATACTTCCTCCCTGCTTCTCATCTCTGCCCTTCGTTCCTATGCGACTGCGAAATGGACCTTCGACGGCCGGAAAGCATGTCCGATAGTGTCCACATGCGTACGTGCCCAGGGCTCACGTTCGCCTCGAGTTACACCGAACGCAGGCTTGGGGAACAACAACAAAAAACGAAGTCTCTGTTCGATTCGTAGAGCAGTTTTTCGCACGTCGTTTGTATGCAAAGAGCTCGGGAAGCGGCTGGTGGCATCCTTGCGAGATCAAGAGGTCGCGCTCCAAATCATGCAGGTCTCCTTAAGCAGCGAAACGCTAACGCAAGACTCCTGCGTCTGTTCAGCGATAGTATTTCGCTCAAAGTCTGGTGGTGGAGCAGGTTACCGTGCGTGTCGAGGTCCCCTCTTAAGCCGGACCCGACGTGGCCCAATCAAATCTCGCCAAGCAGCCCGCGTTGAGAACCTGGCACAAAGTCCTCTGGCGTGCCAGGTCCGGGTATGCCCGCCAAACCTTGCTGACGATGGTTCACCATGTTTGCGAATTCTGGAAGGGAAAGAAAAAAAGATTAGGGCCTTGCCTCGCGCTTTTGCGTCGACACAGGCACAAAAGAGGTCCCACGGACGCCTCCCCTGATGAATTGCCACGGCGTTTGCTGCCAGCGGACCCAGCAGTCTCCCACGTCTGTTCCCGGCACCCCAATTGCGCCATTAATCGTCCACGTACGGCGCTTGTCATCTGAGTTGTTCATGATATCAGCGCTTGAGTCAGTCTCCTGGTCGGATTTCAATATTGTTACCCATTCGTCGCTCTGCGTTTCGCCTGTTGAGGCCCTCGTCATCCCGCACGTTTTCTGCATTCCATGGTCACGCCGCCAATTGATCCATTGAACCGTGCTTGATGGGCCTTTTTGGGTTCTTCGGCCATAGCTATCAAGATGACTTGAAGAGACCGCTTGTGAATAAATGGTTAGAATCTTTGGAACCCCCAGACCAAGAATCATACTCCGAAATCGAAAGTGTTATCAAAATTAACGAGGACCAGTTGTCGTCAGCATCATCAGCATCGTCTGAACTCATAACTTCAGGCATGTCGTCACCAGTACACAGATACTACGATCTATCGCAAGTGAATTTCTCAGAATGGCAAGACCCATTCAGATCTCGTGGGGTCCCGTCGCCGCAATACGCCAATTCGTATCAAAATGGATATCAAACGGGTGTTCCTCAGAGATACGAATACCAGCGGATAATCTCCCCATATGAGGTTAGCGACGATGAGTCCGAGAGCGAGGACGAAGAAGACGAGGATGAGGGAGTTGGTGAGTGTAATTCTGATTCACAGTTCAGCCCTTCGGCTAACCATCACTTGTACAGCAGAGGATAACGAGATTCAAAACTCTGCTGCTGAAGAATCCGCAGTAGTGCCACCTCCACCTCCACCTCCCCCACCACCGCCGCCGCCTCCCCCGCCTTCTGAACCGCCTTCTGAACCACCTGCTGAACCGCCTGCTGAACCGCCTGCTGAACCGCCTGCTGAACCAGAGGAGGCACCAGTTGCAGTGCCATCAGCATCTGAGGTAGGGAATTCGAGATAGAACACTGCCATTGGGTCATCAAGCTAACGTAGCGATCAGTCCGAAGATGTAGCTCCTCCGCCACCTCCTCCGCCTCCACCAGCCGACGAGCCTGATACCGGCCCTGAAGCTTCAGAAGCGCCCATGGGAGCAGAAGATGAGGCCGAGGTTCGTCAATTCATATACGTGCATGGAAATCGACATCTGATAGTAGATTTAGAGTTCCGTAGCCGTTCATCCTCCCCAAAGAGAGGATTGTCCTTCTCAAGATCTTCCTCCGTCGGAAGGAGAAGCTCCATCAGAACCAGTTGGAGAGGGGACGTTAGAAGTCCCTCCACATCCAGATGGCCCGCCAGAGACAAGCGAGTTAGCGTCGTTACCGCCGCCTTCGAGCTTGCCAGACGAAGCCGCAGTTCCTCCAGAAGCAGCTCCTGCAGTTGAAGCATCCTCACAGCCACCACGGCCGCCATCACCAATGCCGGATCAGGAGGTTGAAATCGTTGCTGAGGCTGCTCAGGATAGCAATAACGAAATTTCTGGCACGCCAAATCCTGTGACAGAACAGTCATCGGTTGACGCTACGCCTCCCAAAGATGACATCAAGGACATCGAACCTCCTTTGCCAACCTCAGTCCCTTCTGAAGAGGATACGACAGCGCCCACAAACGACGTCGCCGAAGCTCCTCCGTCCCCGATGGCAGTAAAGTCTGTTATGTTTGACCCAAGTGTCGAAGACAACAAAGGCGGCAAGTTGTCGAAGAAAGACAAAAAAAGCGTGAAAGCCAAGGAGGCAAAAGCGAAAGCTGCAGAGGACAGGAAAAAAGCTAAGGAGGAGGAAAAGAAAGCAAAGCAAGAAGCACGCAAGAAGAAGGAAAGAGCAAAAGCAGAGGCTTCTGGTGAAAAGACAACAGTGTCTAAAGACGATAAGGGCAGGTTGAAAGTAGTTACGGAGAAAAAGGCAGAGAAAAAGGAGGAGAAGGAAGATCAGGAGAGGAGAGATACGGGTAAAGATCTGAAGAAGAAGGCCAGCACAAAGGCTTTGAGCATTCATGATCTCAAGAAGAAAAAGGAGGCAGAAGCAAAGAAGGCGAAGGCAGAAAAGAAAAGGAAAGAGAGCGAGGAACGAGCGGCGAAGACACCCATAAAAAGCGCCTTGAAAACACCCACTGTCGCTTTCCCTGATCCTCCCGTTGAGGAGAATGAAACAGCCACAAATCAATGTCCTGATAACGTGGCCGAGGAAGACGTTAGTTCAGGCGGTGTACAGGACGGAGCGCAAAAGGATGAATCGGGTGCTGAAGAAACGCCCTCTCCATCCGCGCCTGCAGAAGACGTTCAGACTGGACCTGATGAAGAGCTTCAAAAAGTAGACGCCACAGAAGAAATTACTAAGGATGAGGACGCTGCTTCCGCGGACAAAGTAGTACCAGACGCAGAGACAATCATCAATGAGCCTCAAGGAATAAGCGAAGAGTCCGCTACCCCACCTTCTCTAACACAAAATCACGCTCCTGAATCCACGGCCACCGATGTCAGGCCTATTGAAGAGACAGCTTCAGCAGAAGCAGCAGCAACGGCAAGCGAGACCACGTCTCCGTCAAAAGATGACGACGAAACACAGTCCTCCGCCGACCGCTCTCCAAATGAGCCAGAGGAAAGGTCAATAGAAAATGAAGGGGCTAGCAAGAATGAGGATACGGCTTCTATAGAGGATGTAGCAGCTGCCCAACTCGCAGCTGAAAGTGAGAGTCAAGAAGGCAGTAACGAACAGAATGGCGGTGACGTAGTTTCTCAACCAGAGGTTGAAACGACTCCAGAAATTACCGTTTCTTCTGATGAAAATTCTGCCGAACCAGAATCTCCCTTAAAATCCGCTCAAGCGGAGGAACCAGTCTCAACCAAAATCATGCCCGATGGCCAAATAAATACTCCAGAGGAGCAAGACGAGTCACAGAGTGCAAAGGCCGAAGATACCTCAGCTTGTGTCGATGAAGGTTTGCCTGGAGAGGAAGTACAGCCAGAGCATGAACACACTGGGGATTCTGAAGCATTTTGCTGTGAAGGCTCGCCAGATGAGCAAACACAATCAAGCAAAGAAGCCACCGAAGATGCTACAACGTGTGCCATTGAAGGTGCCTCAGATGAACACACTCAGCCAGCACGTGAAGTAGTGGACGAGAGTACAATATCTGCAGCTGAGAACACGCCAGAAACACAGGTCAAGCAGGAGAACGAGTCAGTCTGTGATGATGAAGGCGTTTCGGATAAGCAAACCCAGTCAGCTGAGAACGTGGCTGAAAACGCAACCGATAAAGATTCCTCGGATGAGCAAGCCCAGCCAGCAAGTGCATTGGTTGAGGACGGCACGTTACCGTCCAATGGGAGCATTCCAGAAGTACAGGGCCAGGCAGAGAATGAACCGGTTCAAGATGGCACGGCTTTTCGCGGTGAAGGTATACCGGATGAAAAATCCCAGTTGGATAAAGAGGTCGCTGAAGATAATCCTGCGTGTACCGGTCAAAAAGCCTCAGATGAGCCAGTCCAACCAGCAGGCGAAGTGATCGATGATAACACATCGTTGCCAAAACAAGATGTGCCAGGAGAACAGGAACAACAAGAGCAAAAAGCAACTGAAAATGATACAATCAATGATGACCACGGGACTGCAGAAGAACAAGCACAATCAGAAAAAGGAGCGACCGAGGATATTGCAGCGTGTACCAGTGAAGATGCGACTGAAGGGAAAAATCAACCGAACAGAGATTCAGTCGACGATGATTTATGTGCTCATGATGGTGGAACAGTCGAAGAATCAATGGCTGCCGATATTGTATCTGAGCCTCAGTCAGGGATGGAGTCAGCAAGTGGTGAAGGGGTTACAGAAGCAGCTCCAGAAACTATCCAGAACCAGTCGGCTTTGGCCAAAACATCTTGTAAAGATGCACCCAGTGTTGAGGACTTTTCTGGCCAAGCAAACCCTGCCGACAAAGGAGCGCCTGTAAATGAAGACCAGAGCCACTCTAATAAGCAGTCGGGCGAAGATTCTCAACCGGTGTCAGAATTGCCCTCCCTAAATGTAGCTGAAACGGCAGAGACACCGCAGGACCAGGGTGATGTCAGAGATACACAGTCTTCAACAAATGAGGTTGTTGAAGCTGCTGATATGGACAATGGGGCATCAAACGTGCCAATTGCTCATCCACCAGCAGAACAAATTAGTCCTGCAGAAAATGACAACGCAGTTGAAGTAGCCGGAGAAAATTCCGAGCTGGCTGAGGAACAAGGCCAGCCCTCTGAGGATAAGGCCGTAACGAATTCTTTAGAAGAGACTGTCACAGAATCTGCCGAGGAACGTCAAGAATCCGTTAAAGTACTTCTAGCTTCAACAGAGCCGGGGGAAAAAACCAACAATACAGGTGACAAGGAAATTCATGCCCAACAAGAAAAAGAAGATGATGAAGAAACGTCTACTGTTGAAGCTACGGTGGAGAAGCCTGAGGAAAGCTTTGAAGAGCCACATATCGAAGAATCTGATCCAGTCAGGAGCTCTGCAGTCGAGAAGTCTACCGATGGTGAACATGGTCCTACGAGTGATTCGCCTAACCCGGACATTGGAGAGACTACTGGAGCAGTGCCAAGTGGTGAAGTCAAAGTTGTAGGTGAAAGCTATGATGCCTTACCAGAGCAACAAGCTTCTGAAGACAATGGGGATTCCAAGAAAGCTGTTGAAGAAACAGTCTCAACATATGGTGATAACACAAAAATAGGTCCAGAACTAGATCTGGATGCACACGAGCCAGCGGAAGATGTACCTCCCACCGGGGAAAACCCCTTGTCGCCGCCGCAGCCAACTAAATTGCCAGCTGATGAACATCAAACTCTTCGAGAAGCAGGGGATGCTGAAGATTCTTCAGCTTCCACTCATGATGATGATGATGATGATGATGATGATGATGATGATGATGCACGTTCTAACAAATCTGTTGTTCTTGACCAGCAAGATTCATTGGTCAATGAACCAAATGATGTTGAAAGAGAAACATCAGTGGAAGAGCCGCCGCCTGCAGTCGAGCCTGAAAATGACAAGATCGCCTTAGCAGAAGGTAACTCCGGACCAGGCGAATCGTCTACCGCAAAGCAATATGAGAAGGGTAATGTAGATGAGCCGGCTGTTCCTGAGACAAACCCCAGTCTTAAGGAAAGCCACACCGAATTTGCAACTGAGGGATCAAAGGAAAGCGCCATTCAACTTCCTATTGAGACAGACCATGGAGAACAGGAGGATAAAGGCGCCAAAGCGGACTCTGACCCATTTACGGGCGAAGTTACAGAGATGCAGGGCGAAGATGGGCCGGTCGACATACCTTCAGGCAACGACAGTGGTTCACATGATCACTCTGATGTAAAAATGGGAGAAAACAATGAGAATTCGCCTGCCAATGGAAATAATGATGTTGCAGCCTTGAAAGAGGAAGCAGAAGGTGAAGAAGCTACGGGAGAAGACTTGATCCCCCCAGAAGAAGGAGTTGAGGAAAGTGAGACGAAAGAAGGAGCTGAGGAAAGTGAGAAGAAAGAAGGAGCTGAGGAAAGTGAAACGAAAGAAAAGGCTGAGGAGACCAGAGAATCATCTCCCGAACAAGACCCCGCTCCTGCAGATCCAGCTCTCGAAGAAAGTACTCCTGGAGAAGAGCTTGATACAAAAGCGAATTCCGAACATCCCATTGAAGTAGCGTGTGCGGAAAATGCTGCTGCTGTAGAGGATCCCGCTGGAGAAGAGCCCGCCACAGAAACTCATGCGGAAAGAATCCCTGCTACGGGAGAAGCTGTTGATGAGAAAGATGCTGTGGAATCACCAGGAGATGCTGCCGAATCACCAGAAGATGCTGCAGCTGAACCAACGCCTGCAGACGAACATGCAGAAGCGCCGTCAGAGGTTCCTGTGGCAAAAGAGATTACTGAGGAAGCCACTCTGGAAGATGTTTGTGCTGGTGATTCTGAGCCTGAGCACGAACATGAGCAGGGGCAGGAGCATGAACAGGATCAGGAGCTGGAACAGGAGCATGATCCGGACCTTGAGCAGGCGCAGGGGCCGGAACAGGAAGAGGAACAGGAACATCAGCATGAGCCTGAGCCTGAGCCTGAGCCTGAGCCTGAGCCTGAGCCTGAGCCTGAGCCTGAGCCTGAGCCTGAACCTGAACCTGAGCCTGAACCTGAGCCTGAACCTGAGCCTTCCAAAGAAGAAATTCCAGAAGCTACAGCTGAAGAAGCCGCTGGAGACGCACAGAACGAGACAATAGATGAGTCATCTTTGGCCCCCGAAAAGGCTGGTGAGGACGAGGGAATGCCAGAAGAGGCCGCCAATAAGGATGGCGATCACCTTGACAAGGATCGTGCGGCCGAGCCAATCGAAGAGGCCAGAGACGTAGTCCCCGCAGAGCTGCCTTCTACACCGGATATGAGCAGCGGGGAGAAGCGCCGTCGTCGACACTCACACTCTCATGCACATCGCACAGAGCGGAGAATGAGCAGTGCAGCAAGCTCTCCAAAGAAACGCGACAGCATGGATGCCGCTGCTACCAGCTTGTTTTCGTTCATGCGGGGGGGTGGCAGCAGAAAGGACGATCGTAAGCGCAGCGGAGACTATCAGCCTGGGTCGAGCTCTCGTAACCGCCCTCGAACTGCTTCTGAAGAAGAAGAGCGCCGCAAACGCCACGAGGCACGAAGAGCTGAGCGCAAGCTTCGTGAAGAGGCTGGTAGTTCCCCGACTGACAACGGTGAAGTAGCTCGTGAAGAAAGAAGACGACGACATGAGGAAAGGCGAGGCTTGAGGCGCAGCGAGGCAGATCGCTCAGTCCAAGAAGATGGAAAGAGACCACCTCGAGAAACACCAAGGACTGCAGAAAAGTCACGAAGACACCACAGACATCGCGAATCCTCTATAGCAACACCCGAAGAGAATAGCCCAGCTATAATGCCGCTCGACGAAGAAGAACGGAGAAGACGCCGCCGTCGCGCTGAACGAGAAGCGGCGAGGCGAGCTGCTGAGGACGAAGATGAGGAAAAGGACGCTGCGCTCAGGGCAGCTAAGCTTAGAGCTCTTGACGCGAAAGAGGCAGAAGAGGCGAAAACACCTCCGGGCAAACTGCGTGACACAGATCGCCGTCACACGGATCGAGCTGTGCGCAGAAGTGATGCGCCTCAATCACCCAAGCCAGGCTTATTGAGATCCCTTACATCTCCGGGGCATAGTGGTAACCGAAACTCGCTCTTTGGCAGTCTCTTGGGCAGCTCCAGGAAGGAGGCATCCACGCCAACCCGCAGCGGAACAAGCAAACATGAGTCCAGGACACGGCGACACCATCAACGCACTCCTAGCGAAGAAGCTCGGCACCAGCGACGCAAAGAAGAGCGTCGGAGAGAACGAGCACTAAGAAATCTCGAGGGCGAACCTGTCCAAGATGGTTTTCCAGACGCTCCGTCAGCCATTGAAACCTTCCCTCCCCCAGCTCCTACGGACGATATACCAAGAGATCCAGATGATGGAGTTCCACCACCACCACCACCTCCTCCTCCTCCTCCTCCTCCTCCTCCTCCTGCTCCTGCCCCTATGGGTCTTCCGGGCGATGAAGAACTACAGCTTCCACCACCGCCACCCCCTCCAATTGACATTCCAGGTGATGAGTTGAATCCTGAGGCGGAGCCTTCCTCATCTCGTCGAAAGCGTGAGAGTAGGGAAAAGCCAAAATCTCGGCGCGTAGAATCCGATCGACATCACCATCGTAGTCGTGCTCCAGCAGACAGACCTCGTGTGAGCAGAGTCGAGAGCGACAGGCCAAGGGCAAGTCGAACATCGCCCGATGGAGGAGACGTGACACCGCCAAAGGAGCGAGGCACTGCTTCACCTCGCAAGAGCGGCACAAGTGGTGGCCTGGGCCTTTTCAGTGGTTTTAAGAGAGTACTTGTCAAAGGAGTTTGAGGCTCAGCAAGTTTAGCAAGTTGTTTTCCAATTATGAAAAATCCCTAATTTGTCCATTATGTGGGTGGCACTTGTTGTACAACATTATGAATGGAATAGACTCCGATTATCGCATTGGCTAAGTGCGGAACGAGCAGAATCACGACACTGATGTAGTTACGAGACACATGGCACAAGCTTTCTCGACTTTATGTATATCTACTTTAATGATCATGGCTATACGAATGTTTTATTCCCAAATTCTTAGGTCGTCTCCATATGTCGACAATTTTCCTTTTCAACACTGAAGTGTGATGCTCCCTCGTAGAGAGAAAAATTTACTGTGTCATCAGTTTCAGCAGCTTCGACGCCTCGATGCACAAAGAGCACAATTAAAAAAAAAAAGGGGGCAACTGTGACAAAGGTATTGTTATTCAGAGATTGAAAGGTAACGTTAGCTCAAAAGTCTACTCTGTCAATGTGCTATGTATCGAACTCGGAAGAGAGAGAACATGAAATTCTACAATCTTTCAGCCCCACCATCCAACATGCAGCGTTATTGCTTGAAAAAGCTCTGACAGTTTCGATGGCTGCTATGAGCTAAAAGTTTGTGGGTGCAACAAGCGTGCCCCTCGGGACCGCGTTCCGCACCACCATGTTTTTGGAGTAATGCTCTGCAAAGCCGCCGGCAACGATTCGCTTGACTGCCTCGTATCTGTGGTACTTCCACCAGCGATCGATGACCAGCTCCGTGCCGCTGCTGCTCTTTCCTCCAAACCGCACGACGAGTCGGTGACCCAGGTATCGGATGTCATCCTCGTCTATGGCAGTGCTGAAGCGCGGCCCCCGATAGGGACGCTCGATCGTGTGGAGTACGTCCTTGGCGACCTGGTGCAAGTTTTTGCGTTTGTCCTTCGCGACGTGCCTGGCTGAGGAGCGAGCGAGCTCGGACAGCTTGGACTTGATGCTGTACGCGTCTGAATTATTGTGATACGGCGAGTATCGCTGCTTCCAGTCCTTGCGCCGAAATGCGCCGAACTCGTATTGATCCGTCTCGTCTTCATCGACGTCTTCATCGTCCTCGATCTGCGTCCAGCTCTGCTCGTACAGCAATGCAATGTTCTCCGCAGCCGCCTGCTGCACGCCGAAATCATTGCTGTCAAGCTGATTCTCAAAGCATTCAAGTGGTCTCTCCGTTTTTCCCTCAAGATCCTCAAACATGGTCGCTAAAAATCCCCACTCTTGAAGAGCGGCGGTAACAACGGCGCCGTTATCTCCTGCTTCGATAGATTCGCCGTCCGTCTCGATGATGTCTAGCAGATAGTCCATAACATCTTCCACGTCTTGGATATCCGCGCCGCCAAAGAATGCGCATGCGCCAAGCGTATGAATAGCTGCTTCCTGAGCTTTGTGCGAGCTCGAGTCTTGAATCCTAGTTCGCAGCGGTTGGTGAACCTCTTCGAACAGCTCTTCGCCCGTGGTCAATACTGTCATTGAAAGCGCCTTTAGTGCATAGACACTCTCTGTCTCGGTGCTGCCAGCACGGAAACACTTCAGCAGCGCGGGGATCAGATCTGCCAGTTGTGGCTCGATCTCGGCCGCTGCGAACTGCGCGCGTAGAATATTCGTGTATACTACAACCATTTCCTCCCTAGCTTCAGCCGTATTCCTCTTCGTCCTGCTTCGCTCGATGATCTGCTCGCCGACTTCGTGCAGTTCATGCTGCCAAACGTCGGGGGCTGCGCGTTCGTACGTGCTAAAGGCGTTGATGTCAAGGCTAGCAACAGACGAGTTCAGGTCATCATCTTCATCGAACTCGTCCTCCGATCCTTGCCTGCTCACGTTTCGCGAGGCTGCGCGCGACCCGCCAGGCGAATGATTTGGTGACCCGGAAGGCGAGTTCACAGCAGATCCAGCCTGCGAGCTTCGAGCCGAGAGCTGGCGCTGCTTCGCCTTGCGGGAGGTCGTCTTCCCGCTTTCGAGAGCGACCCGGCGGAGGTCTCTCTCATGCATCTTGGAGGGCTGAGGGGCTGTGATGTATGCTAGGTTGCCGGGATTCTGACGTGCGATGTGCGCTCGCACCAGTTCGTTGCTCTACAGTCTCTAACGCATGGTATACGTCAGTCTGGGCGCAAAGAGCAGTTTCACAGGAAGAGTGCCGCAGGCTGGGTGAAAGTGAGGACGCAAAGCAAGCTGCGATCGTGTTCGCCATTCGCCAAATGATAGCCGCCACACAGTACGAGCGATCAGAACACGCAGAAATGACTCACAAAAATTCGTAAGGAAAAAATGTTATAGGTTTTGGCGAGGAAGTTATGCTGTTACACTAGCGACTCACGACGCGGGTCGGGGATATCAGTGTGTCTCCAGTGGTCGTCTAATAGCATGAACATGTCGTGATGTCACAGACAGAGGGTACAAGAGCGACAAAGCAGCGAGCGGGTTGTACTGGCAGACAAAGGACGAGTAGCCTCGGAGACGACAAGAGAGATAAAATAAGCCGATCGGGGAGACGACTGCGCGAGGGATTCTTAGACGGTATCGGAGTGTGCGTTGGCAGGTGAGCTGTGAAAAATCGGGTGGATGTGGGTGCGCCCCAAGAAAGTTGGCGACTCCAGATGCGGGTCAGTGGCACGGCTTTCTAACTTAGCTTGCGCCACCGTCTGGGGATGACGTTGCACAGTCTGGGGGAATCCAAAAGGACCAAAGGCCGTCACGAATCTCGTCACATGCGAGGGCTTTTCAGCGGATGATTCGGTCGTGCGGAATCTGACGTCGGGAAGTCTCCCAGCGATGGAAAGCCGTGTTCAAATCACCAAGAGCCCGAGCACGGGGTAACGGTGGTCATGTGTAATATATTTCGTGTTTTACTCAAGCCTTTGCGCGCGCTCTGCTTGCCGGACGCCGTGGCTGTCTAGAAGGTCTTCTGGCATTGTCAGACCGACCAAAAGGCATCGTCAATCTAACATAGAAAGCTGCCCGACTCATGTTGTTGCCTGTTAAGCACCAGCGATGGATCGAGCTCTATAGAACCATCATTGGATTACAGTCCTCACTCAGCCTCACTAACATCGCTTTCCTCATCTGCAATCTGCTCGTCATCCTGCTCCATAGCTGCCATCATCTGTGCTTCTAAATCGTCGTCATAGTCGACCTCATCCTCTTGCCCTTCAACTTCTTGATTCTGGTGTTGCACAATCTGTTGCTGATGATGCGCCGGTGACCCCAGCTCCATCGGCTCGACATCAGCATCGCCGTCGGAATCCGCATGGACGTCATCCGTATGAATGTCTTCGTCCTTGGTGTCATCCTGTGTAGTGTGCGGTGGTGATTCGCCTTCGTCTTCATCCGGTCCTTCCGAAGCACCAAAATCAATGACGTCCTGCTCATAGTCGAGCTTTTGCTTTCTTTGTTGTCGTGGAGCCATGCGACCGGCGGGAGAGTTCGCGGCCGAGTGCAGTGATATTGGCCCATCTTGTACCGAGTCAGGTAGATCAAGCACTCGTGCAGGCGCAGCTCTTTTCTTGGGCATCTCGTTGCCCCAATCGATTTCAAGACCTCCGCCCTCATCAACGCGGACGTTCTGCACTGCCGGTGTGCTGTCGTCCTCTTCCTCTTCCTCCTCGTCTGAGGAATGCACAAAGGCATCTGACTTGAATTTGCCCTTTGATGCTGATGCTGCTCGGATAGATTTGCTCGCTTCTTTCTTGGGGACATCACTTGGACGTGTTGGTGCCCTCCGGTCGAGGCGGACGACGGGTGTCGGCTTCTGTTCGTCGTTGGCACCACCGGCATTTGCGCCCTTCTGCTTGCGGGCTGCTTGTTTTGATTGATCTGCTTTGGTTGAAGATTTCGATTGCGTCTTCGTTGCTGACGCAGTATTAGAAATTGGTCTTGCAGGAACCGAGTCAGACATCTTGGATGAACCCGTCGGTCTCAGCGCCGGAGATGGTGAGGCTGAAGGCCCAGAATGGGGATTCAGATAATGTCTGAAATCATATGGATTATCCGCATCTGGCTCTCCATCTATATCTTCGTCTCCAAATTCCTGGGAAGCCGACTCTTCCATTTTCAATTGTTCGTATTGTCGTGATAATTTGTCTTGCGAAGTCTCCCATGGAGTCGAGGTGAGATTGAAGTTGTACGATGATTTTACGGGCTCCAGGGTACATGACTGCGTCTCTTGGTTGAATATTAAAACGTATGAGCTCTTGGATGTGCTTTGTCTCCCCTTGTACGTGTATGTGCTGCTCGACGATCCACCTTCTTCGTCCAAAATCGATATTGTTGCAGCCCCGTCACGACCTTGGGAAAGCTTCGTTGTTCGAGAGCCATTGGATAGATTGGGCTTGTGATTGACTGGATTAGTTAGCTCAAGTGTACATAATCTGGCCTAAGTCTGATAGCCCTACATCGGACGCCGGCAAATGTTGAGGATCCGTTCTTCAAGCCCTTTCCTATCTTGAGAGTATACTGACCCGGCCTACGGGGGTCTACGGCTAGTACCGGTGGGCTCGCCATGAAGGCTGATTGTCTAGCGGAGGAAGATGAGGAGGAACGGGCGTAGAGGAATTTGGGGAGGTTTGGTTGAATCCGGACAAAGGTGGTGATACCATGTCAAACGTTACGGCGGGATAAAGCGGCCCGCACCAAGGATCGTCCAGACCCACAGCCTAGAACTAGCGGAAATCAGCCCTATGTTCAGGGACTTGCCCCATCAGACGGTAAAATCACAAGTACACAACACCACAGAACCTGTACAAGCATATATGTGACGTCTAATACGCACAACAGGCTGATTGGATGCATATCTTGAATCTTAGACGGGTGATTGCTGAAGACCATCTCGAGAAATAGCTAGCTGACGAGGTCACTCCTTGTAAAGAGGAACTGTTTAGCGGTCAGTCATGAACGAGTTATCATCACCATCACGCCTCCCTATGCCCTCGTCGAACTCGCAGCTGCCCAAGAGAGATGCCTCCAAACGGCGGAGCTTGCTGCTTCCACCAGGAAGTATTGCAGGCGCTGCGAGAAAGGGCTCTTCATTCCTCGCAGAGGAAAAGCCAACAAAACAACGGCCAATGTCGATGATAGCTCCCAATCAGACCACAAGTTACTTGACCAGTGGTAGGCTGAACGAAGAAGATGAAGAGGAGGAACAATCACCGGAGAGCAGAGATCGGGCGAGAGCGGAAGCTCATGCTGCGCTGATGGGTGGAGCAAAGACACAGTCACGAGCGAGTGCTGCAGCGCCAAAACCCGGAATCGAACGCTCAACCTCAGTACGGGTCCCGGGTGTTGGCAGAACTGCGACTGGAAGAAAGCAAGATTCAATACAGCCGAGGTCTATGGCAAGAGACGCGTCAGGGGTGAAGGATAAAGATGCACGGCCAGAATCTTCATTATCAACGACATCAAGGAGTACTGGGGAAGGTCCTACGTCTCGCCTGCGAGCTCCAGCGCCATCTTCAGTCTTCAGCAATAAAAATGGTCTCAAGAGATCCGCAACAACTACTACAGCGAGACACTCCCGTACACAGAGCGCCCTCCACCCGCCGTCGTCGTCCAACAGCACGCAACTACGATCAGACATTCGCCGCCATCCTACCATCTCAGAAGGCAGCGAGTCGCGACTTCAACGTCCTGCATTTTCCACATTGCAACAGCACTACTCGCCCAAGAAAAACCTCGCGCCGAAACCCGCGAGTTCAACGCTGATCCACCCGCAACCTAGCGAGACAAGCTCCTCGCCTTTGACACTAGACATCCAACTGCTTCAAACTCGACTTCTCCAACTTAGCATTCTACACCGTCAGGCTGAACCTGCACTCCAAGCCTGGTCTGCGTCCGCAAAACGCAAGCTGAAACACAAATTCACCGATGTGGCTGCCGAATGTGAAGTCGTGCAGCAGAAGGAGAAGGAATGGCAACGCCAAAAAAATGTCGCTGCATTGAAAGAGTGGAGTAATGGAGACCTTGGCTTACTTGCCGAGAACGTTGCGACACTGAGTAACGTTATCAACGAGATTATGCATTTAATTGAGGGTGGAGGGCGCGTTCAACAGACCCTTGACGTTTTCGAGGCTTGGATCACATGGGTAGAGGCTATATACAATAACCGCGATCAGCACCGGCAGGCTCAGTCCGAGTTTATAACGGGATTAGGGGATGGATGGAGAAATGAGATTGCAGCGTTGTTGAGGAAACTAGCCGGGTTGGTCAGGCAACTGGATGGGCTGGGCAGCGGCCAAGAAAGCAGCAGCTTGAATGGAATGCTGAACGGGCTTAGGATGTTGACTAGAGGGATCATCGAAGAATTGAAAGCGCTGGAGGCGTTGGAGAGCGCGGTGGTCAGGAGGGAAGGGAAATGGGTGGACAAGCAGATTGAAGGCTTAGAAAGAGAGATTGAAGCCCTCGTCGCATGAGATGAATCCAAGCATGGCTTCTATCACGTTCTGCTGTCATCCTGTGTTCATTTTATGACTTTATTAGTGCACTTGGTACTATATACACCTGCAGTGGCGAACGAAATCACTGATGGTAGAACTTCTGTCGATTCCGCCTACGCCACAAACTCGTCATGCTCCATACTGTCAACATCACTGCCTCCTCTTATATCTAGATTTATTGCTTCATGGAGCTCCAAACGTTCAGCTTCGTCTTTCGGAAGCCTATCAATATATGACGTCTCATGCTCTTGCACGAATATCCCAGAAAACGGAGGGTCCTCTCTAACGTCAGGGACCTTCCGGATAACGAGCACTGTGTTCGTCTTTTTGTCTTTTCTCCTCATGACCAGCAAGAAACCAACATACCACAAAACCCCAAATCCGAGCACGATCCAACTAAGTACCGGGATAAGGTACCACTCTAACGGGGACTGCCGACTCGATCCATGTGACGGTATCCAGTTCGCTATAACTGCCCACGCATTGAGGACTAGATATATCGCAGCTGCTGAAATACTAACACTTGGGCGGACAGCCGTTGATTTCATTCTCCATTGCTTCCCCTTAAAAAGTCGCAGCCATAGAATGCCGAGGGCGAGGAAGGACCCAAAGAAGCCGTTGATGAGGTACGCTGACATTCCAGTCAGCAAGTCGAACGCGTTGATCGCCTGCATGCCTGCAGTTGCAGAAATGAGGACGAAGCACGAGAAAATGTGCAAAATCGACGCGCCAACAGGTGTTCTCTCTCGATAGTTGGCCGGCGCAAACCATTTTGATCTGAAGAGCCACTCCAGACGAGAAGCAGACTTCCTCTGGATCCAGTTCAAGATCCGACCAATAGACATATCATAATCCGGCGCGAAAAATTTTGGCCAGGGCAAGAAACCCTCTTTAGCGATCTCCTGTTTGACTCGTGTAGCTGTGTAAGACATGACGATGACATTGCCGAGCGCAGAAACAGCAATAAATGCACTCGCAATCCGCTTTCCTAGGTAAGGATCATCTGGCCGAAGCGATCCCAGCGTGATTGTAAAGAAGGCTTCAGCAACATTTTGGCCTGGCTTAGCAGCAATATATTGCGGTACCACCGTCCAGTAGCAGATGTTTACGGCCACAAACAAGACGGATACAGTGCTTGCAGAAAGCCCCAGTGCAATCGGGAACTTTCGATGTGGCTGGCTAATCTCGCCGAGAACATAGTTTGCCTGCTCGAAACCCGAAAAAGTAAAGATGACATCGAGGAAAGCGTCTGAATAGCTGTGCGAATCATGCGATGCACGACCGAAGGAGTAAGGCAATGCGAGATTCTCTAGCAGAGTGGCGTTTCTCGAAAACTCTTGGCCATCGAATAAAGGCTGTTGTGCCCATGGCGTGGACTCGAGATTGGGAGATGGCCCGATGCTTCCGGAAGAATAAGCAAGAGTAACGCCTATGATGAGCAGCAACATCCCAAGCTTCACAATGGCAAAGAGATTATTGAGCGCAAGACCACCGCGTCGGCTAAATGCGTGGGCGAACAGAGCCAAAAAAGTGATACTCACGGCAACTCCTCTAACCTGGGCGTTGTTCGGCGCATCCTGGCCAGGATTACTGGCGGTCAGTAAGTTTATGGCGCAATTGATTGCGTTTCCGGCCATTGTACCAAAGAAGATGAAGGTGATCCCGTAAAACACTGTGGCAAACTGCACCGTGTCCTTCCGATAAGCGGGCCAGCGGTACACATACGACAGCTGCAAGGTTGTGAGCAAGCGCGAGACGCTTTGAAAAGACACGATGACTTACATAGTTCATGTCCCCCCCGCTCCTGGGTACTGCAATTTTTGTGCCATCTACAGTCCATCGCGGCACGCTCAGGCCGTATTCGATGTAAATGATAACTCCTGCCGTGGCATATAACACACCTGCCAACCAGAGCATTAGAGCTGCTCCAGTGGAGTTTGTGCTACGGAACATATTGCCAGCGTTTGTGAAAATTCCAGATCCTTTGGCAAATGTCAATGTCTTGTCTCCCCACGTTTGCAGATGGTCTCACCAATCATCCTGTTCATAACGAGACACATGATGGTTCCACGGCCGAGTCTGAATTCAGCAGCAGGAGCTTCAGTGTAGATCTCGGCCTCATCGATGGCAAATGGTAGTTCAGCTGGCGAGTCCTCAGAGTCGCGCTGTGAATTTCCATCCGATTCATGGGCCATGGTGACCACTTTGTGCTCAAGAGCCGTGAAATTGTTGGAGTCCATGAGGCAAGAAAGCTTTAACGGAGACCATTGTCCTTTAAAATGCTCATCCGACGTTGTCGAGAACTATAGCGGTATTTTCACATTTCAGCCTCGTCGTATTGCACTGCCCGCCGTGAAAGAGCGACATTGTACCCCTGCTGCATACTGCGTACTGCATACACAAACCGACAGGTTCAACACCTGCCAGAAACTCCGCACCCGCGCTTCACCGTCCAAAAGAAAGAAAGTTTCTCTACCTTATTCTATGTGCAGCAATTTTCCTAAAGGTACAATAGAACCGAGAGAAAAGGGTCTGGGATTCAAATGGAAAATAGTGTTCCACGCTTTTTGACCAAACATTGGGCAGGGGGAAATCGAAAGATAAGAGAGGGCTGGCACTGCCACCGTCTGACTCGCCTCTGGTAGGGGAAAAGACAACAGCAGAGTGAAGCGACGACGCTACGAATATGCAGCGGCCAATCGTCGTGCAGATAGGTCTCGTGAACAGCCGGCGCCTCTTCCGCTTCCCGGTGAGTTCAGGACAGCTTGATATAGATCCTGCCTATCCTTTCTCGTCGCCCTTCAAATCGTCGCTGCGGTTCATCGCGAATGGCCTTTAACACGTATATCGGAGACGTGATCGCGATATTCAACCTTGGAGAGGAGATTTGGAGGCTTGGGTGGTCCGATAGGACCAGAATCGGTACGTGTTGTATTGTCGTACGTCTGCGCGCCCCATGCGAGGAGTGGGGTATGCGCTTTGGACTTAGATCCTTTCCTTAATTGATCAGGGCGAATATGTCACTAACCATCCCTCCGCTATAGAGCCAGTATATACTTCTTTTTATGAATCTGCTAAGGACTGGGATCTCACTGCCAAACGACTGCAGGTAGTTGTTGCCCACGTTAGCCAGCAGGAGGACATTAGATCAGACGGGCATCAGCTTTCTTCCTTTCCTTACGCTACTGTATTTGACAAGGAGCAATTTTTAAAAGCCATCAACGACCAAAAAAAACTCATCAAGGACTGCTTCGCTCTACTTCGGCATACAGCGTCGTATTTACCCAGAACAGGCGCATTCTGGCAATTAAAGTTCAACTTAGAGGAGGCAAGCAAATTCGAGGACCTAACCCGGCAAATCACATCACAGACCGCAAGGTTGTCCAATCTACTCAAACCGCTCGAGTTAAGCCTGCTTCTCGATACGAACCGAAAGGTCAACCATCTCCTGCACTTTGCTGCGCAGGAGAAAGACACGCAATACATCGTTCCAAGCTCTGATGGTTTTGTTTATCAGCAAAAGCAACCTCAAGTTCTCTCTCATGCTATTCTACAGGACAATCCTCAGGTAGAGAGCCAGAAGTCCAAATGCGTCGAATCCGTCACCGAAGTGCCTTCCCCTGATGAAGGCCATGATGAAGCAGACCAGGGCCTTCAGCTTCTTTGGAAACCGGACGGCACAATACAGTTAGAAATAACCACTTACGAAAAATACGAAGGCCAGCCTACTTGCGTCGAGTATCGAAGTATAGAGTTAAATGCAAAGACGACGCGCTTAATCCCGTTGTACGCCTGTCCAACTCGGGATGCCGTCCTCAGCCTTCGAATCTTTGATGGACAGATGGCAACCGATATACAGTTCTCCAAGCTCAAACATCTTCTGCGATTTCAGCATGCCGCCACAGGATACGAAGTTTATGACGCATACTCTCAAGGACCAATCGATGTCAACCTGCGATTTACCAGCCCTAAATCCTCCATTGATCGAAAGGCATTCGTTCAATTCTGGATTCCTAAAAGATTAGAAGAGAAAGAGGCTGCAACGATTCTATCTGAGGCCAGAATCTCAGCTGCCTATCCACGGAGAGCCTCGACATGGACCAAGTCCCCACGACTTTCAATATCATCCAGTGGCGGGTCTACCTCAGTATCCTCAATTCTTGAAAAGGATAGTATCGAAGCAGGCAATATAGCAACAGAAGCGCCCATATCACCATCCTCAACTAGCCCACCTTCTTTTTCGCCCTTAACTCGGAATTATTCTGAAAACTCTCAGTCTTCCCTCTCTTCCACATTAATGTCCACGGATCAGGCATATCCATCAGATTGGAAAGTGGGATATCAATTTGCTGGAGGCCGCAGAACCTCTAAGGCTACAATATCTGGATTAGGGAAGAGCCCAGCAATGTACAGGCGACAATCGGCCCATGAAGGGGCGAATATCCAAGCTCAACCTCGAACTTACAAAGAAAGTCAGCGCCCAATGGTAGTTTTCCTTATGCATGATACCTCATCTTCGTTACGAGGGGACAATTATTCTATTTTAACAGTTGAGGTGGATCGCGAGACAAGGTTAAACACCACAAAGTGTGACTGCAAAACAAGAGACAGAGGGAATTGTCCTCATATCACCATCGAAAAATCAACAAACAGTGACCTCCTTGCGCAAAAATATGAGATGAGTTCTTTGGAAGATTGGGATATCACTCTTCCGGGTATGAAAAAGAGAAAGAACTACGCTTCAGATGACTTTTCGAGCACTCTGCGCTGCGTGAACATCACGTTCGCAGAACCAGGTGATCCAGCAGGGCCGGCGATGAGCAGGAGATTTGGTGGGTATGATTGCAAATGCAGATACAAAACCATGGCGGACAAGAAAAAATGCTTGGTAGCACGACATCAAGGAAATTTCGGCATAGTCAAAGAGATTGTCGAAAACCAGGCGCGAGACCACTTCATGGCGCGTTCAAAGCAAGGACACTTCCAATTTGGTGGCGGCATCTGAGAGAAGGCGCTGCATTTTCGGGCATGGACGACACTGTTGCGTTCAGTTTGGAATGACCGACCAGAGTATACTGGTATCTGACGGGAACACATAATTAGCGATGAGATCCATCTGGATCGCCCGATTTGTTACTCAGAGTCACGAGTATCGCATGAAGTCACAGTTCACGAGCTTGTATATTAGTTTCTTTCAATATCATTAGTGCTAAAAGCATTACTTCTCACAAAAACCGCCGCCGGGGCCCTCAAGTTGGACGGAATTTGACAACTCCTTACACCTGGAGCAGCCTTGTCCAATCTAGGCTGATGTGCTATGGGCAGCTTTACGGGCAATGGTACCAGTGACTTTTTTGGAACCGGAACTTGGCTTTCTGCTTGCGTCGAACGTGTTCAGTTCACCTGGCCTCATGCTTCTGCACAACAAAGCAATTTCTTCTAAAGACACAACTTCAAGGAGGCCCATCAAATGTTAACACTTCTGCCGACTGGCCTTCCAATCCCAGGTCCTCGTCCAGCATTTGCCCTTGCAATCGAACTTTCCAGGGCGTTAGGCGCTCACGACAAATCAACAGACTTGGGTATTCAATGCCATTTTCCCGCTCTGTAGCAGAATCAAAGTCCATGCGTTGTGAGCAATACTCGCAGATTTGAAAATTTTCCTTTTACCACAAATCGGCTCGCTTTGACTCGGTCGTGCCGACACGAGCGGAAATGGTCTTGGATGTCGCATTCTTTATTTTTTTTTATCGGACCAGGCATAGATTCGCTAGCCTTTGGTCACTATTCAGTTCGTCCTTACGTAGGAAAAGTCATGGGACTTTGGGGGATTAGAGAAAGCTAGACCACGAACATCTTGCAGCCCACCAGCAATGACTGATTGTAAAGCCATGATGCTGAAAATCGAGCAGAGTTTCCACTCAAACGTTTGCTCGGCTGGGTCTGAGACTTCGATTGTCAGCAGTATCTTAGTAATTCAGACCTGCTAATCGTGTAGGCAATCTGGGATAAGAGCTGCTTTTTTCAGCTAAGAAAGGAAACTGCAAAATCCTTTTGGATGTATCTGTGAAATGTATTCGTTCTATACCATGTGCACTAGGGTATCGTCCGTGAATGTCTATTGTTGCTCATCACATCATTTATCGTTCGTGTGAGAATCAAAAAGTGTCGTCCAGAGGGTCTATGTTCCTTCCTATAATGCTCGGGCTGTCCTCCAAATCCTCCGTCATATCCCCTCCTGCAGAGTATAGAATATCCTCAACAATCCTACGACTAGCCTCTTGTGCTTTAACTTCTAGTTAGCCATGCCATAATAGATGACCAAGTCGATGGTATTCTTACCTGGTGTCTGCATAACCCTGCTTTCAGGCAGATTGAACATGATTGTTTTAGGTGGGCTCATTCCTAGGTCATCATCTTCTTCGCTATCGCTGTCCCATGCAATGGACCGTCCTGTGAGGCCACCCGTCCTTCCTCTTGTCACCTCAGGAGTGGCATCGGCACCAACGTTACTGTCCCGCTTTCGTCTTTCTTCAAATTGCTTCTTCACATTGGGTGTCAAAACGCTCTTTCCCGGTGTGCGCGAACCTTTCATCGGCGAGAACACCCCACGCAACCTTGGGGCGGGTGCTTCTTCCAGCGGACTACTCATTGTATCTTCAAAATCCAAGATTCTCCGAGTCCTATTTGCCGTCCCTGGTGTCATTCCGAGCTTGGTCGACTTTCTTGCGGTGTGTGGGGTTGCCTGCACGCGGAAGTTCTTGTTCAAAATTCCCTGGTGGAGAAGCGTATCCTTGTTCCCCTTGCCAGCAACTGACGATAGCCCTGCAATCTGCGCAGTAAAGGGAGAAGTGTTTGGCGTCATAGACATGTTCGGTAAAGTCGTGTTCCTGCCTGGTGTTATCGGTGCCATTGTAGTCTTGCTATCTGTTTTGCCTTCCACTTGCTGTTTTAGAGTCTCATACGGCGAGGGATAGTCCTTCATAAATATTGGTGCACCTGGAATATCAGTGGCTTTGTCCGAGGTGTTCTTCGTCACAGTCGCAGGCATGCGGGGTGTGCTGTGCCTCCCACCGCCCATCGAGGGCGAGGATAACAAGTCATCGTCATCGGAGAAAGGATGTGATACCGTCTTCTCAGGCGAAGCAATTGTTTCGTCAAGTTGGGACGAGCTCACGTCATGCTGCTCAACGTCCGCTTGCGCAGTTTCATCGTCATCATGTATGGTTGTATCTTCAAGCTGCGGCTCCTCATAGCCTGATAGTGATACGTTCGCACTAGCCTCAAAGAATTGTTTCCAAAACTGCTCTTGCGTCAGATTGTTGTTTGTGGATCGAAGTAGTGGCCGACCTTTGATCCTTCCCAAACTGCTTCAGAATGCTTCGCGTACTGTTCAACTATGGGCAGAATGCTTGTTGTAACAATTCTATGAGCTCTGCTGAAGTTGTGATCGATCTCTGCGGCAATACTGAGTGTGTTTGTCGATAGACACAGTGGCGAATGGGACTTGAAAACGCACCCTGCAGTGTCAAGGTTATGGACTGCTCCAATTTTTCCAGCTCTTCAGTCAAGGTGAGACTTCGCGGTGCTAGAGTAGTTCTCCGATCCATGGTTGCTTATGGGAAGCGAAATCTTCGCGAACGCAGTAGCTTGCTTGCTGGTATGTTTTCATGCACCGGGAACGCGTATGTGCGGATTTCCTAATTTGGTCAGCGCGCTGCTAACTCAAGTCAGCTTGGCAATTATCAAGATCTGTTTTTTCCAACACAACGGCTTTCTCGTCCTCGGCAGGCCTCATGACTCTCCAAATTTTCCAATCAATTGTTGATACTTTCACTGCTGGACGTCATGGAAACACCTGCTTCACTCTGCGCACAATCCCTTGCATTTGTTGATTGAATCCTTCAAGGCGTGATGCTCGGGTCTAATTTACCCCATCCCGAGCTTTGGGGCGGGCATTTCACCGCAACGAACGCTATCCGATTACCCCACAACTCCTCAAGACAGGTCTTTTATCATCATCCCGCACGCCCGAGAGTGAGATGTCGTTAGATATGCATCTCAGCGGCTCGAATTCCGCCTTGATCCTCGCCAGTGACGCTGTCCACTTGATCCAGTGCAAGATCTTTAAATCTGGCCTTGACGCTAATCATTTGCCGTGTTGCTTGCATCAATCTCACATAGTCGGTGGTCTGCTTATTTGATATTATCATCCCATTTTTACTATCTCTATGGCATCATATATTTCTCTAAGGCGGGCAGTCAGCACGGTCCATCGCAATAGTAACCACCTTAAACTTGGAACACGTGCTTTTTCCGTTACGCCCTCACTCAATAGATCAGCCATAATAACAGGCTCTAGTCGCGGCATAGGCAAGGCGATTGCCTTGCGTCTCGCCGATGACGGCTATGATATCTGTATCAACGATGTTATGGCGAACAAGGCCGGTATCGACGACGTAGTTGCGCAGATCAGATCCAAGGGCCGCAAAGCCACTGGGTTTGTCGCCGATGTTTCCAAGCTGTCTGAGGTTGACGACATGGTACAGCATTCGGTCTCCGAATTGGGAAATCTAGACACCATGGTCGCAAATGCGGGAATCGCACAGGTCAAAGCTTTGTTGGATTTGAATGAAAAGGACTTGAGAAGGATGTTCGAGGTGAATGTGTTCGGAGTATACAACTGTTATGTTTCTGCCGCAAGACAGATGATTGCACAGAAGACTCCTGGAAAGCTGATTGGCTGTGCCAGTATCGTAGCATTCAAGCCTTTCCCATTGCTCAGCCATTATTCGGCCAGCAAGTGGGCTGTGAGAGGTCTGACGCAAGCCATGGCTATGGAGATGGCCGAACACAAGATCACAGTTAATTGTTATGCACCAGGCATTGTTGGTGAGTGTGTATGCTTAGTTTCAAGTTCCTCGACGCTTATAATTATCTAGGAACTGCTATGTGGGAGCTTATTGATGAGCAGTTGGCTGCGAAGAAAGGCAAGAAGAAGGGCGAAATGATGAAGAAATATGTAGAGGAGCTCACCGCACTAGGCAGAGCAAGTACGCCGGAGGATTTACAGGGATTATTGAGCTTCCTTTCCAGCAGTGACAGTGATTTCATGACTGGGCAGACAGTTGTTCTTGATGGAGGAATCATATATACATAATTTTAACAAGCATATGATTATACGATCCAAGCTATTCAGCTTAGACGAGAAGGAGACAATAATACAACCGGAACATTACTTTTATGAACAAAGTCAATTGCCGAATCTCAACTATGCTTATTTGCTCTACGTGTTCATCGGATTGCGGCACAGAGAACAGGGACCAGTTCGTGTTTGGTATTGATGTTTTTTCTTGCAAATGCGAATGGGGGAGAAATGCTTATTGGTGGGCAAATCTATTTTATCTACGTTTTTCTAAGAACTGATTTCACAGTGGATAACTGTTTGGATTGAATATAATCAAGTATCCTAGCAAAGAATTATGAATGTTGCCGTAGCCTTGCCAGAGTTTGTTGGAGGACGTTTTCTTGACCGTGTTGAAGCATTATAAGATAGATTGTGCAGCATCGAAAATAACAACGGCCCTTATAGCGTAAGTGGAGTCGCCAATTCAAATTGCAACAGTCGATTAACACATAAGCAGTCAGTTGGTAGAGCGCGACACTAGTAAACATTACTGAAATGTCGAGGTCTACAGTTCGACTCTGTATGAGGGCAAATTTTTTTTCCTTCCGCCCCTCAAGAAAGGATTTTGAACTGTGATACGCGAGAACAATTGAAATTTCATTCATTTCTCCTTAAAAAATTAAATTGTTTAATACCCCATAGCTCGTCATTCGTACCTTTTTTTTCATCACCCTTGTTTGCCCTTTGAAAAATGACAAACTAGCAGTGGTATGCACACTAAGCCAACATATGCGCAGGCTTATTATCACGGTTGCTCATTCACTGCCATTATTCTTTGCGTGAAGCAGATAAAAGCACTGCTAGTCAATCTTAGTGAGCCGGTCGCCTTTGGCAATGCAACCACACAGGTCTACGACAGCTAGGGACAGATTAGGAGCTTAGTGGTTCCTTTTCATAACCGCGTATTCTGTCCAGAGGCTCGTAACAAGACCTTCGAGAAAGTAAGAAAAATCTCTGGGAAGTAGGAGGAAATGTTGCGGTTTTCAATTTCAAAAATCAGCTTAAATGATCTTAGAAATATATAAGCACAACAAAAGTCCTTAGTCTTTCATTCTTTGGGCATTGTTGTGTTCTTTTCCTCAAAAAAAAACCTCGCATAACGAAAGCCGCCAAAACATGAGGAAATACGGGGATTATGGAAACAAGCATGCAAAGGTGACAATATGCATAAATATGGACATATTTTCAATGATATACGGATAACTCCGGCGCCGTGGTAAGATCCTCCGTGCAAAACATGGTTCCAAGCCTTAGTGTATACGAATTTTTATCGATCTTTATTCTCTTGATCTTCATGTACCAACTGCACGAAGATCTAGAAAGCAGACTGGTTTGACAATATTCTACAACCCTTGCCTGTGCTGATACCACGTGACAATTTCTACAACGCTAAGTTATAGCATGGTCTTTTCTTGTTTCAGTTATAAGGCCATACAGGTTCATCCACCAAGATTTCTTATCCAGATCTTACTCTTGAATAGTTTGTCTCCGAAGTTGTCGATGTGTAGTTGCAAGCAAGCTTAAGTTTTTGCAGTGAAAGGATAGAGTCCCTTTTTTCATATCAGAAAAGATCCAAATTAATTCAGATTTGAAAAGGACATGATGCAATGTACATGAACAACACCGGGCCTGAACTCTTAAGCGTGGGATACTGCCTAACACCCGACGTCGATGGCTCCCGAGACTGAGCCCGACACTACGAAAAGCAGTGCCGCAGTAAGACGCAGAGGCGGTGGAAGCTCTGAATGGAGAAAGGCCCAGAATCGGGCTAGTCAGAAGAGATACAGTGACTAGCCATCAAGCATTACCTGAGAAGTGTGCTCATATTTTGAATAGGAGAGAAGAAAAAGCGACTGATGCTGGAGTTGGAATCGCACACTGCGGAAGCTAAAGCGCATCATCGAATGCAGGAAGCTTCTCAGTTAACACTCGCGGGACTTTCAGCCACAAGTGATGAGCAACCTCAGAAAGACAAAAATTTCCAATCGGACTACCTCGGGGACATGTTCTTGCCGCAGAGCCCCGATCTCTGTCCTGCAGTTCACATCGATAGAAGGCAAACACCATCACCTCCGAAGCCCAGAATCCGCATAGTGAGGACAGTATTGCCCTTCGACTTATCAGACCCGTTCAAGTTTAGCGGGACTCAAATGACGTTCTGGAGAAAGGGCGCGATGGGCGAGACTAAGTATACGTACACAGCTGAGCAGTGTGAAAATCAACAGGAACAGACTGCAGATAAGTAGGCATATTGGTGAACAATCTGGAAGAGTTGGAAATATCCCACTGAGAGGGCTCGATGGGAGAAGTATAGCTCAGCTGTGAGAAAGAGAGAGAGAATAAATTCACCAGGAAATTTGGATGTCCGTAATATCAGTGTGGACGGCGGATTATTACAGATACTGGCTATGGATCCTCAAGACCGTATTAGGTGACAATCTCAGCGCGACGATGTCGATCAGGCATTATGTCAAGGTGTTCAAAACAGGAAAATGATCAGTTCTTCTCGTTGACAGCCTGCTTTGAGATAGAAGGACATGGTTTTATTGAGCTGCCATAATAGTCATGCATTTTTAAAACCGATGCCCTATTTTGTGCATGAGTATGGGATAAAGTCGGTCTGACAGAGCAGATTGAAGCCATGTTGTAAAAGAAAGCACACACTAAAGGTCACCGTCATCTCACAGAGAGCATAAACTGGACGTCTCATTATATGCAACGCACACTCATTGCGTTTTCATTTCAAAACTTCTGAGTGTACCTGTTTCTAAACCGATAATTCGTGAACCCTGTGGTATCTCCCAAGTCATTGTTTACTCCCAAAACTCCGCAGCCCGCTTGGGGCAATTTACATGGTGTTCCAGAAATAATTTGCATAGAAGTATCTCGACAGTTTCGGATCGATATTGACCACATGCACATCTCCCTTATGTGCGTTCCGAATCACGGCCTTGTTGTAGAGCCCCGTCTCCGCGTCCGGCTCGACGTCGATGTTTAGCAGCCGATAGACCTTCAGCTTGAGCCTTTTGAAAATCAAGTTAGCGAATCTAGAAGAAAGCCTACGTGGCTCCGAAATGACACTTACAAGGTCTCATCATCCATGCCCTCTATTCTCCTCACAGCTTCCCCGCCTTCTACGCCTTGGGCCTCAACCTCTTCCAGCGCTTGTCGTGTCCTTTCCAGTTCGCCTTCGAGCCGCTCACCCTCCGTCTCCAACTGGCTAGCCTCTTTCGCAATTTTGAACTTTTCGGTATCTAGTCTCAAGATCTCCGCTGCGTGCTCTGTAGGGTTGTGCGACTGAACCGTGAGTGCGTACGTCGACTGGAGAGTAGACAGCTGTCGGTTAAGAGCTTTGAGGTTCTGCCGTTGAGCTTGTAAACGGTGTGTTCGCGATGACTGCAAAGTGGACAGTGAATCGCGTATCCTAGCCAGAGAGAGTTTGTCTGGGTCAATGTGGAATGATTGCGTGCATTTGTGGATAAGCTGTGTGGATGTTCTGTTAGTGCTCACAACAATGCTGAGAGTATCACAAGTGCAGCGTGACATACATCGTTTGGCGGCTCGTCGAGAAGCATTGTGGTGCCAACTTATACGGTTGCGACTCTTCAGATGCTGTGTGCGTGATTCTAAATGAAAATAATTATATTCTTGCGTCTTGAACTGGAGGTGTATCATGTAGATTGTTTGGGGCAGAGTTGCCATGGTAAACAAACCATCCCAGTTGTCCTTGCCCAAAACGGGTTCATCAGCCACATTCGCCACATTCTTCCAACGTCATTGACGCCACAGCTGGAACAGGAAAGGGCATCTGCACTTTACGCATGCTCTTAAGGATCACAAGCGACCCGGCAAGATATCAAGCGCGAAGGCTACTTCGCTCATTTCCTTCAACTGCAAGCTCCTGTCCGTAAATTGCCACGACCATGACACCCGCGTTACCATGTAAGTAGCAGCAGAGGGAAAGAGCATCCACATGAAACAACAGAACATGGCTAACAAACTCGACTCCCAGACGCCGCAGATGCGGAAGCGTACGTTAATCTCCGGCAGAGTCCTTTTCCTCACGTCGTAATGACACCAGCCACAGACCATTGAAGCCCGCAGAGCTGAACGTTTTGCGCGCGCAGTACGAGAAGGAGGGCGAATATGTGGGCATCCAAACAAAGTTCAACTACGCGTGGGTAAGGTTATGCCGCTACACAAGATTGTGGAACATGGCTGACGCAAACGGACAAACAGGGTTTGATAAAATCCAACGCCCGCAACGAACAACAACTCGGCATTCAGCTGCTTAGCGAGATTTTCAGATCTTCTCCGGATCGCAGGAGAGAATGCCTGTATTACCTTGCGCTAGGCAACTATAAGCTTGGAAACTATGCTGAAGCAAGGAGATATAACGATCTATTGCTTGATCTGGAGCCAAGTAACTTACAGGCAGCAAGCCTGAGAGGACTGATTGAGGAAAAGGTGCAAAGAGAGGGTTTGGTTGGAGTAGCGATTGTTGGTGGGTTGGCGGTGGCAGCAGGCGTGGTGGGAAGCTTGCTCTTCAAGAGTGCAAGAAGGAGATAAGAATCAAATTTCTCATGGTAAGAAAATAGTAATACACTGTGCTATAAGATATGGATAAGAAACAGCGAGTCGAGAGTAATTTTAGCGAGTGAGCGACAGTGCTCCATGAGCGGGTTTTCCTGGAATTTTGTGGTGACTATCAGACAACATGCGGATATATCCATCTTTCTTTGTTTGGTTGCAAAATCTTTCGAATTCTCGGATCCTTGCTGGAACACAGTGGTATCTGAGTTTGGCCCTGCCTTTGAGGGTCATGTTACTCTCTCGCCAACCATGCATAGCGCAAGAAGGCATCGTTGCAATTTTATGACACAGTTCGTGTAGTGCTTTTCCGATAGCATAGTTTATCTTCTGGGAAGGGCTGAAAATCCTCGAGATTCATTTTAAGATATTGATGTTCTAGAGGATATTTAAACACTTGAAGTTTACAATGTTTGTCTCGGAAGAGGTGGTTCCAGTGCTTTTCGTTAAGATTTTGAAACTTCGTCGGGTTTACTTCGTCAATTTCACTTTCCGTACATGGTATCACAATGGCGTAGACGTTTAAGTTTCGGCGTGTTGCGAGATGTTCAAGATTTAATCCTGTGGGCAGGTCTTGTTGATAAGCCTGTATATTAAAATAGATGGTATTGTGCTATGTCTAGTAGTGCTAAGAAAGGAATGATGCGAACTTGAATTTAATCCAAATCTGAACGCAGTTGGGGATGCTTTGTCTTGTACCGTGGCAATGGTGTACTTTCGCTGCTCTCTGATGTCAGTGCTTCGCACACCTCTTAGTAGTAAAAATCATCATAGTCGAGCAGCATTGATGATTGTGTATCGTGATTTATTTGGTTGTCCAAGGAGGAGAAGGATGCTGTAGATAATGCATTCTGTCATCAACCTGCAGGACTTCTAGGATAACATCAACTGGGACAAGCGGTTCTTCGGCAAGCCTTACAATGGTCCAGTCTTGGGCACTTCTTCTAATGAATTACGATGAGTTTCCATTGGTTTACGACTGCATTTTTATAATCGAGTTCGACTTTCGTCAAAAGGAACAAGTGGTTGGAGACATCTTTGAATTTGGCTTTTGTGACGATGTGCTGGTCGAAACGTGCGAAAAAGAACCTTGCTAGACGTACGTTGTCTTGTGGTTGAGATTCGTATTCCTCATGTCTGTTCTACAGATGTGGAGGTGATGAAGTCTCCCCCCCCTAAAAAAAAAATTCCTGTATATGTAGAAACTTGGACAACTCGCGACCAAAGAGTGAATTCCGCAATGAGCTTGTATTTACCCGACACTGTGGTAGAGTTGTCGTCATGAATGGAAAACGTCAGCAACGAAGTTCTTTCTGCTTACAGTGGTGTTCGAGCATAATCGATTCGCGGATGGTACAGCATAATGTCCAAACCGGTCTATGAAGTGAGCCTGGCGATTGTCATTCTCATATGATATTGCTCATTCGTATTAACTCATACACGTTGCCAAGCGTTGATCGCTGAATGGATCTACAGTCACGTGAGCGTGCTTTCGCTCCAGCATCATACATCGACCCCAACTTCGCTGCAGGCAGCCGTTCACGATCCACTTTATCATGCAACCTTAATTATGACCAGAATACCGATCGTCCTGCTGTCGCTGCTGGTTTCAGCTCTCGCAGCATCAAACGCGCTCGAGGTAGACGACACGCCACTGCCCGTGTTGATCTGGCATGGGCTGGGGGATAACTACGCTGCCGATGGCATAAATGATGTCGCCGCCTTGATCCAGGAGATCAATCCAGGCACGTTCGTGTACCCTATCCGCCTCGCCGAAGATCCATCTTCCGACCGCTCTGCCTCTTTCCTCGGAAACACGACCGAACAGATCTCTGCCGTGTGTGCAGACCTAGCCAGACACCCCATCCTCTCAACTGCCCCAGCCGTCGACGCGTTGGGCTTCAGCCAAGGCGGCTTGTTCTTACGCGCATATGTCGAAAGATGCAACGACCCGCCTGTTCGAAGTCTAGTCACGTTTGGCAGTCCTCACAACGGCATCGCAGACTACGCTGGCTGCGGCGCGACTGACTGGCTCTGCAAAGGGGCGATGGCACTTCTTCATTCGAATACTTGGTCCAGATTCGTCCAGTCGCGACTCGTGCCTGCACAGTATTACCGCGAGGTAGACCCAGACACCGGCCTGCCATCGGAACAGTATCTCGAAAACTCCAACTTGCTGGCGGACATCAACAACGAACGCACGAATAAGAACAAAACGTACTCTGCTAACATTTCTAAGTTGACAAACTTTGTCATGTACGCCTTCGCTGATGATAAAACTGTGATCCCGAAGGAGAGCTCGTGGTTTGCGGACGTGAATATTACAACTGAGGAAGTTACGTACTTGCGAGATAGGAAAATGTACAAGGAAGACTGGCTTGGGCTGCGAATTTTAGACAGAAAAGGCGGGCTCGTTTTCAAGACTGCACCTGGCGAGCATATGAGATTAAGTGAGGAGGTGCTAAATCGCACGTTTGCAGAGTACTTCGGGCCGCTAAAGTCAAGAGACAGTCTTTCACGCCACCCACAGCAAATTTACGATAATCTAGACCTGTAAGATATATACGTAGTGTACAAGAACAACATCATGCAGACTTCTTAGTCAGGAGTCGGTGCTTAGTTGATGTTCTGTGACCATGAACGCAGCATCACCCCTCGACATATTTGCGTTCTTGTGATATGGATCAAATATGAGTACGACAAATACTGTTTCAACCCTACATACTGCCCCGAGGTCAATTCTTTCGGCCAACAGTTGCACAACAACAAAACCTTCGGTCATCGCCATGGTCACCACATCCACAGCTTGTCTTGTGCCGTCGTTCACAAAGCTAATCTCGAAAGAGCGTCGTGTGTGAACAGTGGACTGAATATCGAATGCAGCGTTCTCTGCTGCGAAGACATCCAAGTCGATGATGTCAAAGCCATGTGCAGAGCCATGTTGGTTACGCCCGGTGGCGCGATACGTGACGTATCTGCGAGTCGAGGTGTCGAATCGTTGCCAACAGATGCAAGACTGCTGACGGCTGGAGAGAGGAACTCCTGGAACTGCAGAACACTTTACGGCTTGGGAGTCACCAGGCCCCAGCGTTGAGATGCACGCGGGTTTCTCGGAAATAGAATAGGTGTGAAATGACTGAGATTCTTCTCCCCCTGGAGAATTTTGCAGCCCTTCGTATTTGTACTTGAACGAAACGAGCTCGCTAGGTCTCTTCAGGTACAACCATAGTTCGACTCGAGATGGATATAATGGTGGCGTGGATGAGGTGTCGATTTCGAATATGATGCTCCTTTGACAGTCCTCGGAGTGGGATAAACTGTGCTGGATTGCAAGCAGGACTCTGCCTGAGTCTTTTCGAGATTCGGGGTAGCATTCGAAATTCACATCCCGGACCTCGCAATGACTTTGGATCTGCAAGTGGGCTTCGTGACTGACGTCGCCCTTCAAGCCGGTCTGAATTATGCTAATGAACAGATAATCCAAGGCCTTTGAAAAGCGCAGATAGACAAAGGTCAAGATCCCACTGTCGACATGAACCCAGAAATTCGTCAGAAGCTGCAATTCTTGGCCATGGTTCCTACAGTACTGGTAAAGTATATCCTTGGAGAAGAACAACGTGAAGCTATAAGAACGGCGGCTTCTCATATCCCAGATTACGACCTCGTCATCAAAATGCGTAAGGCGTTCTCTCGTCTTTCTCAGCAGGAATGCGGCCATATGCTTGTGAAAAGCGGTTTTCGCAGGTTCGGCTGGTAGCAGCAGTCTGGTGGGACGAGCATCAAGATTCGCTAGGTCAAAGCCGTAAATGCTAGTCGCTCTTCAGCTTGAGCATCATTGCACAGCTTAAGAAAGGCACCGCGACTTACTTGAGGCCTAGACGTGGGGATACCACGACGAAGCTGCTCGTGACGGCGTGAAGAACGCAGGAGAAACGTCCAGGCAAAGACACAGTGTGATAACGACCCGTGCAGACGTCAAAAGCAATGATTTCACGCCTAGCTTGAGATGTCCAAACCATGTTGCATCCAGAGAGTTCCATCTCTTCATGCACACGGGGCCATACGAGGCTATGGGTGGAGTCGAACTCATCGTAGGGAACCCGAATTTGCAGAATGTTGACCGGCCGTACATTCTGAAGCCGTATCACACATTCGATATACCTTCTGGCTGATTGCAACTGATCAACAGGGGTCAAATCACTTGTGAGAGGTGCAGACTGTGGGGAACATCGACAGAGTTGACCAAAGGTCGCATTGAATGTCTCGATATTGTTCAACTTGCGGTACCAGGCTCTGCTGACCTGCAAACACCTAAGCACATCAAGCTCGACAGATTATCCTATCGGCTTACAGATTGATATTTAATTACAGCCTGGAGAGGGAGGTGTCGAAAAATAAGAATCAAGATCTCGAACGGCAGGTCAGCAGCCCCAACGATGTCCCTTTGAAAAGTTCGTTGTGCAAGCATCCTCTGCAAGGCGCGCCACTCGTAGCTGGAGAGACGTAGCACAATTTGCTCCAAACTAGCATGGACCATTAGCTGCATGCATTTGGAGGCTTCTGGCCGGTATTTACGCTTCCGATCTCTCTTTGCTACCGAGGCTGTCAAATGCTTCGACTACCTTTGCTGCCATCGGAACTGCACCTTCACAAGAGGTCTTGTTCAGAATTTGAATGCCTGGGGCCTATTCTCAAAGAGGAAAGCACCCAGATACAGGCACAGGCAAAGACACTTGCCCTTGCTTACGTGAAAGTCATGAAAGGGGGATTGCGAAGGCGATGGAACGATCCGGCAAGGGAGGGAATGTACTATCTTGTGGGTGGTTTTTCACTCAGGAACCCAGCCGGCTTCAACCTGCCCCGCGTAGCAATGGAAAAATCCGAAAGCAGCTCCCCGTCTCGTGGCTCTCACTCTTTCTCAGAGCGATTAAAATTGGCCAGACGGTCCGAATTTCATGGAGTGACTGAGCCATCCCTCGAGCGCGAGTTAAATGATGGCCTGAAAAATTACTTTGAGACGTGTGTTACGCTGTAGTCGCCGTGCAGTACAGTCACCGAGATGACTGGAGGCGCAGACAAGGGGGGCGGCGATTCATTCGGACGCGGCGGATCTTTCAACTGCAGAATTCAAGGCCTCATCGCCGTGCAATTAGAACGGGCTCGCTGAGTTTCCGTGCTGTGGTCTTGTCTACCGTACAACGTGATGGAAGAGCGATGGTGGAGGTTCTACCATCGAAGGCATAACCGCTGGGACCCAGCCGCCGCCTATATGAAGAAGAAAGGAGGTTCTCCGTATTCTAACCGCTCTACAGCCTCCGTGTGTGCTTGACCCTTTGATAGGAAGCCGAAGGTTTGCTGAGCACAAGTGGCGCACCTACGAAGCGTAGCCGCCCAGAGGGAAAACAAACATGCTGGACGGTCCCCGTCGGCGTGCCGCGAAGAAGGGCCGTGGCAAATTAGAACGCGGTTCGCAGCGACGGGGTCACAGAGAAAGCGAGCGCGGCCGGCCAGCCTCACGTCCGCGCGACAGGCGTTGAGAACAAACTCTTAACAAGCAAGTCATCATCGACTTTTGTGGGCACGCCGGCTTGATCCTCACGGGTTGCAGCCGCAGCGCAGCCACTTTGCAGGAGCTGGGGTTTGGGAACCTCTTTTCGAGGCGACGCCAGGCTCGGACGGCGCGCGCGCGCTCCGTCACTTCCTTTCAGCGTCTTCAGCGTCTTCATCGCGCCGCACAATGTGACGATTGGGCACGCCCTTATGCGCGGTCTATTTGACCGAGCGGCAGGTTGATCCCTTCATAGGAAACAGACTTGGCCATGTCGCCATGGGGAATCACACGCACCCCAGCCTCCTGACCGGGACAAGGGTGGGCGATATTGCGACGTGAACGATCCCCAGCAGGCATGCCGAAAGCAAAGCCGGGGTGTCCGTTTTGGCATGTGGCAAACGGGACGACGGCAAAACGGCAGAGGCGAAGAACAGAACAAGTCTCACCAAGGACGGTTGGTGAGCGTGCAATTGTGAAAAGAGCCATGTGATATTTTTCTTTAAACTTGACACATTACATATTCACATAACAATGTAGAACAGAAGGGTCCCCCACAAAAAATTTCCCCGATGCAAAACATGCTTAGATCATGAGAGCGGCACCGGCGGCGACGGCAGCGACGGCACCGGCCACCTTGTTGTTCGATGCGGCACCGGTGAACTGAGCTGGCGAAGCGCTGTATGCAGCAGTGCCCTTAGCCCAGCCAGCAGCTGGAGAAGTGGTGGCCGAGTAGACCCAGGTTGGGCTGGCAACGGGAGCAGGAGTGGTCCACTCAACTGGAGCCCAGGTGCCGCTCGAGATTGGCTTGGTCCAGGTGATGGGGCAGTCGGTCACGGTGAGAGTGGTGGCCTTGGTGACGGTCCAGGTCTTCTCTCCGACCCAGAAGGTGGTTGGGCCAGAGCACTCCTTGGTCCACGAGGTCTGAACGGAGGTGCTGCATGGCGTCTTGCTGGAGCTGGACGAGGTGGTCTTTGGCCAGTAGCCAGCGGCCGACGACGAGCTGGTGGTCGCTGGCCAAGAGCCCTTGGAGGAAGATGGAGTGCCGTAGGAGCCGCCGCCGTACGAACCGCCGCCATACGAGCCGCAGTGGCCATACGCTTCCTCGTAGGTCGTAGCCATGAAGTACGGGCAGAGAGCACCGTGGACGAAGTTGGCGAGCTCGCCAATCTCCTCGCCTGTGCATGGGCCGTTCGCGGCAGAGAGGCAAGGAATGATGGTCTTGTCGAGTTCAGCGGACCCAGCAGCAGTGCAGTGGCAGGTGAAGTCATCGTCAGCGCAGAGGGTAGCGTTGCCGAACGTCTCGATCAAGCATTGCCTGGCGCACTGTGGTGGAATCGAGAAGTACTTCTCCGCGGTCAAGCATGGCCATTCGTTGGAGTTGTTGAATGGAACACCGTTGATCACGGTGGCGTTGTACTGGACGCCCAGGTACGGTGGGTTTGGATATGGCGTAGGAGAGTAGATGAGAGGAACACCATCACCAACAGTGGCGGCCGAGGCGGTGGCCGCAAGGACAGCGGCGACAACAGCGTACTGCATTGCGATTAGATTGTGTGTGATCGAGGAAGGATTATGTCGCAGGCGATAGCGAACGGATTGGGTAGTCTAAACGAGTGACTGAAGCTTGATGAGCGACTGCAACGTGAGGAGAGAAGAAGACGATCAGAGGCGAGCAGTCCTGCTTTTGTACGTGGAAGGGATATGAGCTAAATTCAGGTACGGACAGCCTGCAGGAACAAAAACATGGCAGACGGCAGACCAGCCCAGCTGCGGTCGCCGAGTCCTGGTACGGGCATGACCTTGGGTGCAGGGCAATTTCTCGCTGTCAACGTCCTCTGGTTGGCGGGCAATGACGTTCGTATTCAAGCCTCGTGGCGTTGCTGGGTCGCATCAACGCCGACGTAAAAGGATCTAGTGCATGCAGCTCCGTGCTGCTGGCCAGTTCGCTCCTTGCACGGCCCCGGTTGGTTTCCCCAAGCGAAGCATGCTATTAAGCCACCCGAGTGTGCATGCCAAAGGCGTTGAAGTCGAGACGTCAAATCCTTCGATCCGTCTTCTCTGTGCGCTCTCCCCGCCAACGTGAGAGAGCCGTGGAACAGGCGACCCAAGCGTGTCCAGCAGGCCGTCGTTTCATTTCGTTCTGCTCGTGTGTTTGTTTGCGCTGCCAGCAAATGAAGCCTCGTGTTTCAAATGGTGCTCATGTCGTGGCGATCAGCAGGCCGAAGGCCAGTCCTGATCAAGCTGTCTCTAGGCCGCAACCAGCTAGGCTGCTGGTGACCACTCTCCAAACAGCATCGACTTGTGGGGAGCGCTAAAGGCTAGAGTCTTCTATTCTAGGGATCTTGAGATTGGCTTGGCAGGACATGCTGTGCTGGACAGGGGCTGAGAGTTGTGAGCGAATAATGCCATCAGCTGGACGAAAGGGGGGGGGTTGGAGAAGCAACAAACACTCAGCCAGGACAAGAATAAGTGACTTCGTGACCGGTCTCACGATCCGTGCGTGTGTTGTTCTTGCAGGAGAACGGAGAACCCACAACCGCCTTGTGCAGAGCTTAACGCCCTCACCTGGCTACTTCCACTACTCGTTATTGTCATTCTTGCTTGTTGCATCCGCTGTCCTCCGTACGGCATGACTTTCCTCGGCCTAAGTCAGCCCAGTCCTCCAGCGTATCCACGGTTCGCGCCTTCGGCGATCTGCTCGTTCGATGCTTTCTGTGAATCATTTCCCCGTCATGCAGGCCCCCTTTCCAGTCGTGCAGCGCCTCGTCGTTTCGCTGAGATCCGAGTCAGGAGAGGCCGCGGCCAAGATCGCGTGCGACTTTGTGTAGCGTGTTCGACTAATACTACTACTACTACTCCTTCCACATTCTGTCCGAGTTGTGCGGTTATTCGAAATGAGAATATTGGGCGAAACACCTCAACCCCCAAGCATTGCCAATGCTGACAAAGCCCACCGGCGTGAACAGAAGTCTCCCGCTTCAGCAAAACCGACCTCATGCTATATTTGTGCGGCGCTGGGCGGAGACTCGGATGTCCCTCCGTCCAGCTTCCATTCATGTTTAGGGCCCTCTCTCTTCTGGAGCCAATATTTGCCACCTGGAAGCCGTTCTGAGCGGTGTCTCCTTAGACACTTCCAAGCGCTTTCAGCTTTCAGCCCTCATTTTGAAACCTCAAGATTTCGACGCCTAGCTTCGTATAGACCTCGCTTCTTGTTTTTTTTTCTTTCAAATTTGTGTTCCGGAGGAGGCTAACACCTCTTGGCAGAGCCAAGAAGATAATTACGCTTGAATCCGTGGAAAGAAATGGCGCCCTTGAACTCCACCGACCTGTCTGGAGCGTGTAAGAATTCCACTAAGTTGTCTCTCTCGGTTCAGCATCGCGATTCAAGGCCGAGCCTTGCTTGCACACACAAGGCCATGGGTCAGGCGACAGGCCATGGGTCGGGCGACTGGCCAACACTTAAACTCTACAGTTCCAAGATGTCTTGTGCTCTATTTTGGCAATGTTTTTTTTTATCCGGTTGACGAAGTTTTCCCATCGGAGAAACCTAGCAATACCTGTCGCTTTGTGTAGCAAACTCCAATTTTAGAACGCCCGCTAACCAGCCGAGCATTGGATCTGCGAAAGGGGATGGTTTGAGGGACAACCCACTTCCAGATCAACGACGAAGATCATCGGACCGCCCTGAGAGGGGACTGAGGATCACCGTGCGGATGGCATTTCCGACAAGTCGTAACTACTAACAACGAAAACAACAACAACAACACAACAATGGATGGACAGGTGCTGACGATCCTACCACAAACGATTCTCACACCAGCATGCCATTTTCATCACTAACAAAGGCCTACGGACTATGGGAAATCCAACCACTGTCGTATGACTTTATCTCCTTCGATTGTAGAGTAAGAAGTTACACGAAGGTCTTAAACATCAGTTATAAAAGACATCAAGGAATCAATACAGTCCAGTATTGCCCAATCTTTTGACGCAGGTCACAACTCTACGATGCGCGGCCTTCTACTCGACGGAATAGGTTCGATTTGACGGAAAGGCCGCCCACAAACAATCTGCACGTAAATCTATGCCGAATCCTTCTTTTTGATGTGCCAGGCTTGGTAATTGTTGTCCAAGGAGTTCGCCAGCGCTTCCTGTCGACGGACGTTAGCGATGAGCAAGGGGAACAAATCATGCCATAAACCCGCATCGAGAGAGTTACAGAACTTGATTATGAATTCCACAACCATGTTGCATGTTTGAAGCTGAGGGTCAAATCGGATTGGGTTGATTATAAAAGATACTCACTCTGTACGCCGGGATACCACCCGACCAATTCAACGGCTCGACCTTTTTACCGGGAATGTTTGAGCCTTGGTACCACGACTTTGCTAACGGGAACAGACTCGCATTCCACTTCTCGTGCATCTTGCGTCCCCATTCGTCCTCAGTCTCCTGCTTTGCCTCGAATCTCACAATTCCATCTGCCTCGAGCCTTCTAATGGTGTCTTCTATCCACTCGGCTTGAATCTGCGTGCAGCTTGGGCCGTTGCTAAACGCCGTCGGAGCTTGCGGTCCGTACACAAAGAACATGTTGGGAAATTCCGTGATGGCGATGCCCAAAGCGGTCTTTGTGCCGTCCTTCCAATGATCAGCAATGGTACCACCGCTTGTTCCTTGGATGTTCAGCTGAGCGAGGGACCCGGTGACAGAATCGAAGCCGGTTGCGAGTATGATCACGTCAACCTCGACGACACCGCCGTCCCGTGTGCGAATGCCTTTTTCGGTAACTTCCACTATCGGGTCGGCATTGACGTCGATGATGTCGACGTGATCCATTGAAACGACTTCGTAAAAGTTCTGTTCCAATGATGGTCGTTTGGTGCCCCATGGATGCGGCGCCTTCTCTGGTGCAAGCAGTTCCGCCTTCTTCGGATCCGGGATTCGTTTTCTAACCGTCTTCTTCCAGAATTCGTACGCTTCCGCATTTGCCTTCATATCGAAGAGCATGTCCTTGTACGTGGCAAGCCAATACTTGAACCCACCGTCCTCAACCATCAGCTTGTGGAAAAACTTCTCTCGTTCCTCCGGAGTGTCGTCAAAGGTCGATTTGTCCTCAAAGTCGTACGTGAAACCAGCAAACGTGTTATAAGTCTTTTTGATTTGCTCCTCGTAGAAACCGTTTTTCTTCTTCTCTTCCTCCTCTTTGGGGTCTAACTTGTGCTGGTTCATTGGCAAGCAGAAATTCGGTGTCCTAAGAGGATATTAGGACTTGTGAGAGTCAAACTTCATCAAGAAGGGCGGACACACCTCTGGTAGATGATGTACCTTGACGTCTTTGGAGCAGTTTCCTGAATACATTGGATTCCAGACGCTCCAGTGCCAACGTGTGCAACACGCTTGCCTTTGAGGTTGACGTCGTGTTGCGGCCAGATGGCGGTATGGTAAACGTCTCCTTTAAATTCTGAAAGTCCTTTAAACGGCGGGATGAACTTCTTTGACGCAAAGCCAATGCAAGGGATGAAATATTTGCAGTAGATCTCAGAGCCATCGGAGCACTCGACCAGCCATTGCAGGCGCTTTTCGTCAAATACGGCTGAATCAACATGTTTATTGTAAACAATGTCCTTCTTTAAGTCCCACTTGGACTCCACAAAGTCGAAATATCGTCGCAGCTCCTTGCGATCCGGATAACGTTCTTTGAACGTGAATTCCTGCCACAGTTCTTTATCATACAGCTGATAGATTGGCGTGTCACTGTCTACGCGAGCACCTGGATAACAGTTCCAGTACCAGATGCCGCCACTGGCTGCGTGAGAAGTTAGATCATGAGGGTCATCCCTTGAATGGACGAACTAGCCTGCCCCCTTTTCATATATCTTTACATTCAAACCCTGTTTGCGAAGTCTGCAACGTATGAGCTGTGGACAGGGAGCAATGATGGTTTGAATTCACCTGTTCATCAGGGTAAATGACCCGAAGCCTGCGCCCACAAGCAGAACGTCCACCTGCGGAATATCTTCAGGCATAGAACCCATATTGGCAAAAGCAAGCCTTGTTCGTGTTCAGAGGGGTGTTCAATAATGACGTCTTAGGGAGAGGGGGTTCAGTTTCTGCTGAATCAACAAGGAGTACGCTCCTGTCTATTTAAGTTGAGCAATCTAGCATTACCCCACTGATCAGGTCATACATGAGAGGCTTCCCCAGGAGGAATGGATCGTCACATGGTCCGGCTTGCCATGTTCGGTCTACGGGGTTCTTCATGTTGCTTCATGCTCCCAATCTGTGGATACATCTGTGAGGGGCAGGAACGGACTAAAGGAGTACAGATGGATAAGCAATTTGGAACTGGAGAGCTGCGCTTGGTGTCGGACCGACGCCGATCGACATCTAATTCAGTTGTTTATTGCCTGCTCGTCTAGCGTTCTTCGTACTACCCGGGAATAGGTGGTTTAGTGTGGAGCCGCAGCTATGATCCACGTCTGCAAATGCATTGAACGCTTACCCCGCAAACCTCATAGTCGCCAGCGGTAGCCCTTGCTCCACTGGCAACAGAAGTGGGAGACGTAAATTTCATTGCCAACTTGGACAGTTGTGTGCGCAATTAATTCCGCTGGTTGGTCCTTGGCCAATTGATTCTTGCTGCCGAGCACAAACGCCGCGGATAGAAATGCGATACTACCCCCAACTTGTCAGCAGGCTACCCGTTTGTCCGGATACGTTTGACATATGAGCGAGGGATGGTGGAACATGTCAGTTGGGATAGGTTTGATACGTGTCTACCCCCACCCTTTGTGATATTTGATATCAGCACCCTCGTAGGCGGGGGTTTCCTTCCGAGGATAAGCAAAAGGCTGATGACGACGGACACTGAGCCTTTTCTATAGTGATTAAAAAAATAACGGAGCTTGAAGGAATTAATCTGACTGTAAATTCAAAATACTAGAATGGCAAGCAAAGCATCCCAAAAATTCTTTGAAACAAACGCTTGATTTTTCCCGTCGCCTGAAGCCAATATAACTGTTGACTTATAACCCGCATTTCGCGACACATCGACCCTACGATCGTGGAAATCTACAAGTTGACGGCTGGATTTGGATCTGCGTCTCTGTTCGATCGGAGGAAGACGTCCTGCCGCTTTCCTTTGAAGCGATGTGAAATTCCTGTATGATCCTTCGCCGTCCGCTCCGGTGAGCATCTTAGGACGGATGTTGGTCGTGGTTCTGAACATAGCAGAAGACATACACGCGCCAAGTCCGGCCGTCCGGCCTTTCCCATGACCAGAGATCCACGTTCAAGGAAGTTTCGTGCCGGTCCAATTATGAGCCCTTCTACCTTTCGGATGGCCGGTGATGGATCCGCAGCATCAGCATAGACTTCTCGGATGATTAGCTTCACGACGTTGTCATTGAGCAAACAGTTAGCAGATCTGCATGCAGTGATTTGGTTCCAGGGAAAAAGTCAGCCGTAGCTTGTAATGGCTGTGATGATTTGATTGGAAAGGTCAAATGTACAGATCAGCCATGAACCTGAAATATTGTTCTCTAGTCTCCTTCAGCGTTCACGACGGTCTGTTCCAAGATCGCTGACCGTCTTCCGTCTGTAAATTCATCAGTGTCAAATGAGCTGATTCCGGATGAAGTAAAAGAAATTTTTTTTGAATGAATATGCGGTATTATCCATAGCTTCTTGCAATAATTTTGTCCAGGAGGATTCTTGAATCCGAGGTTAACTAGACAGCAGACAATCAGAATATGCGAGAATCAACATGACCGTAATTAAATATTATCGATTGCCTCTCTAGGAGGTATGTGTAACATCCAAGCACATTCTGGGGGGTATCTATCTTTAATATTGCGCTTGTAAGCCTAGCATCCTAGACAATACGGCGCGAATCACGTTAGCGATATCGTCTTACGGAGAAAAAAAAAATCAAGCAAGCCTTCAAAACATTGGCGGATTGGATGTGTCAACAGCAGCCGCGCCTTCTCCGTCGATCGAGACGGAACACTTCCTCCCATTCACTTATTGCTCCGGTGCCGCGCTTTCTTCGTCTTCGCACGCCCGATCCGTCCGTATATCCACTTCTTATGCTTCCACTGTCCGCATCGTAACCGCTCACGTCGCCATACTGGATGCCAGACTGTGGATCGTCTGGGTCGATCTCACCGATTTCGATTTTGGTCAGCAGCATGCGGGCCAGCCGCTCGAAAATCTCGTTGACGTTGTCTCCGTTCAAGGCGGAGACCTCGAGTGCCACAGGTATGCCATTTTGAGACGCCCATGTGCTTGCCTCCGCAGTCGATACTTCGCGCCCTTCTGGCGCGACCGTTGCCGTTTTCGCGGTTCCCAGTGCCCAGCTGGACGATTTCGAGCGCAGCGATGTCTGAGAGGCGGTTCCGTTCGTTTTGACCGAAGCGTTCGAGGGGTCGACCTCTGAGTCGAGTAAAGACTGCGAATCAAAAGCTTGTTCTTCGGTCAAGTCTGCCTTGTTTCCAGCCAGGATGGTGATCAGATGGGGACTCGCCAGCATCTTCGCGTCGTGCAGAAACGTCGAAAGGCTGTTGAAGGACGATCTAGACGAAATATCGTAGACAAGCACAGCCCCTGCGGCTCCGCGGTAGTAAGATCTAGATACCGAGCGGAAACGCTCAGTGCCGGCCGTGTCCCACAACTGTAGCTTCACCCTCTTTCGTCTGGCACCCGTGCCAACTCGAACAATCTTGGATGCGAACTCGACGCCGATGGTTTGCGAGGACAACACACGCCCTACCATTTCCTATTAGCACCGATACAGAGTCCGGATTCGGTGATGTATGTATCACATTCGTTCTTCATGAAGCGATGGAGTATGCAAGACCTGGCAGCAGTCGTTAATATATGCATCACAGTTCCTGTTCGGTCTATTGCGAGTTCGTACTTTCCGCATCCACTGGGTCCAATCAAGATAACTTTTGCGAGATAGTCATACATGCTACCAAGCTCCTACATGCACATATCAGCGTCAGGTCTTCAGCTGCTCTGCAGAGACGCGCGAACTTGGTCCTTTGTGGTGTTCGAGGAATTGGTCGATGCGACCGAGGTCGCGCGTTTCCTCGCCATGATGAGCGTAATGCGGCTTCTGCCACATACGAGGAGAGCGTTCACAGTTTCGAAAAAAATAAAAAAATAAAAAAAAATAAAAGGAGTGACGAGAACGTTATCGCGTACAAATTGTGTCGTGAGGATGCGGCGATGACGGAGATAACCGAGAGATCTTACGCTCGGACCAAGATCCAGACTAGAACTATCGTCTTTCTCATTATTTCGGGTTGAGATCTCTTCAACGAGGACACTGCACGCATGGAAAGTGATTATATAGTTTGAAGACAATGAGTGCGATAGATAGATAGTTAGATCAAATTAAGGACTTCGAATTTGAAGTCGAAAATAAACTTTAGCCGGAATGTGTAATTAAAGATCAGAAACTCGTTCCCGGTTATGACTATTCTGAACGCTTCTACGATCCCCGTCTAGATTCTTTTATTCTAACCTGTAGCACTCATCGACACGTATGAGTCGCACCAAATATCATGAGAAAGCATTAGCATAACTCGTGGATGGAGGAATGCTTTTGCTCCAACGCCCATGACAATAACACTTTCTGTACCCGACCGTCTCTAGCAATCATGCGGTCTACTCTGGACGCTCTCAGGTATCATCAATTACAAAGGAAATTTCAGATAGTGCTCTATTCATGGTTCTCTTTTTTTTGCATGCAGACAGCCCACCAGAGCATATCAAGTCGTGCATTTAGTCGTCTTCATCGGAGAACACTTCTTCTCCACGCTTACGGCGAGCCATTCTGTCCTTCTTCTTCTTGCGCAGTTCGGCGCTCTAGAAATACGTTAGTCATCTGGATGTACAAGGCCTCAACTGGGCAAGGGCTTACAGTCAACTTCTTCTTCTTTGTGCTGCCCTCAATCTTGTTACCCATTGCGTCGAATTTGTCCTCAGTGTCTTCCTTCTCAGTCAGACGAGGGCCGGTACCTTGGCCAGTTACCCTAAAATATGTTCAGTAAGCAATTTTTGATACAGAAGACGTTTACGTTTTGGGTTATGAAACATACCAGTTATGTCCAGATGGGGTCATCTTGCCGTCCATAACGGCCCAGACTTCTTCGGTCAAATCTTTGGTCTAAACAGGAGTTAGCCTGAATCTACAGGAGAAGGGTCATATCTACGTACGAATTCAGCGGAGTGGGTAATAATGATGACACCGCCCTCGAATGCCTTCAACGCCTTTGAAAGCGCACCCAAGGAATCGCGATCCAGATAGTTCGTAGGCTCGTCAAGGACAATCAAATGTGGTCGCTGCCAGCTGCAAGCAGCCAGGACAACCTTGACACGCTGTCCACCTGAAAGACCCCGCATACGAGAGTGGGAGACCAATTCGGCATCAAGACCGAAGTTGGCACAGTGCGCCTCAATCTCGCGGCGGACGAGAGGACGGAACTGACCGCTAGCAAGAGCTTCCTTCTGATCGACCTCAGCGACCATCTTTGCATGGGAAGCAAGCAGCTCGTTTCGTGGAAGCCAAACGTTGTCGGCAGTCATCATAGGTGTCCAGCGCTCGTTCTTCTGGCCAACGTTCTCACCAAGAGCGCAAGAGCATTCGTATTCGTAAGAGTTCTTGAACTTTCTGCGGGCGTGGATGCCAATGATGCGGCGCTTCTGGTTCTCGATGTTGAAGATCTTGTCCATAGCCTTCTCATCCTCCTCAGTGACAATCTTGTTAGCGCGATCCATGGTCTCACGGTCCTCACCGGTCTGGAAACGCCACTGAATGTACTCGGATGGTGTTTTATCCAGGTGGTTATCGATGTGTGCGAATGCATGCTGCTTGATGTATGCAATACGGATGTTCTCGTGCTGGTAGATTTCACCCTTGGTTGGGATGAGCTCACCAGTAAGCACGTTCACCAGAGTAGACTTGCCAGCACCGTTGGGACCAATGACGGCAATACGAGATCCGAGAGAGCACTGGAAGGTGATATCCTCAAGTTGTGGCTTGGAGGTACCCGGGTACTGGAAGGACATGTTGGTAACTCGAATGATAGCCTTGGCCTTGGTCTTGACTCCCTCGAGGAAACCTGGTTCTGGGAACTTGAACTCCATCTCGGAAGCGCCAAGCTCGTAGTAGGAGCGAGCTGAAGGCACACGCTTGACGAACTCAGAGAGCTTACCACGGTAACGCTTGAGCTTGAAGCGTTCGTAGTGAATGACGTGCTGGATAACATTGTCCAAGAATTTGCTGTCGTGAGAAATGATGATCGACGTGCAGGGAGAGTTGACGAGGTAGTTCTCCAGCCATGCAACGTTCTTGACATCCAAGTGGTTGGTTGGCTCGTCGAGCAGCAGGATATCCGGCTTCTCAAACACCGCACGAGCCAAAGCAAGCTTCATCTTCCAGCCACCAGACAAAGCGGTGATTGGACCTTCAAGCTGTTCCTTGAGGAAGCCGAATTCGATAAGAGTCTTCTCGACCTCAGCCTGGGGCAGTTTGATGCCGACGGACTCGAGCTTCATCATGGTCCAGCCGATGACAGTCATCTCGGTGTCAGCAGCATCTAGATCGTGCTCGACGTAGACAGTTTTGACCTCGCTCTGCTTGGGGAATCCCTCAACTTGCTCATTGTTGATGGCACGCATAAGGGTGGTCTTGCCAGAACCGTTCGGGCCGAGCAGGCCGTAACGCTGGCCGCGCTTCAAGCGGAGCTTAGTCTGATTGAGCAGAATCTTGGCGCCATAGGCCAAGTTAAATGTGCAGTTGCAAAGATCTTCGCCTTCCTCTTCGTCCGGCTCAACAAAGTCCTCCTCAGCAGCGGCTGGGGAGGCGCGCTTGCGAAGAGTTTCGGCGACACTGGCAGCCTTGTCGGAACCGACAAGAACGCCGAGGTAGGAGGCGGTGTTCGTTGTCCATGTAACTTGTTCATTCTCCTTCTCGTCAACAAGCTGGCCAGCGATGGCAGCGATATATTCGAGAACGGGCTCGAACTTGGCCGAAGTGGCCTCCTTGTTGTCGCTGAGAATGCTCTTGAGGATTTCCTTGACGGTAGCGACGTCGCCGGCTTTGGAAACCTCAGGAATCTTGCCGTTCTTGACGTCACCGACACGGATGAGCGTATCAAGACCCTGCTTAGTCTTCTCACGTGCCTCTGGGTCTGCCATAGTCTCGTAGTTCTTCTCAAGAGCAGGCATCAGGCGTGGCAAGAAAGCAGCGACAATCTGAGGATCTTCGACTAGCTTGCACATGTTGTCGACAATGACAGCGGACTTGCGCTTGATAGCAGTCTCGCGCTCAACCAGGCCACGCTCAAGAAGTGGGACCATGATGGCAAGAGTCGGCTCGTGGACGTCCGTGACGAAAGTGGTAGCACCCAGCAAGTGTACCGTCTCGGGCACATTCTCTGGCTTGGCAATACACTTGATCAGTTCTGGAATGAACTTTTCAATATCCTTGTTGGAGATCAAGGCGCAGATCTTCTCCATTGTGCCATAGGCAGCCTTCTTGATTTCGGGTTTGGTGTCCCACATGGCCTCGGACACAACTGGAACGAGATCTGGAACACGGAAGGACATCTGAGTTGGGGCAGTCTCAGCAAGAATCTCAATAATCTTCAAGTCGGTCATTTTCTCAGGCCACTTCTGCGTCGTTCGGAGTGAGTTGATGACGTGCGGGATGACGGCCTTGACCGCGTTGGCGTTGACAGCGCGCACAATGGCCTCTGCGGCAGCTTGTGCGGCATTCTTGACAGGCACCATCTTGTCAGCGACTGCGGAGAGGATGTTGGGAAGGATGGCGACAAGGTATGGCTCGACTGCCGGCGAGACTGTCGAGTGGGCAGCAATAGCCTTAACAGCGTCGGCGGCCCGCTCACGAGCGAGCGCATCCTTCTTGTTGGCAAGCTGCTTCTTGAACAGCTCGAACATCCTACGTCTTGGGTTAGCACGGTCCGGGCCACAAATGGTGAAAATGCCATCGAGCGACCGGGGCGATGGGCAACTCAACGTTGGCATACGACGGGCAGGGCACTTACTGCGTAGGAGCATCGGCATCTTCGATATCGCCATTCACTAGAGTGGCGAGATCCAGAGAGACCTTGTTGATCTCGTCTTGTTCCTTGGAGATGCTCAACTTGGAGAGGAGCTCCTCAACGGCCTTGACGGATTTCGAATTTTCCGAGGCCTGAGCGCTCTTCGAGGAAGTGGCAGCGGGAGCCATGGCGGGCTGGAAGTTGGAGTGAAAAAGATGTGTGTTGGTGCAACGCCGTTGAGGATCTGGTCCTCAGTGTCTCGTACGGAGGAGGTTTTGAGGCAGGAAAAAAAGCGACAGTGGGCGCCTTTTTTTCAGGACGATCCGCACTTCGAGCGGATTCTGCACCAAAGTGAAAGTGCAAGATCGTGAGGCACAAGCAGCTCACGAAGCACAGCGAAGAAAGGAAAAGAAAAATCTACACACTGCACACAAGACAGGCGTGCGCGGAGAGTGGGTGTAAGAGAGAGAGAGAGTTGAGGAGTGCAGGGCGGCGAAGGAAGGGTTGAGGGTGGAACTTTTTATCAAGCAGCGAATTTTTTTTATCGATAACCCGAGTCGCCCTAGCGCGCCTCAGACCGCCTGAAAAGACTCGAGGCAGAGACTGCGTGTCCGTGCGCTGTTCAACGCTGTGGCAACCAAGCGAAAGGTCCTCTTTGCTGGCCAATGGCAACCCGATCATTGCGAAACGTTGCCTCCACGGTGTCTTCGGATCCATTCATCTTCTCGTCTTGCCTTTACGGTACCCGCAGCCTGCGAGCATCTCTGTCGCTGCTTGCTTGACGGACTTCGCCTCGCCTTGGGGAGAATTGAGCATCAGATGCCCCGAAGCACGGCTCGTGTTGCCAGTCTCCTTCGCTCGAGGAGCCTCGGCGACCCGTGAGTACAGCTGAGCGAGTTGTCCCTGTAGATCCCGGCTCTTTTACTGTGGCCAAAACGAAGGTACCCGTCCGACTCAACAACCACGGATTTCCCCTAGTCTTGCTGGCCTTTACGGCACTAAGGAAGGCAAGAAAGAAAAACCGGCACTTGCGAGACTCTCGAGCAATCCTTTCGGCTTTCTACCATGGGGGCGTATAGCCGCTAGCTGAAATGCAATATCCGCTGCTTGTATCGCTTTCATGCAAGCCTTTCCTAAGTTAGCTTGTTGCTGATGCCGCGTCCTCACCGCACGTTCGACTCGGCCACCCCGTCGTCCGATTATCCCCAGGTCGTTGCAACCGACCTTCCTGCGAACTGACCTCGATCTTTGGCTCTTTTCGCCCTGAAGTTTCAACATGCTGACGACTTGTCGTCGTTTCCGCCACTCGTTCCTTCCCAAGTTTTCCAAGCGGAGTGCACGTGCGGCACATTCTTCATGCGGCACACCGATCGTACTGACAGTCATTCTCATCGCACACAGACCTAGCGATACTTCGACGGGCCTATTGACCTATTTGTGTGCTGTGCCGTGTCTCAGCCCGACGTAGGCGATAACTGAGTCTGTCTTTCTCGGCGAAAGTTTTTGCGCGCGCGCCCAGTAAATGCAGAGCAACCATCATATATCTTCTACGTTGTATTCTCACAAAGAGAAATCTGACCGCCTCCGATGCCAGATCGCTTCCCCAGATTCTCCACGGGAGCACTGACTGACCCCAGATTATGTGTCATGCAAGCCATCCGCCTGGCGGCCTCAGTTAGGAAATCGGCCTTCAGGAGATCTCGACGATGTGGGTCTCACAAAGTTCTCCCATGATTTTACTAGGCAGTGCTGCATCGCACCCATCACAGCTAGAGGAATATAACTTAAAAGGGGTTTTGCTTACCAATTCTTGTGCGCTGTCAAGACGCCCAACTCGTTGGAACTGCAAGCTCTAACTACTCGCGGGTTGTACTTAACTCTTTATAAAGCACGTTTAAACCTCCGTGGAGACGGAGAGGCGTTTCGCATCTAACCACTGTGCCGCAATATCCTCTGTGGTATCCAACTCTTATGCAAATCGTGCTGATCTTCCTGTCAACTGCTCGTTTCTCCGCCGTGACACTCAGGACTATTACGCTGTATTTTCGAATTCGTGAAGACACAATGAATAGAATCGTGACTATCTACTCAGCATACGCTGATGACTACTTGGTCATCTTTGCTAGAGCCAATGCAACCAAAATGGATATGAGCTACGCATAGGTGATGCAAACACTTGTGGCGGATTCGGAACCCTTCGTTGGGAAAAACAACTGGCTTTGACAAAAAGAGCATCATTGAATCAATCATATCAAATAGTAGAGTGTCTCCTTCCCAACCTTACATGTGGTGGATGATAAGTTGACACTTACCGCATCAAGCCTAGTTCCGAAGTATCAACATGTTGATAACGAGGTTGTACAGTGGTGGGTTACTTTCCAAATCCTTTGACGGAAGGCTTCATGTCCACTTTCAGGGGCATAATTAAGGAATTCCCACAGATCAAGATTGACTACTTCCGACATGTGCTGGGAGAACTACCGCCTCTGGCGTGCTTCCTGAGCCACGTGCACACCGACCATCTGCTGGGCTTGGAGTCGTTGAAAGCACCGTTTGTTTACTGCTCACCCATCACAAGGGAGGTATGTACAAGCAAAAAAGGACCGACTGTGGCATATGGTCAACGTTCACGAGGTTCGGGCTAATTTTGTAGCTTCTACTACGAATAGAAAAGTATCCAAATCGCACGAACTATGCCAAAGGCATACTCGAATCGCGGATCCAGACGTACCGCCATTTGAAAAACCTGCTCAAGGCCATTCCCCTCGAAACTCCCACTGTACTCGAGCTTCGACCTGGCTACGAAATTCGAGTCACGCTTTTCGATGCCAATCACTGTCTGGGTGCAGTGATGTTCTTGATTGAAGGCGACGGCAGAGCAGTCCTCTTTACTGGAGACATTCGATCAGAACCATGGTGGGTCGATCAACTTGTCCAGAATCCAGTTCTGATACCGTATACCGGATGTAATAGGACATTGGACTGTATTTACCTTGATACTACGAATGCGTCCAAAAATGATCATCATCGTGAATTTCCTTCCAAGGCGGACGGGGTAAGAGAGCTTACGAAAAAGGTTTTGCAATATCCTGATGATACAGTGTTTTACTTTGACGCATGGACCTTTGGCTATGAGAAGGTGTGGGTGACCTTGGCATCCGTACTTAATACACAGGTGCATCTGGATCATTATCGTTGGGGCTTGTATAAGTCAATTGCAAACGCAAGCCATGGGGCTTTTGGGTACCCCGAAACTGCACAACTATGTGGTTTTCAACTAGGAAACCACCAGAAAGACGGCTGTCTGACATCTGACCCCAGTGTCAGGCTTCACAGCTGTGAAAAAGGCGCATTGTGCCCGGTGATACAAGACAATCCAAATGTCGTCTTTATTACACCAATTGTTTCCAGGTTGCCGAATGGTGCCGAAATGCACGAGTTCGGTACGGTCAACAGCGAACACAGGGTTGATCAGGCCGGCAGGGTCGACTTCACTTCTCACACGAACGTTGCACAATTCAACCGTAGCAACATGAACAAGATTAACATTGAGAAGTCAACCCTATGGGTATCCCAACACCTCAGTCAGTTTCCATGTCCTCATACTCGCGTCGGCATTGAATTTTGTGACCAGCGCAACGCCGCGTTCTCAATACTACGTCGTCCACCATCGAAGACGATTTTCGCCAACGAATCTTCACGTCTGACTTTTGAGATCACACAACCTACTCCTATGTACTCGCGGGTCTTGCCAAAATCGATACGTTTTCCATATTCCAGGCACAGTTCGTACGCAGAACTTTGCGGTCTCGTGCAAGCTTTTCGGCCACGGGATGTTCATCCATGCACGGTTGATGAAGAGACATGGTGTCCAGACGTCAGCATGCGCGCATTGTTTGGTCATTTATGCTCCGGGGAAGTCTTTGCTCACGACGAAGAAATGATGAGCCTGAGCCGGCGGCGCACGCAGAGACCGAGCTGCAACAAGGTCGATAGCGAACATGAAAACAGCACTCAGCGGACACAATCAACGACAGAAGGATATATGCAGGTCGAAAGTTGGACTGTAGGCCCTTACGACATGTTGCCTTTACATTCGCGGCCACTCGCGCCCACCAGAGCTTCTATACAGACGGGAAACACCGATCCTCGTTTGGATGAACAAGACGACAGCGTCTCTCAGATCGAACCATTTGCAACTAAGCGACCTCAACGAAATTTCCCGCGCATCGAAAACTCCGCTTTCTTCTCTGGACGTTCTTGCAGTATTCGCAAACGGGCTTACATGGCGGCATTAGGGTCAGATTCGAACTGCAGTGACTGGGACTCCTTTGGTGGACTCAGCTGTGTTAAAAAACGCCAAAAAGACATTGAACTTTGATAAATCACAGTGCAGGGAGCGCTTTGTGAGTAAATTTGGTCGAGGCTCTGTTCGCGGTAGTATGCATAGTATTATGGTACTTTGAATAAGAGCTGAGGGCAGAGAATTCAACGCCAAACGCATCTACGTGTTTCCCGGGGGGGGGGGGGGGGGGCGAGGCTCGCGAGGTTGATATTCACCGATCGCTATGTAAAACAATTTCGAGTGCAATGAATCAACTGCTGAACAGCTCGAATCACAACGAATCATTTAAACCGGAAAGATTCATAGGATTTGCCTAGTGCAAGATTTTATCACGGGTGCATCTGTGTGCGCAGTTATGAAAAATGAAGCAAGATTCTTGGACAGAGTCGAAGGAGATGAACAAAGCGCAAGAGGCGGTTTTATCATCGGCAACCTGGAGTCTGCACCGAAGACAGAGAAGATGTATTCCTCGGTAGGCACATTGATAGATTGATTTTAGGCGAACGCTAGCACTTATATATTAGTCGCTAAACCCTGCAAAGTCAGGTTCTTCTTCCTGTGAAGTTTTCTGGGGCTTCTGGTCCCTTGCGCCACGGTTTGTGGTATTCCTTTTGCCGCCATGTCTACGGTCATAGCTGCTTTTGGTCGATATCATGGCAGTCTTAGCACCAGCACGTCTCATCTCGACGCCCCGCTTCTTGAGCTCCCTCCTTTCACGTTTCGAAGTCGTGGGCAGGGCATCTAGCATCCACTGTTGCAGCTCCTTGGGCTCGTTTGACCCATTTCCTGCAGCACGTAGTTTTTCGCTGGCAGCTATAACGTTTGCGATTGGTTTGACGTAGGGTATGTCTTCCTTTGTGTAAAACGTGACAGCAACGCCTCCTTCTCTGCCAGCTCGCCCAGTGCGTCCGACGCGATGAATGTATGCTGTTGCGCTTGTTGGCACGTCGTAGTTTACGACTCCATTCAGGCCCCGGAAATCGACTCCTCGCGCGAGTAAATCTGTAGTGATGATGATCCAAATTTCCCCGCTCCTGAAAGCAGTCATGATGTTTTCTCGGGCTTTCTCACTGAGCTCGGAATGGAGCGCCGCCATACGTGCTGAGCCACCAGCTTCGGGTGGAATGTCATATTGAAGCTCAGCTTGAAGGGCTTTGGCTCGCTCGATGGTCTGTGTAAAAACGAGAAACGGCGGTCTTAACGCCTTACGGCCCTCTGAATCCGTATCTGGAGCAACCGGATGCAAAAGCTGTCTCAAGGCTAGCAATTTACCAGCTTCATTACCCGTGTATATCATTTTGTGAGTCACAGTAGGAAGTGCCGTATCCTTTAACCCAACAACGAGACGCACAATAGGTATTCGTCCAGCATGGCCTAGCTTCGAAAATTGTTGCATCGCAAAGTTTTCGATGCTTGACGCCATTGTTGCGGACCATAGACTGACTCGTAAATCCGAGTTTGTACAGGCATTCCAGATAGTTTCAACCTGGTCACGGAATAAGGGATCAAGTAAAACGTCGGCCTCGTCTAGAATTAGATGCCGAATTTGGGATAATGCAGCTGATTTCCGGCTGGCAAGTTCTAGGGAGTGAACAAGCACAAGAGGTGTGGAAACGACAATATGTGCCTTGACAACTGATCCCGCCCGGCGGCTCTGCGGACCATCGTGCTCCTCGTTTTCATCATCGTTGCTGTCAAATTCGACATCGTCCCCGGCAGACACTTCGGAGTCAGCTAGACGCATACCTTTACGCATCAGCGTGATGCGCAAGCCAGTGTTCCGCATAAGCTTCTTTCCTTCGTTCACAATCTGATGGGCAAGCTCCCGAGTCGGCGCCAGAATTATCGCTTGCGTGTGCGAATTTCTTTCTGGCCTTTTGTCTCGTAAAATGGAATTAATGGCTGGAAGCAGAAACGCCAACGTCTTGCCGCTTCCGGTAGGTGCCACAGCAAGAAGGTCAAGGCCCTCTGAATTCCAGACGGTTGCTTCAGAGCAGAGAGGTTCATCGTCCATAAGCAACGGAATTGCAGCTAGCTGCACTTCCGTCGGAATTTTGTATCCTTGCGCATCGATATTCTCTGCCAATCTTCGTGATATTGCATATCGTGATCTTAAATGCGCGAAATTGGTAAGAGGCTCAGGCCATATCTGCCGCTTTTGCTGCTTGTTGCTGTCTATGGCTGTCGCGTCACTTTTTTGCTTTGGCGGAGGTTTTGCGACATGTGCACGTGGCTCCTCCAGCAAGACCACTTTGATCTTATGCGTCTTGAGAATCGACCTACGTTCTTCATCCGCCATTTTGGCTCTCCCTGCCATTATCTGGGATCCATTGTGACCACGGCTTTCGCTCTCGTCATCGGCCGACCCAGTCCCAGCCAAATCATTCTTGCTCCCGTTTGTCGAAATGCCGCCAAAGAAATCCAGCTCAGTGGGTGCAACCTCTCTTACTTGTCCTTCCCTCTTTCGTTTACCAAGGACGGCGGTCGCATTGTCTTTTGTAGAGTCGTCATTGCTCTCGCGGGCGTCATGCGAATGGCGGTTTCCGAACAATTGAGGATTCGCGATTTGTCCGCTGCTTGGAAGCTTTACCTCGCTTCCTACACGCTTCTGGTTTTTGCTTAGTTTCGTAGAGCGTGAGAGGAGTCTGAAGAGGTCCATCGAAACGAGTTTGTGTAATTGCGCACCTGCGCTATGTGTTAATTAGTCCATAATCGAGGGCTTTGCACTTTGACAGCAACTTTTTTTTCCCCCTCCAGACGCGACTTTCTATTTGACTGCTTTGATTGGTCAAACAAGCGAGTTTGATGTGGACCCTAACGAGCATACTCGGACCTCCACAAGTTGTTCGTTTCTTGGTATGAAAACCATTCTAGCTCAGGCGTATGGCTACACAGAGATGCTGTACTTCTTTTGCATGCTCCTCAGCCTCGATTCAACCAGACTACCGTTAGCAAATCCCCACCATTCGTTCGAATGCAATTTTCATCCACAGTTCCTTGAGCACGAGCATTCCCGTGTTAACTATGTTTCCCTTTTGTTTCCAAACACCATTCTTCTAGCACACTATAGTGTCTGTTGTAAATGTGCAAGAAGATATCCCATGAGCACTGGTATCTTCCGCTCTGTTCTGGTATCGACTTCGCGTAAAGATCATGAGCGTACTATTCTGCGGAGTTCATTTTCCGCCCGGACCTTGTTTCCCCTCACTGAGCTTGAAGTAACACTATTTGCACTATCAAAGACATTTTGACTACTCGATCATATAACTAGGTAGACAAGATATTCACAACATGTCTGAACCCAAGCGATCCGTGTACTCAGGGACTCCACCTTCTGGCCCTGGTATCTTCCTCAGTCTGTCAAAGATCACGAACAACAAGCTATTGTCTGACGATCTGTTTAATAAGTGGTACAATGAAGTCCACCTGGTAGATGTACTAGCCACCGGAGCAGTTACAAGAGCATATCGATATCGAAACAAAAACCCCGAAGCCGAACGACCTTACTTAGCACTGTACATTTGTCCAGACATGTCCGCTATTGCGGGTGAGAAGGTCAAGAATATCCCGATGCATAGTGATCTGTTGCCGGACGGAAAATCGATCCATGAATTGGTAAATTTCGACACCAGGTTCTACTCAACGACGCAGGAATTCGTAAAAAAGGAGCTCAATCAACAAGGTACATAGCTCCATCTCGGCGTCAAGTCACTCATGCTCACTGGCACAGACCTTTTCCCGGTGCTCATGCTTGCTGGAATGCAGCCAAAAGACGGGGCTGCAGAAGATATGGATAAGTGGTATCGTGAAGAGCATCTCGAGCAGATGTCCCTTGAGCCCGGATGGAAACGGGCGGTCCGCTACTCATTGATATTTCAAGTGAAAAACGAGAACGATCCGACAGGGACTGAAGATGCTGCCAGCTTTTTGACACTATATGAATTTGGCGATGGAAACAAGCTCGGTATGAATGTCGAACCGCTAGATCCAATGACTGATTGGACCAAACGCGTGATCGGAAACACCGAGAAGATCGAGATGGGTATTTATACGCAGATAAAGGCCCTTCCGTAGATCCTGAAAGACAATTCAAGCCTTATCGATCCAAAGATTGATATCGCTTTCGCGATGACTTCAAATTATTTGCAACAGTGCACGCTCTTGATGTTCCCTGGGCAGTTGTATCAATGGCTGCATTGTTCAGCGCTTTTTTCCCTGAAGTTCGTTCTAGTGCCATGTAAACTTCGGCTCCTGCTACTTCGGATGCATCTATAAAGCTTTATTTTATCTTCTTATCATCCTGCCCAAAGCTAAACATCTTCATCGGAACGCTTGAACGATATCTCCGAACGCGCTCGCATTTAGTTCAAATTCCATGTAGCCAGTAACAACTGCATAAAATCTCGCATTTCTCCTGATATCCAAGGTCGATATCTCCGGGAACATACTATGACAGACGGCGCCAATCTCATCTGAGACAAATTGCGTTCGAGTACCTAGCCATTCTAACCCAAAACAGCAATTATTTTAACATGAATACAATGTCTGATCAGGTTATAGAAAACTTGCGATTATAGACAAGCTGTAGAATGACAATCTTTCTAATGATCTAATTGGTAGGAACCCGTTGTCTTATTTTGCGATACAAAGTGTGTGCACCAAAAAGATGTCCATTGTAATGGAGCCAGCTCTCGCTTACACGGAAGTTGATAATTGGGCAGAAATCGTTGCTACTTGTGGAATCAAACCATTTTCGATCACATTGCAACCGGACACAGTACAGAGCCGGATACTGTATTAATACGATCAATAAATGGTAATCCATACAGCTCTCTGCTTGAGAATACACAAAAATTTGACTGCGCAAGGAGAGTTATACACCTTGACATGAAATGGAAACAACGGTGCCTTCTAGCAGCTATCCACAAGATCATGTGCCAAGTGAGTTTAAGAATCTTATTTTTCGGTTTTCTCTAAGGAATTGATAAAATTATCCGCAATTCTAAGCAACAAATGGCTTCTCTTTACTTTGATTACCATATGCTTGTATAGCGTTCCTTGCTTTTTATTCGACATTTCTTGTTGCCCAGTGTCTTCGAAGATTTATTTGCGCATTACGAAACCGAAGAGCTCATGTTCCTGGCCTAGGTTTGTATGATCCACAAGATGGCCGCAACTCCGACAAACTGCGACTTTTGAGATGAACCTGGGAGCGCCGTAGCTCAACTTCATAACAGTTCAAATTTCACATAAAAGGGAATTAACAAGGATCAGCGTTGTGGGTACTGCTCGCTGGCTGAATGAAAGTTGTGAGACATTTTCCTCACCGTCTCTAACTAATCTCTTATCCATAGTTTACATGTGAAGAGTGTATCCGGAAAGTCCGAATTAACGTGAGACACTATCAACTTACCTAAGCACCGCTGAAAAAGTCGGCACGTAGAAATTCTTCTACTCTTATCAAGTGTCTTCCAGCGCGATTCCGACAGCAAGCAACGCAGGGAATCAAGAGGCCACCAAAACCTTTCCTCATAGAGCTCTTTGATGTGCAGGGATTGTCGATCAACTAAGAAATACGGTAAAAAACCATGAGATCCGTGGATCTTGCAGGGCTGGGGTGAGTTACCAAGATCCTACAAGCTTCGCGTCGGGGAGAGGGCTTAATAGCTGTGAGACTAGCATTGCTGACGTGACGAGACACTACTCGGAAAGATTTTCGCGCACAACTCGGATTAGCTCTGTATATCTGATCCACTTTCTGAAAAGCAGTCTGAGACTTAACTCCGCTGTCCAAATCACGAGTGAAGACAGAAAGCCGAAAATGCTGTAGCAGACGCACAAGCCTCACAAAGTCTTTCTACGCTGCATCCGATTTCCAGTTACTGCCGTCGATACAGCCTCATATCAGCCACATAATGAGCTTAACGACGCAAAGATTTTCATGGCGACACACGAGATCAAAACGACTCGCAGGATGTTCATCTTCGCACGTCAATGAACTTTCTGGACGACTCCTCGGCCATTGGCCACTAAATGAGACTTGACGTCGCGCTCGGTACGGTTGGCATCAGCGGCCCACACAACACCTTCAAACGGTCGGTCATTCTTTGCAGAGTGCTGTGTGGATGCGATTTTGGAATATGACTACATACATCAGGAGGCTCTGCCCTGATTTCGCACAGCACTGTTCGGTAATGTGTTTTGTGCGGCTGTACCGCAGATATACCGTGCCCATCAAGCTACTGCAAACCATTCAGAATAAGAAATGAGCAGTAGTCAACTCCTGGATGGGACAGGTCCATGGTTAGGCGCTAGCAAATTAGACCGACGCGATGTCGCTGCAAATGCGAAAGCCGCCCACCAACCCCCTCAAGTCTCAACGGTCGGTCGACGATCTAGCCCTTCGGATCATCCACAAGACAAGGCCCTCCTTGCCGACGCAAAGACAAGCGTTTTTGACCCTTTGTTCTACGGGTTCCTTTAGCAGCGACAGGTCAATGCTTCTCCCTGTGTACCATTCTTGATTTCAATGTTTTCTTACAGCCAGCTAATACTGCATTGCGCCCCTTAATACTCATTCCCAACTGGCGTGCCCACGGCTTTTGCGTTCGGGACGGCGACAGTTTCTCTCTTTTCATCTTATCGAGGCTTGGCTGGCACTAGCAGCAGTTCCGCCGGCCGGTTCTCTTATGCACGATGTCTCCAGTGCATCGTCTACGTTCGAGGAACTTACAGGACTACTGATCTCTTTTTTTCGGTTGCTTTCACGTCTTTCTACCGCCGAATCTGTATGGTCGTAATTTCCAAGCTTGATAAATTCCAGCATAACATCTCTCACCATATTGTCGTTCCACTCTTCGAATCAATTCAGACGCTTCAGATGCATCTCAGACAGCATTCAAGATGTCCTCAGGTTCTGCAACAACGTCGGCTCCGGTCAAACGCGCATGCGACAGGTAAATGAGGTTGAACTCCTAGCCATCATACGCAGCATTTGACGAGAAGTTTAGTTGCCACCGGCGGAAGGTCAAATGTATCGGCGAGGGAACCAACCCTTGCAAGAATTGTATGTCTGCCAGATTGAACTGTACCTATAACGCGATACCGCAGAAGAAGGGACCGAAGGGCAGTCGAGCGAAGGTCTTATCAGAAATCCGCGAAACCCAGCGACAGTCGCAGCTGAGTGCTGGACAGTACGAATACGGTATCAGCCGGTCAATATCACCCGCAGCTCTTTCTCGGACTCCAGGCCTGGTTACGCCAGAAATTGTCAACGCGTGTGTGGATTATTTCTTTAGCAATCTATACCCCACGTTGCCGATTCTCCATCATAGGAAGGTGCAACAAACAGTCATGGCGATGGGCCACTCAATCGAAGCGTATTGCAAAATGGTTTCTTTATGTGCGTACACCTTATTTCAGCCAAATATGGTTCTACCATCTCACGTCCGTTCAAACGATGAACTTGGACAGATCTCAAACATTGCTTTGGCCCGTCTGTATCTAGATGAGGCCATCCGCGTGCGAAAAGGATATGAGTTCTCGGAAGACCCCACGATCATAGCTGTTTACACCTCATTCTTTATCTTTAGCTGTTACTTCTGTCTTGATCGACAGAACGCGGCTTGGGTTTATCTTCGCCAGGCCATGACTCTAGCACATGTGATGGGAATGCACGACGAATCATCATACAAGAACGAGGACTTCATAGATAGTTCACGAAAGAGGAGGTTCTTCTGGGTTCTTTTCATGACTGAACGGTAATACATGGGAGCGGCGTTCAAATCGTATAAACTGACTTGTATTGACCAGCGCGTACGCATTCAAACGACACCGACCGTTAACACTGTATGATACTATCGAGCTTCCAACAGTAGACGAAGATCCCACGGAGACAGTACAGCTCACAGGCTTCATACATCTAATCAAACTATACAAACCATTCGATGAGACATTCTTCGGACTATGGAACCGCACAGTGCATGGCACCGTCCCATCCTGGCTCGTTCAACTTCAGCAGCAACTATCGGATGCATTGCCCACTTATCTTGACGGCACCGAGACTCAGGTTGTGGATCTCAAGATATCGCAACAATGGCTCAAGATTATGATATGGCAGCTTGCTATTAGTCACGGTTTTATATCGTCAATGGCATCAGACAATACTTTGAGCTTCAGATTCCCGATTGAGATTTCGCGAGAGCTTGTTGAAATGGCCGCTAATTTTTCGCAGCACGCAATGGAAGTACATGGCTCAGGAATCGTGAGTGAAAAGTTAGCTTGAGATACAAGACCATCCAAAACCTAACCTTTTTGAAACAGGTTGAGAAACTGTTCGATGTTGCATGCACGCTGGTAGACGTTATGGCCTGTGTCCCGCTATCGCCTACTTCGTACGACATGGGGCCTCGACAATATCTGAATAGCTTTGTTTCCCTGATTTCATCCCTCCGTGTAGGCCAATCGCGTTTCCTTCCTCTGCTGCAAAACAAGATCGCGGAGGTGCTACCAAGCTACCAACTTCCATCACATCCTAGACTCGACATGTACGGCAGCTCTTCACAATCCGCGACACCAAACCCAGGAAGCAGCACTCCATACGATGGCTCATCGTCACTAGCACTGAGACACAATGTCAATCAAGTTCACTACCCAGAGGAGACACTTGGCACTCTTCCAACGCAATTGAACGACCCTAGTACGTATACTCCGTTCAGCTCGTCAGTACGATTTCAAGGAACAACTACGACAGCGGATATGTCCGGATCTGGTTTATATCACACACACCTACCACGATCGTCCGGATATCCAGGATGAGGCGGTCAGAGGACTAGCTACGACGTGGAACCAGGCTTGTCCTTCCATTCCAATTTGAGGGGATGCGGCTTTGGGAAATAAATTCCGCGCAAGATCACTTGGCTTGCCGCAAGAATTATCTCGGCAACGAAAGCCAAAAACACGTATACTGCTACAGCAGTTTCAATTGACACTGCTCGAGTGCAAACAAGATGAACGAGGCAATCGAAGTGTGCGCGTTGAACACAATCAGCTCGGACTATGAGAGGTTTAAATCGTTCCTAGAGTCATGATTGCTTGTCTTGTTCCAGCGGCCGTGTCATAGGATCGGTTAAACATGAACTCATATCATGCATTGCGTTGTCACATCATGTTCGTGCAATTATCAGAACAGCTGAATTCTTGCTTGTTGAAAGGGTTTCTACGCCGCTGACTCCCGCAATTGACTGCTGTGCACCATGTTTCGAAGCACTGAATTGTCCCTACCCGGACAATAATTAGGACTGGCCCGAAACGGTCGATTGCTCTGCTTGAGCAGATCGCTGCATCGGAGTTTCCTTAACTGCCATGGTATGTGATGGGCTTTCAAAACGATCGAGCGGAGACAATAGCGCACAAGAGTTCTGGGAACAAGTGAATGCCTGGTTTCAAGTTCATGGCGTCGCCAATGATATGGCGACAAATCTTGCAGGTCCCACCGTCGACTTTTGACTTTCTGGCTCGTGTTGTTTTCTGGAATGTCAGCCGACCGTTAGGATCCCCATTTTAACGAAAAATTGAATTTGGCCGACGTGACGCCGAAGTACCTGAGCCACTTGGCATTTGCGACGCTTGCCATCATCAATGTTTCCCAAGAAACACAGCAGCTTCACGCTGGACGAGATTCGCCGCACACTTGTATAGGTTTGGAGACGTTGGATCCATTGTTGAAATCGCATTTACATCTGAAAATTTGAGGATCCATTTGCCAGTGCAGGCCCCACAAGGTCTAGACCGCGACAAGTGTACAACCTTGGTTTAAATGGGCAAGGGTGCGCCTCCAGGAACGGGCATTTCCGATTTTAGGTTGGCAACTCGTCTTAGTTGATTTTGGTCATACTGCTGTCCCTGTTTCGAACTATGGTGGATCTTGCTTTCACCTGGCGCCCGAAGTTATGCATCGTACAAAGCCACGAAGCCGAAAATTGACGGACAGTTTCCTGTGTTCATGGGATCCTTTCTGGCGGGCAAAGGATGACTGGCCAGCAGGGTAGCAAGCATGTGGCAATGACAATCATATCGAAAAGAAGCACGCGGATGCTATTGTGGACCCCTCGCATTGGTGCATTACGCAGCCGAACGCGCCAGGAAGCTGATTAACAGTGCTCTTGCACTTTACGTCTGAAATTCAGCCAATAGGTTGGCTACTGGCAGCTTGAATTCTGGCGTGACCACCAAGGCATCGCATATTTCGATGCGCTTTGTCACGAGCTCGCCGAGGTTCTGAGAAAGCTGGAATACTGGTGAGTGGAGCAACCCCTTGAAGTGGCGGAGTCGATTACTTTTTGCTCTGGTGTGTGCACCTATATTTTCAACGTAGACCCTTTGCGACGACCACTCGGTCTATGCGAATCTGGGCAACAGACTGCCATATTTAACACAGTTTGCTTTAATTTATGTGACCGTGCAGCGACTCTTTATCTACGATATGACGTTTCGCTCTGGCATTCTTCCAGGTCCTTCGAAGCGGCCAGCAAGTTTTGATTTCATTCACTTTGGTCATACGGTCATTACTGATTTCCTAAATTTAATCAAATCATTCAATTCATTATGTTCAGGCCACCGGATTGGCAAGCATCAATTCGCTCTGTAGATGTTCCTAGATATTACTGAACGCTAGGACGTTGTTTAGCTGGTAACCTCATCAACATAGTTCGGAGAACGAGCCCAGGAAATGCTATCGGTCAGCCGAATTTAAATATTCGAGCGGTTTGCTGGAATATTTGTCTTCAAACAATGCCCACTGCTCCACTGTCTTGTTTTCACATGACATCCTCTAGCCGAACGTCATAGCCGGTCCAAAGCCCATGAACGGCATTCTGTCCGTCCACTATTTGAAGCCAGGGCTATAGACCTATCTTCACCGAGTTGTATTACAAATATCTAGTCTTAATAATCAATCATTGTTCACCATCCACCCGGTTCTATGTCAAGTCCAGCATAGATCAGACCTGTTTCGAGAATAGGATGGTCCCATATGGTAGATTTGAGAGTTTGATTTCAAGATAGAACTGCCTTTCAGTCGAAACGCACTAGAGTGCTTGTTTGTAACCTCCACACGTCGTGCCTGTTGAAACTCCATGGTCCATTTCCAAGAAGCGGGTAGCGCTACGTGCATCGCCACAACTCAGTCGGCGCTTAGATGTCATCATACTCCACATTCTCACCTTTATCAGGCAGGACAACCCCAGAGAGCTACTTTTTCAGTGCACATTGCTCCAGCGCTAGTAGCCCAACATCATCTGTGCCCTGCATACTGTAGTCAATCATGGCATTGTGAGGTACGCTAGGGTCATACGCGTGCATAAAAGCGATAGTTTGCGATATTATACAGTATGAGACAGCGCTTACGTCATGAATAATACGGTTTGGAAAACTTTCGAAAGGCATCACCGCCTCAACCTTCCCTTTGACGACAATCTGCACTCCCCTTTCAGCAGAGTGTTTACGTTGATTCGCTAGAAGTCGGACGGTCATCCCGGCAAGGACCAAATCATGCTTAGAGTCCGTCGCGCGGAGATGAACTGATCATCGCAGCGCCCGCAGTGCAGATTGATCAAAACGGGCAAAGAGGTCTTCAAAGGCCCACTACGTAGCGCAGCATACACAGCCACTTTGCCGTGGCCCTTCAATGCTCCAGAGCAGATCAGTGGGAACGGGCTTTCCTTTCCTTGTGGCCCCAACCCAGCGAGTTGATCCAATTCGGAAGAACCAGATCTTTGACATTGACAAGCCCTCGTACGTGCGAACACTTTTGGGGTTTTCGGGGATAGGAGCGTACTCGGCACGACGGTCACCGCTGGTTGCAAAGAAGACGCGGGTGCCATCATCGATGTGCGTCGTCCGAGGATCAAAACTACCAAGCCACAACTGGCAATGAGGCGAGCGGAGCAAGCTCCCGAACGGACTGGACTGGGTCGTTGTGACCCGCGTTGCCAGGTCCAGCCTTGCGCCGCCCTGGACGCAAACCACGGGGCAGGCCTTTGGTACGAAACGCCACGAGGGTTTACGGAGCTTATCCGCACGCTTCCGGTGGACTGCGAGGTTGGGAAAAGACGGGGATGGTACGGCGTGCTTTCATCGCGGGACGACCTGTCAGTTTCAAAGATCAACATTGATCGCATGAAGCAGCCACGATCGGACGTCGCAGCCCAGATGGCCAATTACCTTAATTTTTTTCTCGTGCGAGACGCGGCGATCCAGTGGGCAGAGCCGCAAGTCTTCAACGTCATAGAATGTCCTGGTGGAGCACTTGATAACCTATCATAGGACGGGGAGTGGCAAGGCTTGAGCCAGTACGTCAAAGAATTTGTGAATTTCTTGACCTGTCGAAGGCTAGGACCCCCCCCCCCCCCCCCCAAAAACAAAAAGAATCGCGAACCTACTCTCGTTTCCTACCTACAACCGTCATTTCCACGATCGAATCTGGAATAGCAATTCTTTGCCTGCCTGTGACTAGGACTTAGCTTGCCGCAAATTCTGTACATGACTTTAATGTCTTGCATGGAATTGTCCAAGTTAGCTTTTCAACTGAGACCGAAGGAGATACGTAGAATTTTGCCATATAGTTAGAAAATAACCGAGAGGACGTGTTGCTCATCATGTACGATGATAACCAGCTAAAAGGCTGTTTCTCATGTTCATGTTTATACATAAAATTACTTGAGTTTGACGATGTAGATCTCACAAGTGCTTTTCCCCCCCCTTGTAAATGTCATCTCTTTCGCCGGTAATCTCGACCTCTTCTCGCCTTGCTTCTCTGTGCGTTCACTATCGCCTTCGGTAGCACAACGGGCAACCCTCTCATCTCAAATGAATCCAGGTATCTGACCATCCACTCATCTACGGCACCTTTCTCATCCGCTGCCATTTCTCTCGCAGCTTGAGCCACTTCGTCGACCATTCCAGGTGCCTGAGAGCCGCCTCGTGGTGTTGTCGCTGCTCCCGTGACTTGATTGCTGGAGTCATTAAAGTCGGCATCGTCTGCGTTGTATATAGCCTCCTTTTGAGCTTCCTTGGCGGCTACAGCATCTTCTTTGTCTTCAACGCTGTCGAGTACCGTGCCAAGACCTGTGACCTCGCCCAGGACGCGGTCCATGGCTGCAGAGGCATCTGCGTCCTCTCCCGCGAGTTCTTCTGCGTCGGCAAAAGCGTCTTTATATGTAACACGATTGAAACAATCGGTGGTAAATTCACCCTTTTGAATGATAACATCGTCGAGGAGGCGTTTCTGGTTGGACTTGCGAAGGATGTTGGCCTCGATGGTGTGCTCGCTAACGAATCGGTAAATATGCACGTCGCGTGTCTGTCCTATACGATGGCAGCGGTCTTGACACTGCGCATCCATTGCGGGATTCCAATCCAGATCATAGAATATGACCGTGTCAGCGCCAGTGAGGTTGATGCCGAGACCGCCAGATCGAGATGACAAGATGAAGGCGAGGATGCGGGGATCGTTATTAAAGCGATCAGTGAGAATTTGACGCTGCTCAAGCTTCGTGGCACCGTCAAGACGAAGATATCGATGGCCATGGATATTGAGGAACTGTTCGAGGATATCGAGGACCTTGGTCATTTGTGTAAAGATGAGACATCGATGACCACCGGACTGAAGCTCGCGAAGAAGAGTTGCCAGGGCTTGAAGCTTGCCGCAATCGTATTGGAGTAGACGCTTATCGGGGAAGGCAATCGAAGAACGTATACGTGCCTCATGGTATGGGTCTGGACTCGATGATGTCAATGCTTGAGCTTCATGAACGAGCTCCATGCCCCTGCGTGTCAAGGCATATTCCTTGACGTCTTCCGCGACTACGGCTGGGGTAAGACAGGTGAATTTGGTTACGAGGGATTCGCAACGCTTCGCCACTTCAGGAAGATTGGGCATGAGCTCCTGGATGAGGACGCAGTTATCTTCGGTGTACCAATCGCCCATGGACCGTGTTTGAAGTTGTTTGCGTGTCGGTACCGAAGGGAAGAAGCGGTTCGGCATGGTCATTAGGCCAACAAAATCTGTGCCGTATATCGGCCACTGATCCGTAGTTCTTCTTGCATGCATCAGACGGTTCTTGAGAGAGTGTAGCACCGAATGTTCCGCATCCGCTTCTATATGGCGTATTGTTTCCTTCACTGTGCCATAGCCTACGTTGTCTGCAGGCTTTAGGCGCCTGGTTTGCCTCTCCACAAGCCCTTGCAAAGGCTCCACAGCGCGAAGATGATAGCGTCGGAACTGGCTTAAGCGGCTATGTTTCTCAAATATCGTAGGCACGAATCCGAGATGCTCGAGATTGACTGAATCTTGAGACTTCAAAAACCGTCTACGCACTAGCAGTTCTTTAATCTCATAGTCTGCGATCGCTGATTTTGGCATGGCATAACTGGTTACAATCTGCCTGGTCTCGAACAGGTCTGGATGATTGCAGACTTTTCTTAAGCTCATCAGACAGTTCATGATACTCATGTAATTGCCGCTCTGAAGCGTTCTCTTCGTATCTGAGCGGCTCATGAACTCGTCATAGAGTTGGCGCTGACGTTTTGACAGTCGGCAATAAACGACATGCTCGTATTTTCCTGGCATTTGCTTCTCGACTTCGGATTTCAAACGTCGTAAGAGGAATGGTCGAAGAACTTCGTGGAGCTTGTTGACACGTGCTTGCGCTTCAGCATCGAGCTTTTGTTGGCCTTGATTGAGAATCTGGTCCGCCGGTCGCTTCATCGAATTGAGGAATTTCTCTAGATCAGCGAAGCCGCCAGAGCCGTCCAAACCTGCAGGCATCAGGAAATAAAGAAGTGACCATAATTCTTGAAGGTCGTTCTGCAAGGGTGTACCGGTTAGGAGCAGTCTAGAATGCGTCTTGAATGTGAGAAGGGTTTGCCACTTCTGAGACTGAAAATTCTTTATGTAGTGCGCTTCATCGAGGATGAGATAGTGCCAGCTTCGCTTCTTAAAAGCTTGGGCGTCCTTCAGAATGAGCTGATACGAGGCAATACACACGTTCCATTTGTCGTCGTTGAGCCAGCCTTGGCGCTTTCTCCGTCGCTCTTCGATGTCGCCGTAGTAAGTCAGAATTTTGAAGCCAGGTAACCATTTTTTAAACTCCATTTCCCAATTCAACATGACACTAGTCGGTACAACGACAAGATGTGGACCCCAGATCTTGTGGTGCACCGCAAGATGTGCGAGTAGGGAAATCGTCTGAATTGTCTTGCCCAGGCCCATTTCGTCCGCAAGAATACCGTTACGATTGCCGGCGTACAGTTTCGCAAGCCAGTCTAGGCCATCATGTTGATATTCTCGCAAGGAGCCACGCAAAAGAAGAGACGGGACCTCGGTCTTGACTGGCTCAACAGGAGTGTGCGGAGTGCTTAACCTGGATTGGTCGGATTTGTCCTTCTCCGTCGGTTTGGGGCGATCAGCCATGAGCTCATCCACATCGTCACTTGCTTCATCATTGACCATGTCTGTGTCTTCCGCAACGTGCGACCGATGACTGGCAGATGTTTCTTCTCGAGACTTCTTTGGCTTGGGATAGAAGCCCATTAAGCCCAACTCGTCTTCAGTCTCTTCTGCTGACGAGTCGGAGGCTTCTGTGCCGCTTTCATCTATATCTGACTCATCATCATCGTCCATATCCGTAGATTCTTCATCCGGATCATCCATAAGTATATCGTCTACCTCCTCAAGCTCAGGTGGAGGTCGATCGCTTTCGATAATGGATGCTGCGTCGTCAGCTGTTCCTGAAGAATCCATCTTGGAATCGACTTCCACAGACTTGTTCGGATACTGATGTGGTGCCACGTTGGGACGGCTTGTCTTTGGTAGCATCAAAGAAAGCAGACTATGTTCCTCATCCTCCCCTTCCTCCTCGTCTTCGTCTGCATCTTCGCTTTCTGCCGTCTGTTCCTCGTCAGTATTGCTATCGTCATCCTCGTCCTCGGCTAATTCGTTCTCGCTTGACTCAGATGCATTTGGCAACTCTTGTGCAAGAACAGATGCATATTTTCGTCGCAACGCTTCGGGACTCAGATTTGCATCATCATCATGAGCGTCGACGCCATCCTCATCCTCATCCTCACTTGAAACGGACATATTTTCGCTGTCGCATTCCGATTCGGCATTTGATTCAGAATTTGCATCGTCGTCATTACGATCAGAATCCTCGACCCCTGTGCCTGTCTCAGACCCAGTCGGCCCAATGCTGGACCTTGCCTCACTAGGATATTCGGACGAATCTCGTGTGCGATGCTGCCACAACAATTGTGTAGAGTGATCCAACATCTCATCTAGAGCTTTCTTGCCAAGAGCTTCTTGCTCCCTTTCCCACTGTTCGAATCGTATCTTGTTAACTTCATTACGTGCAAGCTCCCAGGCACCGCCCAAGTCCTTAACAACCTGCTTGTACCGACGTATCTGGTAGCCTATTTGCTCTTTCTGGATTTCCTCGACGGATTTTCTTTCCCTCACGTTTGACCAACGATCTTCTGTCGCCAACGCTATCTGACATGCGGATGCCAGCTGCTTGGCCCATCTTTTATGCCTTTCCTTCTCCTTGCCTAATAAGCCGTGGAAGTTGATCGCGTGAGCGCACAAATGGTCCCATAGATTATATCGAGGCGGAGGTTCTCGAGAATCTCCTTCCAAGAAACGCGTGCATCGACCTTCCGTAAGCAGACCTCCCGGCTCAGTTGCACGTACGATCCTCAAACGGGCTTGAATCTCCTTCTGTACGTCTTCGTCTTTCATAGGGACGTCCGTTTCACCCTCCAGCGGATCGTCATTGTCTAGCCAGTCCTGAAAAGAGGAAAATTTCCGCTGTTGTGGCCAATGTCCTGGGTGAGATCTTCCCAGCTTTGGCTCCCGAAGCCTTAACTTGAGCTTCTGGAAGCGTCCAGGAGAAGTATCACCATCTACTGCCGCAGAATAGGCGACTTGCTCTTGTGAGAGTTCTGACCGACGCGAAGATCGCCTCGTGCCTGTCCTTTGCGGGGCTGAGGAAGGAGCTATCTTTTCTGCAGACACACTTGTAATGCTTTCACGTCTGGTGCGTTTACTATTTTTGGGAGTCGTCAAGGAGGGCGAATCGGACGGTTTTGAAGGTTTAGACGGCCTTTTGAACGTTTCCGCAGGAGTAATCTTCTCAACAGATCGTGCATGCCTGTGTGATGAATTCTGAGCACTCTTTTTTGCCCCAGCTTTCGAACCATTCTGTTGGTTCGATGAGCTTGTCCTGTTCTTGGTAGCTGATTCGCGCCGAGGTCGCCTTTCTTCTTCCTTGACTGGCGCAGGAGAAGAAGTTGCTGTTGTCCTTGCAGACCTCCTCTTTCCGTCTACAACCAGAGTAGCCTTGTCCACGCTGCCAAATTGCCACGGCGGCGACACTGGCCGTGATAAAACGCCAGACTTAGGTGCGCTACTGACTTTCCTCCGTTTATTGAATGTGTCTATCCGATCGCCGTCGCGAATCGTCCTTTTCTTGTTGGCGCCCTCGATGATCAGCCCATTTCTTGTTCCGTTCGAAATGGGCATTCCGTTTTCCTCTTCCGACTTGATGCCGTTGGCGCTAAGCGCGACATCAGAATGTATTGCTATCGATGGTTCATCATGGCTGTGATTCTGTGGTGGCGCGTTTGCGCTGTCACTCATCTCCAGGCGTCGATCGAGACCATCAATAACGTCGACTCAAAGCCAGGAGACCAGCCGATCGCACGCGAAGTCAGTTCAAAAACAGGTAAAAATTGCGTCGACAGATAGCTCGTAAGCTGCTTGTGTCGAAATCGTTGGCAGAACTGAGCCTGGACGTCTGGTTGTCGCGCTATGAATCTTTTTGTAATTTGCGCCGATGAGTTGATGATTTCTAAAGGTCGGGGGTCGACTTTGCTGGGGCCACGACCACGAAGCCACGAGATCACTGCGCCTGCGCTAGTCCGCTTCGGGGCGCTTACTTCCTGAACCTCAGACTCACGTTCTGAGCTGAATATCGCCCTCGCTCAAGCATCGATTGGGATACTTTTCATGCTCTACAAGGTTAGTATACCAGTTTACCGCACTCAACACGTACGCCTATACCGATTGAGCCCTCGAGCGGCCCAATTTGCACCCGTCCGTCTCCGCACACAGCGAGCTGAATTCGTTTTTCACTCATCTCACTTATCACGACTCTAGATGCTCTCGAAACAAGCACTAGTGGCGCATTCGCTAGCACGATCGATCTCTCGCTCGGGTCCCAGGCGCGCTTTCTCGATAGCATCTTCTCTTCGCGCCAACTCCGACGTCCTCGACCCAGGCCTCAACGGCAATTACCCTAACCCTCCAGCCGTGAAGCGTCAGTTCCGGGATCCGCATGCAAAGTACTGGGACCAGCAGGAACGACGAAACTATGGCGAGCCCGTTCACGAGGACAACGATGTGCTCGGAATGTTCACGACAGAGGCGTACACGTGGACCAAGCCTGGAAAGGGCGCCGTCATGTTTGCCACATTCGTCGCGAGTGTGCTTGGATTGACTTTTGTGGTTGGGCGACTCTACCCTGATAAACCAGCTGTAGCGAGGGAATTCGATCTGACGGAAGAACTGGGTGGTAAAGAGGCGCTGATTGTAAGTTCTACTTCAATTTGGCAAGATCGATATCAACCGAGGTGTGCGGACTAACTTGTTTTTCCCCCAGGTAACAAAGCGGACGTGAGCGACCAGAATCTTGACACTCCTATCAGAGCATAAAGTGAGACATCATAGCAGCATTGTATATAGTTCGCTCAAGGCTACAAGAGCAGCAAAGAACATTTTTCTTTGTCGACATGCAATATTCGAACCCGAGTAGCCTTCCCGCTGTCTACATAATTCCTGCTCAGAAACTTAATACACGACCCTTTTGTAACATTCCCATGCATTAAGCTCGGCCGACGTGTTATAGCCCTGTTCGTTCCATACAATGAAAAGCGGCAAATGCATACTTGTCGGGCTTCGCACATGATTGTACATCAAGAATACATACGCGTCAACCCACAGTTCGTAATAAATCATGGATATTAGTGTCGAATACAACTAGCAGGCTAATTCGGCCATATGTAACATTGGCCTTTAGGTTCGCTGCAGAAGCACTGATCAAGAAGACTTCTCATTGTGCATGAGAGGGTATGAGCGAAGCAAGAATAGGACTCTGCCATCTACGATCTTTAGAAAGTGTTGTTGCCTCAAGGCGAATGGGAACGATATGAGAGTGAACATCGTACGGCCGATGTACAGCACAATGTGGGTGGAAGCATCCGGATGTGGATCCTGCATTTTACGGGATGTCGCCTTTTACAAGTCGACGAGCAGCAATCGTGATGGCTTGTGCAAGCTGGGCAAAATGGCATGTCGCTTCATTCGATGTGACATGCTTAGCTTCATGCGGCGACAGGGAAAGCTGGTTGTCATGATTACGGCATAGCATAAATCAGAGCCGTCCCGGAACGCGCTATTGTCGACCACAGCATGGCAGAAGGAGCCGAACCAGCAAGCGTAGCACGTCCTCTGCTTCTGAGGCTCATCAAGCACTCGCTGTTGACAGGTTCGATCGCCCGAAGGCGTCGTGGTGTGTGGCCGAGGAACCACGTCGATTGTGGAGAGCGCATGTCCAAGTGGCGGGGCAGCATCACCTCGACTCGCTGACAGGAGGGTGACCTGATGGAAGTGCCGGGTGAGCCGTATCCTGGCGACACGACGCAGAGTCCCATGTTTGCAGGTGTTTGAGCCAGACGACAAGCCTGCAATCAATGACGCGCGATGATGGGGATTCTGCATTTGTTGAAGGATGCACGGGCGCACATTGGGCCGAAGCGTGCCCTTCGCTGAGCCCATAGTGGGGTCGCGGGGTAACTCGCTCAAGTTAGCAGCAGCATGTAGCTCACAGCTTTGTTGTTCCATCCCATGGCCTAGCTTTCTCCCCGAAACACCTCCAGACAACCCACTGGGCCTCTCGCGCTATCTCTCTCTTCCTGCTTCCTGATCTTTGCCCTTCCATTAAATTCCTTGTATTCCATCCACCCCTCACAAGCGTCCTCTTCAGTCTTACCCATTGCTTCGTCCCCAGTTCCCCAGTCTGCTCACAATGGCTACCGAAGCGCCACCACCGCTAAAGCGCAGGCCCTCGATGCGCGATAGGAAGCCGTCGATGAGCGCACCTATCACTGATCTTCAGGAACAGGTCGGCCCCGGATTCTCGCGCCCGAAGCATAAGAGAACGGTCACTGGGTTTGGAGCGGCAGATATCAAGGCAGTGGAGGCTTCTATTCCAGAACCGCAGCGCGAGGCGTACGTATTGCAACTCCCATTCGGTCAATGCCATGGCTGCTGACGAATCGAAACTCAGGTGGCGAAAATTCGTTCGTGTCCTAACTGCTGTTTGCGTTTTGTCTTCGTTGACGGTGTGATAGGCACCAAAGCCGTTCAACTCACCGGATGAGTTCTTGGTGAGCCTGCGCGTACCGGAACATGTGATAAGGGAAGCTAACGAAGCTCAGAAAGCGACCATAAACCATGTCGAAACCACGCTAGCCCGGTCGATGTACAATTGCGACGAACAGTGAGGCTATATACTCAGTAAGATCTGGAAGCGTTGTTAATTCTGCTTCAGAGCCATCTATGGCGGTGCCGCATTAGCTTTCCGGGATCGTCTTGTCATGGACTGGAACAAAACGCAGCAAGAGCAAACCTTCAAGGATCAGAAAAGAGTGTATTGTATGTACTTCATCCTTGGATTTCCCTTGTGATTAACAAACATAGATTTGTCACTCGAATTCTTGATGGGCAGAGCATTCGATAATGCCATGCTCAATGTCCAACAGAAGCAGAATGCGACTGAGGGCCTGGCACAGATCGGCTTCCGTATGGAAGACATCATCGATCAGGAGCATGACGCCGCGCTGGGTAATGGCGGTCTCGGACGGCTTGCAGCTTGCTACCTTGATTCGCTGGCGTCACTCAACTACCCTGCTTGGGGCTACGGCCTTAGGTACAGATATGGTATCTTCAAGCAAGAAATTGTGGACGGATATCAGATCGAAGTTCCCGACTACTGGCTCGACTTTAACCCCTGGGAATTTCCAAGGCACGACATTACAGTCGACATTCAGTTCTACGGCCACGTTAATCGCTACCAGGACGATCAAGGCAAAATCATTAACCAATGGGAAGGCGGCGAGATTGTACAGGCAGTTGCCTATGATGTCCCAATTCCGGGATATGCGACTTCAACAACGAATAACCTGCGATTATGGGGGAGCAAAGCCGCAAGTGGCGAGTTCGACTTCCAGAAGTTCAATTCAGGCGAGTACGAAGCTTCTGTTGCCGACCAACAGCGTGCCGAGACCATATCTGCTGTGCTTTATCCCAACGACAACCTCGACCGTGGTAAAGAGCTCCGATTAAAGCAGCAATACTTTTGGTGTGCTGCGTCGCTCTTTGATATCGTGCGCCGGTTCAAGAAGTCCAAACGCGCTTGGAAGGAGTTCCCTAATCAAGTCGCCATCCAACTCAATGACACCCACCCGACGTTGGCTATCCCCGAGCTGCAACGCATACTGGTTGATATAGAAGGCTTGGACTGGGACGAGGCCTGGAGCATCGTAACAAAGACCTTTGGCTATACCAATCACACCGTCATGCCAGAAGCCTTGGAAAAGTGGTCCGTTCCACTTATGCAGCATTTGCTCCCTCGCCACTTGCAGATCATCTATGATATCAACTTGCAGTTCTTGCAATATGTCGAGCGAAACTTTCCCAAAGATCGGGACCTACTGCGCCGGGTCTCTATCATTGAAGAATCGAGCCCAAAAATGGTTCGCATGGGCTACCTCGCCGTCATTGGTTCGCACAAGGTCAACGGAGTTGCAGAACTCCACTCCGATCTCATCAAGTCGACAATTTTCAAAGACTTCGTCAACATATATGGCCCTGATAAGTTCACCAATGTCACGAATGGTATCACTCCACGAAGATGGCTCCACCAAGCGAACCCTCGCCTGTCTGAGTTGATTGCATCCAAACTTGGTGGCTACGATTTTCTCAAAGACTTTACCCTCTTAAACAAACTTGAAAATTTTGTCAACGACAAGGCCTTCCGCAAGGAGTGGGCTGAGATCAAGTACGCAAATAAGGTTAGATTGGCCAAACATATAAAGGAGGCAACGGGGATTAGCGTGAACCCATCAGCTCTCTTCGATGTCCAGGTTAAGCGTATACACGAGTACAAGCGCCAGCAACTGAATATCTTTGGTGTCATTCACCGCTACCTTGCCATCAAGGAGATGACCCCAGAGCAAAAGGCCAAGCTTTGCCCTCGAGTGTCCATCTTTGGTGGCAAAGCTGCCCCAGGTTACTGGATGGCAAAGAACATCATTCATCTAATTAATAAAGTCGGCGATGTGGTCAACAATGACAAAGACGTGGGTGATTTGCTCAAGGTGGTTTTCATTCCAGACTACAATGTCAGCAAGGCTGAAATCATATGCCCCGCGTCGGATATCAGTGAGCATATTTCAACTGCTGGGACAGAGGCAAGTGGAACTAGCAACATGAAGTTCGTACTTAACGGTGGTCTCATCATCGGGACTTGTGACGGTGCGAATGTAAGTCCTCTTTTCCGACACGCACGCATAGTACCTTGAAACTCTTCCGCTGTCAAGATTGGCGTCAGAGATGGGCTTCGAAACGGCAGAATCGTCAAATGCGATTTCAGATAGATTCTCTCATTAGAACCGACACTTAACATAATCTGCATTGTCTTGATGCTAACGGGAAGTCCAGATCGAGATCACGCGCGAGATTGGCGAGAATAATATCTTTCTCTTCGGCAATCTTGCTGAAGATGTCGATGAACTCCGTCACGCTCACATATACGGAGAATATCAGCTCGATGACGAACTTGAAAAGGTCTTCCAAGCAATCGAAAGCGGCATGTTCGGCGATGCAGGTGCTTTCACCGCCCTCACTAGTGCCATTGTGCATCACGGAGACTACTATCTCGTTTCTGATGATTTCAATAGCTACTGCAAAACGCAGGATCTCATTGATGAGGCATTCAAAGATCAAGAAGAGTGGTTGACAAAGTGCATCACCGCCGTCGCAAGAATGAGCTTCTTTACGAGCGATCGTTGCATTGATGAGTATGCAGAAATGATATGGAATATTGAACCAGTCGTCCCTGAAGCAAAGACATAGAAGCTGCGGCTTGGGCCCGATCTTGTCTACCTAGACTCGGAGGGATTAACGGAATTCTACACGAGAGAATGTCGCTAGGGTTATTGTGGAGGTCTACCTCTTCTCATTCTTAGGTTTAATTTGAAATCATGCTCAGCTCTTCGCCTGATCTTTTTATTTTTAACTTTTTTTCTCATCAGGATTACATGAGACAATGATACAGAAATTGTCAATTTGCACACATTGTGTCATCATACTCTCCGTTCATGACTCACGGTTATTAGTTCAAGGACAAGGACGGGTCACAGTAAGTCAGCCCATTCACACGGCCTTTCGACACAAGCACAAACACTGCAGAACCTGCGTACTCGTGCAAAAATAATTTCCAGCGTTCAGGAAAGTCAAAACTCGGGTCCGAATATTCATCGTCAAAATGGTGGCTTTGCACGTGACTCACGGTGGGCTTTCAAAAATAAGGATTGCTGCTATGCTTTCGCGAAACCCCACGCATGCTCACAACCTCACCATACGTCTTTGATGTCTACGGGGCACCTAAAATTTTAGCAGTTTGCCACCAGCATCTAGCAAACGCGACAAAAGAATTTCTCGTACATGCCTTTCGTGCCACACAAAAATCATCGGCAGAGACTTTCGTTGCCGCCAGATATATCGGACATAGGCTGAGATACATCCGAGCTCGCACTCACTACACTCGATTGATCCAAATTACGTGCGCTCGCCAACACACGCCTACACGCTCTCATTCTTTCTGCCATCTATAATCATCTTCAATGGCGCCCAAGAAGAAAGGAGGTAACAAGAAGAAGGACGATAACTGGGAGGATGAACTTGGTGAAACCATCGATCCTATTGCACAGGCAGCACAAAATGCAAAAGCCGACGAGGCCGTGCAGGACGCCGCTGCTGAACAAGACAATGAAATGGGTGGTGGCCTGCTTGCCGCACTGAAGAAGAATAGAGGCAAGAAGGCGAAGAAGGGCAAGATTGTTGAAGATTTTGTCGAGGGCGAGGACCCCACTACTGATGGCGATGCTGCACCTCAACCAGTTGATTTGGCTTCTAAGGCGCCTGAAGAAGCCACTTTCGATGATGAAGAGGATGTATTTGGGCAGCCGATGAAGAAGGGCAAAGCAAGCAAGGGTGGCAAACAACAGGAAAAGGAAGAAACCAAAGATGACGATGACGATGGCGAAGAAGGGGGCATGCGTGTAAAAACGAAGAAAGAGAAAGAGCGTGAGAAGAAAGAGAGAGAGAAACAAAGAAAGAAGGAACAGGTGCGTAGTAGGAGACATTCGTTTACATGAAGCTATTTGACTAAGGCTATGCAGGCAGCGAAGAAGAAGACGGCCGCTCCAGCGCCAGCGGCGAGCAAGGAGCCTGAGAAGGCTGTTGCGGAATCCAAAAAGGAGCCAGCTCCGGAGCCCGTCGCTGCACCCGCTGCACCTGCTGCACCCGCTGCTGGAGCCAAAAAGAAGAAGCTGAACCCAGCTCTAGCTGCGCTTCAGAAGCAGCAGGAAGAAAGGAGGAGACGCGAAGAAGAGGCAGCTCGATTGGCAGCCGAAGAAAAGGCTCGAATCGAGGAGGAAGAACGCCTCGCTGCAGAAGAGGCCAAGCGCAAGGAAGAGCAGAAGCTCGCCAAGAAGCTCAGGGAGAAGCAAAAGATCGAAGAGCAGAAAAAGGCAGGCACGTATAAGAGTAAGGCCCAGAAGGAGGCAGAAGCTCGCCAAAAAGCTCGTTTGCAACAGATGGTTGAGGCCGGGGGTGTCATTGTCGGAGGTACCGTAGGTGAGAAAGAGAAGGCTAAGAAGCCTGACAACAAGAAGAAAAGTGCTCTCAAGAAGAAGGAGGAAGAAGAACTACGACTCCAGAAGGCTAAGGAAGCCGCTGAAGCCGAAGCTGCACGAAAGCAGATGGAAGAATTGCGCTTGGCCGAAGAGCAGGCCGCTAAAGCCAAAGCTGAAGCAGAAAAAGCTAAGGCCGAAGCCGAAGCCAAGGCCGAAGAAAGCGATGGTCTCGAAGACTGGGAGGCTGAAGCTGACAAGATGGATGGCGTAAAGGATAGCTGGGATGCTGAGTCTGAGGAAGAACAAGAGAAGAAGCCCACTGAAGCACCTGCTCCAGCTACCAAGGCCAAGGCGACTGTGGCTCCAACCTCAACCCCGGCTAACGGCAAGCCCAAGGCACCAGTCAAGGAAGAATCAACTGACTCGGAAGAAGATGATTCTGATGATGATTCGGAAGAAGAAGAGATGACGGCGGCTCAAAAAGCCGAGATCAAAAGAAAAGCTGAAGCAGCAGAGAGACGCAGACAGCAGCACGAAGCTGCTCTTGCTGCTAGATCAAAAGACAATTTGCGATCTCCTATCTGCTGCATTCTCGGTCACGTCGATACGGGCAAGACAAAACTGCTTGATAAAATTCGGCAGACAAATGTGCAAGAAGGCGAAGCAGGTGGAATTACCCAGCAAATTGGTGCCACTTACTTCCCCGTAGAAGCACTGAAGAAGAAAACAGCCGTTGTCAACGAGGATGGGTCATTCGAGTTCAAGGTTCCAGGACTGCTCGTCATCGATACGCCCGGCCACGAATCTTTCACGAACTTGCGATCTCGTGGCTCGTCTCTGTGCAACATTGCGATCTTGGTTGTCGACATCATGCACGGGCTTGAGCCTCAAACCCTCGAGTCCATGCGTCTTCTGCGTGAGAGGAAGACGCCCTTCATTGTTGCACTTAACAAGATCGACAGATTGTTTGGCTGGAAGCAGATTGCCAACAACGGTTTCCAGGACTCACTTCGCCACCAGACCAAAGGCTGTCAGAATGAATTCAAAGACAGGCTGGAGAGGACCAAGCTTGCCTTCGCGGAGCAAGGTTTCAACGCGGAAGTTTTCTACGAGAACAAGAACATGGCAAAATATGTCTCGCTTGTACCAACATCCGCACATACAGGCGAGGGAATTCCAGACATGCTGAAGCTTCTCGTCAAGCTCACCCAGGAGCGCATGACCAGCTCCCTCATGTACCTCTCTGAGGTTGAAGCTACTGTACTTGAAGTCAAAGTTATCGAAGGCTTGGGAACTACAATCGACGTAGTTCTATCCAACGGCGTGCTGCATGAAGGGGATCGTATCGTGCTCTGCGGTCTTAACGGTGCTATTTCAACGAACATACGAGCATTGCTCACACCGGCTGAGATGAAGGAGTTGCGTGTCAAATCAGCCTATGTTCACAATAAATCTGTCAAAGCTGCCATAGGTGTCAAGATTGCTGCTGACGGCCTGGAACAAGCGATCGCTGGATCACGTCTCCTTGTTGTTGGTCCAGACGATGATGAGGAGGATCTAGAAGAGGAAGTCATGGGTGATCTTGAGAATTTGCTGAGCAGGATCTCCAAGACGGGACGAGGTGTCTCCGTTCAGGCTTCCACACTTGGCTCGCTTGAAGCTCTCCTCGAATTTCTGCGCGTCTCAAAGATTCCAGTTAGCAATATTTCCATCGGTCCCGTCTATAAACGAGACGTCATGCAAGCTGGTATCATGTTGGAGAAGGCTCCTGAATACGCTGTCATGCTATGCTTTGACGTAAAGGTGGACAAAGAAGCGGCCGCTTACGCCCAGGAAGTAGGTGTCAAAATTTTTACCGCCGATATCATTTACCACTTGTTCGATGCATTCACCAAACATATGTCTGAGTTGGCGGAGAAGAAGAAAGAGGAATCGAAGTTGCAGGCTGTGTTTCCATGTGTGCTCAAGACGGTGGCTGTATTCAACAAGAAAGATCCCATCGTCATTGGTGTGGACGTTATTGAGGGCAGTCTGAGACTGCTCACTCCTATTGCGGCAGTCAAGACCAGTGCGACAGGAACGAAAGAGATTGTCGTTTTAGGTAGAGTGTAAGTGTCACTTTCTCTTCTCTGTGAAAATGCATCTGCTGACCTAAATATAGCTCATCCATCGAACGCGATCACAAAGCTGTGAACATTTGTAAGAAGGGTCAACCTAGCGTCGCGATCAAGATTGAAGGCTCCAACCAGCCTATGTATGGACGTCATCTTGAAGAGTCAGACATGCTGTACTCGCAGATCTCCAGAGCAAGCATTGATACACTGAAGGAATTCTATCGATCCGAAGTGAGCATGGATGAGTGGAACTTGATACGAAAACTGAAACCCCTGTTTGACGTGTCATAGTTGGGGTTGCATGAACTTGAGGTATGATCAGCAATTGTAGTCAAGAAGAGCCATATTCCTGAAGCTTCTTGATTTTTTTTTGACCAAAAAAATGCATCATTTGTTATTGTACTTGTATTTGATGTGGAAATAGGTGTTACATAAGATTGATTGCCTTTATTTGAATACGAGACACATGATCCAAGCGTTTGATCCGCCATCTTCCTTGATGCATGCCCGCTTAAAACCGCTTTTCGCTCGAGCTTGCTTCCCGTAAAAGCAGGATGCTCTTTGCGAGAAGCATACGTAGGGTGTCAAAACTGCTCAATCAAATACTTACGGACCAAGATCTCCCTTTATATAGCACCGTCTGACATGAGGTAGCAGAAAAAAAAGAAGCCATTATGAAATCCTGATGCTAGTTTAATTTTGTAGGTATAGATGATAGGTTCTTGAGTTGACAACGGTCTATGGCGCCACACGCAAAAAAAAGTGCAGTCGTGGGACACGAGGGAGGGTCTCAGCAGATAGAATGAAGACAGGACGCGAATTGCCAAGGAGAATTGGCTCGACTAGAAGAACTTGACGCGGACTGTCCATCGTAATGCCCTCAGCTCTTTGACCACGATTATTATCGTTCAGTTGTATCGTTGGCTCTTATATCAACACCGGACAAAGGCATCAATTTCGTTCGTCCCTGTGTGTTTTGTACGGAGCTATGCTTCCTCGGGACACTCGGGCTCGCTTAAAGTGTGGACTCCGCTGGTCTTTCGACTTCGAAAGTGCTGCCGGGTCCTTGTCTCGCTGATGAGGTGAATATGCCCGAAGCAACGCGGATGCCATCCGAACAGAGATGTCTCAGTCCAAGGCCTCGCTTACCAGCAGCCGTCGTCGGCATTTTCGGCAGTTCCAACCATATTTTTTTCGAATGCAACCATCTGCCCGGCCCCGATTGCTGCCCCTTATCCGCTGGATATGCACGTTCTTTTGCCGTGCGTGCAGCCTTGGGAAAAACGCAGTCGTGATCCCTGAGTGGACGCACCTTTCGAACGGCCAAATGCCTGGGCTGACGGCGGCGAACCAATCAGCGCTTCAGGTTCTCCTCAAACTCATCACAGGGCTGGAAGCTGGACGAACTTCACCTCGCACGCCCGTTCCAGAAGTGCGACGAAATCCGTGGCAATTCAAGCTCTAACTCTCTGTGATACGGTCGTACGTCCATTCAGAATTCGCGCCATTTAGGGTAGAGCCATGCGTGACGAATTCTTTTTGCGCTCGCAAAGGACGAAACGCCTCGTCCCTTTTGTTTCTGTTCCTTGCATGAATTTCTTCGTCTTGTTCCTCCATATCTTCATGTTTTCATTATTATCTCCCGTTTTTGGCCTGTCGTAGCCTCTGCTAAGTCGACCGCAAACTTTGATCGTAGCCTCACGTGGAATACTGATGCATTCCTCGGGCGAGACATTTAGAACAACCGACTCTGTTTTGCATCGCATCTAACCCGGGCGGGTAGCCGATTCCTCTCTTCTCGACGCGAGCGTCTGCTTGATTTTAAGTAAAAAAACGTTTTTAAGATCTACGACGAATTCAAAAAGCTTTCAACGACACAAATGTAAAGATCTTGATATCACACATGTTGTCAGCATTCTTGAATTTTTCAGACGTGTAAGTATTATGGCAAGAATTATTGCAATTTGCTGAGAAAGGGCTTAGTTGATATCTGTATTCTGGCTTACTCTCTACGCATACAAGAATGGGGATCAACCTTCTATCCCGCCAGTCTGACATGCAGCTATCAAACCAGCATCAACTATCACGTTCGGCAATAGCATACATAGCTGCTGGAGCTGGCGTTGGCATAGTCCTGCTCACTGTGTTAATCAGCTTGATTTTTCGAGCATCGAGAAGGAAGCGGCGCATTAGAGAGCGTCGCCTGACAAGACATGCACAGGGGGATCGACTGGCGGCGCTGAACAAGACCGAAATCCAACGCTCACATACGCTCAAGACCATCAGTTCCGAAAGCAGCTATGCGCCGACCGACCATCGACACACAGTCCCACCAAGTGAAAGATGGAAGTGGAACCCCCCCGCGGACCCAGAGAAGACTGCTGCCGCGATTCAGATTCCACCAAATGCCAAATTCTTCTGACTTTCGTTCTCGCCTACCACGAAATACGGAGCGGGCCAATCTGAGATAGGCCACATCGTTCGACGCTAGGTATAATATTTAGTGAAATATACTTTAACGATCTCTAACGACGCAGACATCGCAGGCACTCAGCTACTTCTCTCTCATTCAGTGGCTATCCTCTGCAGACTATCTATACATATTTTTTCTCTTATTTCATTACAAAAGTGCCCGTGACTATTTCATTGTCATCAAGTTCTGCACGTGGCATTCGACCCATGTGTGATTGCCTCTGTCCTCCCGACTTAACAGATACGCTCCAATTCTTCGAAGCTATATTCTGTCCCGCTCTGCTCTACTATCGAGAAAGTTGACCCCATGTTACCACCTTCGGCTCTTCTTTCAAAAACATCCAATGCTTTATCTCAAATCGTCCTTTTAATACTTTCCGGACATGAAACTATTATTTTTCTTCTAATGCTACGACGAAACAAATCCAAACGACCGGGAGCCTATGATCAGGATGTAGACCATGATGTTATCGCGATCCTTAGATTGAGCCATGCGTGACTGGGCCAGCCATGATCCAGACATAAAGATCGTGCGAAAGGAATCACCACGTATCCACTCGATAAGTTTCTTGGGATTGGTCTACGCAAGGGTAAGAATCATCCAGCTTTCATACAATTTGGATCTCAAATCCGCCAGAATCCAGTTTAGAGTAAGGTTCACAGCAATTTATTCAACTTCCGAAGCTCGCTCCACCGGCTCAACATTCCAAGCTCAAGTAAGTTCATCCGCCTCACTTTGCCACTTGGATTTCCAATAACAACTGGTTTCCAGAACACATTTTCCTCTTCCGACGTGATTTCAACTGTGCCAACTCTGGTTCCAAAGGCATGATTCGGTACTACTTGCTCAATTTTGTACCTGAACAACACGCCCGTGAGCATTAAAGCCAGGAACATCAAGATACCTGCTGCGATGCCCGTAGAATATTGTGCACCAATTTCCCGAGTCATAGCACTGCCTATGCCTGTTGCAGCGGCAGCGAATAGGAAGCCCAGGGTTTGTGAAAGGAAAATTCCAGCAGAGACGCGAGGAAAACATGAGTAGTTAGTACGCCGTCTTCGGACATCCTCGGCGAGGGATTCAACACGATGTCGTGAGTTAACACCAGGTTGAAGGTCACTCGTGTCAAAAGTTTCCATGATGAGTCCATAGCATTCCGCCACAGCCAGGGCCTGGAAGAAGCCGATTGCGCCTGCCATAAAGATGGGGGCGAGATAGTGTATATTGCGGCCCTGAGAAGTTATGGCGTAAATGACTCCCGCTACAGGTAGCATGAGCATAAACGCGATACGTCGAACCATATGAGAAGACCATGTCACCTGCGGCTCGAAGGTCATGCTATCAGTTCTTGGTCCCTGTTTTCGTGCGCGACTAAACCAGCCAGCGTAGGTCATTGGGACAGCAAAGAGCGCACCTATCGCGATAGACAGAATGCCAAGACCGACGTAGCGTGAGGGAAAATGGTAGTTGTGACTAAGTAAAGCACCAAGGAGTACGATGACGAGAATGTTTTGTCCATACATCCATCCGAGATAGAGTGATACGACGCAGAACCCACGTTGACAGAACATGCGTTTCATTAATATAACCCCGGCCCAAAGCTCTTGGTACCAGTGCTGCGGGCCTCGATTATCAAGATGTAACTTGATTTCACCACGAGCGACTTTGCTTGTCTCGACTCCGATTGATTTTCCAGTATACTCAAGCTCTTGTAACGCGTGTCGTAAGGCTGATTGTCTTGTTTCCGGTGCCAAAACGTTGAAAATCAATGCGCAAATCATGAGCATCGTCGAGACGTAGAAACCCCATTGCGGATTAAGGCTGTTGATGATGCCGGCACCAGACATAAAGCCTACCGGGATGGAGCCGACCCAGCACCAAGCCCAGATGCCCAGCCAGACGCCAATACCTCCGCCGTCGCGACGTGGATCGTCGTACGTGATTAATTGTTGATGAGGGTATTCGCTCTGCAAAGATGCCCCAAAGAGGTCTAGGAGCATAGCAAAATCATTGATGTTGGTCAAACCCAGAAGAAGACCGGTTACGAATCTGCAAGTCAAGAGACTAAACTCGAAGCCCATAGAAACGGGTGTCCGAACTTGACTGACTAGAATTGCTTGTGGAAACTGCAAAGGTATCGCAAGACCGAGAGAGCCAAGAATGTATGGGCGACGGCCATGCAACAGCGGCAGTGGCCAACAGAAGAATGTTGTGAGTGCCATTCCAAGGAACAAATAAACGTTGCCGAGTAATACATTATGTCCTTGGTCTGCGAGCTGAAACTGAATTCTTGGAACCATCCCCGCATAATCGCCAATCGCATAACCGACCATTCCAGTATTGAGACACGCAATCAAAGCCGTAATGCGTTTCCGCGTCGGCTTCCACCTCCTAGCAATTGGCTCCTCTCTGAAATGAGCTAGTATCCAACTTTTACGACGCAACCCATCTCTGTCGCCGCAAGCTCTGGCCGCCTCAACCTTTTCAAGACATCCATCATCATTTTTGCTGCTGTTCAGCCGGGCACTGGCGCCACTTTTCATACTCGTTCCCTCGCTGAACTGAAAGGGCAAATTGAACACTTTTCTGGATTCAGAAGGCCTGGTTGTGTCACGTGGTTTCCATGTATTGTCGTAATAGCTGTTGTGTCTCGGCTCTCGCCACTCCTGCCAATTTGGATGATTATCTTCGACTATCTGTACACTTCTTTTCCTCTTCCTCAGACACTCGATTGAAGCAGATGCCTGCGGTTCTGACGGAGATTCTGATATATACCCTGTGTGTGTTTGTCTGGAATAAGTGTTCTTGCCGTTGCCTTCAATATTAGGCGAGTAGTAATCAAAATTGGACGTTTGTGTCGATCGATGGTAGAACTTCTGCTTAGCCTTTTCTTGCTTAGGGTCTAATTGTCGGAGACGTGCAACATCTTTGGCATTTAATTCACGAGAATCAGCAAGGTTAGATTTATCTGGACTACTCGCCTGTGAGTTTTCGGACTCATCCAGACTCAAATTGGACACACTCTTGTCAATAGAAAGAGAGGTTGATCCGGTTGATGAAACTTCAACCCCCGCAGCCGTGATGCTAGAAGAGTTTATGGCTTGGTTTCCATGACCAGTTGTGTTTTTGGTTTCCCCAATATGACTGCTGTCAGTCGCTTCGTTCACCAAGCTTTCAGCTTCCTTCATTAAATGCTCTAGGCGATTTATGGCCTCTGTTAATGGCGATCCACTGAGTTCAGAAACACTTTCGGTGGAACGTTGGTTTGGATTTGGGCTTTGCTTTTTTATCTTGTCGTAACTGCTGTCAAGGAGGGGCTCTCTACTTGGTACGGTTTCTGAGGCAGGAGATTCCAATTCTCGGGGATTAACATCGTCAAAAGCTTCCTGCTTTTCAGGCAACTTGACTCTCACTTTGTTCTCAACAATGTCAGAAGAAAGGCGTTCCAATTCATGCGGGTTTTGGCCTATTGAAGGCTGGAATGGATTGAAGATAGTATCTGCTTTCGACAAGAGAACTAGTGGAGCTTGGCTTGTGTCGGTATACTTCTCCATGCAATTGTCCGTGGGTGGAAGCGTTTGATGGACTGTAGAATGAACATCTGATAGGGGGAGAATTGTCGGTTGGTATTCAGATGTCCGGTGTGAAACATCGTCTTGTTTGTTGTTGTTCTTGTTTGAAATTCGGGGTTGTGGCCGAGCATCCAGCCATGGTAGTCGCGATCTCAATGACATACTGGAGTTTCGTAAAGTCGCCAGTTTCGCTGCACTTGAACCAGTCGATACACCCATAACTGGGGTCTCCCGTGCCCTTGCCTCGCTCTTTGTATAGTTTCCTTTGTTCGTAAAGTCCATTTGATGAGCTCCGTGGTGTATATTTGAGTGCTGAGAGTTGTTTGCCATCCTCGGGCCTCGTAAGGGGATATGAATTGTAGGACACGTCTCCAGGGTGCTGCTGATTATACTTAAGCAGAGAATGATCCGGACAGAATGTTCACATCCTATCCATGCTCAATATATATTAGGTCCAAGGAATGTGGCCGATCGTTGAGAATTGTAGCAAGCATCCAGATGTGAGCTTAAATTTGAAATGGCTCGCTTGCGTTCTCTGTTGCTCCTACCTGAAAGTAACAGAGTATGCTAAGGCGACTGCAGCTGTGCACTGAGGGCTGTAAACTTGCAATGCTGTTCATGTATTCTTGAAGTGATATTTGCTACGTCACCTATATTTTGTTTCTCATCGATACTAAACGCTTACGAAGGTGGTGCACCGGGCTCAGAGAATTTGATGTCCCCCTTGCTGACGTCAGGGTAAACATCGAATCGACGTTGCGTATTGATCGGAATACCCTTTCTCACTTCCTCGATTCTATCACTATCGAGCTCTGCAACCACAATTCCCTCCTTCTCATCCAATTCCCCTTTTATCTCAGCATACGGGTCCACGATCATGCTGTGTCCCCATGCGTGATAGTCTGCGCTCATGTCTCTTGCTGGGCTGCACAATGCCGTGTATACCTGGTTATCCAGTGCTCGTGCCCTTGCTAGTAGCTCCCAGTGCATCGCTCCTGTTGTCAAGTTGAATGCGCCGGGGTAAACGAGTAAAAAGGCACCCTTTCTGGCAGCGATGGTTGCCAACTCTGGGAAACGTATGTCGTAGCAAATTGCGATTCCAATTTTCCCATATTCAGGTAGGTCAACGATGGTGACCTTGTTGCCGGGATCCAGAACCTCCGATTCCTTGAACGTGATTTTGCCTGGTATGTCAATGTCGAACAGATGTACCTTTCTGTGGGTCGCCAGCAATTCTCCAGTTGGACCAAATGTGAGCGATGTGTTGAAATGCTTCTTACTGCTCTCCTCGTATTCTGGTATGCTCCCTCCCACGAGGTACACATTTGCTTCCTTTGCTATTTTTGAAAGAGCATGGAAACTGGGTGACTGTGCTTCGGAGGGCGGCGAGGGGAGAAGGGTCTCTGCGTACTTGGGAAAGTACTTTGTGCCATATGGGGAGTTAAAGCATTCTGGCAGCACAACGATGTTGGCATTGTGCTGCTTCACGGCTTCTAAGACTTTGGTTCGAGCGTGGGCGAGATTGTGAGCTTTGTCGGCGCCAGATGCCAATTGCACGAGCGCAAGCTTTACGGGTTTCTTCAGAAGCTTTGCCATCTGTACGTCCCTGCGAGCGGTGGAACTCACTAGCTTGCGATACTGAAGTTGTGTGAGACTGCATGTTAAGTATGAAGACAGTCACACCTCCGATCTCGGAGTTGCGGAGACTCAGGCATATCTCAGGCGGACTCTTCGTCCCGACGGACCTTCATCTGCGACGCCTTCAAGACTCGTGAAACCTTTCCCAGCCTTGATTTGACCAAATCCGGATTTCATTTTCTGATATAGGATGCGTGCGGCTCACGGATTTTCCGTCATGCAAGCCTTGAGAACGGCACAGTTCCGCCGTAGTCTCCTCGCCGTATCGAGGTGATCAGAGTTGCTAGTTGCATCAATCTAAAGATCGACTGGTCGAATTGCACAATTAGTTTGTCAACTCGTGGGATAGCGTGGTTATATGTCTAACTTATCTAGTCTGCGCACAATCAGGGTCGAAATCTCCATCTCTGATGCGATCAGCGACTTACCGTTCAGTGGCGTTCGGAGAAAGCCATGACGACATGGCATTGTGATAGTACCCATCCACACACACCGGCAGATCGACATGATCAATCGTTCGCCTATCGTGCATAGCCGCCATTTATTTTCCGACCGTTCTCGCCCTTCGACTACGAAAAAACTTGTTTGAAAGTAGTTTGAGGTTTATATCCTCGTGAAAGCATTGCCTAAAGCAGAAAGAAGCAGAAAACAACCTAAAGCTTAAGTTTCGCCGAGATCTTTAAGAAAGGCCGAGGTGACATCACAAAGCGCTACGCATCTTGTCGATGTACGGTCTTTTAGTGTCCCAAATCACCCTTCCGATTTTTGCATCGTGCACAGCCTTCGAAATGGACTTGGAAATCGCCACACTACGAGCTGTATGCTAATGCACAATGTGGAAACTGGAGGCGCTGACGACATTGTCAGTCAGATGTACGCACATTCAGCAGGAGCCCCAGAGCCTTGAGGGCTATTTATGACGGTCTGCTTCTAACCGTCCGTTCGAATCAATTTTCGCAGAATTTTTTTCCTTTTCGTAGTACACTTCTTGTCAGCCCTATCGTCACCTTGGGCACATCATCTATATCGAAAAGAGTTTTTTTCCCGTTTGAATTTCAGGATTTTACAATGTCTAGTTCCAAAATGCCTGTCTTGCCGGTCACGAATGATGACACAAGGAGCCATCCGCGGAAGGAACGAAGACTTCGTTATCTCTCCTTCATCCCAAACGTAGTACGTAATGAGACTATCGCGTTCCTTGGTGAGTTCGCTGGTACATTCATGTTTCTCTTCATGGCTTTTGCGGCTACGCAAATAGCCAATTCAACGACTCCGCCACCAGCGGATAGCAACGCCTTTCAGTATCCGAATCCTACCAATCTCCTATTCATCTCCTTGGCATTTGGCTTTAGTTTGGCAGTCAACGTTTGGGCATTCTACAGAATCAGTGGTGGTCTTTTCAACCCTGCGGTGAGTGGATTTGATACATTCCCACTTCGACATCAACTAACTTGATGTACAGGTTACCGTCGGCCTCTATATTGTCGGTGCTATCGGTCACGTCCGTGCTATCAGTTCCTTCTTGGCCCAAATAGCAGCTGCTATTTCCTCTGCAGCCGTTGTCTCTGCTCTCTTCCCAGGTCCACTCAATGTGAACACGACACTTGCAGGCCGGACATCCATTGCACAGGGCGTCTTCATCGAGGCCTTCTTGACCGCCGAACTTGTCTTCGTCATCTTCATGCTAGCAGTTGAGAAGCACAAGGCTACGTTCTTGGCCCCGATTGGTATTGGACTAGCTCTGTTCATTAGTGAGATGTGTGGCGTATACTTCACAGGTGGCAGTTTGAATCCAGCAAGAAGTTTTGGCCCAGCTGTTGTGACTCGTCAGTTCAAAGGTTCGTATAAGGAGAACAACACTCTGTTTCGCAGAGCTGACACTTCTAGGCTACCACTGGATTTATTGGGTAGGCCCAGTCACTGGATCTCTTATTGCATCCGGCTTCTACAAGCTCATGAAATATGGCGAGTATAGGTATGCGAATCAACCATCCGCACACCCTTTTCATCTGGAGCTAATAAACGTCATACAGAACCGCAAACCCTGGTCAAGACTTCGATGACCATGAGGCTGAGCTGTTTGATCTTCCAACCACGGCAGCCACTGCCGAGGATGTCGCGCGACCGAATGTGTCTGCTGTAGCTGTACAACGGTCCATCGAATCTCCAGCGACTGGAAGCACTCTTAGTCCAGCTTACAGTGGCGTGCCGCTCAGTACAGCAGAATTTCGGTCTCTCAGCACTCCTGAAGATAACCGAAGGAGCTCAAGCATGACATATGGAGCCGACAACGATGAGGTGGGCAAGAAGTGAGTTTGATCTATTTTTATTTTCTCTAAATTTAAGGCGAATCTTTCTTCCATTATCAATTAAAAATTATCGTAATCTATGCGTGGAGTTGGTGTGGGACGCATGTTTGGTAAATCTCGTTTGTATCTTAGCGGAACTGTAGAGCTAGTAACGACACGAAATGAAAAGCGATGATTTCTCATTTTGATGCTCTCTCTGCACGAATTTGAAGTTGCGGTGTTCTTCGCCTAGAATGAGTTCCAGTTGCGTCAAGCCTTCTTTGCTTGTTTTCGAACCAACCAAAAATATTATTCTTAAAAAAAATCAGCGAGAAAGATCGATTGTATGGGATCGATGGGAAGCCAAGTTTGAAGCCAAGTTCGACAAGTATCAAGGAGACGCTTATATTTGAGAACTCCTCTGTCCATCTCAGCAATCTCACCTACTGGCACAACCGTCATAAAAAAAATCTTTTGATTGTATTTCTCTATCTAAATATTCTCAGCATGAAAAAGACCTGTAGTTTGATTTAGCACTGCCCAATCTATTTGTGTGGAATGCCTTCCACGGGCATAGGCTGAACGTCAGTGATTTCGGCTGCAGTCTTCTCTGCCGGTCGGCTCGTGTCATCTTTCATGAACGGAAATGTGAGCACTTCCTTGATCCTGGAGAGTAGTGTTAGCAAACGAAAATCACATGCGAGCAGTGTTCTATTACGAGTAGTGATTTGTCAAAAACATAACCAGGCGGTCGATACCGCAACCCCAGCCTCCGGTCGGTGGCAGGCCATCTGTTTGATGTTAGCTTGTGTTGTATAAAACATCTATGTATTGCACTCACATTCCAATGAAGTGCAGAACGTCTCATCGACTAACTGTGCTTCGTCATCACCAGCTTCCTTTTGGCGTGCTTGCTCCTCAAAGCGCAGTCGCTGATCGAAAGGATCGTTCAATTCCGTGTAGAAGTTCTACGGTCATCATGTTAGCGCAGTGTTTTTGCTTTCACATAGCCAGGGCAGTTCGTACGCAAATCTCTTTCTTACAGACAAATGCTTCAGCACGCTCGCACAGACCAGGGCGCGAACGATGGTACTTGGCTAAAGGTGACATCATCTGAGGATGGCCGCAGATGAATGTCGGGTTTATGCAAGTTTCTTCGATGAACTCTCCAACAAGCTTGTCGATCATCCTGGCGTTCGTTAGGGGTGGACTACATTCTACCTTCGTCTTAGCTAGGATCCTGCGGAGGAAGGCGTTCGTTTCCTCAGTGTGAAGCTGATCACCCGGAGGGAACTTTTCTCCGCAAGCCTCTTCAAGAGCTGGGATCATATCAACACGTCGCCATGGTGCTTCCCAGTTCACCGTGTACTTTTCGCCTCCTTGCGTCGTGAACTCCGTGATGTAGCCTCCAGTAACTTCCTTGACGAGTGAAGATATCATGTCCTCAGTCAATTTGAGCACATCTTCGTAGTCTGCGTATGCCCAATAGAATTCACAAGTAGTGAACTCGGGATTGTGAGTCAAATCTATGCCTTCATTTCGGAACTGTCGTCCTATTTCGTAGACCCTATTAAGGCCGCCTACAACCAGCATCTTGAGGTACAGCTCAGGCGCGATACGCATAAAAAGGTCCATGTTCAGCTCATTGTGGTGTGTGATAAATGGCTTGGCAGTGGCCCCTCCAGCAATCTTGTTCATCATGGGTGTCTGGACCTCGAGGAAGTCACGCTTGTCGAGGTAGCTCCTGATGTACTTGACTATCTTGGTCCGCGTGACGAATGTGTCTCTCGTGCGTCGATTCATGATCAGATCCAAGAAACGCTGGCGATACCTTGTTTCCTGGTCTCGGAGGCCAAAATGTTCGGACGGAAGCTGATGCAAACACGGTGTCAAAAGTTGAACGGACCGCGCAAAGATCGAAAGTTCGCCGGGCTTGTCCTTGTTCTTCTCGCCTTGAGGATCTGTGCGGCCAGGGAAGCCAACAATACCAATAATGTCGCCGCGCTGGAGGTGTTCATGCTCTTGCACGAAATTCTGGGGGTCCGCTGAGTGGTCCGCCTGTGCCACGACCTGCACTGTCACGCCTTCGTCCTGGCACACATAGAACCTAAGCTTGCTGCCAAGCTCTCTCTTAGACAGAATCCGCGCGCCGAGTCTCAGCTCGACCGACTGGTCATACTCGCCGCGCTTGAGGTGCTGGTACTTGTCCACAAAAGTTCGTATGTCCAGCTCGGTGTGGAACTTGTGTGGATATGGATTGGGGTTCTTAGTTTCGAGCAGGTGCTTGATCTGACGGCTGCGCAGCTCAAAGTATTGGTTTGGGTTCAGATCGCTCATGTCGACCTTGTCTGACTTCTTGGAAACCTCCTTCTTGGGAGCTGCTGCCGCCTTTGCGGCCTTCTTGGCAGCAGCCTCGCGTGCCTTCACTCGCTTCTTGTATCTGAACCACACCAACAGTCGTTAGAGATGAATCAATCGCAGAGCATGAGATATTGATACACGATACCACAACCAACATTTAAACATACATATGCAAACAACTAACTCACTCACTCACTCAGTCTTGCTCACGCGCTCACCTGTCTCTTCGTCAAGGACCAAGTTCGGCGCAGTACCTCCAGAAGCCCCCGCCTGTTGCGAAGACTCGCCAATGGTTGCATTTTTCACGGCGTCGACAACGCCGGCTACGGCATCCTTAGCTGTGTCCGCCATAGTTATTTTCCACTTGCTAGTGTCTCGTGTGTTATGGTGCTGGGCACTTAAAAATTTTGCATTTGAAAGAGAAAAAAAAAGAGTTTTGCGGGGTGTGGTGTTGATGTGGTGCGAAACCCTGTCCCACTTGAGTCACAGTTCTGCTCTGGGACGTGACTCAATATTCTCGCCGCGGTTCTGCCTTCGCCCTGCGGATCGCAAGGTCGGACCACACGACCTGGTAAGTGCGGATAAGCACGTTAGTTAGGCAGAAACATACACGTCGAAGGGCTGCATGGCTTGTGGTTGCAGAGTCGACTGAAGACTGCAAACGACTACGAGAATATTCTTCTGGAATTGCCACTTCATTGCCGGACTAATCGAGACCTCTACCGTGTGCGCCATAGGAATACCCTCACTGAACATCAACTGCAGGGGAATATCTTCAACCTTGTGCAAACCATATATATGACTCGCTCCTTGCCCTCCATACAAGCTGTGTATCTCGCCTCACCACTCGGAAATGCAATCCCATGAAAAACGCCAGACAAAAGACAAAGTAACACAACCAAACATGCCTCTCTCTTTGTGTTCCTCGAGAGAGCTTTGGAACGAGTGCCAAGGTAAGCGGTTTAGCTTAGCCGAAAAAATTGTCAGGTAGAGACATAAGCCCAGCCAGCATGGCAACCCCGCCAAACGCGAAGGCACCAAGGTGAGTAACGATGCTGGAGCGAAGTCGCTTCTTTGGGCGATGCGGCACAGGAGGGGTAGTAGACCTAGATACCTCCTTGCTCTCAGCGGCCTTAATTTTGACTTCCGTCAAAGCATTATGTGACTGTCCTCCGCTCGACTCAGTATTACCACCTACGTCCCCGTTCTGAGTAGGATTGTCGATCAAATGCTCAGCCTCATAAAGCTCGTCCGCTTTTCGCTTCGTGCCTATGGTCGGAGTAGGGTTGATGATGCTCCTGATTGACATGTCGTTTTTCGTAGAACTCTCATGCGTGTTCTGGAGTAGCTCCTGCGTAGTGACCGTAATTGACGGCAGAACCGAAGAGGAGGTCTGTGCAGACACTGGAAACATGTGGGACACATAACCCATATTGTCTTGAGTCTGGCCGTCATCTGATACACCAAATGTCTGCTCCAACTTAGTCGTTTCTCCTCCTAAGGATAAGTCGTCGAAATCGTAGGAACTCACTATGCCACTGTATACCTCTGGTGGCTGGGCAAATGGGCCATCACGATAATGGTTGTATGTCGAGAGCTTAGGTTGGATCGTCGGCAGTTGTGACAAGTCGTCCATCGGCGGCAGCTGAACTTGCTGCTGAGGAACATAGTCTTCATAGGTAGGCGGAATGTAAGCCTGCGACTGTCGCGTGTGTATTGACTCGTCACTAGTTTTGAAATCTGGCCCGTCATAAACGATCTCTTCCTTGTCCATTTCTTGTGCTTCCTCGATCTCAAGTTCCGCGTACGTATCCTGGACAACGGGGACGTCGGGTGACGGTTCGTATTCTTCTGAAGCACCCCTCGATGCGATGCCGTTGGCAACAGGTGCTTGCGCAGGAGCATTTTCATCGGTAAACGGACTGTTCATGCCACCATGTAATGTGCTCGTTCGTGTAGTCTTCTCCTCACCCCAGCCTGGTGGGGATGAGTGAGAGTCTGTAGAGCCCACGGCGCTGTTAGACTCGTCCACATCAGACTCTTCCGACTCTTCCGGTACGCTGATGCTGCGGCCCGTTGAGGAAGACAAAGACTCTGTTTGTGGACGTTGCAAGTGTTCGATCGTGACCTTGTAGACTGGAGGATCGTATTCATCTACAGCAGAAGTTAACCGATAGATCGAACCCAACATGTCGCTTGGGAAGGGATATGCACCAGTGCCTCTCTGAACCTTGTTGCCAAACTGAATCAAATCACCACTGCTGATCTGTCGTCTGTCTCTCGGCTTGATAGGAGTGTTGTTGACGAATGTCCCGTGGGATGAGCCAGCATCCTCGAGGTAAACACACGAAGCCTGTACGCAGTTAGATAGCGTTTCCATCTGTGACATCGGGTGTCGTACATCAAACAGGTTGCTCTTCTCGATGGTGAGCACAGCATGGTTGCGTGAAATGACCGGGTTGCTGATCCACATGTTGTCTTTTGCTGGTATGAGCTGTTTCCGCTCTGTCTTGCTCGCTCTGCCTATCTGTATTGGACCACAGGACGACTCCGAGGAAATGACGCGTTTGGTCAGAGCATCCTCGCCCTTTTGGAGCGTCATCGTCACTTTGGTTTCTGTATGCAGGTCAGCCTGCGTTCTTATCGGGGCAGTGGTTCGGCAAGGCTGAGCCCCAGGCCGAAGCTCGCCTGGGCTTCGATGCCGCATACCGCGAGAAGAAGGAGACGCCATCTCTGTCTACGCTGCGTCCGAGGACAGAAACTCAGAGCAAAGGTTGGTATGGTAGATTCGGCGGGATGAAGAGGTGGTGAGGGCGGGAGTCGAGTCGCAGGTACGAGCCAGGTGGGGTCGTCCCTCTCAGGCCAATCAAGACGGTAGTGTAACCTTCGGGGCTCTGGCATGTGTCAGCCCATGGAACGCAAGCTCGAGCGCACGCCACAGATCGAGCAGACGAACACGAATGGGCCGAAGACGATGCGACTATGTGAGGATTGGAAAAGCTGCGTTCAGGACAGGACGACAGTCAGACAGCTTGGGTGCGTTGGCCGGCTGCAGACGTGCATGGGGAGGAGCAGCAAGACCCTTGATGTGATCAGCCCCACAAGCCCGTCGAGAGGAAGAATGCGAGGTGCGCACGAGAAGAATCGAGTCCGGTCGATGGTCGTGACGATTGCGGCGGCGTCGTCGGTGTGACTCGGTTGTGGGAAGCCTACAGGCACGGCGGGTTCGACGGCAAAGGCAAAGAGCGCAGGCTACGCTGCCAGGCTGGCGAGATTGTCCGAACAACAGGTGTCGCCTGGGGAGCTCGACTGTCCACGGGAGTCACGGCGATCTTCCTGCTCATCGCCGGCCGTCAGTCTCTCCTGTATCCAGTCTAGCGTCTTGAAGAGTCTATCGATAAGCGTCTTTGCGCTACGACGAAGACGACCAAGTGGCTGCGGGCCCGTGCAAAGCATGCATCAAATTTCTTATACTGCTCTCCGGTCATTGACTTGCACCACTGCAACTCGATTCTCTCGACCACCATCCCGACCCCCCGAGACCGCTCTCGTTTGCTTCGCGTCCCTTTCCGTGAGGCCGTGAAAGTCCTGGCGAATTCCCCCGCGCCCAGCCTGAAGCTTCCCTTGAGTGCAGACCACCAACTATGGTGGGACACCCACGAATTTCTTTCTTGTGGCGGTGACATTCGGGTCTCTGTGAGGAATAAGAACCGCGTAAAGCTTGTCTCGACCACACTGTCGTGAAGTCTAAAGACGGTGTTCCGGTTCGACTCCCGCATTCGCCAAGATGTACAAACTCATGCCTATGCCGGGTCTTGAACCCAAACTTCAGGTCAGAGATGATACGCCCATGCGCATTGGCGCCCTCGAGTTCGGTATCATGTAGGAATCGCCTGATCTAGTCCTGCGCTCTACGCGGGCTAACGCCATCCAGGTCCCCGGAAGACATCGAACTGCAGGCCGAGACGTTGGAAATTTCAGATCGCAATCTGTATGATCTTTCCCCGCCTGGTCCGACGCAGTTCGGCCCGCTGGACAAGCGACTAGGACCCCAGAAGGGTGAATTTTGCGAAGTGTGTCGTGAAGAGCAAAAGAGTTGCAATGGCCACTGGGGCTACATTGCGCTCGAGCTGCCGTGCTTCCATGTCGGCTTCCTCGGCTTCACTCTCGAGATCTTGAACTCGATCTGCAAGGTAAGCTACACGTATCAGCTGCTTCTTTCCGAGCAGGTTTTCACCACCTAACAGTCTTGCTCTCGTATACTGCTTCCCGAGGATCGTCGGCGACATTACATGTCAAGTGTTCACCGCTACAAGACCGACACTTTCCTACGGAAAGGCACTATCAAAGCGATTCGCGCCGAATGCTCGAAAATTAAGATTTGCACTCGTTGCGGAGCCTCAAATGGCCCGGTGCGTAAGGTAGCCGGCCACACGTGCAAGATTATCCATTTGCACTTCGACGCGTTTGAGAAGTCAACAGCGAAGAAGAAGGTGCCACCTCGAGATAAGGTCATCTTGGACTTGCGCACGCAGGCTTGGAAGAGGGGCCAAGAAGGATCGGAGCGCTTGCTATCAAAGCTTATGGACGATATGCCCGCGTATAAGGTGCATCGTATTTTCTCAAGAATTCCCGACATAGACTGCGAGCTTCTTGGGATCGACTCCTCAAGAGGTCGGCCCGAGTCGTACCTCTGGACTTATCTACCTGTTCCTCCGACCAACATTCGTCCATCTGTGCCTGGAGACCAAGGTACAACGGAAGATGACTTAACGACCAAACTCAGTGAAATCGTGGAGATTAACACACGCTTGCGGGCCGCGATTGAGACGAGTGAACGCGTCGAGAACTGGATGGAATTGTATGAGAAGCTACAGGACTATATCGCAATGTATATCAACAGCAATGCGCCCGGTCTTAATAAAACAGAATATGGCAAAGCAATTCGTAGCTTCTGCTCTCGGTTGAAGGGTAAGCAAGGTCGCTTCCGTGGTAACTTGTCCGGAAAGCGTGTCAACTTTTCTGGAAGAACGGTCATCGGTCCAGATCCGAACTTGTCGGTCGAACAGGTCGGTGTACCACAGCACATCGCGAAAATCCTCACCTATCCTGAAAAGGTCACACCACACAACCTTCAGCGGCTTCGTGAAGCTGTCATGAACGGACCTGACAAGTGGCCTGGCGCTAATCAAGTTACAAAAGTCAAAGGCCACATCATCAAGCTAGGTATCGTTAAGGCGTTTCGTGGCAATGATCGGTTGATACAGGAGGCAAACAAGCTCGATATCGGTGACACGGTCGATCGACATCTCATAGATGGAGACATTGTTCTCTTCAATCGGCAGCCATCACTACACAAGCTCAGTATTTTGTCGCACTTGGTCAAAGTGCTGCCTGGCCGGACTCTGCGTCTCAATGAGAGCGTTTGTAATCCATACAACGCCGACTTTGATGGAGATGAGATGAACATTCACGTTCCCCAGACCGAAGAAGCCCGAATAGAAGCACGGGAACTTATGGGCGTTAAACATAACTTGGTCACACCTAAGAACGGAGCACCTATCATTGCGCCCATCCAGGATTTTATCACTGGTGCGTATTTGCTCAGCCTGAAGGACACGTTCTTTGACCGTGGCCAATTCTCCCAGCTCATGTGCCAAATGTTTGATGCCGACGGTTTTGACAATCCCGAAACTGGCCGCAGGGAAAACTATTATATTCCCCCTCCTGCGATCATGAAACCAAAGAGATTATGGACTGGCAAACAATTGCTCTCGGTCCTGTTACAACCGAGCAGGCAGAGCAAGATCAAGATCAATCTGGATGGCCCCTGTAAAGGTTACAAAAAGGATAAAGATGCGCCATATCCGGGTGCGCCACGAGACTTGTTCCCTGATGATCAGTGGCTTGTCGTACGCAACTCGGAGATTCTCGCGGGAAGATTGGACAAGACCATCATTGGCGACGGTCGAAAATCGACACTCTTCTACGCGCTGCTAAGAGAGTACGGATCCGACCACGCAGTTAAAGGCATGAACCGGCTGGCAAAGTTATGTGCCCGCTTCTTAGGGAAACAAGGCTTCTCTATTGGCCTTGGAGATGTCACGCCGACTGCTGTCTTCAACGAAGCGAAACAGCAACTTGTGGACGAGGCTGTCCGCAAAGCTCATAACATCATCGTTCAATTCACTAAGGGTACATTGGCACGCGATCCAGGTTGTGATGCTGAGCAAACTATGGAGAACAAGGTATCCCAAATCCTCAGTAGTATCCGTGACGAAATTGGCAACCGCGCCTTGGAGCTTCTCAGTCCCTACAATGCTGCGGTCATCATGGCCAAATCTGGGTCAAAAGGTTCCAACGTCAACGTCTCCCAGATGGTGGGTATGGTGGGCCAGCAGGTTATTGGCGGAAAGCGTGTCGTGAACGGCTTTCAGGATCGGACGTTGCCTCACTTTCGAAAAGGCTCAAGAGAACCGGCTGCAAAAGGCTTCATTTCAAACAGTTTCCATTCGGGGCTACACCCTACAGAGTTCATATTCCACGCCATGTCCGGTCGTGAAGGTTTGGTCGATACTGCGGTCAAAACTGCCGAGACTGGTTACATGTCTCGGCGATTGATAAAATCTTTGGAAGATGCACATATTGTCTACGATCAGACTGTACGAGACTCGTTTGGGGGCATCCTTGAATTTGCTTTTGGTGATGACAATCTAGACCCCGCTGAACTCGAGGGTCAGGGCAAACCCGTCAACTTCGATCGGACGTGGCTTCAATCAGTGTCGAGCACGCACAATCCCGACGATGTTGGTTTGACACCTGCAGAGATTCAGGAGCTCACCGAAAAGTTGCTCCGAGAACAAGATAAGCATTATCGCGAATTGTCGTTCGAAGAAATGCTGGCGGGTGCTAGTGAAGCAAATGCAGGTCCTGAAGCATACAATAGTTCTCGGCACTTTTTGCAGGACATGCTCAAATACATCGTTAACAAGGCTCAGGGTTTGCACAAACTGTACCAACAGTACATGGTCTATTCAGATGCTCGATACGATGGTGCTACAGCATCTACACCAGCGGATCAGAAGATCTTCGAGAAGTTCGCTCAAGTGTCTGCTGGTATTGATCCGGCTAAAAATCGAGCCAGCGTAGACAAAATTTTGAAGGTCACGAAGCGAAATCTCGAGACATTTATCAAGGCTTGCTTCGTGAAGTACGAGAAAGCGAAGGTGCAGCCAGGACATGCTGTTGGGGCAATAGCGGCGCAATCAATTGGTGAGCCGGGCACTCAGATGACACTCAAAACCTTCCATTTTGCTGGTGTTGCTGGTATGAGCATCACACAAGGTGTACCGCGAATCAAGGAAATCATCAATGCCGCTAAAAAGATATCTACGCCCATCGTAACAGTCAGGCTAGAGAACGCATATTCAGCACAAGTTGCTCAGATCGTAAAAGCGCGTATCGAGAAGACCTATCTGAGAGACATTGCTGAGTATGTTGCGGAGAACTGGACACCGACAGGTGGCTATATTACAATCAAATTCGATCTCGAAACGATGCAACGCTTACAACTGGACCTCAACATGAGAGAGATTGCTCTTGCTATCCTGAGGCATCGTGGCCTCAAGCTCAAACCTGAGAACATACAACTTTATGGCACTCGCCATATTCGGATCACTCCTCCGGAGCCGGCTGTATCTAAAGCAGACCTCGATTACAAGCGTGTTCTTGACGATGAAACAGGGGGTGATGTTGTTCGTCGTGTCAGTGCTCGTCGCAAGAAGCCCACCGATGAGTACCACATTATCCAAGACTTGATGCGCAGCGTTCTCGATGTAGTGGTCGCAGGTTATCCTGAAGCTAATCGTGTCGTAATCAAGAAGATCGATGCCGCAGAGCGTGAGAGCAAGCGCAAGAAGAAGACCGGTAAGCCGAAGCAGGATAAGTTCTATCTGTATGTGGAAGGTTATGGTCTCAAGAAGGTCATGAACACTGAGGGCGTGAACGGCCTCAAAACGCGAACCAACTCAGTGTTGGAAGTCTTCGAAACCCTGGGTATTGAGGCAGCGAAGAGCGTCATCATCTCCGAAATTAAGGAGGTTATGGGGTCTATGGATATCGACAATCACCACATCCAGCTCCTTGCCACGACCATGACACGCTTTGGCGAAATCACAGGGATAACCCGCTTTGGCCTCGCCAAAACACGTGACAGTGTTTTGCAGTTGGCCAGTTTCGAGAAGACGCCTGATCACTTGTTCGAAGCAGCGAGTGGGATGAAAACGGATCGCATTCAGGGAGTTAGCGAGAATATCATCATGGGTCAACCTGTGAAGCTAGGAACAGGGCTGGCGAATGTGGTAATGCCGTTGAAGCTGGATACGAACTTCGTCCAGCGACGGGATCCTTTCCTGTCGGTTGGCCGGAGTGGTGTGAATGTGTCACAGGGACAAGGCCAGGCTTTCCGCATAGGAGAGCGAGTGCGCAGTGTACATTAGATAAGCCTAATCTAAAATAGAGAGATTCTGTAGTGGCAGAAAGCTTTTTGAGTCTATTATAATAAACAGACACATTCGTCAGATCACAAGAACCATTCAACGCGGAATTAAAAAAAAAAAAAAAAAAAAAAAAAAAAAAAAAAAAAAAAAAAAAAA